CAATTCCTAGCGCAACGAGTACTATTGCGTATATGCGTATACACACAACTATCACTATAACTCGCGTTGCGGAATTTTCTCGCAATAAATTTCGATACAGGGAGATTAAGAATTAAATTCTGCATCTGGGAAAATTAATCCGAACCTCAGTTTAAGACCGCGTTCGCGTGTTATCATATTAAGAAAGTACAATTCCTAGCGCTGCGAGTACTATTGCGTATATGCGTATACACACAACTATCACTATAACTCGCGTTACGGAATTTTCTCGCAATAAATTCCGATACAGGGAGATTAAGAATTAAATTCTGCTTCTGGGAGAATTAATCCAAACCTAGTTTAAGACCGCGTTCGCGTGTTATCATATTAAGAAAGTACAATTCCTAGCGCTGCGAGTACTATTGCGTATATGCGTATACACACAACTATCATGATAACTCGCGTTACGGAATTTTCTCGCAATAAATTTTGATACAGGGAAATTAAGAATTAAATTCCGCATCTGGGAAAATTATTTCGAGCTCAGTTTAAGACCGCGTTCGCGTGTTATCATATTAAGAAAGTACAATTCCTAGCGCAACGAGTACTATTGCGTATATGCGTATACACACAACTATCACTATAACTCGCGTTGCGGAATTTTCTCGCAATAAATTCCGATACAGGGAGATTAAGAATTAAATTCTGCTTCTGGGAGAATTAATCCAAACCTAGTTTAAGACCGCGTTCGCGTGTTATCATATTAAGAAAGTACAATTCCTAGCGCTACGAGTACTATTGCGTATATGCGTATACACACAACTATCACTATAACTCGCGTTACGGAATTTTCTCGCAATAAATTCCGATACAGGGAGATTAAGAATTAAATTCTGCTTCTGGGAGAATTAATCCAAACCTAGTTTAAGACCGCGTTCGCGTGTTATCATATTAAGAAAGTACAATTCCTAGCGCTACGAGTACTATTGCGTATATGCGTATACACACAACTATCATCATAACTCGCGTTACGGAATTTTCTCGCAATAAATTTCAATACAGGAAATTAAGAATTAAATTCCGCATCTGGGAAAATTATTTCGAGCTCAGTTTAAGACCGCGTTCGCGTGTTATCATATTAAGAAAGTACAATTCCTAGCGCTACGAGTACTATTGCGTATATGCGTATACACACAACTATCACTATAACTCGCGTTGCGGAATTTTCTCGCAATAAATTCCGATACAGGGAGATTAAGAATTAAATTCTGCTTCTGGGAGAATTAATCCAAACCTAGTTTAAGACCGCGTTCGCGTGTTATCATATTAAGAAAGTACAATTCCTAGCGCTGCGAGTACTATTGCGTATATGCGTATACACACAACTATCACTATAACTCGCGTTACGGAATTTTCTCGCAATAAATTCCGATACAGGGAGATTAAGAATTAAATTCTGCTTCTGGGAGAATTAATTCAAACCTAGTTTAAGACCGCGTTCGCGTGTTATCATATTAAGAAAGTACAATTCCTAGCGCTGCGAGTACTATTGCGTATATGCGTATACACACAACTATCACTATAACTCGCGTTACGGAATTTTCTCGCAATAAATTTCGATACAGGAAATAAAGAATTAAATTCTGCATCTGGGAAAATTATTTCGAGCTCAGTTTAAGACCGCGTTCGCGTGTTATCATATTAAGAAAGTACAATTCCTAGCGCTGCGAGTACTATTGCGTATATGCGTATACACACAACTATCACTATAACTCGCGTTACGGAATTTTCTCGCAATAAATTCCGATACAGGAGATTAAGAATTAAATTCTGCTTCTGGGAGAATTAATCCAAACCTAGTTTAAGACCGCGTTCGCGTGTTATCATATTAAGAAAGTACAATTCCTAGCGCTGCGAGTACTATTGCGTATATGCGTATACACACAACTATCACTATAACTCGCGTTACGGAATTTTCTCGCAATAAATTCCGATACAGGAGATTAAGAATTAAATTCTGCTTCTGGGAGAATTAATCCAAACCAGTTTAAGACCGCGTTCGCGTGTTATCATATTAAGAAAGTACAATTCCTAGCGCTGCGAGTACTATTGCGTATATGCGTATACACACAACTATCACTATAACTCGCGTTACGGAATTTTCTCGCAATAAATTTCAATATAGGGAAATTAAGAATTAAATTCTGCGCATCTGGGAAAATTATTTCGAGCTCAGTTTAAGACCGCGTTCGCGTGTTATCATATTAAGAAAGTACAATTCCTAGCGCTGCGAGTACTATTGCGTATATGCGTATACACACAACTATCACTATAACTCGCGTTACGGAATTTTCTCGCAATAAATTCCGATACAGGGAGATTAAGAATTAAATTCTGCATCTGGGAAAATTATTTCGAGCTCAGTTTAAGACCGCGTTCGCGTGTTATCATATTAAGAAAGTACAATTCCTAGCGCTGCGAGTACTATTGCGTATATGCGTATACACACAACTATCACTATAACTCGCGTTACGGAATTTTCTCGCAATAAATTCCGATACAGGAGATTAAGAATTAAATTCTGCTTCTGGGAGAATTAATCCAAACCTAGTTTAAGACCGCGTTCGCGTGTTATCATATTAAGAAAGTACAATTCCTAGCGCTGCGAGTACTATTGCGTATATGCGTATACACACAACTATCACTATAACTCGCGTTACGGAATTTTCTCGCAATAAATTCCGATACAGGGAGATTAAGAATTAAATTCTGCTTCTGGGAGAATTATTTCAAACCTAGTTTAAGACCGCGTTCGCGTGTTATCATATTAAGAAAGTACAATTCCTAGCGCTGCGAGTACTATTGCGTATATGCGTATACACACAACTATCACTATAACTCGCGTTACGGAATTTTCTCGCAATAAATTCCGATACAGGGAGATTAAGAATTAAATTCTGCTTCTGGGAAAAATTAATCGAGCCTAGTTTAAGACCGCGTTCGCGTGTTATAATATTAAGAAAGTACAATTCCTAGCGCAACGAGTACTATTGCGTATATGCGTATACACACAACTATCATGATAACTCGCGTTACGGAATTTTCTCGCAATATATTTCGATACAGGGCAATTAAGAATTAAATTCCGCATCTGGGAAAATTATTTCGAGCTCAGTTTAAGACCGCGTTCGCGTGTTATAATATTAAGAAAGTACAATTCCTAGCGCAACGAGTACTATTGCGTATATGCGTATACACACAACTATCATGATAACTCGCGTTACGGAATTTTCTCGCAATAAATTTCGATACAGGGAAATTAAGAATTAAATTCCGCATCTGGGAAAATTATTTCGAGCTCAGTTTAAGACCGCGTTCGCGTGTTATAATATTAAGAAAGTACAATTCCTAGCGCAACGAGTACTATTGCGTATATGCGTATACACACAACTATCATGATAACTCGCGTTACGGAATTTTCTTGCAATAAAGTTCAATACAAGGAGATACAGATTTAAATTCTGCATCTGGGGAAATAATTCCGAGCTCAGTTTAAGACCGCGTTCGCGTGTTATAATATTAAGAAAGTACAATTCCTAGCGCAACGAGTACTATTGCGTATATGCGTATACACACAACTATCACTATAACTCGCGTTACGGAATTTTCTCGCAATAAATTCAAGATACAGGAGATTAAGAATTAAATTCTGCATCTGGGAAAATTATTTCGAGCTCAGTTTAAGACCGCGTTCGCGTGTTATCATATTAAGAAAGTACAATTCCTAGCGCTGCGAGTACTATTGCGTATATGCGTATACACACAACTATCACTATAACTCGCGTTACGGAATTTTCTCGCAATAAATTCCGATACAGGGAGATTAAGAATTAAATTCTGCATCTGGGAAAATTATTTCGAGCTCAGTTTAAGACCGCGTTCGCGTGTTATCATATTAAGAAAGTACAATTCCTAGCGCTGCGAGTACTATTGCGTATATGCGTATACACACAACTATCACTATAACTCGCGTTACGGAATTTTCTCGCAATAAATTCCGATACAGGGAGATTAAGAATTAAATTCTGCTTCTGGGAGAATTAATCCAAACCTAGTTTAAGACCGCGTTCGCGTGTTATCATATTAAGAAAGTACAATTCCTAGCGCTGCGAGTACTATTGCGTATATGCGTATACACACAACTATCACTATAAATTTCAATGCGCGTTACGGAATTTTGTAAACGCAATAAACTTTGTACGATCGGACTGCCAGGGAAGGAATGCTGTAACTAAAGAATTAATCAACACAATTAATTTATTAACCGACATCAAACACAACGCCGAGTGAAGAATGTTATCAAATCCACTATCACGTGACTTGTCATATACATAACAAACGCGATCAAAAACCGGCATGTCCGAACATTAAGCAAATTACTATAATCGCAAAGTACAAATAAATAGTCGATTGATCTTCGTGTATAACACGAATAAACGATATAAGTCTCTCAAAACACAACTGAATTAACCAGCGACCGGCACGAAACTGGCTGCAATCCGCCGATAGTGCATGCCGAAACTGCGTAAACAACGACGGGACAGTATATGATAAGAAAGCAAGAGGTGCGCAAAACGGCGCGTCGATTGCCCGCGACCTTGTACACAACTTTGCAATAGGCACATTACCTGTGATCTAAACTAAACTAAACTTCACTGCATACAGCAAGTTGATGCAGCACTAGAAGACAGCGCGCGGGACACATGCGATAAAAACGTTGTTTACACCGAATCGAAGATAACAGCATTGTATACAAAACTATTCTCGTGCCCACGTTTGTCGATAAATATAAAAATAAGCCGTATAACTCGATTTTATGATTTTTAGTGTATCCTAGTGCCATCTATGAATGCGACAGATACAAGTTTCACAATTTAGACTATTATAATCAATAATTAATGTTTCCACGTGTTTCCACTTTTGTATGCAGTACATATATACTATATACATACTATAAACAGTAAACCTTAAATCTAATTTATTTCGTGTTAAACTTTGTTATCAACAATAGTTACAAATTATGATTGGTAAATAATAGTGACAATCCGAAAACGAAGGCAAATCGAATTCGCACAAAAATATATGTTGTTCAATCCGTACAACAAAAATCAAAACAAAGAGAGAAAAAGAAATGATTCTCTAGTTACAAATTAACTTCGAAACAAATACACAAAATGGCTATTCGGTAAAATCGATAAATAATATAAATATGTCATTTGTTAAAACTTGATTAAACTTCCTGGTTACAAAACCAAATTGCACGGTCACTTAAACAAATTACAAAGTTCGAATATTAAAATTTGGCACCAAGCATTTTGGTTATTTAAAAATCGTCAATATTTAAAATATCGTACATAATTGGAACTGTTGTTTTGTCGTAATGTAAAATTTAGTTTCGTTTGGATTTTGTTTTTTCCTCAGGAGATCACAGATAATTCAGAGTACGTATTCGCTACTCTTGCTCACTTGAGCAGGACCTCGGCGAACTGGGCGATGGCGTGCTCTTGCGCCAGCGCCGCCAATTCTTTTGTCCACTCATCCAGCAGCACAGCGCACATAGCAACGCGTTGCGCGTCATTAAACTTTGGATACCACTGAGCACGTGTGTCTTCTGTAGACGCTTGCGACGTCAACTGCATCTGCATATCACCACCAGCCATGCTAGTTACGCCACCACCGCCCGGCGATAAGGACAATGAGACGCCTCCCGCAGTGGAAGTGCTGCTCTGTCTTCGCCCAAACATACTCGACAATGACGACAGAGATTGCGTGAGGCTGCGTCGTTTCGGTCCATTGCGTTGGAAATTTCCGGTGGAAGGTGTAGTATCATCATGCGACGACATAGACGGTGCCAGCGAGCCGTGAGGGGAGGAATTACGATCCAGGGCGGTGCGGCGCGCGTGTACTAGTCGAGTCTCACGTTCAAGCAGGAAGTGTTTCGCACCAGACGTCAACGACAGACGCTCTGGCTGGCGGGACATGAATTCATCGATTTGCTGTTTTAGTGAACCTAACACCTAGAAAAGAACAGCGAAACATATTATGCACAGAAATATATTATTTCATTCAATACACTTACTTGAAACAGCGATGGCACATTCGGTTGCAAAACAAGACTATGATCCAAAAGGTATGCTCTCAGTAGCGGATGGGAATACGCGGCTAACCTGGAGATCAGTCCGGTGAGGTGAAGATTGGCATAGAACGAATTCGACAAGACATTCTTCAACTTCTCCATTAGAAGCGTTAAAAATGGGCCGGCACTCGCGCTGGCATCTCCACCCTCCACTGGACACACCGCCGTCAATTTCGGAACGTGGCTATGCTCGTTCGCATGCTGCGATACTTGCCAGATGGGTTCGTCTAACTTAATTTTCAAACTCTCATAGCCACTGGATTCACCCAAAGAAGGCAAACTCATGCCTTCATCTAATATAATTTTAAAAATAAACTTTAATACGTAAATTAGATTGATGGTAAATATCATACCTGTTGTATCGGTGTTCTCACAACCAGTATACTGATGTGTCCAATTGGAGCAAGCTGCCCTACATGCGTTGATTTTATTCCGCGCATCGCAAAGATACGCATGATAATTACCATACAAAGACGGTTGCCCGCCGTAGTGATTCCAGTTAATGGTGCGTCCATCTAGGCCCTTCTCAAGATGACCGCCCTCGCCGCAATCCGGCGCTAGCATTAGGAACTTCTCAGCGCTCTCACAATGCGCGTCCAAAGGCAACTGCACCTTCCGCTGGCTAAACATCAAATGTCTACATGGTTGCAGATGATGATAGACCAGCTCCAGCATAACATCCTCGCAATTTAAATCGACCAGAGTTTCAAATAGAGCGAGGGACACAAGTGCTAATTGCTCATCTTCAGCATTAATCCGATCCATGAGCATATCCAGCAACCGACGACCATCGTACTCAACCCCTAATAGAAAACGCAACATTGGACGCAGCAGACCAGGTTCACTCACAGTTCGTAGGATTAGCTCAAGGTACACAGTGACTGCAATTTGTTCCTCAGGTCGGGCTTGCAACAAAGCCGGGCCAAAAATCGGTATTAAAAAGCCCATATGGACAAATTCCTGAAGCTGTGCAACGATCGACGCATGTGCCATTTGCGCCACACTGTTGGAAAACTCAAGGGACGTAACAAAAGTTGTTAAATCCTTGACGTCGTTGACATCATCGGGTGTTAACCGCCGCCAGTCAGGCGCGACGATATCGTCGAGAACATGTGGTAACTCAGAGTATAATCCGCCAAGACCAGACGCTAGTAATGCACAGATGTTGGACACATCTGCAATGTATTCACGCACGCTGGCGTTCTTCTTCGACAGTGACATGCACAGCAGAACGGAGTCCCTGGCTTGCATACCAACGTTATCATCACCATGGACGAATGGTATCAGCAGAGCACAGATAATAAACCTGCATGTTGTAACAGAAACATAATCTTAAACAATAACCTAAATAATTTAGAAGCACTTACCTCGGTTTTTTCTCATACTTTTCATGTTTGACACTTTGTGGAAAGAACAAATCCACCAGATCAACATTCTGCATCAACACAATGCACAACTGATACAATAAGTTGACCAGCAACTTCTGCATCTGCCTGGGAAACACTTCATTAAGGCAAGACCCCAAGATCTTAAGCAATGGTTGCATGAATGCATTGTGAACAAGCAAAACATGCCTTGATTGGCAAATCAGCATTTCATAGAGTTTCAACTGTTCAGATCTTACAGCATTCACATACTTTCCAGTTTTGATACCCCATTCATACAGTTTATCTAGAACATTTTCCTGTAGCATGTACTCCATTGACTTGCTTGGAGTCATCTGTATGTGATCCAACTTCTTGATATCATATTGCAGCAGTGCTGACATTTGCTCCATATGATTTACAACACTGAGAACATCATCTTGGCTAGGGAGTAGCTAAAATAATGACAATTTAATCTGGTTCTCAATGACTCATGTTCTATGATGTAGCATTGTATTTGTTTGTTTGTTTATTTACCTGATTGCGTTTGATTATCTTGAGTGCCTGTTGCCAGTGTTGAACGAAACTGTCGTAGCACGCCTGTGGGTCCCATTCTTCATCGGTAGCAAAAAGAGCGCGTGTGTTAGGGGCCGAGCGCCCCGCCGCCCCCAACAGACTGCTGTTGCGTAACCAGTCCATCGTGCACGTCGTAGAGGTACCCAGCCGCCCTCACGATGCATTCATCACCGAGATGTACGATTGGAAGTGCTGTTCTTTTCTAGTTTATATTTACAACAACATCGAAGGCAGCAGCTAGTATACGCTACGTCGTTGACAACGCGAGATTTGACATCCGCAGGCTCGGGTTCAGCAAGATCAGCAACTTTCTGAGGAGACGTAGTGTTATGTTGGTTGCCTACGTCTACTCGTTATGTACTTCACGTTATTTACTTGTGATAAATAACTTCGTGTAAATAACATTCACAGAAATTATGCGCTTCTTAGTGAAGCATACACCAAATGCACAAAAACGGAAAAGAAATTAAATTAACGTGGTTATCACCGCACACAAAATATATTATTCATTTCATTCCTTTTTAAGATCAATTATAACAATTGACGCGTTCAGGGAAATAAAATTTACCCACTTTAAATCTTATTGGATTTAGTTATTATCCTATGTCACCCATATTATGTATAATGATTAAACCCAAATTAAAGTCCACCGAGAACATGTGGTTGAATGTTTGGAACTCGTGTGATAAACAGCCCAAGGTCGTTCGAGGTTAGTCAATGACTAAAAAGTGACTTAAGTCAAGTTTGTTTTGATCGCGGTTGTAAAGATTCGCCGGCAGAACTCCACCAACACGTAAGTACCGCCTCAACGCTAGACGAGTTAATCAAGCGCGTTATCATGCAAGCGGCATTGGCACTTGACATTCTAACGCGCCTTCAAGCGGCCGCAAAAACTCCCCGCTAACAGAACCATTTTGCTCACTTTTCGGCTCACGATGGGCGGCAAATACACGAAGTTGGATCCGATGGACGTGGAGGTGCCCAAACTACAGGCGCTCCTCGAACGCGATCCCTACCTGAAGCCCTACGAGCGGGAACTGCGACGCCGGTAAGAAAAGCAAACTAAAACATGCGTTTAAAACAATACACAACTTACAAAAACAAAAGATTCCCCAGTATGTTCTCTGATAATAAATTAACGCGCATTTTTGATGCAGCTACGAACATAGCTGGTTAGCGTGCGTCAGTTTATTTGTTAGTAATTTATGCGCGAGCTGATAAAAGGTCAAGACAACTTACTGCGCACTGATGAATTAACCGGTTGATGTGTGGTTGGTTGCAGCTATGCGTGCTTAAAGGACATCGAAGATGAAATTGAAACCAACGGACGAGGAATCGAAGACTTTACAAAAGGATATAAATATTATGGCGTACGCGTGCAGCAGGATAACTCAATTATATGCCGAGAGTGGGCACCTGCAGCCACACAACTTTATTTAACGGGAGACTTCAGTAAGTTATTTGGTTGTGTATGGATTTTATGAAACATAATTTGTTTAAAATAAATTAGATGGCTGGAACCGGGATAGTCATCCTTATAATAAACTAGAGTACGGAAAATGGGAACTGCATATCCCACCAAAAGAGGACGGCAGTTGCGCTATTCCACATCTATCAGAACTTAAGGTATATAATAATAATAAATATTGTGTTCATTTAATCATTTGAAAAATAATATTTTTAGGTGGTTGTTCAAAGCAAGGACTGTAAAAATGACCGCCTGTCACCATGGGCGACATATGTTGTCGAACCACCCAAACATGAAGGTACCATTTACAAACACAAGTTCTGGAATCCACCTCAGCCTGAAGTAAGTCACATCAAAGTACATAAAACCAAATTTAACCTACCTGTCATTTTATCCCTCTAGAGATACTTGTTCAAACACGCCAAACCGAAGAAACCTGCCTCACTTAGAATCTACGAATGCCATGTTGGTATCGCCACTAGTGAACTCCGTGTGGGTACTTACGATGAATTCACCACCAACATTCTACCTCGAATCAAACGTCAAGGCTACAATACCATCCAGTTAATGGCGGTTATGGAGCATGCGTACTACGCCAGCTTCGGCTATCAAGTAACAAGTTTCTTCGCCGCGTCCAGTCGTTACGGCACCCCTGAACAACTCAAACGCTTAGTGGACACTGCTCACTCCATGGGCATTGTTGTCCTCCTGGATGTAGTTCATTCCCATGCAAGCAAAAATGTCCTCGATGGTTTAAACCAGTTTGATGGCTCAGATGCAGGGTACTTCCATGCTGGATCGCGCGGTTATCACAGCCTATGGGACTCGAGACTCTTCAACTATTCAGAGTTGGAAGTGTTGCGTTTCCTGCTGTCTAACCTGCGCTGGTGGTTAGAGGAATATAACTTCGACGGCTTCCGATTCGATGGTGTCACCTCCATGCTTTATCACTCCAGAGGCATCGGAGAAGGCTTTGCGGGTAGCTACGATCAGTACTACGGCCTTAATGTCGACACCGAGGCATTGGTCTATCTTACTCTTGCCAATAAAGTTATACATAACTTGCATCCGCATGCGGTTACAATCGCAGAGGATGTGTCTGGCATGCCAGCCACCTGCCGTCCGGTGGACGAAGGTGGTTTGGGTTTTGACTACCGGCTAGCCATGGCAATCCCGGACAAATGGATCGAACTGCTCAAAGAGTGCCGTGATGAGGACTGGGATATTGGCAATGTGGTGCATACGCTAACCAACCGCCGATGGATGGAACCAGCCGTAGCGTACTGCGAGTCACATGATCAAGCCTTGGTTGGTGATAAGACCATTGCGTTCTGGTTGATGGACGCGGCTATGTACACGAATATGAGCACCATTTCAGAGAAAACTACAGAGGTTGAGCGTGGCATGGCGCTGCACAAGTGCATACGTCTCATTACGCATGCGCTTGGTGGTGAGGCATATCTAAACTTCATTGGGAACGAGTTCGGGCACCCGGAGTGGTTGGATTTCCCCAGGGAGGGAAACGCTAGTTCTTATCACTACGCAAGACGACAATGGCACCTTGTCGATGATGACCTGTTGCGATACAAAGAACTAAATGCATTCGACGCAGCCATGAATCATTTAGAAGAGAAGTACGGCTGGTTGCATAAGGGACCGGCGTATGTCAGTTGCAAACATCAGGATGACAAAGTCATCGTGTTCGAAAGGGCTGGACTACTCTTCGTGTTCAATTTCCACGCAAACAAAAGTTTCGCCGATTACCGCGTGGGATATGATGGCGCTGAGGGTACTAAACTGAAAGTTGTACTCTCCACGGACAATCAGGAGTTTGGAGGAATGGCTCGAATTGATGGAAGGGTGGAGCATGTTGTTGGGGGCGGGGCGTATTCCAACAGGGCCAACTCCGTGCTGGTGTACATTCCAGCAAGAACCGCTATTGTTTTAGCACCAATTGATAAGTGCTAACCGGCTATTAGTTCTACTTTTGTTAAAATACTGTTTACAAGTGCCATTTGTTAATAAACCATTGCGATTTATATGTTTTCAACAATACAGCTAATCTTATCACATTATTTCATAAATAACAAGTTAGTAATTGGATTCAATCATTATATACATGCAAAACTATTTGTATATTTCAGGTAAATAGTTGCACTAACCTTTATGTGCCACATATAGTTGGAATCTGTTTGATCACATCAGCAACAGTTGGCCGCAGGTCAGCATTCGATGAGAGCATCGACTTTAACAGAGTAAACTGGAAATTGAAAAAATATAGGTTATGTAATTTTTAAATTCAAACAGTTAAATATGGCAACTTACTTCTTGAGGATTCTCACATTGAAAGTTCGGTGGAAATCTCCCACCGCGCAACTTTATGAGCATATCGATGCGTTCACCCTCCGTGTCGAAATACACCAGCAGCTCGAAGAGAATAACGCCTAAAGAAAATACATCCACCTTGTAGTTGTAGTCTGAGCCGCGTTTTTGCTCCGGACTCATATACAAGGCAGTTCCTATAATGTAAACAAGATGGCGGTTGGATAAACAAGTTGAATAATAAATAAAACATGATAAAATAAATAATAATTACCTGCGTCTCTGGTATGTCCCATATTATTTCCTTTCGCCGTGTGATTTCGATTCCCATCCGCATTTTGCATCGGGGTGACAAGTCCAAAATCGCCGACTTTGATTTGCGCCGGGTTGCAATTAGGATTAAAGAAGATATTGCTCGGCTTCAGGTCCCTATGTATCAACTGCATGGAATGTATATATGCAACCGCCTGCAGTATCTGTTGATAGATGGCGTATATCTCTATGCGAGGTCTGTCACAATTACCCTTCATCCAGTCTTTAAGCGTCATCTTATCACAGAGCTGCATTTGAATAAAGAGGTAACTCCTCTCCTTTTCCGTCTTCTTCGGATTACTTCTATTACTTTTACTTGTAACAAAGTTTGATGACTTTTGTGTGGGAATGTCGCTGTCACTCTCTTCAATCGAGATGGATTTATGAAGTACTGATGAATTCGTGTGTGATGGAAGCGTGATGCGAGTGCTATTCGAGCCCGACCGTGTGTTTTCTTGGAAAACAATAAAACTATCGTCCTCTTGATCGTGCTCATCTTCCGAGCACGAATCTTGGCTGAGATCTTCGATGGGTATTTTGGCGACGCCTGCGTTAATTTCATCAGTTTCTTCCTCGTAGATGTCGCTGGTGAACAACGAAGCGTCGGCAAGTGTCTGGGATAAATGCGGTGCGGCGAAATCAGGCAGCGAGGTTTCGTTCCACGATGTGCTATATCGCACAATATTGGGATGATCCAGCCGAGCTAAGGCTACCACCTCACGCAGAACTCGCTCTTTTGCAACCGGTTTCTTAGGCAGGGGAATAATCTTCACAGCGTAGTTCGCATTATCAATTTTTTGCTTTACTTCAAACACGATGCCATAGCCACCTTTGCCTAATTGCGAGATAATATCGAAGTTATCCATGAAATGTGACTGCGGGCGAGCATCGTTGTACACGCTTGATATAGTTGAGTTTGTTGACACCACAGACAAATCTGTACTAACGGTTGTAAACTGGGATGGAGATTTCGACGATTCGCTGTTCTTTCGAGGAAGTACGTCGGCCATCTTTGCAGGTATGAACCAATGATAAATCGTTCTCGCCTGTGTTGCTACTGCGGTAAGAATCACTAAACCGATTGTCAGCAATACAGCAGCAGATTTAGAAGATCTAGAGTTAAAAATAATTAAAATACTATTAAAAACATTTCATTTCATAATCAAATAGCATTCACTTTACAAATTAATAGTAAAAAGTTGTTAGCTGTCAAAAATTTGTGAATTGTGAATATAGACTACCCAAATTGCAAGTAATAAACTTTGTACCTACTTGAAAATCGAACCGATTTCAAACCGGTTGAAGAATTTCGAAGTTTGATTCTTCGCTGTCTCGCAGAAAATGGTTTTCTTGCGGTCAACATCCGTATAGAAGTAATATCCGTTTCCCTCAACGTAATTCGAGCTGTACAGCACGGAAATCGCCGTCGCATCGTCAACATCGTCCTGTAACTGACCAGCCGGTATCGGTTTCCATGGAAAACTTGTCCACGACTTCGTCTCGGCAACGTCCGTGCTTCCTCCTTGCCCATAACCAAACTTTTGCAGAGCATTCAACATATGAATGCTCTCAGCTATGTACAACTGTTGCTTATGCATGCCTAGATAAATCGCCGGTGACAGCGTGAGCGCCAATTGATTCTCATTGACGTTGCGTGGAGTGTTAGCAAATACATCCACAGCGTAGACGTCACGCCCGTCCCATTTCCATATTTTCACGATTGGTGTTTCGAAAACATGCCGCCAGAGGTGCTCATAGGTCGCCTTGCGACTGGCCGAGATGACACCATCCGGAAGGACGGCGGTAATGTTGAGAGAAGTTATCGCTGAGTCGAGGTTTATGCACGACGCTGGCGGGATTTTTATATTGTGATAACCTACGCTAAAGTTCCATCTAAAGAAATAAGCGAATTGATATAACAAAATATATGTTGATGTAGGCAACTTGTATTACCTTTCCTGACCTGTTCGGGGTTCATGCGCGCGCACAGTCGTGGAACTTCGTTCGATGACGATAATATCATCAAAATCTTCGGCGGTTTGGGTGATATTGCGGCAACCATCCGAAGAGCATTCATATAGAAGATCACCGGTGCGTGCTAACACGCCATATGTGCGTACATCTCTTCTGCCAGCTATTACCGTATCACTGGAGTATACAAATGAAGATTTCAGAAGTGTGTCTGAATTTATGGGAATTGCATCGATGGTTTTTCCGTTGAATTTGTACAGACTTCCGGACAATGACGGAATGATCCGAACCAATTCCCCTTGATTTGTCAACTGTTAAAATTAAATCGGCCATTTTTAATTTTACGATTGTTTTTTATTTGTGCATTTTATTTACTTACTTCTACATTGTGAATGCTGGAATGTAACAATGGGCCACTGCCTGTGTCAACTTCCCAAGCCAATTGTCCATTTGCTCTAAGAGCTGACAATTTTCCATCCAGTGTGCTCACCAACACATATCTTTAAAATAAGCAAATATTACTTGTTGAATTTGTGTGTCAACAAAAACAAAATTTGTTTTTTTCTAGGTTACACTCACCCGACATCCTCCTCGTCAACGCAATGCGGTAACTTGGCGATTTCATCACCTGTGTCCACATCGCAATGTGCGAAGACGATAATCGACGAGAAAAAAAACAGCTTCCAACTCTTCCAACTCCTCATCCAAGTCATCCTGCCAATGCGAATACCAATGCGCTAATACTGCACGCGTCGCACGAAACTCTCACCTAGGCATCATTGATAGCATTTGTTTTTCTTCTCGAAGTAATTGGAACGTTTGGAAGATTCGAGAAGTTTGCGCGGTTTCATTCGTGTTGCACTTATCACCTCTCTGCGTCGCTTATGTTATCAGCAGCTGGCGTAACGCGCAATGCGATTATCGACACGGTGTTTATGTTGTCAGTGCAAAATCAAAAGCAAAACTTGTCGCGTGAATGCTGCGGACAGGACAAAACTCGCTTTAAAACTGAGTCATACACTGCGAATGCATAACAAAACGTACACACAACAGAACAACGTGGAACCTGCTTTCATTGGTGGAGAGGGATGGTGTGCACCAATCAGCGATCGGGATGTGCGATTCAAAAATGTAGACGGAACAGACCGAACCTACGATAAGCATTGCAAAAACGCAGCTGACGTCATAAAACCTGTGATAAAATTAGAAACAAATAAACAAAGTCTGATTGTTAATTACTACTGATACAGCTGGATACGTATACACATGATTAGAATTTACACATATTGATAAAGTTCACTTACGCAATTGTACTGCGCTTAGTGTACAGAAATTTAACTTGACAGATTTATTTACAGCTTTAAAACCACGTTATAAGTAAATATAAATTCGTTTGAGATTTTATTTAATGATTATATACAGGCAAACCAATTTTATTTACCGGCGACTGAACGCGGACGGTTTGCGGATCAGGTGACACATCCCCCCACTCTTTTCGGATGCCGGTAATCACCAGTGGCGTAACACACAAGAAGTTTTCCTTCTTTTTTAGACTTCCCACATCACACGCATTTGCTAGACTTCCATAACTCGCTGGTTATTTTCTATATTAATTAATCAATTCTCGTACTTTACATTCATTCAAACATAACCCCAACATTTGCAAACAATTTCTAATTTGTCTGTCAGTCAGTACCACCATTATTGTAATGGATTCAAATTCACACAATGCAATTCGTTTCCACACATTGGTAAGACTTCCGCGCAATTTAAGCATAAAGAAGAAATTTTTTAACATTTATTTTCAGCTAGAAAAATGCAGAAATTATTTTAACTACCGATGTTTAACCCTCCTAATCATTGCCTTGATATGTATAATTTTGGGGACTTTCCGGCTGCTTTTGCAAATATTACTTATGGTTACCGGCGTCGCTGGCTTGCTTTTGTCAGCGCGCGTGTTGTATCGCTATGTGGGTTGCCTACTCTGGATCTTCATTCTTGCCACGCTTACTATTCACGTAAAAGATGTGGATACGTTGATAACATGGACGCTGGGCTTTTTCTTCGGTGGATTGTCAATCGTCGCGTTAAACGTTTTATTCGCTCCAGCACATCACTTGGGACACATGATCGTCTTTTCGCACATGATGCTATTCTTAATTGGAATCTTCACTATGTTCCTTTCACTGAAAAATACCCACCGAAATTATGCCCACAAAGCAGGAGAGGATGGAAATATCATAAGCAAATCAGATATTAACAGATGCTTCTCCTGGGGCATAGTCAGTGGTACGTTGTATGTGGGAATCCTAGAAGAACTAACTATGATTAAATATGTTAGAGTTATGTATAGGCAACCAAACATTCACTAAATACATGGTACTGAAAATTTCTATATTTTATAAAACAAAAATGTTTATGTATACTTGTTTAGCGGCTCGCTGCCATTTTATAACAGGTAGTCTGAAACTCAATGAAGATCAGACTCCAAACGTGCACCTAGGAAGTCTTTCAGCGCGTCGGCACTGTTCATTGGCCACGTCCTAATAAACAAAACAAAAACATTCATTAAAACACCTTCAAATCGCACAAAAGGTTGCCTACATACCTGACAGTGGTAGATAAATAGAAATACCAGTCTGGTACGGTAATCGCCTTCTCGCCACGACGCTGAGCGCTAATAACGGCCGCAGCGACCGCCTCGGGCGTCTCCATCTGCATGGTGGACTTGAAACGCATCACAGGATTCTTGCACAGTCCAGTATCCACCATGTACGGGCAGATAACCGTGGTCTTTACATTACAGCCGGGGTACAGCTTCAGTTCCTGGTAGAGTGCCTCGGAGAGACCAACAACGGCAAACTTGGACGCGCAGTACGGCACCAAATTCTCCAAACCAAACAAACCAGCGCATGAGGAAATATTTACAATATGGCCGTGCTTGTTTTTGATCATACTGGGAAGAATTGCTTGGATAATCTAAAAATTATAATTAATTATATGTTTTGGAATGTTTTCTTAGAGTTTTTCTTACCCAGAAATGAGCTAAAACATTAATGCCGAAGATGCGCTCGATTTCTTGTTGGGTATGGTCCAAGAGGCGGTGCGTCGGCATAATACCAGCATTATTTACGATGATTGTGATGTCTCCAACGTCCTTCTTCACTTTTGCAACTGTGTCGAAAACGACCTGCCGGTTTGACACGTCACAACTACACAAAGTAAATAGTTTTAAATTGTTTGAGGTTATAACTTTTAATTTTTGAATTTAAAAAATCACTATACTTACGAATAACTGTACGCTTTAGGATATCCCTTCTTGGCGATGTCAGCAACAGTTGCAGCATTATTCTCAGCATTAATATCCCAGCACACGACAGTTGCGCCGTGCGATGCATATTGGGTTGCCAACTGTTTGCCTATGCCATGACCTGCGCCAGTCACCTGCAATACAAATTGCCTACAGTGTGAATCTCACCAGATTATTACAATGATAACTTACCAAAACAACTTCTCCTTTAACAGATTCCTCCACTGCAGGAACAAACTTCCTGTAGATTGACTCGAAGAAGAAGTAGACAAATTTGAATAATAACACGACGACATCGCAGGCGATGCCGGCTATCTGAATTGCTTGCTCTACACCGCTCATTTCTCCTCTGGAAGTAAAAAAACAAAAACAATTCGATTAATGTATAAATAATATTTTTTTACAACGTAAAAGGAGCGTCATTAGAATAAATTAATTTTAGTAGGTAGATAATAGCAGTCTAATGGGTGTTAATTTTAAGTGCTTGTTAAAGTTGTTATTCAAGTTTGAGATGAGTTGCAATTGAAATGCGTGTCGATGGTAGGAAACAATTCCAACCTTTGCGCTATCTAATGTTGTCAACATAATAAAAATGCGCACACCATTCTCGGTAATCAATATCAGGATTTGTTTATAATTATAAGTAGTGCTGGCCATTCAGATAAGAGTATTAATAGCGCATTGTATTGAATGTGTAATAAGTGTTAAAAGGTTTCAAAGTTGAGCGATGTTACGACATTTTTCATCGCCAGCGCACCAGAAATGCAATAAATTGCACAAGGCACGTTTACCTTGTTCTGGTTCGGATTCCGGTGACATTATACGAGAGGTAAAAAGCTGGCGTCTTTGAACATCAAACGTGAATGATGCAGAGGTGGTAAACTTTTAATTTGTAGCCTAAATTTAATTTTTTTCTTTCACCTTGGCCACAGACAGCATATTATTAATTAATTAATGTTTACTTAACTTTACTTAGCTTATTAATAACTGGGTGTACTGCCAATTTAATAATTGTGATTTTATGATGTTTATTACATGATATAATTTATATTAATTTATATTTTTTCGTTTATGATGTTTTTATTAAGTAAAAGTGTGGAAAATTGGACTTATTTGATATTTATGTTGATTATTCACTAATTACTTAATAAAAATCATAAATTTAATCATAAATGTCGTTAAACAATTATTGTGTATTGTATACAACCAAAAAAAATAACTTTTAAAAGGCAAACAATTATGTTTTGCTGTTTTTGATGAGTGTTTTCTTTACGTTGGTCACACTTCCTCACTTTGTGTTATGTGCGTTGGATGTATTCATGTCATAGTGTAAATGAGCTGTGCTAGATCAAATATTTAAATCGTAGAATAGTTTCTTCCTGACTATATGCTGGTAAACAAGCTCTATTTTGCATGTATTGTAAATGAATTGCAAATATTGTGTTTGCATACAGTAAACAACGCGTACATTATTGCTTAATTCAACGACAATGACAGATTATTTAATTGATTTTAGAGCATAAGTGTTTTTCGACTCGTTAATTTGAGAATCTAATTTTTTTCTAAAGATGTGTTGCTAAAAACTTGACATTTTTTCAGTTTTACTTCATTCAAAGTGAAGAGATTTAAGAGACACGTTTGCCTTGAACAAAAACAGCGCGAATGCGTTAAGTACTCGTAATATCATCCACTATTTAATATTTAATCTTATTAAGCAAAAAATGAAATAATTGAAAAATTAGTTGAGATTATTTCAAAATTTAATTCCAAACAAATATCGAAATAAATATATTTATCACGCTTTAATACTCGGTGTGATAAAGATAAAGTCAAGTTTTGTAAACAGAATTAATTAAAAATACTACATAATACCTACTAACCTGATATAAACTTCAAGTTTTTTGGACATTAGACAATGGTTACAAGTTCATCGGCGCAGCGCAATACCGCACTAAATTTAGCGTAAATACTCGTACTACATGCGTGAGTTCATACCCTTATCAACGCAGTTATATCTAAAAATATTTCTATAGCAAATTACGCAAACAAATCAAACTGCTATCTCATCGCATTATTATCCCATCACATATTTTCTAATAATAACAACATGTAGGTAGATAACTGGAATTTGCTTCTGCGCACTCATTTTCACCGATTGCACGTAGTGACAGTTACTTCGTTAACTAAAATTACAGTGCAACACTTTGACAATAACAAATAATTCTATGAGGTTAATTCAATGTTAAAACTTACATAAATTACATAAATTACAAACATAAATACTACAAAATTGTATTGTAGTTAAAACTTAATCGAAACAATTTAATTTTATTTAATTTGTATGTCCATGTCATCAGAGTTGCCTATAGTCAAATTAAACTACCCTCATAGTATGCTATATACAAGTATATACATCTATATATATAAAAATGAATTGCTGTTCGTTAGTCTCGCTAAAACTCGAGAACGGCTGAACGGATTTTTCTTATCTTGGTCTTGAATTATTCGTGGAGGTCTAGGGTAGGTTTAAAAGGTGAGAAAAATTCGAATAATTGCCGGGAAAATCCTCAAAACAGCTCTTTTCTATAGAATAAAATTTGACATTGAGATTCAATCATAGTTATAGTTAAATAGTTGAATTCGAGATGGCGCGCTGAAGTGCATTATTGACAAAACTTTATATGCATAATTTCTTTAAATTAAAATTGCTAATCTTATTGATAGAATTGACTCTTACTACGAGTATGTCTCGAACAAGAGAGTAAAAACGAATTACATTTTTATTAAACACTGCCGGAACGAAGTCGCGGGCAACAGCTAGTAGTATATACATAGTATACATAATATACTGATCATACACAAACTTTTAACACAAAACCTTAAACTCCCGCTTATTATTAGACAACTTATAACTTGTAACACTACAAAACACTAAAATATGTAATCCAAACCTATATGTATCTAGATATGTTTAAATATAAATACTAAAAATAATGTATGTATTGTAATTATGCTACATACCTAAATATAATCTATTTATCGAGATGATGTGATCGCACGGAAGCTGTCGCACCGACTGACCGAATGCATCAACGCAATCCGCGTTCAAAGTTTTCAAAAACAATTCAAACGTCCGAAACGCGCAAAGGCCACGCCGCATTCGTGTACGAGTCCAATCGAGACGTATGTTATCAGACCCACCAACCAAACAAATCTTATCAGCTAAACCGTATAATGTTCTCGTTGAACAGTATACTTACTTATATTTTTAGACCTCGGAGTGAAATGCGTTCGAACTCGGTCACAAACAATCCCCGAACAAGAATAAAATTTATAAACTATACATAGATTTAAACTTATTATAAATAAGCTAACTCTTAAGTTTTCAACGATTGACTGAGTCGCAATCGAGTTATGCGCGTTGCTAGCAACGTTTTCGGTTGGTTTTGGTCCAAAACTTGTTCCGCCTTTCGTCTAAAAATTTTCTAACGAGCGCCGCGCGCTCGCATTCGATGCTGCATGATTTCTTCTCGACGCGTGCATTATAAAACACGCACACCGAAATATAATCCGGCGATTACGCGAGCGCCGAAAAGTTTTCAATCAAAAAAAAACTTTCACTTACTTTTGGTTTCGTTCGCGGCGCTCGTGGGTCTGCGCCATGTCGACGTCCTTCTCATTCACCACCGCTCGAATTATCTACTGGAGAGTCTTCTCAACTTATACAAAATATTTATTTATGCTTTTGTTTTTATGCAGCGTTGTGCACGCGCGCGCGATTGACGACCAACTGGACGGACTGGATCAAGACTGGAGTTTTTACCACTGTATCCTTGAATCATCGTGCAGGTGGTTTTTTTCTGCGGACAGATAAAAGTAGTTCAAAAGTCAGATTATGTTAGCACACACATAAAAAACAATTATTTATATTCTAAAAATTAAAACAAAAAGTCTAAAACATTAAGTTACGTGATATAATATAGGTAATGCACGTCATAGTTTTAATTAAAATGGTTTTGAATCATTTGAAATTGTTGCGAGTCACAATCGTCACAATTCAAAGCAATTTTGTCAACGAGCACACTCTGGGAGCGTGTGTGACCATAGTGACCTTAAACTTAACTTCAACTTATTGTACGAATATGCAGTTGAAATTTACTTAAACGTACTCATTCATCACATCGTATTGTTATTGCTCATGGCCGTCAAGTTAGGTTATGTATTTGGTTTGTAATTTATTTATAAATTATAATTATGTAACATATTTTTATGTTTGTTATTTTTACCTACTTATAAATAGAAACATAATGGGATCTTTGAGTTGCATACGTGCAGTTATATATCGTTTTGTAAAGAAAACTCGGTTTTAAACTTTTTTCACATTTTTTTTTAAATATCCCTACTCCCTACTAATATTATAAATGCGAATGTCCTGATGTTTATCATGCTTTCACGCAAAAACTACTTAACCGATCATCATGAAAATTTGTACACATATTCTTAGTGATCCCCGAATGGTTATAGGCTACTTTTTATTTAATAAAAACAATTATTTTTAAAATAAAATAAAGAAATAGTTTAGCCAATAATACCTCTGCATCTGGCTATTTGACTACTTTAACGCCATCTAGCATTCCAGCAATGAAGCTCAAACCTAAGTACTATAGTACCATCACACTGTATTATCACACTGTATTACCGACAGCTACGTCAACATCAAATCCAATTGACTACACTATGGAGACTGTACACTATACTTCCATAGACTATACTTTCATTGTTACTTCTTCTGTGACTACAGACGCGTACGGAAGCAACTTCATTATTTTAGATATTCGCGAGCGAAGCCAAGGGTTAAAGCTAGTTTATTTATAAAATTCTACGTGATTTAATTGGATTTTACAATTTTATATGTAATGAAACATCTTTATGAAGATGCTCTCAGGGCGAAACATGTTAACTCAACATATAAAATTGAAAAATCCAATTAAATCACGTAGAATTTTATAAATAAATATTTTAAAAAAATATACAATGGATTACGTATTCACAAATGAAAGTAATAAAAGTTTTTTCACAGTTAAAAGTCGTCATCCAAAGTGCAATTTTGGCAGAAAGTTGCATTCTAAACTTTATAAACTCTAGGCCTTGATTCAACCGCAAAAAACGATGTACGCAAATGCTACTTTATAATTATTTTCAATTATTGTAAACAAATTGCCTATAAATTGTAGTTTTTACTGGTTTTCATGATGACACGATAATTATAGACCGATGCATAAAACGCAATAGGCAAGGACTGTCCAATCAAATTAATATTATCCACAAATAAATAGTTACTATAATAACTGATAATAAGTAAATCGAAAATAAAATAAAACTTATTACTTTTCCTTTCGAAAGAACAGGCAATCCAACACACAGCTATTGATTGTTTTGCGTCAAAGATAACCTAGAATCTCAACAAGATCATCTCAACACTCAAAACAAAATACTCAAAGTAAACTATGTGATTTCCTACAGATTCTAAAACAATGGCCAAGCAACGGAAAAAGAAATGTTTAAGTTACACCTACTGGAGCTTCGCTTTTCTACGTTTTGTACTCACATTGCTGCCACAAACTGGCTACATTCATCCAGATGAATTCTTCCAAAGTGTTGAAGTATTAGCTGGTAATACTCCAAAGACTTCTCTTAATATATAATTGATGTAAAATTCAATTGTAGGCAAAACATTCAACTATGAAGCAAGTTTACCATGGGAATTCAATGTGACTTCACCAATCCGAAGCATAGGAGTCCCTTATTTCACAGTTGGCTTCAGTTATCAACTGCTAAAGATAGCAGATATGTTCTGCTCAAAACTATTGAACACATCACTGCTTACATCATATGCCTTACTAGTCACTCCGAGAATATTCATCTGCCTGCTGTCATATGTGGTTGACTATACAATCTATAAAATCTGCACACAGAATAACGAAAAAGCCAATGGGCGCTTGGTAATCCTCGCGTCGTCGTACGCAACTCTAGTCTACTGCACGCGGACATTCAGCAATACCCTGGAGGTGATCCTCTTTGCTGTTCTGCTATACTACGTGGCTGACAGTATGATCTTCTCGAATATTCTCTGCAGACAAAGGGAGTATTTAAATAAACGGTATGAGCGTACAGATAATCCAGCGGATCGTGCGAAATTCCACAAGTTGCGATTATTCCTAGCATCGGATTCCTATCGCCATTGTGCGCAGATTGCGACGGTGACGACGCTGGGATTTTTCAATCGGCCGACGTTCCTGGCCTACGCGATGTTTCCGGTGTTTTTCTGGTTGTACCGAGGGATCGGATACAAATCTGTCAGCACGCTGCAGTTCAACACGCGGATACTGGCGTTGATTCTATGCGCTATACCTACACTGATCTTCATGATCATCGTGGATTCTTTCTTCTACGGGTACATCACGTGGGGTGAAGTGGGGATGTTGGACGTGTCGATTGATAGCTTCGTGTTTACGCCGCTGAACTTTATCAAGTATAATATTGATAGCGGGAACTTGGCGAAACACGGATTACATCCGAGATATCTGCATATCTTGGTGAATGTGCCGTTGTTGTTTGGCACATTGGGACTGTTTGCTATTATTGGCGCTGTGGATATCACAACAAAGTAGGTTGATGTTATTCTCATGAACCGCCATCTTGTTTTAACCTAATTTGAATGTTTTCAGGTTTTTACAACGGAAATTCAATCTTTTACCAACCGTACGCAGTATTAAAGGACTAATGACAATGTCCTATATTGCTCCGACTCTCTTCCTCTCGATATTTCCACATCAAGAGCCCCGCTTCCTGTTACCAATCGTTATTCCTCTTGTTTACCTCTTTGCTAATAAAATCAAAGAAGAAGCCCAGACTGAACTCGTCCAATCAGAAGGCTCGAAACAATCAACTGGCAACACAGCCACGAATACTAAGTCAACTTCCTCTTCCCTTTTCCGGTTATGGATCGTCATTAATATCCTGTTGACAGCGTTCTACGGGTTCGTGCATCAGGGTGGGCTGCTCAAAGCCACCTCACATCTGTCCAAAGAAATGCATCGTCTACCGACTTACCACTATCACGTCGTCACTAGTCACGTGTACAGCATTCCGCATGTCCTGTTCAAGTTACCCGATCCCAACACATTGCGTATTCGCGGCAGTACAAAGTACAAGCCTGGTAAACGCGTCTTCACTTACGAAGAAGGATCCTATCCATTGGTGAGGCTCGTTGAGCGCATGCGTAGTCTGCTTGATACGGCTGCAGACAACAAGGTCCGACATCGAATGTTCCTCTTGCTCACCGGCAGCAAACACGACGAATTGATGAAGGAGGTGTTAAATGACGATTTGAACATCCGCCATCTTTACAGCTTCTATCCGCATGTGAGCACCGAAGCAATGCCGGACGTGTCCGAGCTGATACGACTCGTCAGCGTGGCGGATGTCAAGTCACTGAGCGTGTCGGCCATCTTGGACTGCCTGAAGAAATTCATCACATCTTTTGATCTTAAGCTTTACGAAGTACAATTATAAGTTATTTACACACCCAGCACTCGGATATCACAATGTCGCGTCATTTACAGATTAATCGGTGATTTTTATTTTTACAAAATAGCAAATAGAAGAAAAGTGTTGAAACTTGAAACAAATGCGACGCGTCGTTTTTATAAAAAGTACAAAAATAAAAATACGAAGTCAGTACGTCGGTCGTCGCAAAATACTGCGTGCAAGCACATCAACAGCACAAGTTCAAACATAAATACTAGAGATACGAACGATGGTTCGCTTATCGGCGTCTTATCAGTAACAATGCGCATGCCTTCTACAGTGCAATCGTGTAGAATACACACGCTTGCGCAAACACAATATATATGGCAATATTTGGTCTCTGGCTCCCTTCTCGCCGATTAAACCTAGTCAACATTATTCGCTTAATACCTAATCGTTATCAATCGTAATCGTTAATCATTGATTAGTCTGTGTTCGTGTGGGGTTTGTTCGATCGTCGCAAACATTCAAGGCACCCGTGTGTCGTGTCATTTTAGTAATCACAATATTGTCTCTTCTAAGGCCAACCGAAGGCACTGAAATAGTTGCCATCTTGTTTCGTGCATATCACGTATACCAACTGTCAAAAACAAGCAACGTTCGTGTTTTTGACAGTTGGTAGCACTGATTTCGCGCATGATATATACAAGTGTGACAATTTTTGTAAATGTGTAAATTCACATGAGCAGCCCGCAGTCCTTGAGGTTGTTCTTGATGATGACGTCCGTGACGGCGTCGAAGACAAACTGAATGTTGGTCGTGTCCGTGGCGCACGTGAAGTGCGTGTAGATCTCCTTCTGGTCCTTGCGCTTGTTGAGATTCTCGAACTTGGCGCGGATGTAGTGCGAGGCGTCTGTATAGGTATTGGGGCCGGCGTACTCGGGGAAGCAGATAGTCAACGGCGAGCGCGCGATCTTCTCCTCGAAGAGATCCTTTTTATTGAGGAAGAGAATAATGGAGGTGGACACGAACCACTTGCTGTTGCAAATCGAGTCGAAGAGCTTCATGGATTCCACCATGCGATTCATCTCCTCGTCTTCAGCGAGCACCAGATCATAAGCGGAGAGTGCCACGCAGAAAATGATCGCTGTCACACCTTCAAAGCAATGAATCCATTTCTTTCGTTCGGAACGCTGACCACCAACGTCAAACATTCTAAAATTCAATGAAAAAATTACACAAAAGAGTAAAAAATATGAGTAATCTTACTTGAAATGTAATCCTTTAAAAGAGAAATGCGTCTCGACAATACCGGTAGTCTTCACGCGCGTGCGCAGGAGATCTTGCTGCGATGGTATGTAGTGCGGCTGCGCGATGCGATCCAACGCATTCAAATAATACGCCGCTGAATCGTTGAGTTGATACTCTCTGGAGCGTGCAAAGCACAGCTGCACTCCTTGATCCTGCCATAGTTTTTTCATAAGGATGACGAGCTCGTGCGTCAACTCGCCTTCTTCGGCGGCGCTGGCGTACATGAAGAACTGCCGCGCCATATCCTGTTATCAAACAAACAAACAAATGAACTTAAACATTTATACAGTGATTAATCGTGCGCGCGCATTGCATTATCAATTGAGTAATTAATTGCAATGTGTGAATCATGGCGGCCGATGCGTCAAGTCACTCCATGTATTCATTCATATGACTTTTAATTATCAAACTTATTATACATACAGTGCGACCGGGGTCGACGAAGTCGATGCGCAGTTGACCCATCGCACGAATGATGGTCATCAGGCTCTGTATGGTGTTGCTGTAGACGACGGGGCGGTATTGTTCGCACTCCTCGTGCGAATAGCCCGTCTCGTGAATGATCTTCATCTGTTTGACGATTGTACTCTTGCCTGATTCGCCAGCGCCTGCAAACAAACAAATTTTGTTTCAACCGATTAACACTATGAATATGATTGGAACTGTCGCCTGAGTGTATGTGCTAAACACTATAACCTCATAAGAGTGAGTGTCTTGTAGCGACAATACTAATAGACGTTGGTTATGCGTCGATGAGTGTTACACAGAAACTTGTTGTAACAGTTCCCATTCGCATTATTAATACGTTATACATTTTAATACGGACATTTTTATGGATCCAGCACACAATGAATCTAATATTCGCTCGAGATAGCACGTATAATTATAGATATATTATGTGGAAGTGAATGAATATCGACGTGCGTTCCACATCAAATATTAACGTGTTTCAGCGGCACTACGCTTGATTCTTGCGTTGTCCAAATGATAATCGCGTCGTTAGAGGGTGAATCCCATCGATCACGCGATTGAATTATTCAGGAATATGCGTTTTGTTGGCGTCAATTATTCAGAGGACTTCTTCGAATTTGAAACGCATAGTTATATCAACTGGATGAAATTCTCACCGAGAAGCAGCAGCTTCACCTCCCTGGCGGCGCGCTCGCCATCCGCACGTAGATCACGGTCGATCTTCTTGGAGCGCTCGTTGGCGTCCTTGTCGCCGGCGGTGCTCACGGCGCAGCCCATCTTCGCGTCGTCGTCTCACACCTGGATACACCACAACGCCCGCTCGGAATCACCGCATAAGTGCAGCTTACGCCAACACAAAGTCACGCACACGCGCTCTTTATGCAAGTATTTCCGTTTTCGGTTTCAAACGGAACCGAATTTTTCCGCAACCGACGCACGCGAACACTTGTTGCTTGTGGCTGATTCTCGACTGTTTGCGCCGTCGGTGACTGGCGATTCGCGAATGCCGGCTCCGCCCGAACGCTTACAGCGCCTCTATGTGTCAAACAAGCAAGTACCTAATATTTTTGGTTTCAGTTGCGACATATTCTTATAACTAATTGCAACATTATAAACAAAAACATTAAAAAACATTATTTACAGTGTGAAAGATACATCGTATAAACGATGGCTTTAAATTAATGCATTTGCTAAGAATTTCTATAACCGACTAGCAGTATTTAACGCGTGGTATGACACGGTAGCGCCATCTAGTGAAATCTACTTGTACTATACACATCAACGCATAAGATATTCACTTGTTTTGTTTACAAACTTTGGGCATATTCGTGGATTACATAAATCACTCGCAAATATTTTTACTCAAATCGTATTAATAGATAAATCATTACATACAATTTCTTAGTAGACTCCTATCTATCTATTAAAATCACATTTGTTTCCGCTCTCTCTCTCTCATAAATCTTTCAAACTCTGTCATTACTCGTTTGTTTATAAACTCCATTTTGTTTTTCTGTTTGCTATAGCCCAATCAACAATATACCAGTATATGTTGTGTGTTTGGACAATGTTCTTACTCAAATTTTTCTCACATCGGTAAGTTTCATCATTTTTTAAATTCAAGTCGAACGTCTAACAATTAATAATTTCGCACAACAATCGCATGCCATAACCTCAAAGAAATGCTTCACAAACGTAAATGTAACTTCCATTTTGGTTTCGTACTTGTTTTCATTTTGCTAATGGCGTTGATATTCTAATTACTTAGTCTACCAGGCACTGAGATATTTTTCGTTAACTTTTCTCATTTTTTTTGTTAAAACATTATTTTACAGAAATAACAATATAGTCATCTTTAAATTTTTGGTGATTTACGTTTTGTATCTCAAAATGTTTAAAATAGTTTTACTTTGCATGTAGATTATAAAATGTTTGTTATTCTTTTGTTTTTGATGAGCTCTGGTTTTCGATTAGCTATCACATGTATGTATCACCAATCTCATTCTCAACGACTGCTCAATAGAATCAATAACAAATCTCGAAGAAAACGCAAATGTAAAACAAAATGGATGATTGACTTAATTAGAGTATTTACATATTATACACATTTAGATTCTTTGCTTTCATTTCGCCACACACCGCGAGACTGTCCTGCCCAGTTTTGCTTGCTTGCAAAAAGGGCGCACAAACTTAATTGTAAAAAATGAACTAATTAAGAATAAGTTTTGTTTAGCGCGTGTCGGTATAAAATTATTTACACTTCCCCCGTCGGCGCGCACTCTCACTGCCTCCTACGTCGCCTTCTTGGAGCGCTTGCTTTTATCTAGCGTCGATGGTGTCGACGTGGTGTTGAGAGTCGGCGACTCCGAGCGTCGCTTTCGATTAGATTTACACATGGCACAATGAAAAACCTGCAACAGCCAAAAATCACGTTTAAATCCATCCAGAAAGAGAGAAGAAAATGTATCACTTACGTCTGGTATATTTGATTTCTTTATCTTGGCACAGGACAAGTGTATCCAGGTGAAACAAATCGAGCATTCAATCATCGGCCTGCCCGCAAAGGGTTTACCACAGAAGCACGACACATTGTTGTACGAATCGGCGGCATCGCCATCCTCATCAGAGTCTTCCTCACCGCTCACTTTTTCATTTTCGTCGCGGCTGGACGTGCTGTGAGTGCTGGTTGTTTCTGAGTTCACCGAGCTACCCGAACTGTCCAGCGGCGGACTGGGATTTGTTGTATTTCTGCCATCCTATTGATGATCAAATATAATTTAACTATGCCCAACAGGGGGTATATACACTTACATTAACCTCAACTGTGTTGGCTGGGTAGTTCTCATACTCCAGGACATAGGTGCAGAAGAGAAAGAAATCCTCGCTGGTGCGTGGCCTGCGCAGCATCACCGCCTCGTGGCTATCGTCAGTCGCCTGCAAGCAAAAGATTAGCTCTCTCGTCCACCAGCTTCTGCAGTGGAAGCACAATCAAAGTTCAACTTACGTTCGCCTCGGCCATCGTCGCGAGCCCCGAAACTGCAACCCAATAACAACAACAGAACGAATCAATTTGTGTGCGCGTTGTTTCTGGCGATGGAAACAAATGCAATCGTGGACGCCATCGCTTCCAACTCTAGCTCGCATTGTGAAATGCGTTTCAAAACATTTACCTGTGATCTCCATATTCGTCGTTACCATTACCTAACTCTGGGACGCCGTGCGCGTGTCATCACACCGTTGAATGCCGCCGTTCGTCCACCACCGGAGGCGGGTGACACCGCCGTTGCGAGATGTGCTTGGGGGTCGCGAAGAGTCGTCTCTCTGCTGCTGCTCGCACTTGGGAGCCCGAAGCCTCGACATAGATCGCGGATACGTCAAGCACACTCGGATACTGTTTGTGTTGCACTCGTCGGGGCAGACTGGGCGCTAGTGCGCAGACCCTGCGCAGCGCTCGCACCACCTCCAAATTTGAGCGTAACATGAAACAGCGCATTGTTGATCCATTCTACGGCGTGTAGCAGAAAAGGATACCCTGTGTAAGGGAGCCATGTTACAATTGTTTGCGCCGAAGATGCACGAATTGTAATCAGCCGAAAAGCAGATCTACGTCTTCACAAACTTGAATACAACCGCATATTTGTCAGACAGAGATAGGCAATCGTACATACTTCGTAGTTGACTAGAGGGCAAAGTTATACCCGAGCGATGTTACCCGAATGCAAACCGCGCTAAATTCAAACTTACGTCAAATCAGGGTAGTAAATTTTTTTAATCCGTCATAAAAATGTTTTCTTACAAATACGCTCCCCTTTGTAATGTATAATATTCTAGTCTCTTTGATTTTGTTTTCCTCCTTATAGCTTTATGTAAATATAATTGTTGATAAATCGAAATTCTAACGAGAGACGACAAAGCCAGCCAGTTACGACGTACGTATAAAGTATATAAATATAAAATGCACACAACATACTTACACTTACATCCATCTATACATGTATATCAGCTTATCATCCTATCAATTTTTGAGTTATAAAGATTAAAGTACTAAAGATAATTATTGTAATCGTAAAAACGCCTATCGGTAAAAGTTTGAGTTGACAAATTCGTCTTCTGTGATGTTCGCATCCTCCATTTTGTTTTGTTTTTTGGCTTGTGCTTATTTGGTAGTATTGTATATATCTATAAATATGTATAAGAAATAGAATTTGGCAAAAAATGTGACTGAGCTGCGGTTTGACTTATAGGTTAGGTTTTGACTTCATTTGACTGGTTTGATTTGTGTTTACCGTTTGCCTAATTCTAGGTTAGGTGCTGCATTTGCCGTGCGTACATTTCCGCATGCGCGTGTTGAATATTCGAGAGAGTCTTGTGGATGTACTCAAACCCAGGGCGGTCGGAAGGTTTGGCTGCCCAGGCGGACTTCATCACTTCGTAGACAGGCGCGGGGGTGTTCTCCGGGCAGGCGAGCACGTTACCCGCTTTGAGGAAACGTACCACTTCTTCGTGCGTCATGCCAAAGTACGGCTGCAGCGCAAACGAAAATATCTCCCATAAACACACACCGAACGCCCAAATATCGCTCTCTGGTGTGTATTTGTTGTACAAAATTGATTCAAGTGGCATCCATCGCACTGGGATTGCATCTCGTTCATCCCCTTTGTAATAATTCTAAAAACACAACAATTTTAAACATTTTATGTAAAAATTATTGTAAATATATTACCTGAAGATAGATTTTTTGTGACAGACCAAAATCGGCTATCTTCACGACCATTTCCTCATTGATCAGGCAATTCCGCGTCGCTAAATCACGATGAACAAACTTCCGATCGGAAAGATACACCATTCCGCTAGCGATCTGCAGAGAAATATCCAACAGATCCAAATGATTCAATTGGTTATCGCGGTAGATGCTCTGATGTTCCCCGTCAATGCTGCGCACGACATAATTACTCGGCGAGCATTGCCGTAGAAACTCCTTCAGGTCTCCGCGACCCATGTACTCAAAGAGTAAGCACATTGGGCGGCCAATGGCACACACACCCAACAGCCGTACGATATTGGGATGATCAAACTCTGCTAGTAAACACGCCTCCTTTTCAAAATCTTCCTGCAGATCATCAGAAGCATCGTCTTTGAGCATTTTCACCGCAACCATTGTGAAATCTTCCCCTGGGACTAACCCCGGCGCTTTTGCCTGAAAAACCCTCCCGAAAGCCCCCTGCCCCAAGTCCCGGATATAAATAATATCATTCCTTGGAAATTCGAGTAATTCCAGTTTGGGATTCAATCGCGCTGCTGTGCGATGATAGGCCTGGTTGCTTGGAAGTTTATCCAAGTCAATGTTGACGTCTTGTACATTCGCAGGCGGGTTGTAGCCGCGTTTGTGCTTGTGTATCCGGTGGCAGAGGAGGATGGCGAGCAGGAAGATGAGAATCGCGAATAGGCCGATGGCGGATGCCATGATGAGGAATGTGGGCGAGAAGTAGAGATCCATGACGATGCCAGCGGGCAGCTCCTCGGACTGCAAGGTGGAGTTTTCACAAATAGGAATGTTGCAGTGCTGCCAACGCACGCTCGCGTTTGTTGTGAAACACCATGGATGGTGTTCTTCTCCACCGGCATTACGGCAGTAGTTTTCGGCATCTTGTAATTCTGGTAGGTATAATGGAGGCCGATCAAATGCATGAGGTATTTGCGAGTGCCATCGTTGGCATTCTAGGCCGTCTTTTGTTATATTCGTATTGCCGAGGTAAAATCGGCCGGTGCCTTTCACACAATCAACTAAAATACAATTATATTTTTATTATTTTCTAATTTGAATACGTAGTCCATGTATATAAGATGTATTTATTAAATTGTTTTGTGATTTATATGGATTTTACAATATAAATCATATAAATCACAAAACAATTTAATAAATACATCTTAAAATACAATTAATTCATCAATTATTACAAAAAAGGCTACAATTCTTTTAAAATCTAAAATAATGATGATTTTAAATGAATAACTTACTAGTAACATCATCCTTCTTCACATCCATGATCTCCGCATATGAACAAGTAGCCGACCTGTCCTTAACTTCATATTTTGGTAACTTTTTACAGTCGGGAAGCTCAAAATGTTCGCGCGAACGAATATAAATCCCGCGCTGCTTCTTGTCCTCAATGGTGACCCAATCATTGTAGCAAAACTGCTCCTTGACCGCCATGCAATCCTCGTAGCAGAGCGGCAGCGGTGCTGTATTGTCATGAGTACATTTTGGGAATGCATACATACACAACAATTTCTAAAAACATAAAACCATAACATTATATAACCATTAACAACATGTGTGAGTTGTAATTTACTTCAGCACTACTCCGACAGGGTTCTTTCAATGTGACAATCAACTCCTCCCATAGACTAGTGGTAATCTTGTCATTATTCCAGCCACCCTCATCTGAGTACCAAAACATTGTGGTGCTGTTGAGGTAATTCCTGCACACTTTACCCATGTAAGGCGCGCAGTACGCATCCACGCGCGGTGTCCACCCACCAATGAAGGCTAAGGCAGTGGCGATGATAAGCCGCTTCATGATTTGTGTGCGATTCATCCCTATCCTGCACCGGGCTAAACGCCATTTGACCACCCCATCGGTATTTGCTGTTTTATCGCATTTGTGCACTTGATGTTCCCATGGCAGCATGCACTTAATTCATGGTTTCACTTTAATGTATTAGTTTTCCGGTTATATCACGTTAAGGAGCGGGCATTGTATTATTATTGAGCTCTCCGCAAATATTACCGCACAACAGGAAAACAGTGGTTGACGGCGAGCGCGTTTGCGACGACAGCGCCACCAGTGGCAGTAGACCACAACTAGAAACACCCTCAAGTGTAAGAGTAATATACTGAGTGTAAACATATATAAAATCAAATATGAACTTAACGAGTGAGCTAAACCTAGGAAAACAAAATACTTAATAGATATTTAGAATACTGATTATCAGGTGTCTTCAAACAAGTTGAAGAATTTTCATCACTTCCTCGAGATTGTTAATGTTTTTCATGAGATTCCTGTTTTGATCCTTGCGCTCCATTGCGCATGCGTAGCTGCGGCCATTATTCACAATCGGCAAAGGCATTCCAGCCAATAGAGCTACGTGGAAACCATAGGATTTCGGCCATAAACCCTGCGCGACTTTGTATAAGAAAACGACGCTTTCGTTCTCTTTACCTTCGTTTTGCAACATACATGTCTAAACAACAAAAACGCAATTAAGTTTAATTGTTAAAGACATACACCGTGAATACTTACCATGTAACCCAGTTGGATATTCTTATCATGGTCGAATTTCTGCACCAATGTATGATAGTGTGTCGCAAAAATACCTCTGCATTTAATAGCAGCCAATTCACGTAGATAACCTCTTGCAATGGCGTTGCCGTCGTGTGTAGAAGTTCCCCGGCCCAATTCATCCAGCAAAACAAACGAATTGCGATTCGCGTGACGCAAAATGGCGGACGCCTCCATTAACTCGACGAGGAAAGTAGAACGTCCACGCATGATATCGTCGTGACCGCCCATACGCGAAAAGATGCGATCGACCAAAGATATCTCACAACTAGCGGCTGGTACGTACCCACCCATCTGCGCCATGATGGCAAGCAGCACCGTCTGGCGCATGAAAGTCGACTTACCACCCATATTTGGACCCGTGAGAATCATCAATGGTTGTTTACCATTCTGCACTCCTCCGAGATGAATATCATTCGAGACAAGTTGTACTTTGTCAGTATCGATACACGGATGACGAGCATTTTCCATTCGACAAATTGGCTACAAAGCGCATGTGTGAGAAGATGGCGTAGGAATTTCAAAATAGTTCTCACCTGATCCCCGAATGGCAGCACAGTAGGCATACAGATGTCATCATTCTGTAACCGGGCGTATTCAGCCAGTGAGCATAAGCAATCCAAGATGGTGGCACAAAAAATAGCTTTCTCCCAGGTTGCATACCTCTGGCCAAACTTTTCAAAAATCCTCCGGTTTAAATCCACAACAATCTTCGCCCGTTCGCCTTCGGCTTTAATCATGGCCGCCAATAATTCTCGACTCCTCGATGTTGAATATCTCTTACAAGGCTTCGAACCTTTTTTGCTTCCTTCCAGTTGATACTCGGACGTTGCTCGACCGCAATTCTTTTCCGGAACCTCAATCTGGAAGCGTTTCTTATCGGTGCCGAAATATTTCACGTCGCATCTGAAAAACTTGCGCTGTTCTTCCAAATATTCATCCAGTTCATACTGCACGCGTTTGATGTTCTCCTGTGAGGCATCATATTCGGCATCAACTCCCCTTTCCGGAATAATGGTACCTTCTTCCTTGGCTTGACGATGATCAAACGCGCTTTCAAAGAAAGCCAAATGTTCTTGCAGATCCACAAACTCGCCCTCTGGCGGAAGACGTGTTATCTTGCGCAGTAGACGTGACTCGCAATCGGCGAAAAGTGCGGTGAGTTTTTGCAGTGTTGCGAATGCTTCTAAAGTGCTCATGAAATCAGCAATCTTGCGTTTACTGTAGGTTTTCGCTTCGTAAAGCACTGCCCGGGCGTCCGGATGGTTTTGAGAAACAAACGCATTTCCAAAGCGGTGAATTCTTAAGTAAAATAAAATATAATATAAAAAACTTGCTTATATTCATGTTTTGATTTGGTTTTACTTACTTTACAATTTGTCTTTCAATATCTGGCAGTTTCGCCATCATTTCCCTCGCCGATTTCAGCAATTGTTGATTATTGAAAAGTTCGCGAACGGCCATTTGTCGCTTGTTGATTCCGACGGTATCACACAGAGGGCGACATATCCACATTTGGAATAATCTTTTTCCAAACGCAGTACAGCAATAATCCAAAGTCTTCTGCAAGCTGTTATCGTTACCCAGTAATTTAAGATTCTCCAAAGTGACGCTGTCAATCACCATGTAATCGCCATGCGAGCGCTTGGATTGTAAATCAATCGGGACATAAATTTCGAACTGTTTCATTTGTAGAACGTGAATGTCAATCAGAGATTTCTTTAGATACCACACGCATGCGCCCAAGCTCTTGAGACAGTTGACATATTCCGGCTTCGGAAACGCTAAACATTAAAAAGAAAATAAAACTCATGCTAAATTACTGATATAAAACATACATTTATCTTCTAGTAGTTGATCAAACACCTCAGGCCATTGGTGATTACCCGCTTCATCTTTAAAATAACATTCACGTTTGAGCGTTTCTAAGATGGCGTCGGCTTCCGGAAACTGTTTGCCAGGCATAAGAATCTCCTTCTTTACATCTTTCAAATGCGTTGCGATGATGACCATCGTGTCGTTTGACATTCCCCCACGTTCAAGTAGAATCTACTCAAAAATATAACCTTAAAATATTAATAATAACAGATGGCAGTGATTGTAACATACCAATGCAGGATTATGTTGTGCAACAAGCGTCAGTAACCTTGAACAATGCTTGTCGTCATCGAACTCCGCCATGTTGAACTTTCCAATACTGATATCAATAAAACAAACGCCGAAATGTTTCCACAATGATTGTGTATCCTAAAGTTTTAATGTTATGTCACATCAGCTATGCATTTATTTAGTTGGGTTAAGTTGAGTTGCCTTACCCGCTCACAGATGGCGATCATATAACACCCTTGCGGTTGTTGCACAGCCAGTGTTTGTGCGCCATGCAAACACACGCCTTTTTCAGACACTTGACAAACCTCGCGTTTCACCACTTTGTCGAACTTGGTCGGACGACTCATGCTCTTACATCTCTCAGTCATCATATCGGGCGTTTCGGTTTGCTCCACACGTGCCACTTTAAATCCTTGCTCGACTAGCGAACTAGCCATGCGTCCATAACCAATCTCCGGGAAGCCAGAATGCGCAAACTCGCCCTGAAATATTACATAAATTATTAATAATATGATTCAATAATGAATCTATTAGTTCAGTTACTTTCATATAAGTGAATCCTAGACACTCGACCCCTACAGTCGCATCCATATGATACAACTCATAAAATTTTCCAACTTTGAAGAATAATACAGTATCAAAATGAGCGGATTTCAGCTCCCACCATTGGCGCATGCCCGGCGTTAGCGAATCGAGGTAATCACGTGGTACATACAATGTCCGCTTGTCATAATCTGGATGATCCGGCATGCGACGGTTTGCATCCATGATTTTATCTGGTTTCAAGAAAGGAATCTTCTCATGCAACCACTTTGCTTTCTCATTGTCTTCATCAGCATTTGCATCTTTGATGTTTTCATTTTTTATTGGTTTAGACTTAGATGCTGATGAATTTGAAGACTTTGAAGTATCAGAACCAAATGTGAATTCTTGCAGTTTTGATGTTTTTTGTAATGTAGATTTACTAGATGTATCAACTTTGGGTTTCTTTGGTGTTTGCTTGGGTGGGTCAATATTTTCAGAGTCAGAATCACTGTCCATGGCAAGAATCCTACCGCGCTTCTTCTTAATCGGTGCGATTTCTTCATCCGAATCATCTAAACATATCCATCATGCATTAGGTGTAATCATTTAAGTTATGCAATAATAGTATACCTTGTGTGTCTTCAACTTTCAACTTCTTTGGCTCATCTTTGATTTTCGCCTGGATTTGTTTCCCCTTGGGTGATTGAAAGTAATTTAGCAACGTGTTGCTCTGGGAAAGCCTCTTGGCCATTTTTACACTAGAATTTTACTTTATTCTTTCGTAAATAACGTGTTTTTTGTTTATTTAATGCACGTATAGCACGAACGTTGATGGTAACCTCAAAGCCTCAAGAAATACTTTTGAAGCGGGAAACCACTTTGAATATAAATACTGTAGTTTGGGTTGCCTAACACAAAACCTTAAAAACATATCGGTTATAATAAATCCATGAAACGGAATAATTTCACACAAAATAATAAAACTATTATTGTTAAACAGGAAGAAACAAAACGATTCATGTTGTTGCCGTTTAAACGTTGTTCTTCTTCGATAAACACTAACTGCCAACTTCCCATTATTAAATTAATAAAATGTATTCAAATTTGTTAATAATACATTGTTTTTTTGGTGGTAATGTGCTCACAATTATATTCTGTTAGGAACTTTTGTTAAAAAATATTACGTTGGTTTTGTTTCAAGATAAAAAATAAATATTTAAAGCAATCTTTGATTAAATTTAATTTTTTTGTTTTGATTGACAGTTTGATTGACAGTTTATCCAAATACACACACCTATAATTAATTATTTTTGATTGTTATCAACAATATGTGAAACAATAAAATACAAACACCTAAAATCCTTAATCTACATATTAATTAATTATCATAAAACTATAAATATTAAACGTTTTTTAAACATGTTTCTCTATAAATACTTCTTTTGTTAATCGGTAAATTTTTAATCCTCCCATTCCTCGCTCGAATCTAATGTATACTCATCATCCATCATGCAGTTACTGCAATCGCATTCACACTCACTTTGTGTACCAGACTCATCCGGCGAGAAATCAAAATCTCCGGCACAATTGCTGCACGTACAAGAGTCCGAAGATGAACTTGCTGAACTGCAGGTCTCGCTCCAGTCGCTCTCATCGCTGGATTCATTTATTTCCTGTATTTTTAAACAATATTAGTATGAAAAACATAGATATAAAGACATTAAATTACATTCATGATGTTTCTAGCGGCATCGTTGAGCATGCGTGCCATGCGCACCTTCTTCTTGTGACGACTACAATCGCCATGTTTTTCGGTCGCCTCTGCGACTTTATTGATCACCTCCTGTAATTGTCGATCCTCTACATCTCTTGCACGCTGCTGAGGCATTACTTGTGCATGGGGTGATTCAATCAGCAACGTAATATCATGATGGATACTGTTACTGATTGGCGTGCTTGCTTTGCTGGCGACGGTTGGGTTAGATTTTGGTGTTTTTGCTTGTTTAGACACTTTTTGCTTGCGGGCTACTCTAGGCATTTTAAAATCTTAACACTATTTACGCCGAGTTAAGTAAAATTATCAACTGGAAATTATTTGATGGCTTGTGCAAACGCTCACCACGTGCCTACTTAGACAATAAATGATGTTTAAAACAAAATGGTGACTGGTGCCCGGCGTGTTGTTGTAACAAATGAAATTGCAAGGCACTCTTGATACTTTCAGACCGCATGGGTACTTTTTGAGCGCGGTGTAGTGGGGAATATGCGATATCAGTTTCAATATCATCACAATGTCAATTTTTAGATGTATAAGTTTAAATCCAAATATTATTTGGATTCTTTGATGAAGAATGTCAAATGTGTGTAATAAATTGCCAATACAATAATATTGCTTCCCTTACAAGTACCTACATATATTATAATATATACTGGGTGTAATTATTTAAACTATTCGTATATATCCAGTCAATCGTACTGGGACCATCTGAAAAAAAAAACATCATAAAACATTCACTCAATAACATAATCAATTCATTACCCATTAGTGCCCATGGTTCTGCATCTGGATTCGCTTCACTTCTGGCACTCTGCAAAGCATGTCTAATTGCCAGCGGTACACCCACCGCCAGACAAATAGGCGGCTGTGACATTGTTTTATTTCGCAGAGTGTTTTTCTCATTGGGTACGTCCTCGGCAAGCCGCACGCGAAAATCAACAGGTATATCCTTCGCTGCAGGCACTTTGTACGTCCACGTGTCATTGGTGAGCAGAGCGCCATCTTCAGCATCAGTGATAATTTCTTCCATTGTCCAGTAGCCGATACCCATCACAAAAGCGCCCTCTATCTGTCCAACGTCGATAAGTGGGTTGAGACTGTCGCCACTGTCGGCTAAAATGTCAACGCGTTGCACAAGATGGCCGCCGGTAAGGAGATCCAATTCGACTTCACACACAGCCACCGCGTATATAAAATAATTTGCAGAATTGTCTGGATCCTCAGAAAAACTATATTTCAATAATAAAATATATTATGCTTAGTTTTTAATCACTTACATTGAGTTTTCGGTGAGGTTCACTCCTTTCTCCATTGCGTTTTGAACCTTTTGCAACCAGGTGGCGTTTGTAGGTAGAAACTCTTTAGCTACTGCTTCAATACGTGTTTTAAGGTTAATGCAAGCAGTGGTCAATGCCTTGCAAGCACTATCAGTGGTTATTGACCCGCCTGTAGTCATATTATTTGGTGTAATAAATGAATTGCCACACTTAACTCTGATTAACTCAATGTCAACACCAAGAAGATACGCAGTTGCTTGGGTAATCTAAAAAATCATTTGAGGTTGTCTTTCTGTCATGTTACTAACAAAAAAAACGTACTTTAGTGTTGATGCCCTGACCAAGTTCCATCCCGCCATGTACAACTTCAACAGCGCCATCTGCCTGATAAATAGTAACTTGTACATGCATCGGTTTCTCAAAATATAATCCGTACGTCAATGGCACTATAGAAATGCCACGTTTGCGCCATCTATTTAACTACAAGTGTAATATTTCTTTATAATTTTACTGATTATTGAAAAGATTTACTTTACCTTGTTAAAATCATCAATTTCCTTTCTTCTACTGCTATACTCTGACCATTCGACACATTCATCAATCAACTGCGAGAGTAATTTATGCTTTTCACTATTTAAGTTCGCTTTTTTAACCTCTAATGGATCTTTCCCTAGTTTGCAGGCTATCTGCTCCATTATACTCTCGATCATAGCGCCACCTGTGAGACTTCCTGGCGCTCGCATTGATATAGCAGCCGGATGATCAGTACGTACCCAATAAGTATCCGTTTGGAAAGCCGTGTTTACATACGAGTTTAAATATACATCCATCATGTAAGATGAATATAAAGCGTTGCCATACGCGCCCATATCGACATAACAACTGTTGTTGAGATACTTAATAACACCAGCGCCATCTACGCCTACTTCGTATTGACTCAAAGCAGCGCTGCGTTTACCCAAAATTTTCATCTGCGTCTGTAGTGGTATGAAAACTTTGACTGGTCTACGGAGTTTATGCGCGGCAAGCGCGCCGGCAACCGATGTCAATGCGCGTGTAATCTTACCACCAAAAGCGCCACCTATGCGGTGCTGTTTGACAGTGATTTGATTGGTTTTGATGTTGAGGCAGCGTGCGGTGGCTGCTTGAACTCCATCCGGCCATTGCGTTGATGGATGAATTATAAGACCGTCATCCTCAGTTGGGACAACGCTGGACACGGTTAATTCCATGAAGTGATGGTATTGCCATCCGAAAGTTTGCGTGGCTTTTATTACAACATCAGCATCAGGATCTAAATAAAAATATTTTTTTGTTATTGTTTTGTTGTTAGATTACCCACAATACAGAAATTTACCTTGTCGAAGCGCGACTACTTCCTGTTCATGATGTATCCTATCCGTTGCCTTGAGTTTTAAAACATCTGCGATATTCATCAAAGGTACACTTGTAGCGTCGTCATACGTAACCTCAACTAAATCACAAGCTGCCGCTGCTAGTTTTCTGCTTTTTGCTACAATTAATCCCAATGATTGAGAATGAAACATCACGGGTGAATTCAACGCAACGAAAACTTCTTCGTCTTGATTGAAAGCAACATTGTTAACAGGACCCATAAAAGAATTAACTCCCGCAATGTCTGAAGCCTGAAAAAATGCTACAACGCCATCTATCGCCTAAACATAATAAAATTTTAGGTTAAATTAAATTTATTAGTAGAAAACGTACCAAAGCTTTAGAAGCATCTATTTTTTTCAGTACAGAACCAGGTGCTGCGTCAGCCAACACGAAAGCAGCGTGAAGTTGCCCTGGGAGATCCGCCATGTCAGAAACGAACTTGACAGTCCCGGAAGCCAAGTCCGCAACGTCCATCTTGCCAAGCGGTTTGCCAATTGGTGGCATATCAGTGTTAACTTTAAATTTAGTGGTACCACTTGACAGAGGGCGTATTAATCTCTCCCCACCACTTTTATTAACTGCTTGCATAACGCCATCTGGTGCAATTGACAACACAAACTTATAAAACAATGAAATAGCTAACTGTTTTCGAAAATCCTCTCCAATTGGCGGTGTAACTTCTTCAGGTTGTAGCTCAGCTTCTAATATTTTATAAGCACGTTGTAGATTTGCGTTGTCAAAGAGGTTTTTACCTTGTAGAAATGATTCCAGTTTGGAGGCGTGCGTAAAGGCGGGGTTTATTCCACCGTAGAGCACTGTGGCGTTGTTCACTACGTTTTTATTGTTGAAGCCACACAGGAAAACAGCGTTTACTATTGCCACTGAAGTTTGTGTATGTTTGGATATTTTAAACGAGTCAAATTTTATCGATGATGGTAGTGGGGGTAATTCTATACGACGAATTAATTTCTGTTGCATGTTGTATGAGAGAAACTGCACGGGAGTGAATTTATTACTACGTAGACCATTATCTATATGATTCAGGAAGATAAAATAAGGTTTATCTTAAAAAACTCACAAAATAACTTACCTATTACAATGTGAGCTCCAATGGCTTCCAGGAGTAGGAAAATGTCCGATGGGAATTCGTTGTATGCGTGTTTCAGTGCCAAATTACCAGCGAGTGTTCCAATATTATTTATGGGTACACTGGCGACTTGTTTCAAGTGCTCCGCGCATTTCTTCAAGTGTTTGAAACCATCATCGCGTTCGGCCACTGAATAAAACGCTTCAATTGTTTCCGTGATTGTTGTATTCGCACCAATAACGAGTTTATTTGTATCCAATGTATAACCGTGTAAATCCGCCACTGAACTTATGTCAATACAGTAGTCCACGTTCATTATTTCTTCGTAAATTCCTTAAAAGTATATAAATATTATCAATTTTATTAATAATTAGTTTAAATATCATACCTTTGCCTGTATTTCCAGCAACGAAAGTATAACTCCTCCTCGTGTTACGATTTTGCCGGAAAACTCGAAAAACATCCGCGATTTTCGTGGCGCGGTACCATTTTTGTGTCCCCAGTGTTTGAAACACTTGAATTTCATCTTCAAACTTTACTTGTGGACAAATTGCTTGTCTATCACATTTATCTTTACATTTATTACCACATAATGACAAATCCTCAATGTCATCTTCATTTGCTAGGGTTTTGTAGGCGTCTAGTAATGATCGGTAACCGGTACACCGACAGATATTCCCGCCCATGGCGTGTTCCACGCCTTCGGGAGTCAGGCCTCCACCTTCCCGTAAGGCGTACATTGACATTACCATTCCAGGCGTGCAAAATCCACATTGCGACGCGTTAAAATCAACTATTTGTTGTTGGACTTCATGGAGGCCATCAACACGGTTGCCTATACCTTCAACGGTGGTGATTTCCCAGTTTTGACAGGATAATACATTTACAAGACACTAAAATGATTCAAAACATTATTTTATATAAAGTATTCATTAGGTAGTAATTTATAATTACTGAGTTAACAGCGTAGGTTTGTTTAACACTTGTTGCTGGATTTCTAATGTTGACACTCACGACGCATGCGCCACAACCACCAATGCGACACATGTATTTCGTACCGGTTAAATTCAGATGTTCTCTTAAATACTCGTTGAGGGTTGTATCTGATGAAATATTTGTTGTTGAAACTAAAATCCAGATTATTTACTTACATTACTTTGTTTACAAGTTTGTTTATTTATTATTACCATTGTGTTGGCGTCCATTAAGGGTAAACGACACGTTGTCAACTCTAAAAATTATCCTGCTTTAATACTCTTATTAATTATAATTATTAAGATGTCTTACACTTTAATATCCATCAAGTTGCAGTTTTCTACTTGATCGACCAGTGCAGTTTTGCCGACCGACATTTTCTATACCTGCGGTAAATTTATTTATCACCAGCTTGCGATAAGTATAATCGAAAGTCGTCGAAAAAGTAATGAAAAGTTTTGGTTGGCAAGGACGAGCGGCGGTGCAACGCATGACTGTTTTATACCGACTGGCGGTGGTGTAAAAAGAATGACATGTATGTGAAAATTGCGATCGTGTGTCTTGTTTTGGAAATTATTTATTTATTTCAGCGTTTCGTAATTGATCGCCGGAGGACGCAAAATGCATGTTTATTAGTGACATAAGTGACATGCAAACCTCTGCTGGGAATTATTTACACTGCTAAACAATTTTAATATTTTTTTTCTTCATTTTCCTGTTGATTATATTAGTTAATAATAAGTAGTTTTTATTTTATTAATTTTAATTGCGTGTTAATGTGTTAAATCGATATTAGTAGTTTAATTTAAAGGTAATGATTGTAATAAGGTTTTTTGTTGTGTTTGTTAATGTTTACCAGTGTTATCAGCTAAATTTTTAATGATTTCATTTGTTGTGACACACAATAATAACTTTAAATAGTGTCATTGTTCAAAATTTAGTTTACAGTACGTTGAACTTCAATTTTGCTCAATTTGTTTAAAATTAAACTTTTAAAGACATGTTTACGTAATATATGCAATCAATTACGAGGACGAAATTACGCAGACGCACGATATGCAGTATTACTTTTGTATTTTGTTTTTAATTTAGATAAATATTTGATTATTAAGCATAATTTTGTGATAATATATAAAAAAAGTATAGCTGCTTATTATGGTTGCTAAGTAGTCTTAAATATGTCTTTACTTAATTCCATTTTTTGATTTGTTTCATTGATTGATATTTATTAAGTTAAAATAATAAAATAAATTAAATATTGTGATTGATGTATAAATCAACTTTTGTTAAAAACATAAAAAAATATTTTATGTTATCAATATGATAAAAAAACAATTTAAAAAGTATTTGCATAAATGTTTCAACGATTGCGAAATACCAGTTATTTCAATTTACAAAATGTCGGAAAAAAATTCCGGCATAATTTCATTCAATCACGCATTTTGTATCATAAATAGTCATTACTCACGTCAATAACTACATTGTTAACCTTTTCAACGTTTTGAAAAGTATAATCAGCAGTAAGTAAATAACAATCCACATGTTTCCATTATTTTTTAAAAGAATTTTAGTCTATATTCGGCTAGTGAAATGTGTCTAGGGACAAAAAATAAATTAATTAAGACGGATACTTTTAAAACGCATTGTTTTTTGTTATTTTGTTTGTGTGGATTCTTTCAACTTGAAAAATATCGGATAATTGCCAATTATAACTGATATTTTAGGTATTTCGTTCATTTTAGTTAACAAACACCTCATAAATGAGTAGAAAAACCTGAATATTGAATATTCCGGAGCCCAACTATTCTCGTACCGGCGTTTGTCGATAAATATAAAAATAAGCCGTATAACTCGATTTTATGATTTTTAGTGTATCCTAGTGCCATCTATGAATGCGACAGATACAAGTTTCCCAATTTAAACTATTATAATCAATAATTAATGTTTCCACGTGTTTCCACTTGTGTAAGTGGAGTTACAGGGGGAGCAGTCGCAGTTTTCACCACCTATAAGTACATGCCCTAAAGATAAAGGCATCCCGAGCTCTCTATTTGTGTGCAAACCAGATAAGACAAAAGTTATTTAAACATAAAATAGTTAACAAGTTAAAAGTTAAAAAGTTAATTTTAACTTAGTTTTAATAAGAAATACGAGTATACAAACCTCTAACATGTAATTACCTTTAATAACATTTAGACTGTAAACGGTTAATGTTATCAAAACAAGTCACCAAAATAATCGATGTAGAATTAAATTATTTAAATTATTAAAATTTAATCGAAATTAATAGTTTCAGCATAGTACAAGTACAAGTGTTTACAAACAAACATGTTTTCTTATCTCGTGCAATTTTTGTGCAATCGCTACGCGGTTGGCTTGTGTACCACGTTAGTCTCATTTTTGTCGTCAGGTGATCTACTCGCACAGTTTCTTCATTATTCTTGAGTTGCTAAATGCTTCTTCGATTGTACGCGATTGAAGTGCCGAGATCGTACCACGCGGATTGTAGGTACATACTCAAAGGTAAAGCGTGAGTGATGTTCCGTCGGCCGTCGTATTCTTTTTGTATTATACGCGTATTTCATCGGCTCTACAAAAATTTATTTTGCATTAAGGAATGTTCTCGCATTTCTTTAGCTCGTTGAAAATCAAATCCATTATTGACTTTACATGTTTGCGCTTTTCCAATTGTTTTACATGATTCAAAATAAAATTCAGATTTGTGCTTTAATTATTAAATTATGTTTTTTAATTCCGAAAGTAAATTAAATTCTGAATGCAGTAACACAATTATAGAATAAAGCACTATTGACATGTAAAACCCAATTTTTATATTAAATATGCATATTGTATCAAAATAATTGACATTGATAAAGAGTTACCAATACGTAAATAATAAAAGTATACAATACTACAATTATCTTCCTGGGGTCTCCAACTAGATGTTTACGTCGGCTGACAATTCTCTTTCCTGCTTAGTGGGTCGTGCGCGGTGGTGTCGTGAGCACGTGTTTTGTTCGTGAGTCTACCTGCATAGTTCTTAATCGCGATTCTTGAAATGTTAATGCGATAGTGACATGGACGACAATGAATTTCATCCAGTGTGCCTTACAGTTATTGAATTGTCGCTCATGGAATCGGATATTGTGTTACTTTGCTAACCTTCGTGGCTGCTGTCGGATACCGTCCGCTTGCTACTATGTCGAATTGGTATTACAGTGGAATTCCGGTAATCCGATAAACACTTTGCAGGGCATTGTCGAATTAGCGAATTTGTCGGATTATACTTTTTACAAAATAGTACCTTGTAATCCGACAATTTACAAATTCAATGATAAGATTTATTCAATTAAAATTCAGTGAATTAAACAACCAAATAAAAAAATTACGTTTTACATATTATAAAATTTACATATTATACGTTTTACAATATGTATCTTGATCGAAGCTACATTTATTTAAAACTATACCCTATGCCTCGAGCACAATTATTATAGTGGTACGAACAAATTATAACTGGATCATTCTTGCATTTGCGACCCTTGTTGTCGGATTACAAGAGATGCCGAATTAACCTGGATTACCGGGATTGTACTGTATTATTTATTTATTCAACGGTTAATTTATTAGAATAAGTATTAATTCTTACTAATCTGAAATGTCTGTTGCCAACAGAAGAACAGTTAAGTGAGTGACGTCAATGAAAATTGAAACAAACGTATTCATTAATTTGATTATGTATTTGCAGCTATAGAAAATAGTTTCACCACACGTTAAAGAAACACAAGTACTTCCTTGATTGTATGACCCCAATAAAAGTAATTTCATTAATATACTTAAAAAGTGGGCAAACGGGGGTGCTTGATAATTTATTTCTTCGATTTTCGACAGTGAATGTCTCCTAAACTAAAAGAGATAGCAACTAGAAAATTATATATTACATATTATATAATAGAGCCTTCTTGGCATCTAAAAACTAATTTTCCTTTAAATTGCTAACATTAGATTTAAGCCCTATTGGCAATTTTACTAAAAAATGTATTTGCACCGAAACGAATTGAAATATAACTTGTGATTTTTTTTAAGGTATACGCCGTACCTTGGAGTCTGATGAGTTCTGCATTAACATTAACTTAAACGTTAACGCAACTCTCTACGGTGCCCTGAATGGAAGTCACTTTTACCGCTACCCTCATACGGTGCCCCAAATGGGAATCACTTCTACCGCTACTAATTTTTGCTTCTTTTAGAAAGTCGGACATCGTAGAAGGACCATTCTAGCATCAGATTGTAAGTAATTAATTTCTTTATCATTTTCCTAAATAACTTTTGTGATTATTTCACAAATTAACCACCAAAATTGCATTTTTCTGTTCGAAGCACTTATTTTTGCTGGTTTTAGGGCTTTTGAACCTGAGTCTGACATCGTAAAAGGACCATTCTAGCATCAGATTGTAAGTAATTAATTTCTTTATCATTTTCCTAAATAACTTTAGTGATTATCTCACAAATTAACCACCAAAATTGCATTTTTCTGTTCGAAGGACTAATTTTTATTATTTTCTAATTTTTGCTTGTTTTAGGAATTTTGCACCTGAGTCTGACATCGTAGAACGACCATTCTGGTATCAAATTGAAAGTAATTAATTCCTTTATCATTTTCCTAAATAACTTTTGTGATTATCGTACAAATTGACCCCCAAAATTGCTATTTTCTGTTCGAAGGACTAATTTTTGCTTGTTTTAGGGATTTTGCACCTGTGTCTAACATCGTAGAAGGACCATTCTGGCATCAGATGGTAAGTAATTAATTTCTTTATCATTTTCCTGAATAACTTTTGTGATTATCTCACAAATTGACCCCCAAAATTGCATTTTTCTGTTCGAAGGACTAATTTTTGCTTGTTTTAGGGATTTTGCACCTGAGTCTGACATCGTAGAAGGACCATTCTTGCATCAGATTGTAAGAATTAATTTCTTTATCATTTTCCTAAATAACTTTTGTGATTATCTCACAAATTGACCCCCCAAAATTGCATTTTTCTGTTCGAAGGACTAATTTTTGCTAGTTTAAGGGATTTTGCACCTGAGTCTGACATCGTAGAAGGACCATTCTTGCATCAGATGGTAAGTAATTAATTTCTTTATCATTTTCCTGAATAACTTTTGTGATTATCTCACAAATTGACCCCCAAAATTGCATTTTTATGTTTGAAGGACTAATTTTTGCTTGTTTTAGGGATTTTGCACCTGAGTCTGACATCGTAGAAGGACCATTCTTGCATCAGATGGTAAGTAATTAATTTCTTTATCATTTTCCTGAATAACTTTTGTGATTATCTCACAAATTGACCCCCAAAATTGCATATTTCTGTTCGAAGGACTAATTTTTGCTTGTTTTAGGGATTTTGCACCTGAGTCTGACATCGTAGAAGGACCATTCTTGCATCAGATTGTAAGTAATTAATTTCTTTATCATTTTCCTGAATAACTTTTGTGATTATCTCACAAATTGACCCCAAAATTGCATTTTTATGTTTGAAGGACTAATTTTTGCTTGTTTTAGGGATTTTGCACCTGAGTCTGACATCGTAGAAGGACCATTCTTGCATCAGATTGTAAGTAATTAATTTCTTTATCATTTTCCAGAATAACTTTTGTGATTATCTCACAAATTGACCCCCAAAATTGCATTTTTATGTTTGAAGGACTAATTTTTGCTTGTTTTAGGGATTTTGCAGCTGAGTCTAACATCGTAGAAGGACCATTCTTGCATCAGATTGTAAGTAATTAATTTCTTTATCATTTTCCTGTATAACTTTTGTGATTATCTGACAAATTGACCCCCAAAATTGCATTTTTCTGTTCGAAGGACTAATTTTTGCTTGTTTTAGGGATTTTGCACCTGAGTCTGACATCGTAGAAGGACCATTCTTGCATCAGATTGTAAGTAATTAATTTCTTTATCATTTTCCAGAATAACTTTTGTGATTATCTCACAAATTGACCCCCAAAATTGCATTTTTATGTTCGAAGGACTAATTTTTGCTTGTTTTAGGGATTTTGCACCTGAGTCTGACATCGTAGAAGGACCATTCTTGCATCAGATTGTAAGTAATTAATTTCTTTATCATTTTCCTAAATAACTTTTGTGATTATTTCACAAATTAACCACCAAAATTGCATTTTTCTGTTCGAAGGACTAATTTTTGCATGTTTTAGGGATTTTGCACCTGAGTCTGACATCGTAGAAGGACCATTCTTGCATCAGATTGTAAGTAATTAATTTCTTTATCATTTTCCTAAATAACTTTTGTGATTATCTCACAAATTGACCCCAAAATTGCATATTTCTGTTCGAAGGACTAATTTTTGCTTGTTTTAGGGATTTTGCACCTGAGTCTGACATCGTAGAAGGACCATTCTTGCATCAGATTGTAAGTAATTAATTTCTTTATCATTTTCCAGAATAACTTTTGTGATTATCTCACAAATTGACCCCCAAAATTGCATTTTTATGTTTGAAGGACTAATTTTTGCTTGTTTTAGGGATTTTGCACCTGAGTCTGACATCGTAGAAGGACCATTCTTGCATCAGATTGTAAGTAATTAATTTCTTTATCATTTTCCAGAATAACTTTTGTGATTATCTCACAAATTGACCCCCAAAATTGCATTTTTATGTTCGAAGGACTAATTTTTGCTTGTTTTAGGGATTTTGCACCTGAGTCTGACATCGTAGAAGGACCATTCTTGCATCAGATTGTAAGTAATTAATTTCTTTATCATTTTCCTATATAACTTTTGTGATTATCTCACAAATTGACCTCCAAAATTGCATTTTTATGTTCGAAGGACTAATTTTTGCTTGTTTTAGGGATTTTGCACCTGAGTCTAACATCGTAGAAGGACCATTCTAGCATCAGATTGTAAGTAATTAATTTCTTTATCATTTTCCTAAATAACTTTTGTGATTATTTCACAAATTAACCACCAAAATTGCATTTTTCTGTTCGAAGGACTAATTTTTGCATGTTTTAGGGATTTTGCACCTGACTCTGACATCGTAGAAGGACCATTCTGGTATCAGATTGTAAGTAATTAATTCCTTTATCATTTTCCTAAATAACTTTTGTGATTATCGCACAAATTTATCTCCAAAATTGCATTTTTATGTTCGAAGGACTAATTTTTGCTTGTTTTAGGGATTTTGCACCTGAGTCTGACATCGTAGAAGGACCATTCTTACATCAAATTGTAAGTAATTAATTTCTTTATCATTTTCCAGAATAACTTTTGTGATTATCTCACAAATTGACCCCCAAAATTGCATTTTTATGTTCGAAGGACTAATTTTTGCTTGTTTTAGGGATTTTGCACCTGAGTCTGACATCGTAGAAGGACCATTCTTGCATCAGATTGTAAGTAATTAATTTCTTTATCATTTTCCAAATAACTTTTGTGATTATCTCACAAATTGACCCCAAAATTGCATTTTTATGTTCGAAGGACTAATTTTTGCTTGTTTTAGGGATTTTGCACCTGAATCTGACATCGTAGAAGGACCATTCTTGCATCAGATTGTAAGTAATTAATTTCTTTATCATTTTCCTGAATAACTTTTGTGATTATCTCACAAATTGACCCCCAAAATTGCATTTTTATGTTTGAAGGACTAATTTTTGCTTGTTTTAGGGATTTTGCACCTGAGTCTGACATCGTAGAAGGACCATTCTTGCATCAGATTGTAAGTAATTAATTTCTTTATCATTTTCCTAAATAACTTTTGTGATTATCTCACAAATTGACCCCCAAAATTGCATTTTTCTGTTCGAAGGACTAATTTTTGCTTGTTTTAGGGATTTTGCACCTGAGTCTGACATCGTAGAAGGACCATTCTTGCATCAGATTGTAAGTAATTAATTTCTTTATCATTTTCCTAAATAACTTTTGTGATTATCGCACAAATTTATCCCCAAAATTGCATTTTTATGTTCGAAGGACTAATTTTTGCTTGTTTTAGGGATTTTGCACCTGAGTCTGACATCGTAGAAGGACCATTCTTACATCAAATTGTAAGTAATTAATTTCTTTATCATTTTCCAGAATAACTTTTGTGATTATCTCACAAATTGACCCCCAAAATTGCATTTTTATGTTTGAAGGACTAATTTTTGCTTGTTTTAGGGATTTTGCACCTGAATCTGACATCGTAGAAGGACCATTCTTGCATCAGATTGTAAGTAATTAATTTCTTTATCATTTTCCTGAATAACTTTTGTGATTATCTCACAAATTGACCCCCAAAATTGCATTTTTATGTTTGAAGGACTAATTTTTGCTTGTTTTAGGGATTTTGCACCTGAGTCTGACATCGTAGAAGGACCATTCTTGCATCAGATTGTTAGTATTAAATTATCTTAAATAACTTTTGTGATTATTATACAAATTGACTCCCAAAATTAATGCTTGTGTGTTTTCTTTAATAAAGAATATTTTTAAGTTTTTCTAATCAAAATTATTTCTGTTATTTCTACCTGATCACATATTTAACGATTCCTTAAACCATATATTTCGAAAAGTGCATGCTAGTGCCATCTATCAATTAGAAACTACAACTTCCGAAAGTTTTGAGCTTCGGTCCGTCGCCACCAGAGGCAGCACATTACTAGTTACCCCCCAAAACTTTATCAGCCTTCTCAACTTTCTGCGATCCTAATATTCCATGTTTATTTTGTCGACTTTGGAAGGCAAAATGACACAAAATTTGGACTCGAAACAGTCGAAACTCAGGTTTTGGTATTCGGATCGCAGAAAGGGTGAGGAGGTAAGTAAATAAAAGAGGCGGTAAATAGTAATGGCGGGTAAAATGAATGTTTAAAAATCTTTATTCAGTAAATTCGGTTTTCAAATTCTGAAGGATCTCGACAACTATGAGGGCTAGAAAATTAAGAACTACATACATACAATATATAACTACTACCAGGTGGCATCATTATTGAAAAATCATTAAAATAGCACAAAAAATTTTTAAAGAAAAGATTTTATTAAAAAAATGGCAAAAGATTTCTCTTTTTTATGGTCGACATTAAAAGTTGTAGTAAATTTTTAAATTCTGTTTTCGAAATTTTGTCGAGAAATCCATTGAAATTGGTCACAAAATTCTTTTGAATATTAGGATCGCAGAAAGTGCAGTAGGCTAAATCTCTTGAATAGCGACGTAGTTTAGTTACTCGTGGATAGGTGACACTACTGATACCGTTTTTAAATTAATATTGATACAATATAAAATTAATTTTGAACTATTTCTCATATCTGGCAGTGGCATTTCCATTCATGTTTAAAGGATTTATGGATTAATTAAAGGAGTAACGATGTTGTAAGCTATGTTCTACGTTGGGGACAAATAACACAATAAAAATTTATAGTTAAAAATATAAAACAACAATTTTATTCAAACATGTAGAATCACAAACTCAATTTCTTAATTTATACAACATTTTTAACAATACAAGCATGAAAACAGGATAATAATATGTAATTAGATAATGCTCTTTTCATACCTTTTAACAAAATACATAAAAATGATATCAATATCAGCTTCAAAATGTTGTAAATTCATTCAATCGTATTTGGAATCATCATCAACACCGGCAATCCAATCTTCAATTTCTTGGACTCTATAAATCAGAATGAATAACAGAATAGTAAAATATAAAATATTATAAATTGTAAAAATATAACATACGTTCTGGGTATTTTGGTCTAGTTGACACTCTTCTAGTTGACCATCTTCAGTAATCAAAACTTCATTCTCAAGACACACTCTACAAGTACCACGGAACCTCTCCAGTTGGTCCTTATTGATAAACTTGGCCATCTCAGAATTTGCCAATGCTTTATTCAACAACTGGAAAATATTTATGTAAGTGAAATATACAGATACATAAATTAAATTAATTATTCTTACAGGGTCCATGAAGACTCCCATATAGGGCAACGTACGAAGATAGCGGTAGAAGTGACTCCCATTCAAGGCACCGTAGAAGGGTAACGTTAACGTTTATGTAAATGTTAATGCAGAACTCATCGCACTCCATGATACAGCGAATACTGTAAAAAACATAAGTTAAAACAGCTTGCACAACTATGTATAAAAATAATATATAAGTATTAGTATATAATATTATAAGTATTAGTATATAAATCTCGCAATAAATTTTAATACAGGGAGATACAAAATTAAATTCCGCATCTGGGAAAATAATTCCAAACTTATTGTGACACCGCAATCGCAAGATATATCAGTAAAACTACAATTCCAAGCACAACGCGTACCAGTGCGTATTCACACAACTTTCAATATAAATCGCAATACGGAATTTTCACGCTATAAATTTCAATACAGTGCGATTCAGAATTAAATTCCGCATCTGGGAAAATTATTCCAAACTTATTCCAGCACCGCGTTCCCATGTTAGAAAAAGTGCTAAAAGTGACATTTTGCAATTTTTGCCCATTTTATTCAATCGCGAATATCTCGTAAACTAAAAGAGATAAATAAGATCTGATCGCAGCGTCTTAATCTACGGACCAATCTCTATCAGATGAGATAGTTAAAAGGGAAATTTGAAAAAAGAAATTTTAAATCTTAAGAAAAAAATCGCCAAGGGGGGGTGCTTGATACTTTTTTTCGACGATTTTGAAAAATTACTATCTCTTAAACTAAAAGAGATAGCTACCAGCGAATTGTTGATTATGAAAGATTGGAAAATTGTCTATCAGATAAAAATATAAAATAATTATATTTCCTACAGTACAAGGTCGAAAAACGCGATTAAAAGTGCTAAAAAGTGACATTTTGCAATTTTTGCCCATTTTATTCAATCGCGAATATCTCGTAAACTAAAAGAGATAAATAAGATCTGATCGCAGCGTCTTAATCTACGGACCAATCTCTATCAGATGAGATAGTTAAAAGGGAAATTTGAAAAAAGAAATTTTAAATCTTAAGAAAAAAATCGCCAAGGGGGGGTGCTTGATACTTTTTTTCGACGATTTTCAAAAATTAATATCTCTTAAACTAAAAGAGATAGCTACCAACGAATTGTTGATTATGAAAGATTGGAAAATTGTCTATCAGATAAAAATATAAAATAATTATATTTCCTACAGTAAAAAGTCGAAAAACGCGACTAAAAGTGCTAAAAATGGACATTTATCAATTTTTGCTCATTTTAATCAATCGCGAATATCTCGTAAACTAAAAGAGATAATTAAGCTCCGATCGCAGCGTCTTAATCTACGGACTATTCTCTATCAGATAGGATAGTTAAAAGGGAAATCTGAGAGATGAAATTTTAATTCTTAAGAAAAAAATCTCTTAAACTCAAAGCCATAGCAACCAATGAATTGCGGATTATGAAAGATTGAAAAATTCTCTAAATAAAACGAAATATATAATTGAATTATAAACTTACTAAGGCAGAACTCATCAAACTCCAAAGCACGGCAAATACTGTTAATATAAAAAAAGAAAATATAAGTAATATTGTATGCACACATCGGAGAAAAACAAACAATCTGTGCTGTTTAGTTACAAAAGAAAAACACTAAGAACAGCACGATGGGTCATCTAAATGATGAATAAATCAACATGGCCGCGATACACTTACGCGCAAATAATAAATAACTGTACTAAAGTTACTAAAGTCAAGTTAAAATTAAATTGTCGATTGATGATCGATTGTAATACGAATTGAAAAGTAGAAGTCCGGATAAACGATACGAGTCGCACAAAATACGTCTGAATCAACCAGAGACCGGCACGAAACTGGGCGCAAACTGCATAAGCCACGACGAGGCAGTTTATGATAAGAAAGCGAGAGGTGCGCAAGGCCGGCGCGTCGATGGCACGCAACCATGTGCGCGAATTGCATTTGGCACTTTACCTGGGATCAAAACAAAACTAAGCTGCAGCAACATGCGGCATAGGGTGCTAGCAACGACGACACATGGCAATGCGATAAGAAAGTGTATATTGTGTTCACACAAACACAATTCTTGTGTCGAAGGTTCACGCTTGCTGATACATATAGAAATAAACAATACAAGTTTATTTTACAATGTTTAGTCCATGCTATTGCCATCTATAAATGATACAGTAGTTTCAATTAGCAAAGGTAATAAAAAATTAAAATTTGATTTGCGTAATTCTGATTTCTTATGCTAAGAGATTGCCAGATTTTAAATCAAATAAGTGATTTTTAATTTGAACATGCATCGTTTCTCGTTTAGCAGGTAACACATTAGTCCGAAATCACCTGCTGATAATAAAAATGTTTTAGGATTAATATAAAATTGTTAGTTATATTCATGAAAGAATTGAATAATATTTGCTTAAATTTACGATGCTAATATAATAAACAGCAACGGTGTGTTTTGATTCCACGAAATAAAGATTCGATACCTGCAGGTAAACAAACTTATCTCTTGCGCGAAATCGCGTGATCCACACGAACACGGTGTGCACTCACTACTACCAACAAGCAATATTTAATGCAAAACCGTACATCGTAGCGACATCTAACATTTGAAAATATTTATCAACTTCAAAACACATTTATCAAATATGCAACAAGGTTGATATTGCAATGAAATCGAAATCAACGAAAGTCATATACGAAACAAACCAGTATTTAATAAATGATTCATTTAATTTTTGCGTACAATAAACAATAAACATATCAGGTAGTGCTAAGTTGATTCGTTTACACACATACGCAATAACGGTCTGCTCTTCATTACGTGCATGCGTGTGGGTATGTGTGAGTATGAAAAACAGTTAAAAGCACGGAGATACAGAATTAATTCCTGCATCTAGGAAAATTATTCCAGGCTTATTATGATGGCGCGATCGCGTGTTATATCAAAAAAACTACAATTCTGGGCGCAACGTGTACCAGTGCGAATACACACAACTTTCATTATAACACGCGTTACGGAATTTTCTCGCAATAAATTTCAATATTAGGAAATAAAGAATTAAATTCCGCATCTGGGAAAATTATTCCGAGCTCAGTTTAAGACCGCGTTCGCGTGTTATAATATTAAGAAAGTACAATTCCTAGCGCAACGAGTACTATTGCGTATATGCGTATACACACAACTATCATTATAACTCGCGTTACGGAATTTTCTCGCAATAAATTTCAATGCAGGTAGGTAGTACGAGTACGTGATAAATAGAAAACTTGTTTATAAACAGCAAATATAATTGAATTATAAACTTACCAGTGTACAGCTGCTTATCGGACTGCCAGGCCGAAGGAATGCTGTAACTAAACGAAAACATAAATTAATCAACACAATCAACACAAAATAAACAATATGTGCTATTTAGTTACAAAATACTTACACGAGCCTGACGGATCTTTCTTGATGAGGAACAACATGGCGATATATAATTTATTAACCGACATCAAACACAACGCCGAGTGAAGAATGTTATCAAATCCACTATCACGAGACTTGTCATATACATAACAAACGCGATCAAAAACCGGCATGTCCGAACATTAAGCAAATTACTATAGTCGCAAAGTACAAATAAATAGTCGATTGATCTTCGTGTATAACACGAATAAACGATATAAGTCTCTCAAAACACAACTGAATTAACCAGCGACCGGCACGAAACTGGCTGCAATCCACCGATAGTGCATGCCGAAACTGCGTAAACAACGACGGGACAGTATATAATAAGAAAGTAAGAGGTGCGCAAAAACAGCGCGTCGATGGCCCGCGACCTTGTACGCGACTTTGCAATAGGCACATTACCTGTGATCTAAACTAAACTAAACTTCACTGCATACAGCAAGTTGATGCAGCACTAGAAGACAGCGCGCGGGACACATGCGATAAAAACGTTGTTTACACCGAATCGCAGATAACAGCATTGTATACAAAACTATTCTCGTATAACTCGATTTAATGATTTTTAGTGTATCTTAGTGCCATCTATGAATGCAACAGAATGTAGTATAAAGGGAACAAGAGTAAAGTTCAATCAAGTGCAGAATAATATAAACAAAATTAATGTTTTTATCTTCACTTAACTAGCATTCCCAATAAAAAAAAAATGGACACCGACGCATATAAAAATAGATTAGAACCCTATACCAACACCCATTTTCCATTATCAAATAAAATGGACATGTTTTGTTAAAAATGGAATGCTCAAATCACAAAAAACAAATTCTGATCCATATTAAATAGAAAAACAACAGGATAAAACAAATTGGGATGTTCTAAGTAAAATATTCTCTTGATAATCCTCCAAAGATCAAGGACCTGTGGTTCTTCTTGTCCAGATTCTTCAGGTTTAAGAACAACTGCCTTCAGAAGTTTTCAATTGTGCTGTAACCAGACCTGAAACTTGTCAAACAATTAACTTACTTTAAATTTCTCGCCGCCATATTGGAGTTCAATATGAAATCAATGTCATTTTTGGTTGGTACCAATGGTAAATCTCTTGCAGAGCCGTGGAACTGCCGTATTAGAAAAATACTATATATCTACGTTCGGGGTTCCTCCCTCTACACAAAAAAGAAGGTAGCATATCATTCAAGAATAATAATCTTTCGTTTTTCAAAGAAAAACATTAATTAGTTACAATTGTATACAAATCTTGTTTCTCGTCTATTCCGTTACACCTAGGAGTCGGTTTTTATTTTGCATTTACAAGTACGCTTTGTGAACGCCCTGCAATTCGTGCGCCTTCTTCACGTCGCCGTTCACTTATCAGCATAGCGCCGCTGCCTGTCGCCGTCCAAAATGAAAACATAAGAGGATGTGCACATCCGGCCAATATAATCCAAATCGAAATTAAAAAATAGAATCAAATCAACGGATAAAATAGATTAATGCAGATATACATGGTACGCAAATAAGATTAATAAACGAAACGAAAAACGAACGCAGTCAGAGAATAAATTAATAATAAACGATGCGTAGTATGAAAAAGTGGCCAGCACGCGCCTTCCTTGAGTCACTTAGTCGCCTAGATTCTCGGATAACTTAAAGGAGACTTAAGACTACGATATACATATGGATACAGTCGGGTCATCGCGCACACTCAACTTTTCTCATTATCATTGTCGTTCCCCCTGCGTATTTGGCAATAAGTTTAGTGTTTTGTTTTCGCGTCTCTACCACTCGGCGTCGCCGTTTGCCTTCTGGAACACGTAGTCTTCTCCCTTCAGGTTCATAATGCCATCTTTCAGATGGAATTTCCATTTGTTACGACTTCTAGTTATCTAAAAATGAAATAAAATTTAATTATACAAATGATAATGCCATAAGTGAATATTTTTTACCTTATCATACTGGCATACTACAACGTTGTCGGTATCAAACAAATCGGTGGGATCCTCGTCGGTGACATCATCCTCGGAGTTGAGCGGCTCCTCTTCAGGTCCACCATCGTCCATCTCCTGTTCATCCACCTCGTTGTCATCATCATCGTTGTCGGAGATCTCGTCATCATCGGACGCATCGTCATCGTCGTCGGAAGTATCCTGAGGTCCATCACACTGCTGGACGAACTCTATCCGTATCCGCTTCGCCTTCTTCAGCTTCGCTTTAGCTGCCTTCGCTCCCTTCAGCACTTTAATCTCAAACTCGCAGTTATCGTCGGCAGCGCCGTCATTCTGTATCACAGTCTTCGTTTGCGCCGGCGGCGCCTGTGTGACAATGCCGCTCATCATGCCCGGTGCCAATTGACTGAACGCTGCGTTGACATGCTGCTGCAGCACGGAAGAGGCAATTGACGGAGGCAGATTCATCGTGGTTGTGATCACCTGCCCGGTGAGGACTTTGTGCAGCAGGTTATCGTTGAGCGCCGGTGCCGGTACTTGAATCGTGAGCGTGCGTGGTGGTACATTGGAACCGGGCGGTGGGGGCAGCGTGATTTGAATGGGCACCATCTTCGTCTCAACGACTTGATGCTGCGCGGCTTGTTGCTGCTGTGCTGCAGCCGCTGCGGCTGCGGCGGCAGCGTTTATCTGCTGCGGAGTTTGCACGTGATTGTTGGGCGCAACCTGACCCACAACTTGCTTCATCATCTGCTGAGCTTGTGATTGTGTTTGCGTTGCATTTTTGGAGACGCCATTGCCATTTGCCACTTCAGAGTTCGCATTTGCCGCTGAGGTATTACTCTGCGAGTGGTTACTTTTTTTCGTAACTAGAAAATAAACAATTTAACCGATATATTAGATTTACTAAGTCATAATTGCATTATTAACTATTTAAATGTAAATAAAATTACATACTTTGTTTCTCAACATCAGATTTGTTATCAACAGCTTTGCTGGCAATTAACTTGGCTTCCCACGACTGTTTCAGCTCCTGGAGTACTTGCTCATCAACGCCGTCTTCGAGGAACATCTCCCGTGCGGCAGAGAGCACATCCTCAATGACGTCCTTGTACACTTTCAGCTGCAAGCGCAGAATAAACAAGTGACATCAATAATACGAAACAAAAGTTGTTGATTGATCATTTGCAACCGCAAGATGGGGGGAGAAAAAAACAAAAGTTTTGATTGTTTGCGAGCACTCACCACAGCCATTTCGGCGACGAAGGCGGCAGCAGCTACCCGACGGTGGTTGCGCTCGCGATTATTATGTTAGGCGCCAGCGATGGCCGTGAGTTTCGCAACGGACGTAACGCATTTGCGGCGGGGCGCACCGCTCGGCGTAGCTTTCCACGACGCAAGGCACAGGCCTACCTACTTCACTAAACGCACACAACTTAGAAAACGGGAATGCGACGGCGTGCAGCACTACGCGAGCATCGCAAGTGACGAGGTTCGTTTGTTACAAGTTTCGTAAGGCAGTCCGTGGCTTTGATAATCACACGCAGCAACAACGAGAGGCACGGAAACGTTAGCAAGGCGGCCAGCCGACCAACAATGGTGGATAACCTTAACTGCGCCGAGCTGCGCACGGTTCATCTGGCGGCCATCTTGTAGCAAACGGGCGAAACATAATACAACGGTGGGAGTATATTTATATTCGCTGACAGAAAAAATAAACAAACGACTCATGTTTCTAACTAACCGTTCTGCGTAAAGAAATAAATAAATATGAACGAATATTAAACTGATTAATAAGCAGTATTGTGCATAGTGATAATATCATATTAAGATTAAATAACCGCTGAAATGATAGGCAACCCAAAATACATCTAGTGAAGACTAATGGCGCATCCACCAACAAATTAATAGAGAAAATGTTCGAAACGAAACTGGTTGATTAAACTGTCAAAACTCGTATACTTTAAAATTGTATTCTTGTAATAATGTAAAAACCGATACATCGTTGTGTTTTCCCACCCCGGGGCGTGTGTGGAGCGAGAAAACCCGGAGAAAATGAAAGTGTATATGTACAATCTCTTAAGATTTCCAAGTATTTTTGTTTGTTTTTCGTTAAGTTAAATCGTACGGTTAGAAACCTTATCCGCTAAACACAATCTCTAATAAAATATCGAAGTTTCTTAAAATTGTTTACATTACGAGTCGGCAGCTGCAGCATCTTGACGCTGCACCCTATATAATAGTGTTACTTCTCATTGGTTGTGTTGGGTGTGTTTTTGTTTCATGTGGCCGATTTGTTCGTTTGCGCCATTTTGTTTCTCGTTTCCTCGCTTCACTTACAATGAGACATCTCCTAATACAATATAGTTATATGCACAATTCAATATTCAGTTATGTACAAAAAATAGTCAAAATGTCATTAATACGCGTGGTACCTAGCGCTTGAGTTAATTACCTTTACAAAATCAATTAGTAAAACGAACATACGCACTGGACGTCGACGAAACACACGTGCTGCGCACGCGCAGTAGGCGTACCTCAGTTACACTCACATGATAAATATTTGCCTGCATACAGGGTGTCGTATGCAAAAATAGAAACGATATCAGAATGGGGGCGGCATTATTTCGATTGGCAATGCGCGGGGGCGTGGGGAAATCATATATAAAAGTATAAAAAATAGAAAACAGTCGAGAGGAGGTTAACATAACAGTCGTTCGCTTACAAGCTAAGAAATAAATTAAATTCGGATCACCCTCGGTTGATTCTAGGCCGTATTCGATGCATTTGAGACGTTTCCCAATTTATTTCGAACTAATATTATTAAAGCTGCTCGAACGCCATTGCCAATTGAAAGTCGAATCACACTAAACAATAAAAACTATGCCATCGAATGTCAAATATGTCGGCCCAACGCCATTTCTTAAGTGTATCCACGTCGCTCGATCGTCAATTGTTTAATGTACAATATGGCGAGGCAAAAATGGCAATTGACGAATTTGGTGTGCAAAATGGCGGCAGGAACTGTCATTCTGGACATTTTCTCTCATTTTTATTTAAGTAGTCTGTTGGTAGACGATCGTACGACGCGATATTTCGATGAGACAATGTCAAAGTTTTGCATTGGGGTTTATGTTTTAGCTTCATTTCTTTCGGTTGTGTCAGGGGGCGGGCTTAAGTAACGTGTCCGTAAACGACGCACAGTCAGTCACCTTTGATCGTTTGCGCTAATATCACAGTGGAGCACGCTTAAAACTCGTTATAATTGAAGTCGAAGTTGAAGTGGTTGCGGGGGGCGGCGGCAGTGTAGCGGGGCAGAGTCTACGGTCAGCACCCGGTGCCATCGTCGGCACCGCCCAAAGTGCACGCCACGATCTCCAGTCGATGCGCGAGGTGCTGTCGATTGCACGCTAGATCACATTCAAGTGATTCGTAAATCTAACCAAATAAAAAAACAAAACAATTAATACAAAATGGCCACCATCAACATCAAACAACACACCTGATCTCTATACTTTGCGACATAGATATAAAGCTCTTTCAGAGCTGCTACAGTATCAAACTCCTCGGCGTGCTGCGTTGATAACAACTGCATTGCCGAAGACATCTCCTGGTCTGTGATGGTATGCTGGTCAGAGATACTACGGTAGAACTGACTCACCATTTCGCGATACCGTGGAATATCCTAAAATAATTCACACATTAAAAAATTAAAAGTTTATAATATTAATTACCATTACCTTTGCGAAAAGTAGTTTATTCGATGGTGAATCCTTTCCCAAGCGATGCTCCGTAGTGGAGCAGGAATCCATGAACGTCTGAGCGATCACCGACAGACAAGAATCCAACGTCGCCGTTTTGTTAATGTCGAAGATAAAATCCGGATTCTTGATGAAGTTCAGCCAGAACCGCAACGGAAGACTGTTGGATTTCCACGCGTGCACCACCTCCTGCATATCCTGAATACCATGCTGCAAGGCCGCTTCGTCCAGCAGGTCAAACAACCATTTCACCGCCGGTGGCAACGCCTCGTTGGCTGTGAGAATCGTGTTGAAGAAGTCATCGACAAACTTTTGTACGGTACCCTTGGTCGCTAACAACCTCGTGAGGAAGATCTCCGGAATAGCCTTGTGCGTTCGCTCCGTGGTCGAACACTTCGTCGAGTAGTGATTCTCATCATTCACGGGTTTCACAAGATGATAGATACGCGGATTCATTCCGATTTCAACGTCTCCGTTGGTGGGTATGATGGGCATTTGCGCATTGTTGTAGTATATCCCGGACACACAGTTATGGCACGGCTGCTTACAATTATTGAAGCTATCGTTCTGTCTGGAGATAAGCGACATCACTGCGGATTCCTTGACGCCGTAATGCGCCAGCGTGTTTAGCTTCTTCCAACCGTTCAGGGTTTTCGTTGTGACATCTTCGTCCTGGAGTGTGAGATGACCACCGCGGCCGTGCCGCCATTCGAGATCAACTTCGTAAATTGAAGGGCGCAGCGAGAATGGCGTGTTTTTATACAACGCGTCAAGAATCTTCGATTTGACCTGTGAAATGGTGTCGCAATCCAACACTTTACACTGAATCTTCTCGTCGAGGTCATCCTGAACGATGTGCAGCGTAACACCGCCGTGTTCTATCTGTTCACGTAGCAGACGTTCCTCGGAAAGGGAATACCGAGCATCATGCGTGATGGCATCAACTAAACCCTTTTCGATTTGATGTTTGATGGCCTTGAACAACAGGAACAGAGAAGAACCTGCGTATTCTTTCAGATAGGAGTACATGCAGAGCGCCATCCAGTTGGTGAGCATTTTCTCCACAACGCTCTCTGTTCGACGCAGCATCAGTTGTGGATGTTTACTACTGACTGATTTCTCCATCAAGCGGATTAGTAAGCACTTGAGGATGTCCGTAGCGTACTCCATCTTGTCCATGAGTACCACCATTAGCAGTGATGCAACATTCACTCTGAAAATATTAATAATATTATAAAACTATAATCTTGTAAGATTTAATCACAACTTACTTGTCCCTAATATTAAAAGTCTTCTGCGATTCCAATGTCTCGATGAATCTCAGTAAAAAGTGTTTGTTGTTGATCAACTGCTCGAAGTGCAACATGGCTGCATCGTAGTTCGTCCTCGGACCATTCAACCGGGCTTTGGGCGAGTTGAGAATTGGATGCGCGCTTACACCAGGAAAGAATACCTTCATGATATAACTAGTGTGATCCAATGTGGGAATACCTGAATTCTCAAGATCAGCGGTGAGATCAGTCATATCGGTCTGCAGTTCAGCGAACGCCTGCTTACACTCAAACCGGACATTACTTTCCAGCGTATCCATCTGAATCTGGATGCGTTTGTACTCGCGCTCTGCTTGCGTGCTTTTCCTTCTATATACTATCAAAATGGCGATGAAGAATATTACGAACAGCGCCACGCCGGCTAGAATCATGAAGATGGCTTCCGGTGGGAGTGAAAATGGTTTGAGGACGTCATATCGAAGATACCCTATGGGAAATCGTAAACTCCGGCCTACTCTGACTACAACCAATGGGAGTGAAGCATCAGTCCGAATGGCGTTTTCATCAGTTGCCATTGGTTGTTGCTCAGGTGGTGAACATACAAGTTGTGTCATGGCTAAACTAGTGACGTTACACTGCCTTGGACCAATCGTAACAATAACATCGGTTTCATCCGACGCCATGTTGAGATTCTCTCCTTCAATCACAAGAGTATCACCCTTATACAACTTAACTTCGTTTTAGAAGCGCAGGAATTTCGGATCTTCTACAAACAGCAACTGCGAGCGCAGATTAGTAAAGTGTTTCTCGAGATTTCTCACGGACATCACCGTATCCATCACGAAAGCAATGCGTAAAAGCAGTTGCTGTTCAGGTGTCGTGGAATGTTTATGAAGGGACCGTTTTGTTCTCCCCGTATGCATATTTGACGCGTAAAAGAGTTGATTCACTGCCGGACTGGGACACTCCATTAAATTAACATTCAAAACCTTACAAATAGTTTTGTTCACCGGAATAGGATCATTGGTGGCGTAGACTTCCATCTCAGGTTTTTGTATACTATCAAGATTACTACCATGCACGTAAATCATCCGGCCGCCGGAAGCAAAACTTGTCAACGGTTTAATTTCCATAATCGTTGGATCCTGGGTGTAATTAAATGGATTACCCTCCAATGTCCTGTTAGCGCCATCTATACTCAGCGTTACCTTGGCAACGTGAGTGGGACGCGCAGCTTTGGAGGTTATACAAGTCAATCGGGTACTAGACGCTTGAGTGAGGTTAACTTCACAGATGTAATCGTCAAGATACGCGGTGATTTCAGACCCTATGTTAAGATATTGACCAGTAATGGCTAACTGAGTACCACCTGATTGGGGACCAATTGTAGGAAATAGACTCTGTAGGCGTATATCTTTATAACTAAACTCTACGGATGATTCGGTGAAACCAGCCTCGTTGCCGACAATAATTGGCGCAGTTGTTTCCAGTGGAGAAGGACCAGTAATGCATTGAATCCTCACAGATACAGCATAATTGATCAACTCGCAGGGGACATTCCCGATGCGAATCTTTCCCGCAACATCATCACGTTTCAGGCCTAAATTACTACCTTCTATGGTGACCAATGTCCCACCCTCGATAGGTCCACTCAGGGGTTTGATCATATCAATCCGAGGCTTGGGGCATTCAACATGCGGTGTTTCCATACAGCTTTCACTGTATGTGCATGAAGTCCCACACCATGTGCATTGATATTTCGAGTTGCGTGTAACGCAGAGCGAACAATCCGCGTGCTCACGATGTGAACCCAGAATATCGCACTTGTACAGAACAACGTTCATGGAGTCAATGTGATGATTGCGGTTCCAGACCACTTTCACACTTGCTTCGTACTCGCCGGTGTTGGCTTCATAGGAATACTAGCGATGAAACAAATAAGATTTAGAAGTTGTGAAATGAGGTTAAGGTTAGTGTGGAAACTTACAATGCGCTTCTCGCAGACAATGAATCGATTCGAGTCAACTCGCGCGGGCACTAACATCTTAGCACCTTCGATGTTAGTTATGCACTGGAAACCTGTATGGCCGGCTTGAGGATGTGGCAGATTCTCGACTTCAAAGATCATCTCTTTGGGCACGTTGTTTGGCAGCAGGAACATGCCTTTGCTTTTGAAGCGTGGACAGTATGCTGCGCCATGATTTGGCAACTTTTGATGATTCTATTAATAAAAATAAATAAAATAAGGTTATATAGATGAGGTTATGTGATCTGCTTACATTATCTCCGCTGATGACAGTCCGTTGACACGCTGAGGTATTATGAGTGCATTTATTCTCGTACACGCACCAGTTGCATGCCCATTGTGACTGCACACAGTCCAAACATTTTGTGTGTTTAGAACAGTCATAGTAAGCAAAATTACGAGAAACAAAATCTTTGTTCGTTTCGGACGAGCGGACACTCAGCGGTACCAAAATATGGTCCTGTTTAGGGGGAATAGGTGGCCGGCTGGCAATGTCAGGCGTGGAACAGGAGAGACCTTCGTTGGCTAACACTGCGTCGATGGGTTCCGCATTACCAAAAACACACTTGTATTTTGCGCCGTAGGGTAATTCAGGCAGGGTGCGTATTGTCAACCGCACTGAAGTCATCTGATTCGACGGGATACGATCTGGTAGCACTTGTTCGAAGTCAATGCATTGCTGGCCCGTGCCCAGGGATAACCAACGCGGGGAACTATGCGATGCTTTCTGGCAAGCACTCCTAACCGTACACCTAATCACACGATTATTAGTAATTAAAAGTCATGAATTGAGGTTAAATATGTAAATATAACTACCTTTTCTCTAATGAACACCAACCGCAGTACGGATCCTTAGATTCTAGACATGAGGAACAATTCGTATAGCTGCTACAATGTTCTACGTTAATCTTTGAGATCTGCAACAATATAAACCAAATAAATAAAAATTCTAACAAAAAACTTACAAAATTCATACCTTCGATGTACTTAGAACGTATAAATAATCCCCGTTGGGTGATAACGTAGTGTCTGGCAGGATTGCATTACCGTCATCAACAATCACCTCTTCATACTCGGCGGGCGAAGGCGCCGACAACAACACTTTCTTTATCCTCCCATCCGAAGTCCCCAAAAACGCCAGAACATGTCTACCAGTCGAAGCAGTCGCAACAGCCGATAACGAAGTGCCATTGAAGACCAACGCTGCATTCGTGACAATCGGAGTGACCCCCGAAATCTTCAAGCCCGCCTCGCAAAAGTTCGGCACGTTACCAGCATTACCTGCTGATGGACATTTGCCATCTTGAATGGGTCCCGAAACATACCCCATGTTACGATACTTGACACTGCCATTGAAACACATATGGATATTCTCGTTGAATTTGGCTTCTATTTCGCGCAGTGGGTACAAACACAACGCGGAGTTTGTCTGTGGTTCATTGGTGATACCCTTAGAAGGTCTGAAAACTGCAACCAGTACCAAAGACCCCGGTTGGATGCCTAGGGAAGCTGCTAGTTCAGTGCCAGCGGTGGCAAGTTTCGCATCCTGTACTAGATTGTATTTCTGCCGATCGCCATCTTGGCACTGAAGTGTAACCTCGGTGTAGCTGTCGTAATTAGCGTCGTTGATACAAGTACGTGCTAATCGCGAGACGTAACCCTGCTCTTCCTGACCAGGGAGGTGACTTTGTTTCTGGACGATGACAAAGTACGCGTAGTCCGTCGCGTTGAACCCGTAAACATACTGGACCAAAAAGTGGTCCCTGTACTTGACGTCAATATTCACCAGGGACTGTTTACTGAAAGAATACTCTGCAAAATCCAGGGTATCCAAATCCCTGCTGGAGATAGCCGGCACATCATGACGATATTCCCCATTATTGGTGAAGGTTGTCCCCACGTACATAATATCCGACCTTGCCCATTGGTTGTACCGTCTGGGACCTATGTATGCATATGTGGATGCCATTGGGTCATTCGCAGCTATACTCTTCGGTATGAACTCGCCTTTAGCAGCCACGTTATTCAGTTTGTATTTATAACATGCACCTTGACTGATCGACCCGCAAGCGATGAGAACGCGTGATTCTGGTTCCACAAGCAGGATCTTGTTGAAGTTGTCCATGAGCGTGGTGGGTATCTCGGCATCCACGCATCCTGTCGCATGACACGAGAGGCTGTCGTTCTTGGGACCGGTGATGAGGCGCTGCTCCAGCGTGAGGTTGGCGGTGAGCTGCAGGAGGCGATTGGTGGCGGCGGCGTAAACCCGGCCCGTGGCGGGGTCTACTACCAAGTGCGAGAACCATAGTTGTTGCGGGTCGGGAGGCGGATGGCCGGGCGAGGGGAATTGCGCGACGAGCACGCCGCCGCCGACGGGGCGGTGCCATCCGGCGGCGGCCACCGCCAGCCAGAGAAGGCAGCTTACCAGCATCGGGACGCCGCGTGCATGACACCGGCGTTCACAATCACCGTCATCACTGAAAGATTCCAAATGAGAAACACGTCAGTAAGCGTATTAATATTTATACTAATTTTACGTATTGTGCATTCAATTTCTTAGGAAATGAATAATTCCTATTATTAAACTGCATAATCAACAATTACGCCTTGTTTAACCGCCTTTGATTAAATATATTTTTTGCCGAATGCCAGAAAAGAGGAAATTGCAGTTTATTACATCAACAATTCACGCCTTAGCGATGCAAATAATCTTATCACTTTCCACACAACAAAACACATATTAGCTGCGCAAATATAATAATTTTGTGAGTTGGAACTAAAGCCAAAATGGCTTCCTGATTTTTTTGCGTTTTTTATTGCGCGTTTATTTTTCATTGAATCCACGAGAAATTTTTAACTGTAGCTGGAAGCTACTCGATTTTCACTCGACGAAAACTGGCAACTTTCGAGAGACACTCGAAAAAAGCTTGAGACTTAAATGCGCCAAACTTGAACACTTGAACATTGCGAACCTGCTGGAGGCGCTCTACAAATAAACAAAATTTGCTTTAGTGCGCCGGAAAACTTGCTAAATATAACAACTTAAAACTTTCAATTTAATAATAGACACCTTGGTGAGTTGTCTACGATGTGCGCACTCATTATTAAGTCATATTCGAAATAAAAATAAATAAACACTATTCTTTAAACAAATTAAATTAAATTAATATTTATATTCGCGAAATTTATAATTTATGCAACGTGTTTGAACCGCACTGTTGTACTGGTGTAAACGAGTAAACGCGCGTGAAATCTAAGCAAGAGTGTGATAAAGTGGGGATCACTGTCTCGGCAGGATAAAAAACCAACGCCGAAAGTCGACAAGTCCTGACATGTTCCTTGTTTTGGTCGAGTGCTTCTACTCTCGCCGGGAAAAATAAATTAAAACCAAAACAATTGAATTACACTCACCGAAACTCACACGAGTTACTCAACAACTCGCAACCCTTGCGAAGATGTTCACAATCCTTCCGAGAAAAAAAAAAGAACTCACTCGTAAGTGTTTTAATCAAATTTGTATCCACGGCGAAAGTTTTTTAATTTAAAACAACTCAAGAAATTAAAACCTTATTGCGGTGACTGGACTATAATCTTTTTTTTTATGTGTAACTGTCATTCTCTTATCTCTTATGCGAAAGATGCGTGTTGATACGGAAATGGGGGCGATAAACAAATCAATCCGGAGAAACATATTGCGAACAACAACGACGCGCCTTGTGTTCTTAGAGGCGATAAAATCCTCGCATGCACGCATCACTTAAAATAATTCGAGCGATAGAGTTCGAGACGGAAGCAATATGACGATGCGCATGACTAACTAGCATAGTATATCGATATGAATAAGTGATTTCAAGTGTGCTCAGGAATAAACAGAATGAATAATTAGAAAGCATATGAAAAGTTCTTTCGTTTGACTGAGACAAAGGAAATAAAACAATTCCACCTTGTTTTATGGTGTGTCGACCGCCTTTGATTAGGTTGAACAACCGTTAAAGATGGCGATTAACCTGAACATATTCTGCATATCTGTGACCATTTGTGAATATTATGTAGGTAATAATAAACATCAAAGGCTGCAATTAAACCTATAAACTGAATTTTAAAAATTGTAAGTTGCAACATTTATAACTCAAGAACGGTTGGACGGATTTTGATGTTCTATAACGTGTTGGATTCGTCTGCGGTCTAAATAGGAGAATAACTATTAAAATATGAGAAATTATTACTTAAAGAGTCTTAAATATGAGATAAAAATTGGTATAGATATTCTATCATAATAATAGTACCATATTTGGATAGTAGATGGCGCTTGAGTACATTATTGCCATTTCCCTTAACTTTAATATGAAATTTAGAACTTTTTCTAAAAAAAATGATTAAATATTATTATTTAAAAGTTTTGAACATTTTTCAATTATAAATTTCACAATCATTCTCGAGCAAACCTCAATCCTCGACATCCCTACTAATATTATAAATGCAAAAGTCCTGATGTTTGTTACACTTTCACGCAAAAACTACTTAACCGATCATCATGAAAATTTGTACACACATTCTTAGTGGTCCCCGAATGGTTATAGGCTACTTTGTATTTAATAAACAAAATATTTTTTTAATAAAATAAAGAAATTGTTTAGCCAATAATACCTCTGCATCTGGCTATTTGACTACTTTAACGCCATCTAGCACTCCAGCAATGAAGCTCAAACCTATAGTACCATCACACTGTATTACCGACAGCTACAGCTACGTCAACATCAAATCCAATTGACTACACTATGGAGACTATGCACTATACTTTCATAGACAATACTTTCAGCCATTTTAAACTTCCCGCCATTCTACTTCATTGTTACTTCTTCTGTGACTACAGACGCGTACGGAAGCAACTTCATTATTTTAGATATTCGCGAGCGAAGCCGCGGGTTAAAGCTAGCAAAAAATATAAGAGAAATGTTCACATTTCCCAAGGGTCCGTACGCAATAATCGCCTTAAAAATAGATCATTATAGTTCATGTTCCGTGCAGATGGACGAAATACCCTAAAACGTTCATTAGGCGCGTTTTGTATGGCAATAAAAACAAAGCACCAACAACATCAGAAGCAACAGATGGATAGATATCTATTAATAAAACACGAACGAGGTTTGATCCGAATGGGAAGTTGCGATGAGTGCACATCGCGCACACCACTGCAAGTGCGCCTCTTTGATTGCATTTATTTTTAATTAAAAGCCCTAACTGACTCCGCGCGCGCGACTGTGAGTGCGTCCATCTGTCCGAATTATTTCGAGCGCACATTTCCGGTCCAAACTGAAGCGACATAAATTAAAAATACACAACAAAAGCGATCTGGTACCATGTATATGTGCAATATTTTAAAAAAAAAAGTGTGTTATTTGTCATGTTGCAAACTGAAAATGATTAAAAACTTTTCCAACAAATGAAACACAGCAAACAGAAGCAAAAAAATATTCAGTCGACAAAAAAAAAATCACAAAGGTAAGTGAAGTAACAGCAACAAGTAATTAATTTACGCTTGTAATAGCTTCGCACCATACAGGATGTTCCATAAAACACTGAACAATATTAAATTTCGCCGGGAGAGGACCAAACAACTTTCCAATTGTTTTCATTGCATAGAAAATAATAAGATAAACACCTGCCAGCAGTGTGTTTGGGTGCGTGGGTGCGTTTTTGAAGAAGGGTGGAATGGAAGTTAGGGTATGCATTATGTGTTTTAGTTTGCATAGTTTGGTTGAGTTTAGTTTATGAAAACCTGAACCCACCCAAAGAAGCGAAGAAAACAAAGGCGAGCCGGCGATGGTCCAGAGGTTCAGGGAAGTTAGGCGCGGGCGGAAAGCACGGAAGGGCAGGAAGGGAGAAGGGAGAGTCTCTCGCAATCCCTAACCTGAGGGCGCGCAGTGTTTACGTTCGCGTTCGACTGTGCGGGATGCGGCGTTGCTAGTGTTGTGAGAGAAAAGACCAATCCAGGGATGGAGGAATCTATATGCGGAAAGTTGAGGAGCAGGAACATATCTAAAGAAAATAGCCCCGGGGCCAAACTACGATGAGGGATGAGAGATGAAAAGGGACGCGCTACCCAGAAGTTACTTCGAATTAGAATATCAGAGGACATAGGGCATAAGAGATGATAAGACAATATAGGATATCATGAACCTAACATTTGATCTAATTAAGAGTAAATCCCACTTTTTACGAGTACAAACCATTTCTTTGGTTTACCCGGTTAGTTGTGTCCGTTCTAATCCAATTTAATGAGCAACGCCAAACAAAAACAAAGAACAAGCGCGAATAATTGCGTTAATTCGTGGACACGCACCCGCAGGTACACGGCAGCAGCACGCCAGTCTGTTACCTGTTGCCCTCGAGTGTGCCCAGCGTGTGTTCCAGTTGATCTTTGCTGTGCAACCAGAGCCTGAGTAAGGATTACGCTTGCGGCGACAGGAGTATCCCTGTGCTTCCAATCCCACTACCACACCGCCAGTCTGCTCGCTCAACTCTAACAGGATTATCGAAACAAAGGAAATGACATAACAGAATATCAAATCGAAGCAAAAAGAGATTAAAACAAAAGAATAAAAAACATTTGCGAGTTTGGACATGTAGCATAATGATAATAATAAGAAAAGGATTGAATGGTAAATATGTTGCGTGTAAGATATATGATATACAGAGTGTTTAAATTTTCCCTCCCGGGGTTTTAAAAACATTAAAAACACATGGTGCCCATTTTCATCCCCACAAAACTCCACTGGGAATATTCTCCATCATCCACATCCCTCGCCGATGGAAACTTTGCGTAATGAATTAATCTTGTAAAGTGAAAAAATGAATGTCGTGCAACCACCACCCGCGCACAACTCGCCATTTTAATAAATGGTGTTAAATGAATTGCGTTAATATTGATTGATTAGATTGCGCGCACCGAGCGTAACGAGGGGCGGTGGAAGGGTGGTGTCAAGCGTGTGTCAAACCGTAGAGACACTTTTTCAGTGTCGCGGGTGTAAGTGTGGCGTAATGCACACATGCGGACGCAGACAAAAGAAGAGCGCGCCGAAAAAGCAGTGAATTATGACAACAAAAAGTGACAACCGTACCGTGTGTGTGTATATATATGGATATATTCAATGAAACCCCAACCGCGCCGTAAGCGGTGTAACCCAAGCCGACGCGTGAAATATGTCCTGATTTCTATTTGATTAAAAAATGACTGAGGATAATCTCATTCCGAATACAACCCTCTGAATAATAAAAAATATACTAAATAAATTCAACGCATTTTACATTTCCGTGGATGTTATTTTTTTTTTTGTACGCTTGTTGTTGTTGTACGAGTACAACGTTGTTGATTCGTCGTTTTTCACTTGTCATTTGTTTCGCTATTCGTGATGAGTATCGTTCAATCAGCAGCCGCCTGTCTGGCAGGGTCCAGGTCGCTTTGGCTCCCTGCCCGCCGTTTGGGCATTTTTTTTCGTTGTTGCTATTTCCCTATATTTTACCATGCCGTCACGGCGTATCGGCGTAACGAGCGCAATCGGATGCGCGGATGGCGCTGGCGTACGAACAAAATATGCAGATAGAAAAATAACGAACGCGACGCAACGTAGAAAAATGTTTGACGGGGAATGCATGTGACAACAGACAACCGAATAGTTCAGTCATACTTCACCCCTTTATAATGTGAATCGTCCTGCTGGGTTGATGCGTGAAAATGACACATGTCAAATGTGTGCAATTCGAAAAGAATAAAATACAAATACAAACAACAACAAAGTAAGAAGTTTTTTTTTGTTGTATTATAATTTTGTGTTAGTTACACCACGTATAACTCAAGAACGGCTGGATGGATTTTAATGATCAATGATTTTTTGGATTCGTCTGCGTCAAGAATGGGAGAATAATTAATAAAATATCAAAATTATTATTTAAAAAGTGTAAAAAAACGTAAAATGACGTAAAAGGACGTAAAAACCGGCTGTTTTTTTCGTTGCGGATGAAATTTTAAACAAACTCTTGGAAACAACCGCTGGAAAATGAATTTCTCGCACGTACCGAAATCCATGCGTTCCTGAAACCTGTAAATTTCCCCGAATCGCAATGACTTGCTCGCTTCCATCGTCGATTCGGTGGGCTCGTGTGCTCTCTCAGCGACTACTTACTACCTGTTACTTTTCGTCATGGAAACCTCGAGCTCAAACAAGTTCTCGTCTCGTTTGCACCACCTGCGCGAGCTTATCTTCACTGCTGTTGCTGCTGCTCACGAGCGAAGTGAGTGCACGCACTAAGCGGCAACACCAATCGCAGACGTAGTATTTATTTCTGAATGCGTTTCAACGCGGATTAGCTCCGCATGTGTGGCAAACGCCGTTGCTCGTTTCGTGCGTTCTTCTTCTTCGGCTGTGATTTTACGCTTGAAAATTTCCGTCGAATTTTGTGTGAGTGGTGTGAGTGAGAACGTACAAGAGGCACGACCTGTGAGCGGTATGTTTCGACACCCGGGCTTGTTAGCCGACAGTCAAACAGTTAATAATGCCACCTAAAGAGCATGCAATCATTCGGGAGGCTAAGTAATATTTTTTTCTAAGTCAAAATAAACAGCACTTCAAGCGAAACGAGAATAATGATGGATAATTTATGAAATAACCATTTCTAATGTGTGTTTTATTAATTTCACCTGGAAAAAACTAATAATTAGCAGCAAACAAAAAGCAAATGTTATTTTACTTTATGGGCTACCTATTACACAACAAATAATTAACAATTAAAACAATAAAAAAATTTAAGACTTTAAGTTTTCTAATTTGCGATGCTGTGCTACGAAAGCTAATTAATAGACTACGAATTGCTAAACATAAATCTGATTTGTTTAAATGTTGTTTGATTGCAATTATAAAACAAGATTTAATTAAATATTATCTTAGTATGAAAAAACTTTTGATTTTTTTTATGAAACAGAAACTTGCAATTCCAGAATTGCAATAAATATTAAGTCTACTACTGACCGTCCGTAAAATGCACATATTCATTAAAATTTTATTCCTCGCGAAGATTTCATGCTCGTCATTTCAAATTCGTATAGCAGAAAGTTAAAATGGCCATGCAATAAACAAAGTAATTCAAATATTCTATTTGTAGGAAAATTCGTAGGCGAAAAAGTATTACATACTAAAACTTGCATGTGTTTTACTGTAGTTGCTAAAAACAAAATGAAAACAAGGAAATATCTTCATTTATTTAATGTTTACTGCAGTTTTCATGATTGTTTCGAGACGAAAAATTGTTTATTTTAATGGTTGGAGGCTTGGGTACTTTAAATATTTGGTTTGAAAAGTAGAAATGGTTAATTTGTTTTAGAATTAAATAATATATTCGAATATTCACTTCTACTAGTGAATAAAATAATTTCTAAATTAGATACTACCTTGATGCATTACCGCCGCTACAAATAACTAATATTTACCTGAATTTTGATGTTTGTTTCTGCCAAACAAAGGCCTCGTTTGTCATTAAACCAACCTCAAAGTTTAATCCAGATGACTGTGTCGACACCGATAACATGAGTTAACATAATATGATGCATACTATTCAATAAATTAATAATGCATATGGTAAATAAATAAATTGGATATTAAACATTCCTGATAACAAATTACTTACTAACAGGTACAGCAGAGATCCTACCTGTACAAAAAAACCAAAGAGTATGTAAAGTTGTTTTTTTTTGTCTCGCACATTATTAGGTACCAAATGTTCCCTAAAGTAATCAATATATTACCAGAAAAAAAGTCAAAAAGCTTCCTTTGTATAAAAAGATAAACAAAAAGACTATTTTCTCGACTGTGGTTCATTACAAGGCCACATTTAGTTATTATTTTGAGTATTAAAAGCTTGCATCCCAAACAAGTGCAAAAAGTACAACTTTATACACGCCAAACACCGACATTAAGAATATGCTCAACAAGTTTAACATACACACACATAAATTCCATATTAAACCCCCAAATTATACATTCACCTTGATCCAAACCCAAAATACAACAAAAACACAAAACAATAAAAACCGTAAGCATAAAATTTAATTCAGTTCCTTTTGTTTTGCATCACTGTGGCCCCCAAATCGATTCGGTAACCTCTCGACATAACATAAATCCTCTACAGCCAATAAACAATAAAAACAAGATGCTAAACTGTCGCGGCGAGGTGAACTGATTCGCCTCTTGCCCCGTCCGCAAAGCACGGCCGAAGAACCGAAGAAGAGGCCAAAGGCCGCGCGCCTGCACTCGCGTCCCAGCCCGAAAACGTGAATATGAATTCCGCCACGATGATTCTCCCATCGCGGAAGCGAATTAAAACAAAGCGCACCAATACACAATCAATCGCTCACACGCTTAACATGTGATATCTCAACCATTAAAGATGTAAAAACACAGAAATAAGATAAATTTGATGAGTTGATCGGCATTTGTTTTTTCATCAACAGATGAATATATATTAATAAAATAAAAATAATAATTTGCAGTTATTACCTGATAATGTGCGTAAGAATTCCAGCTACGCCGAGGTCATCATTGCGCCAGCATCCGAGCACACGGCACACGGTCGAACAATAACAATTCGCCGCTTGTCGGCTTCACAAGAAAATCACGCACAAACGGCACGTTTGCACACAACTTTTGTTTCAGAGTTGTTTTCCTAGACGTTGTGTATCCCGGAAGGAAACGCAGCACCCTCACGATCGCCGCCCGGCGGTGCGCCGTGTAGTGGTTCAGCGCCTCGGCGGATACTCCATTTTGAAATCCGAAGAATGCCAGAGAACACTAGAGCTTTCCGCGCGGTGCACTCTCGGAACGCGCACGATTCTTCAACCACACAGCACACAGAGGAATGAAGATGTAATTGCGATGATGGTTTGTCTCTGCAGCGGCGGTTTTGATACGCTGAGAAGGCGAAATTTTGTGATCGCAGCTCGCGTATTTGCTTGCAACCCCGACGTTTACGCGATCCTCGCCGTCGTCGCCTCTTGTCGCCGTTCGCGCACTGTGCGGCGCCCGACTTGTGCCGACCGAGGGTGCGTGAGTTTCAACGCATGCCAGCAGAGGGCGCCACCTCCCAGGCACGCACAGTTTGTATTCCTTGCTTTTTCGCTGCGTGTGCGATGCGCGCTACTCTTCGAGCATCGAACGTCGACCGAACCTGCCGACCGGTTTTTGTTCCAAGTTCCAAGCACACCGCCCAGCACAGAACCGGCTTTGCTATATGAAATATTTTAATGTTAAATTATACTGTCATTTAACTGTCAAAAAGTAAGTGTAATCTCTGATATAAACAAGTTTTATTTATGAATTCGCTGTAAACTGTGTAATGGTGTCGAAATTCTCGATAATTTGCTCCGCGCCGATGCCAACAATTAACACCGGTTTGTTAACGCGCTTAATAGATTTAACAAATTAAGAAACATCCTCACACTTCGACGAATTAATGCGCTCACTTGTATATTCGCTGGTTTTGTTTGGAAATGTGTGACGCATGCGCCATTTTGTTTTCACAAACAACATATTTGTAAAATTACATTAAAACGCCCGGACACGCTGCGAGCGAAACATTTATAAACAAATGTTCGGCGTGAAACCAACTGAAACCACTTTGAACTAAAGATTTGGTAATAATTAAATGTGTTAGAGATTTAAAAAAAGTTTTAAACGTACTTAAGTACGTTGGTCGTATACTTGCTTAATCGAGAACGTCATTATCTCATAGTCCAAGTTGAACCCTACACTGCCACACGCGCTCCGACTGTAGAAATACGTAAAAAGATTAAGATTAAAGAGTGTGGACACAAATTGATGTCATTCAGATACAATTCTCGGGCACAATAAGTAAAAAGTAAGTATTTGTTCAACTCTCAATTCTGTTACAAACAGAATTGCCGATCATGTGTTCTTCATTTGTTGATTGTGTTTGTTTTGTTTCCCGCAGCTCAGAATGAGGGCAGCACTAAACACATGGCGCGAAAGTTCAAGTCTTTTGCTCATCGCCAAAACGAATTTTGTTCCGCCTGTCAGTGGCACAGCTACAGACTTTAACTACAAACTGTTAAGCATTAAACGCTCTACAAAGAGCAAATTCATGCCTGATACGCATGTGTTTCCCGGTGGAAACATTTCCTCAGCGGATAAATCCACAGACTGGTTGCAATTGTACGAAAAATTCGGTTTTCAACGCGATGCATTTGCTAGACTGGATTATAAAGTCAATCGACCTCCAATCCTGCAAGATTATGATAGTGAGAATGCCAAAGAGCAGTTGCCACAGTTTTTGTCGCTGCGGATCGGTGCCATTCGAGAAACCTTCGAGGAATGCGGCATTCTTATTTGTAGAAGCTATAAAATTAATTACAAGGAGAGGATGGCTCGATGGGCATCATTCATAGGTAATTTTTTGTTTTATATTGCTCAGAAAACAATAAAATATTGTTTTCAGGCGGACCTGAAATAAAAAAATGGCAGGATTTAGTCCATGACGATCCACAAAAGTTTCTAGAATTATGCCATAAATTCGAAGTATACCCAGATGTTTGGGCCTTAAAAGAATGGGCAAACTGGTCCACACCTGCTACGATACCGCGAAAATTCGACACCATGTTTTTCCTTGCAGCTTTCTATGAAACACCTGCCGCGTACGCAGAAAAACACGAAGTGCAACACCTAGAGGTATGCAACCAAACATACACTAACTGTTTATATACTATTTGTAATTTGTAAACATGTTATATAGTGGGCGACACCAAAAGATTACGTCCTTCGTAACCGCCTGGAAGAAATCGCACTACCACCGCCACAATTCTACGAGATTTCCCGCCTGGGAAACTTCCTAGACGTTGATCGCCTGATGAAATTCGCGCATGAACGCGCCGCGCAAGGCATCGAACGTTTCATCCCGGTGCATTGCAAAACCGACAAAGGTGTATACGCCATCTTGCCTGGTGATGATCTTTACCCAGACAGTCCTGAATCTGTCGACGGTGCACTGGAAATGGCGCATCTTCCGGACAGCGAAGTCCAGAATCGCGTGCAACATAAAACTTTATATCTACATGATCTATGCGTGAAAAACTACACGCCTAAATGCGGACATGTTGTCCCAATAGACTTCCCGTCCAATGGCGGACATAAATTATAACCTATAACTGCACTAGTCATATAAACTATGGGTTGGTAAAATATGCTTAAGTTATTTACAAAGTTTTGGTTTAATGTCTACACAATTGACATATAGCCTGGTATGAGAAGCTAATTGAAGCCTCCAGAGGGCGCTGCGCACGCCGCTGCGCCCAGAATGCTTTTCAGCATTTGATTGATGGAAATCAACGTGTTGCATGCGAAATAATACACAATACAATCAACAAATAGGGGGTGAAATTGCCGTACAGTAAAGTGTTCCATTGTGAACTAAGCTGTATAAAAAATAGATATAAACGTGTTTATGAAAAATATGTGCGGCTAGAAATAATTGATGCTTCCATTATGTGAGTATGTGCGACTTAAAACGAGGAGATAAAATTGCACGCATAATTATTGCTTTGTTTGAAATTTCATTTAAACTTTCTGCCATTATAGTTAATATCGCTAGTTGTTATGTATGTACAGGTATAACACAATGGGCGATCAGCAAACTGGCCCAGTGTTCTCTTGTATATGTAGCGTGTTTTGTTTTCTGTTTACTTTAGAGTTTTTTTTTAGAGGTTAAAAAATGGGATCATATATATTAGATTTATAAATGTTGGTTTTGCGTTTTTTTGTGTGTTTGCTCATTTGTTGTCTTAATTCGTAGAGATTCAAAGATTAATTAGTTAATATCGTAATTAATGTTATATCACTAATTGCATCGTTTTTGACGGCGTTTGGACTACGCAAAATTGCAACGTTTAGTTACTCCGCCATCTTGAATGTTTTCATGTAGGACATTTGCCGACGTTATCGCCTAGCTAATTAAGTCGCTAATTAATTACATAGTATTGATAAATCTCAATGCAAATGCGTGTTCTCTCCTTATCTCACCTTTATAAACATGGTAACAATCAATCTAATTTCGTTCCCACTTTATCAGGCAGGTACGGTACGAAAATAATCGCTCGCTTGCGTTCGTTAATTTAGTTTTGTTTGGTTTCGTTGTTGTTGCATCATCAACAAGTGTTTGCAAAATCGCAGCTAATCATTCAACTAATCAAATGGTAATTCAATTTCACTAGGATATCATTTAAGTATATAAGTAATCAGTGTGTTTTGTGTGTGTGCTCTTGTTCCCATCGTTTCTGCGCAGATTCAAATATTTGAGTTAGTTTCCTTTGGCAAGTTAGGTTCAAAATTGTCAGCTAGGCTTACAATAGTTAAACGTAGAGGGCGCTTCAAGCTAAAATATAATCTAAGACTCGGAATGAATTTAACCTATATCTAAAAACCGCCGACATCTTGTCTTTGGGCTGATTGTTGGTGGTTAGGAGAAAAGTCTCGCCCAAATCGCCCGAATGTACTGCTTCAACGGCTCGTACACCTGATACCTTAACGAGTTGATCTCCGGTGTCGCGCGTAGACCAGTGAGTGCATCGCTTTCGCTCTCCATGAGTACGATGGTTGATGCTAGTACAAGTGTGGTGACGATGACGAATGACGGCACGAATGCTTTGACAACGTTAAATCTCCGCCCGCCGCGTGGTGTAGTTGGCGCTGCCTTCGCTGCGCCATGATTGTTCGGCACGCATGCGCGCCCATCGACAGTGGAGTGCGATAGCAGCGGCGTTTGACTACGACTAGAGCGCGCTGTCGTCGGTTCATACACGCTAGACCTACCAAACGACGCTAGATTCAACTGCGATTCACTAGAGGAGTGCTCGAAGGAATCGCGGAAGTAGTAATCGCTGAACCGGTCCATCGAATCGTCTTTCAGGACGGTTGTACGTAGTTTAGTCATGCCAGATCCTTCCTGATCCTCACAAACTGTTTCAAGACCTGCGACGTCAGCGTAGATTTGTCCGTCGAGACCGGAGCATAAACCAGATGAAGAACAGGGCTCCATGCGTGATCCACCAGCGTCCGAATGACTGGAGCGCGTTAGATTATTGTAACCAAGATGTGGCTGGAGGGGTGTGGAAGGCGTGGCCGGAACTGAAGACGCCTTGCGGCGCAGACTCGCCGTGCGCTGGATGTTCGGCTCTTCTCTGTCAGGTGAATTGGTGTCTTCGCGAATTTCTTTTTCTGTGCGCCCGGTGTACTTGAACTTTGTGCCCCAGGAGAAAAATCCACCGCCGGAAACAATCGGCGCGTCGGAACTCTTATTTAACCTAAAATATATGAATTAAAGATAAAGAAACATAACTAATCGGTTAAAGATGAATATTTACGTAAAAAACAACATTTGTTCCATTGCACAGCGCCACACATGTCTGCAGGCAGCGCCTGTGGGACATTTGAAACCTACGGTGTGTTTCTTCTGAAACAAACAAGCTGTCAAACACTATTCTCTTAAAATATACGCAGTTTAAAAACTGACCAATCACAGCACTCGCCTGGTCGGCCATGTTTTTCTTTGCGCATACTCACATCGTTATAATTCAAATGTATAATAAACATCTTCCCCTCATAGTTAATCTTCTGGATATCCAGCCACCGAAAGTGGTGAGTCTTTTTCGAGCCCTGAATCGTTAATATCCCACTGTAGTTAATCCCTAAATAAAGTTGCGAGCTCTTATGGTCCTTCACCGAATGCGGATCAATGCCATAGGTGTCTAACTGCGCCGCTAGCTTCATAAACATATTCTCCATTTGCTCGGGCGTCTGCCCTTTCAGTTGTTTCTGATGGATCTCCATTGCTTTTTCTTCAATGGCCTCGGTTTGTTTGATGAGGATGCGCAAGTCGCTGACATAATTTCCATAGTGGATTTCTGGATCATGATCGCCAAGCTCCCACTGCACAATGTAGGCAGCCAACTGCGCCGCCTCATTCGGCACACAATACAAGCGCCCATGGAGGAGATCGCGCTTCACTTGTAAAAATAACTGATACCGCGTGATCTCCTCCTTCACCTTAAAAGGATCCGGCGGGTAAAACTTAATACGGAAACTAAATAGCACTGGATCCAGATCTTTCACTTGTTTGGCGATGGATTTGCCAAGATCTAACCAGTGCTACGAGAAATCATTGCGATTAACAAAGTAGGCAACTAATTATACATATTTATTTAGATCTTACTCTTTGTTCATTGATATCAACATATCTCAGTCCTAGGTAATCCTGTTCAACAAGATTCAATTGTTGACAGACATAATCCAACAGATATTTGCCTTTACTATGAGGCTAAAAACAAGTGAATATTTATCAATGTGATCATTTTGTGTGAGTTATAAGTGTACTAACCTTATATTCACATTCTAAAATCTCCGTGTCTTCGAGCAGCCGCACAGTGCATTTGTGCACAATGTTACTGTCACCTCGAGAGCCAAACTTTAACATTTTTCCTTCTTAACATGTGTTGCTGTGCTACTTTGACGGCATGTTTTCTCCTTTCAACTGTATCTTCTATGTTTCCCTTATGTTTTCATGTTGTTCACTGCACGTTTGTTGGATTTCTAGTGTGCGCACAGCGTATTCGAGGAGATTTTGCGATTTTCGGCGTCTTCGTGAGTGTTTATCACATTTCGGTGGTTCGGTGGCCTGCTCTGGATGCGTCTGACAGCCGGAGCGACCCGGACGACTTTCATCAGCCGGGCGCCACTTCGACGGTCACTTGTTTTCTGTTTTCTCTGCTTTCCGGCTTTCGCTGAGTGCAGGGTTGTAATGTAGGCAACTTTATATACTTCCAAAGTAAGAGTAAAATATTTTCGGAAGATAAACAGTGAAAATTTGGGTAAGTAAGTATAATTTACTATATTAACTTTAACTTTCGGCGACTGTATTAGAATAAATATTGAACTGAATATGATTTGGCATATATTACATCATTTTCAGAAGTGAATGATGTAAATAATCATTACTGTGATGAGAATCCATTCTGATAAACGGTGACCTCTTTATGTTAACCCTAAAAAACTTGATTATTACATTGTCAAAATCATTTCAGTGTGTTTAAATATCTGAAATTTACTTCTTTAGAATTGATTTTCATTTATAAACCTGAGATTATGGAAATTATGGGAGTAAAATCAAATTTCCATGACACATTCAATGTCAACCGATGTCACCCGATCTTTCCCGATCACAGGAACGTATTTTTTTACTCCAACTTGTTTTCCAAAATGCATTTAAGGAATATTTACAAATAACACACACAATTCATCCGAAATGTTTTATATATTTTCATCACGTCAGTACAATATATTGTGTACTTTGTCGGGCAAAACTCCCTAACGCTCATCATAAATTTTATCATCTGACAGTCTCGCGGGTTTAGGTATATGCTTATCATATGCTCCGATATTTTATAATACACAGTTCGATATATATTTCTATTCCTCTCCGACATCTTGCATCGATGCACACATCATCTCCACGGTATGGTAATGGTTGTCGCGTTGTACTTGTGCGCGGCTTATCGGCGCTTCTTAACGACTACAAAATAAGCTAGACGCTTCGTTTTATGTACAGTGTCTATGTGTGTGTGTGTTTGTTTAAATTACAACTCATAATAGCTAGTAGTAGTACAATATATATGTATCATATGTATAATTGTATGGTAAAGGCACTGTTTGTTATACAACATATTAAACGCTCTCTCCTCCGCTAGGTGGCGCACGCGCCCTGACTAAGAATATCGATAAAATTCGCAACAACATAATGGCAAAATGGCAATTGTAATCCGAGCGGCGAGAAACCAACGAGAAAGACGAATATTATAATGATACAAGATAAATAAATACGAAGTATGGTGTGAAAAGTTGCCACAGTCTTTCTCGCCCTTGTCGATCACGCGCTGCGGACCAAAATAAATATGACTAATAATCGACTCCCTATGCTTTACACGTGTCTTCTTGCAATCGATTGGTGGGAGTCGACTCGTGTGTGGTGGGGGTGAGTATGTGTGTGCTATGACATTAATAAGTGAGGAACAACCGTTTCGTCTCTCTTAACTAAGATATACAATAGATATACATGATTAGGTTAGATTTAGGTTATAAGTATGACAGCGCCAACATGGCGGCCATATATACGCTGTACGCGCGCATTCCTCAAATGTCCCTCGTTGAATAATGTAAGTACTCGCGGCGCTTCGGCGTTCTGCTCCATCAGCCCCTGCCTCCGATCGAATATCTTGATTTTTAAGGGTTGCACAGCCTTGGTTCATGTATGATTTGTGTGTAGACTAGAATGTACTCAAAATGGCGGCACAACGCTGGTGGCTTATACACTGCAGCCGGGCGCCACCTCTTCACCAGGTGGCGCTGCGCTCCAGCGATATTGTAGGCATGTGCTTGATTTGCCGGTGGTTTCCGCCGTGCGCAAACTCTGTTCCAGCTCAAGCAGTTGACCCATAAAGTTGAGGTTAGGGGAGATGATCGGCCGTACGGCTTTGACCATTTTGTACGCGTCCACCATTGACTTTTGCTTGTACTTCATTATGTAAGCGATGGCGATGGTGGCGCTGCGCGATACGCCCGCCTGGCAATGCACTAATACTTTGGAACCCTTTTTCCTCGCGTCCTCTGTAAACATACAAAGAAAACCAATTAGCACATACAATTGATTTGGTATCGATATATGTAGTAAATTAAAACAATTGAACGCGATTGAATTGAAGGTTGTGTAATGTATCGTGTGTAGCATGACCGCCATTAAATTTAAAACCAATTTGTTCTCATTCGGCGGCGCGTGAAATTGATAACATTACAATGGGAGGACGTCCAGGGCCGTGACGTAATCACGCATTACGTCCAACAACAGTTACAATCAAAAAAATCATCGGTTTTCCGTAAATGCAACAAGTACATGTCAGGCAACCAGTCGTACACGATGCGTTAAATTGGTTGCCTACCATACAACACCAGAAATACTCCGAAATGTATTCTTTTCACACTCTACATATTGAGCAATTGTATCATTCGTAAATTATAGCTAGTCTTTTTTTATATATATCTACACGCGCGTTTAGAAATGTGTGTGACTGTCTGTTTCATGTTCGGAGTGGATTGCGCAGTACGGGGCCGCGATTAACGTCGACGATGACTCACTTCGATTACGATTCGTTTTTTCGACACAACGCACAAACACACACACACCAATGCAAAGCACTTATAAATAAAAATGTCGATTACCTGCGGGATATACAGTGTGTTGCTAGAATAAAATTCGAGGAGAACTAGAAACAGCGCGTGATCAAGGTGACTGACTACATTAATGACTAATGATTTGATTAAAATCGAAAACAAACGGGGAATAGACAATGGAGAAACGCGTGGCATTAGTAACAAATGATTGTGGATGACACAAGTTGTGATATCTCCTGAGAGATTTTAATCTAATTAAAAAAAAAACGTTATAAAAATAAAAATTGTTAATTGGGTTGCCTGTATTTCAATATGCAGTAATTTAAATTTAAATCTTAGTTCCGGGCGTAGCATTAAATTAAAATAAAATCGGCGTCTATTTCGAATCGTGACCTGCGCGCCAGCAGAATCTCTCGGTTAGGAGAGAGTCGAAGTGACTCCTAGATCAAACACAAAACTCTATTCAAGACCTGAACGACTTTTGGACGACTAACTCAGCGGTGTGTTCATTTTGTACATTTTGTAGCGTGCGGTCATCGTCTAAAATTATCCTCGACGTTTTGTGTCTGCCTGCCGTTTACGTACATCAACAAAATCACATACGAACGGAGAAAGCGAATGAAATTTTTTACCGACACCAGCGCCATCTATATTTAAATACTTCTAGATTAATATTAATCCGCCATTGTTTAGTATGCGTGGCTAAACTACTAGTAAACTTTTCCATCGGCGTTCTAAATTAGTCACCACCGGCGCAAATTCTCCCAAAAGCCGAGGTCAGTAAACTGCATTGTATTGAGTGATGCAGTCACAAGCCGCAAAGTGTATAATGGTGTAATCTTCCATTGTGATATTTTTAAGCTTGGGCAAAGTCGCAAATTGATTGCCAGCGCGCCGCACGACATGTTTGCGCATTGATTCATCATCCCCTGGATGTAAATAGAAGTGACTCAAGCCGCGATTTGTTGATCATCCCAGCCCAACCCAGCATTACAATAGTTTGCATTGTATTAGAGCAGGGCACCCCCTTTACAGGAAAGAAAAGCGTAAGTGGAGTGAACTAAATATACACCGATGATTTCATCGGCGATTGTCGGAACTGGGTCGATTCGAATACCGGGCCTGCCAACCGTCACACAACCCCAATACAACACAATGCATACAAACATCCGTACATTTCCGTTGGAGGTGAGCTCTTAGTCATGCACACATGCCTTCATCATGAATGAACCACCACCAACTGTTCACATATTTTTATTTATGAACTAGCTGTTGCCCGCGACTTCGTTCCGGCAGTGTTTAATAAAAATGTAATTCGTTTTTACTCTCTTGTTCTAGACATACTCGTAGTAAGAGTCAATTCTATCAATAATATTAGCAATTTTAATTTAAAGAAATTATGCATATAAAGTTTTGTCAATAATGCACTTCAGCGCGCCATCTCGAATTCAACTATTTAACTATAACTATGATTGAATCTCAATGTCAATTTTTATTCTATAGAAAAGAGCTGTTTTGAGGATTTTCCCGGCAATTATTCGAATTTTTCTTACCTTTTAAACCTTCCCTAGACCTCCACGAATAATTCAAGACCAAGATAAGATAAATCCGTTCAGCCGTTCTCGAGTTTTAGCGAGACTAACGAACAGCAATTCATTTTTATATATATAGATTTATTTCAATATAGGGTTAAGTAATAATTGTGTTGTCTGCGCGCCATTTTGGATTTACAGATGTTACGCGACAGGGAAGTAACCGGGATACATTCCCGGGGTGCGTGACTCATGCACCGGGAGAGCGTCGACCCGACCCGCAGCCGCCCGGCCCGTAATAGATGCAGGCGTGCGCACCGTAGGTACCGAAAAACGACCCAAACAAAAGACGAAGTGCGATGAGTAATGCTGACGCTGACGGCGACCAGAAATACGCGAGACCCACCCGAGACCAACGCTCGTGAGTACGTCCTTGCCCACACCGATACATTCACGCTCGCATGCACACTCAACTGTTGCATGTTGTATATTATTCGCTCAAGAGACCTCAAGTCAAGAGATTCCGACGAATAAGAACGCTAAGAATCGACGTACGTTCACTCCATCTATCTCACTCACTCGTATGGTAGGTGAGTATACAAGTTACTATCGCGGATGAAATATTTTCTTCTCCGAGTCCAAGAGTCGAGGACGTTCAAACGTCCGCGCGCGCACACCTTACAATTTCTACGCGTTACTCACTCTCGTTTTTCGACCTTTCCAAACCGCGCTAGCGGCCATTTTGAATAGTTCCCTAGATGACATAATGAGATCATATATAAGTATTCGAACGCGCACAGTATGAAAATTACTCATTTAATAAACAAAATGGCGGTCAAAAGGTCGTGGCTGTCACTGCGCAATATTCGTAATCCCAACTGGCCCAAGTTCAACATTTGCATACCCGCATTATCGTAAGTGTTAAAGTGTAAATCACCCGTGTGACTCATCGTACATAATCAGTTGTCAATTGTCATTTTACTTTCGCTACTCACCGATAAATTCAAAAGCCTCCTCGAAATACTGCTTCAGATTCTGCTGGCCGGAGTCGGAGGCGGGTATCTGCTTGTAGGTAATACCGCACTCTCGTTGATAACCAGGCAGCTGTGAGGTGACGTTGAGCACGCATGTTGTGCCCAGATCCTGGAGGCCCTTCAGGTCGGCAGCGTCGCGACTATTGCCAAGGTAGAGGTAGGGGAGGACCCGCGATGCGGGATGTGTTTCGATATCGGCCGTCGACGTGGGCGTCGCGGCGCCGCCGCCACGCGCCGATGAGCACATGCCGGCGGCGAGTGTGTCTTCGCAAAAGTCTTTATGCCTGCGATGGAACTCGCGGTGACCCCCTGGGAAAAAACAAAACAAAAACATTCATATAATACAATATCCAACGTAACACTTATGAGTCATGCTAATGTTTACAACTTTAATGTCTACAATGTCCATAAGATGTAAAAAATACAGTTAAAAGTGTAAAGTACATCTGACATCATCAAGGATTCAATATGACGGCTTGCTAATTGGCGATACATGGAAATGTAATTAATTTAACAGGTGTACAGATGAAAATTAACTGGAAACTTGTTAAATTGTTCATAAATCATTCAATTCCAAGAAGATAATGTTAGTTTTGGTTATGCTTCATTTGTTTATATATCTGGAAACTTTTCAAACGCTAACCTAACCTCCAAAAGAGAGCATAATATGTTTATTGATGATTCACAGAATATTCTCGGTAGCAGTGTTTACATAACCTCACTTTCGTTTATAATATGTATCCAGCTGACTTCCAGGCTCATCTGTAAGCATCACCGCGATTGTTTACATAGATAACCTCTAAGCCCTGCTTTAGATTGTATTGTATCACAAACCACGACAAATATTGTCGTGTTTTTAAACCACAGTACTAAAAGTGGAATATTTCACCGCAAAGATGGAAAACACCAGTATTACTAACAAAAACTAACCTACAATGACTTATAACCAATCAAATTGCATCTAAAGGAAACTTACGATTGTGATTGGTCGCGATTGCGTTGGAAGACGTCTGTGGAATGATGAGAACAAGACAATTCTGGCGTTTCAACCTCATTTTCATTTAGTATTTGTATATAATTTTAAAAAATCCGGAAAATTCCACACTTTGCACTTTAATTCACAGACCAGCACAGTTTAACATTACAAAATGGCCGACACAAAATAAAACAAAACAAATAATTGTTTTGTTTTGTTTATATTCGAGTTTTGTTCTTAAAGAAACAAAAAGAATAAATATTAAATCCAAAATGGCACTGATACACGAATTATGCTTTGAGAATTAAGCACTTTACGTAAATAATTAACTTTTTTTCCAAATCAAAACAGTAGCACGTGTTTTCGCCAGCAGCGCACACAAAACTTGTGTAGCTAACGACGATCTTGAATTGACTGAGTTGTGCGCCAACTGCGTCGTTTGTCGTTGCACGTTCGCACGCGGCCCCCACCCCAACCGCCATAAACGATATTTTGAATCACCATATCACATCCACACACACAACCAAACAACTAAATGTGAATGTGTGAATGGCGAGAGATGCGTCATACGAGCATACTTCACTTTCCGTGCGCGTTTGTGTTTTGTTTTGGTTTTTACTCTCTGCGCATGAGTGTGTGTGTGTGTGTTAGGGACGACCATCTTTGGGGACACGGGACACCCGTGCAACTCGTGCGTTCTAGATGTTCGAGCGCACGTCATCCAGCGTGCGAACGTAAACAGAACGGTGGCCAGAGAGCAAGAAACCATTGCAGTGTGTGTGTGTGCTGTCAAGGACGTCCTCGTACGATGAGTGTGTGAATTGCGACGAAACAAGATGAGGAAGATAGACTGGGTTCCAGTGGTTGATTCAACAACCAGAACCAGGAACAAGAAAAATACCGCGCAACGCGCATGACTAATATAATAATATAGACATAACCTAAGTTTTAACATGTTTATAACCTAATTTGTATGCGATATGCATGCGGAGTGGATGACGAAGCGCCGAGTGACATTTTTAAGCGCTGCTTCATGGTTTATTCTTGAACAATCCGGGGAATTAATCACTGCGCATGGAAGACTTTGCGTCGCCGCTATGGCTGAGTCGGGCGTAAGCGCATTATCGCCGCTAATGAGGAAACGCGACATGATTTCATTGTGTAATTGTGCTGAGTAATGCACGTGCCTGGGTTCCATGCGGGCACGTAGTGATCGGACAACTGACTGGGTTCTAGGAGGAAACAGAAGTAACATTGGGCAATGTTACACAAATTAGGCACACTCACTGATAACAAAGATTAATTGTTATCTCAGCTTTATTATTTATATTTATAATCTATTAGATTATAACCTCAAACAGTCAGGAAGACTGTTAAAAATTTAACCTAAAATTTTTTATTCTTAAAAATTGATGATTAATCAATATATTTCTATGTAAATGCAAAAAATTGATTTTCTGGAAAATTGAAGTCTGGAATGAATGGAAACATGAAAGTAATGTTGCATCATTTTGTGTTAAATGCGAGTAAATTTCCACGCACACTTTCTACATAGTCATTCATTATCATATTAATATATATGATCTATGTGTGTTTATGTGTGTCTATGTGTGAGTTGACATTCCAGCAATTTCCAAATATCAACGTTGTGAATGGCGTTATTTCGTCTTATGTTGTGTATTTTCGAATACATACAACCAAATTGCGTCCAATTGCGGTGCGGTCTCTAATTGTTTAAACTTCATTCACGTCCTTGCATATGCTCGCCGCAAACGAATCGCGGAAATTACGATCCCTGTCATCTAATCACTCCGCGAATGGACGCGCAGTTAATGCGTAAATTCAATGAATGATTATTCATGCTGGCAATTAAAACAATAACAACAAATACTATGTAGGTACATGCATACATTATGCAGCAGACATTGTATTTATATCAACAAAACTTTATCGGAAATTTTTTTTTTTTGAAATTTTTGAATTTATCTTCATCCTGAAGAGAAGAATAATAAATTTGGGATTAGAAGTTTTGAGATACAAAAAGTGACACTTTAAACACGGGCAGCCATAGATGTGACTAAAGTACTTTATTGAGTGACAACAAGTCAACGAATTCAATTAATAATTAATCGCGAAAGATAATATTTATTGCTGTGGAAGTTCCCAGATGATGTTATTTTCCTCTGTAGAATAAGTATTTTCGTATTTCCCAAAAAGCAATATAAGACTTTAGTCATGCCGTGGAAATCTTCGAATCCCAAATTGCGCAGTCTGCCAAACATTTCCGTTTATAAACAAAATGGCGCCTCAAAATTGGGTATAATTAACGCAGTGTACTTTCCCACCACACACGAGTGTAGTTCAAGATTAGAAGAATGAGTAATGTGTTGAATTCTTAAAATTTCCTGAACCAGTTTCGCTTGCTTCTTTTGTTGTGTTTTCGGTGTTTCACGTGGCATGTGTGTTTTGGCGCTTGCAAATCAGGGTGATCCTCATCTGCGGTTGATGATGCTGCTGGCGTATGCACGCTCGGAAGGGCGATGAATCATAAAAAAATAGGGTAACATATTCGTCATCGTGCGGGAGCATCATCGTCAACGGTCAAAGCTGCGACGACGACAACGACGACGAGGGGAATTATACTATAACACAACATGCGTACGAGTACACGTCATCTTACTTTTCACTTTCGGTTTCAATTTCAACGCACAATACGCACTTTTGTTTATGCCACACAATGAGCAGGGATGACGCATGGCATCCCTTCGTATTTATACCCTTTTATATCAGAATCCCTATCCCTACTAATATTATAAATGCGAAAGTCCTAATGTTTGTTACACTTTCACGCAAAAACTACTTAACCGATCATCATTAAAATTTGTACACATATTCTTAGTGGTCCCCGAATGGTTATAGGCTACTTTTTATTTAATAAAAAAAATTATTATTTAAATAAAATAAAGAAATAGTTTAGCCAATAATACCTCTGCATCTGGCTATTTGACTACTTTAACGCCATCTAGCATTCCAGCAATGAAGCTCAAACCTAAGTACTATAGTACCATCACACTGTATTATCACACTGTATTACCAACAGCTACGTCAACATCAAATCCAATTGACTACACTATGGAGACTGTACACTATACTTCCATAGACTATACTTTCAGCCATTTTAAACTTCCCGCCATTCTACTTCATTGTTACTTCTTCTGTGACTACAGACGCGTACGGAAGCAACTTCATTAGTTTAGATATTCGCGAGCGAAGCCAAGGGTTAAAGCTAGTTGAAAATAAAACAAATGGGAAAAAGTTTATTTTTAGTTGTTTAAGAAAACTAATACAAAACACATGATACTACTTTGTTTATAGAATTTTTTCACGTGAGAAAATGATTTAGTTTCTGAACAATCCGATAAATAATTGCATTTTTAATATCCTGGTGCTGCCACCTATAGTCATATAAAACAAGTGTGTTTAAAACTGACGTTTCTATTTATACCGTAGCGCCATCTGTCGGGATATCACATCTACTAATCATTAAACTTAATTTTTTCATATTCTGAATGAAACTAGTACATGATGAAATGTAAACAAGAAATAATTCCCAAAGATAAATAAATATTTATGAATCCTGCTATCACTAGTCGTGCAAACTGAATGACTCACCGCTACGCAAATCATTCAATGCAATGTCAATTCATATTTATTCGCAAACAATGACAAATCGCTGGAATTCTTTTTATACGCCAAAGATTTCCGCCTAATGGCGATGACCAATGGATGACAGCGTAATGGCAGACAGATGCGTGCTGCTGGTAATACGCTTGCACGCCTGTATGACAAGCGGAAGTAGTGGATGATTGAATGAATGACTGTAACGACTGCAATGACTTTACCCTCGTCGTCTTTCGACGCTTCGACATGTTGACACAACGCAATGAAATCATACGATTACTCCACGCATCCAAATACGCATTATATCACCGATTGACACTCACTCACGACCAATTCGATTAGTCACTAAAATAACACAGCGGAGATAAATGTGATTATCTCATTTTTGGGCTGGTAGAGTATAGATGGCGTGAATTTATCAATTCTGAAGGCATTTGTTTGAGAATTGAGTGAATTTTAAACATGGGGGGGAAAGGCCGTGACTAAAGTACTTTATCACGGGCTTTAGTCACGGGGCGGAGCTTCCACTAGCTACAAATTTAAAAAAAAAGAAAAATTTTCTTTAAATTAATTGAGATAAGCTTAAACATTTCCTAATACCTAATTATTTCTAAAAGTAGTAAACAGCTACCGATAATTAAATTATCTGTAACTGTAACTAGTTGATTATTATATATTTAAAGTTGTGTACGCTGAGTCATCAGCAGCACTTAAGTGCGTCTGTTGTATAGTGGAATTTGGAGAATTAAAGAAATTAGTAATTGAGCAATTAGTAAGTAAGCACATGTGATACACTCCCTTGTTTAGCCGCTTAACTCAACTCGACTCGACTCGATTGGAGTGAGTGAGCGTTTGGGGGAAAGTGAAAAGCGCGCGCAAAATAAAAAGATAACGGCGCCATCTGGTTGAGTCACGAGCGCTCCGGCATTGTTTACATCGTAAATATTCTACAATTGCGTTTGTTTTGCGCTTGTTTCGCGCCGTGTGTTTTTCTTGTTTGCACTGCCAAGGAGGAAAACAATGACTAAGCGATTGTAATCTCAATAAACACACTCCAAATTAAAATATTAAAATATTACCGCAAAAAAAGAGCTAAGTCATTGAAGGTAGACAGATTTATGTCAAATTTGATTATTATTTCATTAAGAAGGCAATTTAGCGCCATCTGGTAGGCAATTATTTAACTATAAGTATAATAGAATGTGTATATCAACTTTCATCCCTTATTTAACACCCTTAGAGTAAAAATTTTCGATATTTTAATGATTATTCTTCTATTTTAAGAGATAACAAACCAAAAAAATCATAGATAATCAAAATCTGCCTTTCTGATCATTAGTTATACTTGATGTAACTAACAAAATAATATTTATCTTTAATTTATTTAAGTGGAAGGTTGGATTTTCCTTGAAAATAGGCATAAAATTTATCTTATACCACATTTACTCCACATATCTTCCGTGTGCCTCTTTCCTACTTCCTATAAACTTTCATCCCTTATTTAACACCCTTAGAGTAAAAATTTTCGGGATTTTAATGATTATTCTTCTATTCTAAGAGATAACAAACCAAAAAAATCATAGATAATCAAAATCTGCCTTTCTGATCTTAAGTTATATTTGATGTAACTAACAAAATAATATTTATCTTTAATTTAAGTGGAAGGTCGAAGACTTTCCTTGAAAATAAGCACAAAATTTATCTTATACTCTTCAATTTAAATGTACTCCACATTTCTTCCGTGTTCCTCTTTCCTACTTCCTATCTCTGTCTACCTCACTCACTCACAATGAAAACATTCGCGAATTCAAAATATAATAAATTTCGTACGCATGACTCGGACACCAATATAAATATCAAGTACACATACGATTACAATGTGTTCGGATGCGAGAGTGATGTGTGTATATACGTGTGTGTATTTTCGTGCGCCAGAAACCTTGACGCTGGCAAATTCCGCATTTGCATACATCACACAGCAGACAGACACATTGAAACAATCTGTTGTCGCATCGCATCGCAATCGGAATAAAAATCAAATCGAGCAAACACACACGCGTCGTGTGACAAGATGACTCATCGTGCCTTGCAAAGATGTTTACCATTTACCAATTTATTACAGTCATTTACCAGACGCACGCCATCTCCATAAAAGCAATGCAAACGCGCCCAAAATTAAAAATAATACTAAAAAACCTAACAAAATAAAACATTTGCGTATTTGTGTTTATTTGTTCGCGATTATCGCACCAAAGTGCACTTTGCTACCGCATGTGACGCATTTACACAGCCGTCAGCGATAAATTGACGTGTGGGTGCAATTTAAAAAATCAAACCAACAACAACACAACGTGTATATTCGTCCTGGCAAGGGTGCAAGAGCCAAAGTAGGCTGCGCATGCGCACTGCGTGTGTTTTGCGCCGCGCGAGTTTAGAACGTGAGTAAGAGCATAAACATGCGCAGCGCACTCACCTAATAATAGCACCGGCTCCCGATTGTCCTCCACCAAGGACGCGAGCACCAGAAACAAGGGATGCTGCTGTGTGACGCGCTCCACGTCGGCGGTGGCGTCGTCGTAGACGAGCACCTGTCGTGCGGTGCGCCTGCGCAGTGCTTCCTTCCCTTCGCGCGTCGTCGCCAAATCCGCCAGACACGCCTTGCCCTGCTGCAGCCGCCGACGATTGAATCTATCCGAGCAGTTCAGATTGATAGCTCCGCCAATGTGTGACACATTGTAGGACATAAATGGCCGACAGTCGACGATAAGCATCTCCGCCCGGCTGAGACTAGCCGGACATCTGGAGGCGGCAAGGCGGCCCTGTAACCCATCTGCATCTATTGTAGAGACTTTACTCAGCACCAGCGCTCGTTGTAATGTGCCTGATTCAGCACAGGGGCTGGTCGGCAGGCTTATACTGCCGGTGGTGGCTGTGGAGGACTCCAGCTTGCAGCGCTTCGGGTGCGGGCTGAGGAAGAACGGCGCCGCTTGCGCGTTATGACTGCTGGCGGCGGATGTGGTGGTCGGTGAGGGCAGGCTAGGTGGGCCCGGCTCGCTCAGGCTGCGGTTCAACTGAAGCGTAAGACGTTCACGCGGCGCTGGTGGCGGCGCGCGGCGTCCCCCCGACACCTCCAGACACACTGCCGACATCACGACGGCCGGCGGTTGAGTAGCGCGCGCACGCGCACTCGATCTCCTTCCACGCGCGGCCTGCAAGCCAAAACAATTTTAGACGTGAGGCAATCGAGCCCAACTAAATACATAATAACATAGAATAAAAAATAATTCACACCAATACAACATACAACTTAATTTGTGTAATATTGGTTGCATACGACTACAAAAGTAATGTAGCATAATGTAATTGTGTGGAGTTATTTTTATCTGGTGCGTATTTAATTTGCACCCTCCGGAAATCCCCAGGGTGCGTTTTAGGGCCGCAAACATTGTCGAGGGTGCAAAACACCGTGACCAATGTTTCCTATTACAGGCATTACGCCGTTTAGGGGACCCATTAAATTACCATACTTTAGTCACGTTAAACACACTGTATAAAACTATACAAAGTGCCCATAAAAACACAAAAAATATTATGATATGTGGCAAATACACTTCGACGAAACAAAAAAATAAATAAATAATGTGTCCACTTTGTATATACTCGTAGTGTGTGGAAGTAGAGTGTAAAGTTCAGCGCATAAATTAAATTAACTCATGTGGATGCGCGCAGGCACGGATTGTGTCATCGTGCGGTGATTTATTTATTATTTATTATTTTCATAACGATTGTCTCGTTGGCGTTTTGTTTTATTTGCGCAGTCATTCGCAATATACATCGTAATATACAAAGTATAAAAAATAAAACAAAACAAAATGTCTGTTGATTTATGGTGTGATGTAAGTTTGGTTGCCTATGTTGCCATATTTGTAAAGTGAATCATTTCAAGAATAATTTGGATAGCTGTAAAAATGTATTGGCTATAGATGAATAATTTTTTGTTTGCTAATCAATCATAATCATAGAGTCATTAGATAACAGTGAAGTGCTGATAACTTCTCATTATCTAAACATCTAGTATTTTGATGTGTCACGGGCACTTGAATTCGATTACGAGCAAAGTTTGATGTTTTGTTAAATCGATCGCTTCTAGATTCTGATTTGTGAATTACAATCATGTTTATTTCGAAACTATCGGAAGTTTGAGTTTTATGGATAAAAATGTTTTATCTTTTGATAAAAACTTAAAATAATCCCTACTAATATTATAAATGCGAAAGTCCTGATGTTTGTTACACTTTCACGCAAAAACTACTTAACCTATCATCATGAAAATTTGTACACATATTCTTAGTGGTCCCCGAATGGTTATAGGCTACTTTTTATTTAATAAAAAAAATATTTTTTAAATAAAATAAAGAAATAGTTTAGCCAATAATACCTCTGCATCTGGCTATTTGACTACTTTAACGCCATCTAGCATTCCAGCAATGAAGCTCAAACCTAAGTACTATAGTACCATCACACTGTATTATCACACTGTATTACCGACAGCTACGTCAACATCAAAACCAATTGACTACACTATGGAGACTGTACACTATACTTCCATAGACAATACTTTCAGCCATTTTAAACTTCCCGCCATTCTACTTCATTGTTACTTCTTCTGTGACTACAGACGCGTACGGAAGCAACTTCATTATTTTAGATATTCGCGAGCGAAGCCAAGGGTTAAAATATAATTCACACTAGAATTATATTTTATAAGTGGTTAATAAATATGCAACCTAACTTGCCTATTAGGTAATTGTCCATTAAATGTAGATGGCGCTGTTCTCACAATGTGAATGTACATATGTGATTGTTCGTTGGTGATTAATTCGTCCCGATTGCCTATTACACTATTACATTTATTGGTAGTAAAATCACATCTCGTTTGCGTTTCGGGGCAAAGTTGGCAATCGGCGTTCGGGCGCTAATCGATAACCATGCGCGCGGTCGCGATCGCTATAAATAGCGTCGAAAATTATGACTAAGCGCCGAAACGCCACGCAAAGCGAAAAAAAAACGCACACAAAAAACAACAACCCACTTATTCGCAAATAGTCCTTTTATAGACCTGAAATACACCGAAACAACACACGAAAATATTCCAATTTATTCACTAGACTAGAGTAAGAATAAATCCGCCAACAAAACAAAAAGAATTATAAAGGTATTTAGCATTATTAAAATAGGCAACCAACAGTGCCGCAACATAAATTAATTTCACTCAAATACATGGAAATACACAGCAAGTAATTTATTATATTTAGACAATTTAGACAACCAACATGACACAATGACTAGATAATTGTATATTTTTAGTCAACGATGGAGTGAAGGTAATGGCATATCAGCTATTAAATAGAGTGATAAACACGGCGCCAGGATTATTCAAGGATGATTTAATAATAACCTTCCACCCTACCTCGAAAATAACACCATAGATAACAATTTTTTTGAATAAATGTGAATATTACCATATTGTCAGTCAAGATGGCGCTGATCAACGAGCGCACAAACACTCAATATGATAAGTAAGCAAATAAAACAAGATGAAAATTGACTCAAATCAAATATTGTGCTATAACTCATAAGATTCATAAATAAAAGTATCTCTCTCTGCTCGAGATAACGATAAGCAGTGACACTGTGATGCTGAGTGAACATCTCTCCACAATACGCCGCTGTAAATGTACATAGCATTCAATATTTATTTTCAAGCGCCGACGTAATCGTCGTCACTGACACACAGCACTAAAACTCTAACTGGTCGGCCACTGGAGAAATGCACAACGACTCGGCGTAATTACCTGCTTTAGAAATTCCTCGACAACGACCGCTCGACGTTCAGCCAAGCACGAGCTGTTCCACGACACCTCCGCACATTATAACAGCCCGACAATTAGCACATTCACAAACGCACAAAATATTGTTTTATTCATATGAATCCAGCATGATTTTGCAAAACAGATTAGTTGATTGGTTGTTGATTTTTGTCGCTCTTCGTTTGTTTATTGATTAGTTCCGTAAAGCGCCGCACCGACCGCCGCAGTGTGTTATCAGCGACTTCACGACTTCCGATAGCAGCATGACGATTGCGATTGCGGTTTTGCAACGTGCGCCACGTCCAGCGGCATGCAGCGGACTGCGCGGCGCGCGCTCGCGATGGCAACACACGCACCGCACCGAAACATGAAAACACATCGACAGCGGGCGTGAGTCATCATCATCGTTGCGCGTCGTGTCGGCCATCTTGCGCATGTGTGTGTGTTTCGTTTTCTTTTTCGACATTTCACTTCGTGCTTTAACGGAACACACATACACAGGTTACAGGCAATAAAACGGCATAGAAGATGTGTTGTGTAATGTGTTGAAGAGAGATGGCGCGTTGAGCTGTGCAGGTTGCGCTCTGTGTGTCACAGCAGCGGATGACTAATCCGTTACACTTTAAAGTCTTGCGTCGTTCTAATTTTAGCCGAATAGGGCGAAAAATCAAAGCAGACGCATTTACCGCGGCGCAGAAACCTTTTACATCTATTATTACGTCAAAAATTCAAATTTCGAATTTCAAAATGGCCGCTACCTCTCGTAAGTTAAATTTTATTAGAATTTTGTGTTTAAATTTGTTATTCAATTGATAGTGCGGTGCAACGCTTGTTCTATTCGAAATGGAAGCCGAACAGAAGCCCCCGATACGCGGATATTTCGAGGACGTGACTCATCGCCACGCCGCGCCGCCGCTCGTTCGTTGTTCGATAATAATTATATCGGCAGGCGCACATCGGGCGCGCGATAGCCACGCTTGAACAAACTCGGTGCGTCCTCGTAATACAAATACAAACTATACGAAGTGTTACTACCATCTACACTGTTTCATGGCATGGATTGTCATCGGAACTTTATTACATAGCGCCTACAAGATAGGCAACCCACTATACACATATCAAACAAACACATTTCAGTTCATTGATTGAATGAGTAAATTTATTCGGTGTAGTGTAGATTTGTAAATTGTAGCATAGTTACGCTTAGAGTTTATGTTATTGTCGATTTTGTTTAGTATTACGTAAGTATTTTATTATTTTTAGTATTATTTTGACAGTCGTGTGCGCCTTGATTGCAGGCAACCCAATATACACCATTTCTGTCACCCATAACCACGAATAATTTTACAACAGTGTTACGAATCATCAAATTATTTAATACACTTTCTCATAAATAATCCAGACAGCGATACGGTAATTTATATAATTATAAACATACATCTTTCCAATCTCATTGAATAATTTGCTAATAATTTCTTATCCTAAGCCTACGTCGACACAGTATTTGCACCTCATCATTATAACAAGAATAACATCGTATAAAATTACACGTATCATTGGACTCCGCGCGCTATGTCTTTATAAAAATATAAACATCTTATCATGCTTAGCAAGTTGCATCGAATAAATCAACCACATTCAAATTTCGATGACTTTTCAAGTTGTGTTTGTGTGCATGAATTGTAAAAGGTGTATGGTATGTGACTATGTAGTTAAATCCAGTGTGGGTGGTAGGCCTTGACGTGCGTTCGTTTTAAGCCCGGCCCTGATTGCCCATCATGCGAAATGACCGCGCGGAAGTTCGAAAAACGCGAAATTCCGCTCGTTATCCCATTGACGACGAGTGACGATGCCTATTTACATTTACAGTACGAGCGTATCACGTGTGGCGGACCTTACGACTGTGCAATTAGCGCCAATTAGGTTCGAACATCATGACATAACCAATAATAACCTAATCATTCAGCGGCAATAAATAAAAACTGCGTGAGTATGTCTTGAATTGTGTGCGTGTGGAACAAATGAATGTATTGTGTGTGGTCTAACTTAAAGTGTCATACGTTGATGCTGTCATCTGTCAATTTTCAATTGACAGCCAGCCGGTAGTTAGACGTACGTCTTGTGTTTTTGTATTAGTTTTGTTTAGCGTTTCGAGGGTGGAATTAAATGCTCGGGTAGATCCGATGGTAAATCATTTCCGTCCAGTTTTACGTTGATCAAGTGCATGGCAAGCGCAAACTCGTCAGCGTCCAGCATACCATCCCTATCCACGTCGGAGAGCTTCCAGATTTTGCTGAGCATTGAGTTCGGCAGTTTCGACTTCACCATTTCAGCCTTGGCAGCTACAAATAGAAAAAAAACCGGTGAGTATTTCGTAAAATGCAGTAAATTACTCATCAACACTTATAGAGATAAGATAAATTGCTGTGTTTACCTGCACCGCTAATTTTTCCATCGCTCGGATTCAATTCTTCGAAGAGTATGTCATATTTAGGCTTCATTTTATACACGATCCAATCAGGTTCGCCGAATCCAGCGTCTATCCCCTCTCCTCGCTTGTATCCAAATGGAGTATTGGTGTCTTCAACACTGTCAAAAGCCCCGCCCTTGATTAACTCATGACTCGTTGTATTGGTATCCTCCAGTGGGATTTTCGCCATTAAAACAGCAATGTCATCCGCCAACATTTTATCAACCACATCCAGTAGTTTAGGTTTCAGCGCCTGGAACTTTGTAAAGTCCATATTCACCAAAACCTCTTGCATGCCCTTGATTTCGGGGAAGTCCCCGATGGATATCTTATGCTCCTTCTGCAGTTTCTCATAGATAGTACCCAAATTCTTGATGAGTTCCTTCTTCTTGCCTTCCTTACCGAACATCGACGGGAAGTCCTTGCGTAATTCAGCGATGATATACGCGTGGACTTTGGCCAGCCTCGCGCGTTTGATCAAATCATTCAATTTCCTCAACGCTGCGTTTCGTGGTAAACTCTGGAGATCTCTGAAAAGGTCCTGTTCCTCATCCTCGAACAATTTACGATTACCATCATATCGTAGGGGTTCATCCCAGAAACTACCAATGTAGACACGTGCGACCTCTGGTGTTTGGAGGACTTTACCCAGTGACCACATCAATGCACCGTACACACGCATCAATTGCTGGTGATCAATCATATCAGCTTTGTTCAAGACAATACGGATTTTATCATCGTGTCCCCGTAATGCTTCAATAGACCTGCGGAATTCATCCGATATGTCCAATTTATGCGCGTCAAACAAAAGAATTATTCTGTCTACTCGTTCAGCGAACCATTGAAGGACACCAGTGAAGTCGTACCCGCGATCAACACGTTGTTTCTCACCTGAGAGGATACCAGGCGTGTCTACAATGGAGATGTTCTTGAGGACTGGGGAGTTTACCATGGAGCATTGCAGGCGATTGAGGAATGCGTTGCCGAATTTACTCAACGGGCGGAATTGTTTTTTAGGGTCGACGACGAGGGCGTTGCCGGGTATCTGCCCGTCCTTATCATCGTACATCACTGCGATGAATCTATCCGTGGTTGGTTCAGGTCCAATACGGATACCAGGGAAATCTTTCTCTAGAAGATACCTGATGAATGTTGTCTTGCCAGTGGAATACTGGCCAACGAGCAGGATCATCGGCTTTGCGTCGAAGTCTGAGTCCTCCAGCTGCGGCGAGTGGAAGTCATGGAACTGGTAGGCTAATTCCAGAGGCAGTAGTTTTGTTTTGTAGATGTTCTTTAGACCCTGGATGACCGACTCGTAGACCTCCTCCTTTTGGGAGTCGCGTGTCAACCAGCTGAACATTTTTGAGTTTTGCTGCTATTCACTTGTTTCTCAAATAAAACAAAACCAATCAAGTTAGCAGGTGTAAGATAGGTTAGGATCTTTGATTCTCGTAAACTTAAAGTTTTTTTCTGTTTTAGTTAAAATTCCTGTGTGGAATTCAACGCCGCTGTTATCAGTCGCACGCAATTTCAGACTGATCCACTCCGGCGGCGATAGTAACGTTAGATGGGTGTATTCCACCACTCGCTCGTTGGCAACGCGACCACGTATCGCACAATATTTAGACACTAGCCGCTAGCAGTGGATTGGAACTTGGAATCTCGCACACACAGCAGTCATTCGGCGTCGAGTCCGAAACTGTTCCATATGTACTGTGTTTGCTTCAATTATCAGCCGATTTTATTTCTAGAGCGTGGAGTCGGAATATAGGCAACCAGTCTTACTGCAAACACAACAGCATTGGATTTTGAAAATACACAAAGTGAAGTGAGTAATAGAATAATATTAATACACCACTGCTCTCATTTTTTTTGTATCTTTAATATTTTACAATCAACATCATCGATTCGACGAGTACCGCATTCCGTTTGTTCAATAAATTGCATCTGTGCAATTTCGTGGAATTGGATTTAATTAGTGAGAAAGCCACAAAAGATTACCATAATTATGTAAAACGTGTGCACCTTGAATTTGAAATTAATGAATACAAATTACATGATTAACGGTGCTATACCAGTGTTAATAATTAAAACATAATAAAACAAAACAATCATGTTAGCAGGTGTAAGATAGGCAACCCAAAATACATAAATGTCTACTACATGAATCACTAACGCAATTTCACTAAAACTTTATTTATTTTCACCTATTTTACAATAATTCTCATTTCTTATTACATAATATCAAGTAACAAAACGTTATAAACACTTCGCGTATAACTTAAACTCTAATTTCTTCACTGTAGCATCTAATTGAAGTTATCTGCTAAATTTGAAGAATCACAACACAATAAAAACAAACCAAATAACGAATTATTCGCTGGAATGTCATACTCATTCTTTTCTTTGGAATTTCTCTTCTATTCGTCCTCAAAACGCACTTCGTTTAGCAATCCCTCCATGTCCTCATCGCGCACGCGCTTTTCGTACGACAAACCATCGCCCAAGCTGGAAAAAAACACACAAGTTGCCTATTGTCATATTTAACCTAACATTTAAATTGACATGAATCTAAACAAGCATCTAACGTTCACTTAGTCAACTACTTCATAAAAAAACACTTGATTAGTTAAAACAATTGACTATGAAGAGATGGAAGGAGGCTGAAAGTTGCTAAGGAGACAATTCGCTACGGGATGACGTCACAAACAAACAAAATGGCGCCACGTCACCACCGCAATGTCACAAATAAAAATGCAAAGCATTACTTCACTGTTTATTTCCCAGAATGATGCGATTATGTCATGTAGGTTTTCTCGCTCATCAATTTCGCATGTATCCATCATTTTATCAAGACATATAAAAATAGTGTTCACAAGGTTATGTTCATCATCATCATCATCATGTATGTTATAATACTTTCTATTCAAAATCAGTGTTAATAACGTGCGAAATTAATCTCGTGTGTGTGATTTATGCCTATATCTGGCATTTAAAACAAGTTAACGATTTATCAGAAGAGGCAGTGCATTTTTATTCACCTTGCTCTTATGTTTTCGTATTGTTGTTTGTTTCAGTGTGATGTATTGCGACTAAGCCTCGGAAAACAATTAAAAGCGTCGATTGGGTTAGCGATGCTTTGAGGTTATGTTAGTTGTGTTACGCTCTAGCCACTACTACGCGCAGGCGCAGCTCGCTGGATACGCCCAAAATCTACACGGGCGGCAATCGCTCTGACCTGGTTGGCATGTGCTCCATTGTGTGGTAAGCGCCGACGCCGACAGTGGCCGTCTGGCCACCGCCTCCGCCTCCTCCCACGGGCGTGGGACACGCGCGCGTTGGATAGTAGAGCCCGTTGCCGGCGCTACGGGTATTCCACCGGAAAAAACAAAAACACATTTGTTTCAAAAAATGTTTGGGAGTGATGTCAATGTGGTTGCCTACATCGAGCAGCTTGTGTTACCTTAGCAACCTTCACAGCAAATAAATAAAGCGCAGAACAAAACCAGCGTGTAAAAAGATAGAGGAAAGACGAAAGTGCGCAAAGCGAAAATCAAAAATGGCGGCGTACTCACGTCGTAAACACCGGCAGCAGCCATAATCTTGGTTTCTCACCAAACACCTCGATGAAATTCTTTTTCCGACCCAAGTTGAATCCATTTTTATCAGGACCAGTGAAAAATATCGGCGCACGAAAGGCCTCTGTAAGTTTAGCATTAAAATACACAACATAGATGGCGCTTGATGACAACTCACCTAAAGTTGTTCGATTTACCGAAACTAAGTAAATATGATAAAAGAACAAGGACGCCAGGCTGATGGCAAACATCACCGCCACGAAGAACAAGAACAGAATGTGAAACCGGCCCATTCCGTCCAAATTGCCCTGTAAAACATACAAACATCCATCAATAACTGCAATCGCAGCTGCAAACATAACCTACAATACACATTTCATAAAATTCTTAGTCTTGTGTCTCGGCGTTCGAGCCTTACCAATGCATCCGTATTGTGACGATGGCCCTGCATAGCAAAAGGAGAAAGCGAAAGATAGGTGAGTTATTTTACAACAAATAGATTCCTCTTCGTGCGTGCGTACCTTCCAGAAAGCGATGAAGTACTGCAGCGTCGTCATGGACACATAAATGCAGTACAAGAGCGCGTAGCCCAGGAATAAGATGAAGAACTTGTAATTTGTGTAGCAGACACAGTTGTTCACCCACGGGCAATGGTGATCCATCTTTAGCACACACTCGCCGCACACGGAGCAATGATGTGCGCGATCCGGCTTCACATGGCGACATTTCTCGCAGTAGCGTGCCGCACCGCCGATTGTGCAGTTGACGTTCGGCAGGTCCTTGCTGAAGCGCTCTAAAATATTATTCTGCATCTCTTCGTTGTCGCAGTGCGTCAGTCTTTCCAATTCTCCCTCAGGTAACTTATACTAAAAACGATTTTAATGAGAATTAAGATAAAAAGGTGAAGATTTATTTTTTACATACCGATAATGGTACTCGTCCGATTTGTGTAAAAATCGTCTGTATATACGCCCATAGAAACATCACAAAGAAGCAGTGATACACCACAAGATAGATAATCTTTTCTGTGGCGGAGTCCACTGTGTCTGAAAAGAATTAAATTTTAAGTTTATAAGTGATTTTGTGATTCATTTTTTGAAATATTTACATATGCATAATTGGATGACGTATGCGTAATAGCTCCAGATGACAATGCACATGATGAAGAGCACCGGCACCCATTTGATGGCGCGGAAGCAGAGCTGGCAGGGGCCCCGTGAGGCGTCTTTGCCCGCTTCCGGCGCCATTAAGTACGCGTTCTTGCACTCGCTGCGGACTTTTACGCGAATATCCGGGCTAATCAAGCCCGTCGCATTACTAACCAGCGTTTATTATCACTATAGGCGCATGAGAACAGGTTACACAACGCGGAAAACGTGAAAATGTTCAGTAGGACAAACTTAGCGCTCAACACTCAACGGTGAAGTCCTCCAGGTTCAATTTGACACTAGTGACAGAAGTGGGGATTACGTCAAGGTCAATTGATACCTGTCAAACTAAAACACCCTAGATTCTAGTAACTTTCATAAAGTTTAAATTTTTTATATTTTATTAAATTTACTTTACACATCAGATTATTTCAAAATTCTAACAAACAAATAGAAATAAAATACATTTACCTTAAATGTATTAATATTTATCTATCTATATGTTTGTATTGAGGTATTTGAGTCATGTTTAAACACTAGCGAAAAATAAATATCCCTAGATCAACACCATGTCAAATAAATTTCCAGAAAATTGTTTTTAAATGTTTTTATCAGTGCTATGTGCTAATCTGCTCAAATATTTGCAGGTAAATAATGTAAAATGCTTATTTCTATATTTATGTTGCAAATACTGCTACAATTGTAGAACGGTACAAGAAATACGCAAATTATCGATTATATGGAATGCACAAACTCATTACAAATGAGTTTATTGCTTTTCACATTATCCGGGCGATATACTAATGCCGGTTGAAGTGAAAATCAATTTTAGACATTTCCAGGTAATCAACGGTGACCTTACGTTGCTGACGTTTTAGTTTTATTGAGGTAAAGTCGTAATTAATTTGGTTTACTTTGAGTTTGATGACTTTTTTAGAACTACAAACGCAACAACGTATAATACTTAAATTTATAAGTCTTTTAATAGAAATTTCTAAGAAATAATATAGGCAACTTATTGAATAATATAGGCAACTTATTGAGCATAAAAAAACCTGTGTTTTGTTAGCAGTTTTATTTTTTTGGTAGTTTTAAGAACAAAATATAGGCAACACGTGATACAATGCCTTCAAAAGTTTTCTAAACACGATGCGGTTAGTTTTGTAAAGATTTAATGAGTTTCGAAACCAAAAACGGCAAAAAAACATAAATCCAAAGCCGATCTTATTGCTGATTTCGCCGTGGGAGACGGTGAGAGCTGCAGAAAGCGAAAGACAGCTGGCCCGCTGGTACGCCTGACCGTGCCCATAAAACAGAGAGCGGCCGCTTAGTCACCGCCAACAGGGACAACAACCGTGAGAGGACAAAGAGGCCGGGCAGGCCGTGCAAGAAAAAAACAACAAGCAACAAGGCAATTCATATCGTCTTTCGATATGCAAAAGCGAGAAAGTCAATGACGAATGGCACTTCGTCGCAGTTCGTGCGCGTTCGCCTTGCGCCGTACGCCTGCAAGCAGAACAACCGCTTTCAGTCCGACGTCGATGGTCTGCGCGCGCGCACGTCGTCGCGCCGTCAGCAGCGATCGCAATGTTTTGATAGTATCCAAGTATCGACTCGATGGAGTCCAACCAGAGTCAATCCTAAGTATTCTCCACTTCTCAACGTCTCACCGACGACGACGACCACGGCAACCATTAGTACATTGCGGTTGGCTCCTACGCCGGTGGGAGTGGTGTGATAAACAAGCGCCGATCGTGTTTTGTTTGTGTGAAACAAATGCCATCGTGAGTCGCGGTGTTAATAACAAAGCAGTGTCCGCAGCGTTCACGGGCGATGGCCGTGCAGCAGCTGCAGCAGCCGACGACGGCAAGAAGGTGTTCGTAGTGCGTGCGCACTACGATGGAGGAAAGCGGCGGGCACAAGTCGCGCTGCCGTTCCAACTCGGCGCGAGTGTTGCACTTCGAGGAGCTGGCGGCCGCCCCCGGCGCAAGCGGGGCGAACCTCCTGCCACATGTTCAAGCGCATAAAACAAATGCCGCTCACGTTACAGGTAAATAACCCATTACAATCTGTTATCACATATTAGTGCACTTACTGTTGCATAACGCGCATTACACTAGGAAGTAATTATTTGTTACGGGTTTGATAAGAGTAAAAAAACATTTAAAATATTTCCATTGAATAAATTCAGTGCATTGACATTTGTTTCAACTGCATGTAGATATGTGCTGTGTTTACGCGATCGCTTTTTGTTTATCGTGGCCATTTTACTGTTTACGTTGTTAATCAAGCGACACAAAACATGAACTATCATTAGAGCTGCGCAGTCAGCTGATGTCTTCGAAGGTTTTTCTTTTTTTGCTTTGTTCATTGTTGAGTGTTTTTATCCTTCGAGGAGTGTTTGTACACGCCGAGTGTATTTTTAGTCTTGTCATGCCAAGATCATGACTCACAGGAGTCACTGGATTTCAGGCCACCTCCAAGAGACGCATCCAACACATTTTGTCTCCGAGTTTAAAATTTGAATTTAACAAAATGTGAGGTTATGTTGTGTTGACCTAATCTAACCCTGATTTTGTTTTTGTTTGCTTATTTCGGGAAATTCCCAATTTTACTGACTTTGATTTGTTTTCGCGCGTTGGAAAATTATAATATGTACAGATAAAAATGATTTACAACGATGTATAAATTTTACAATGATCATGAAGCGCCTGAACAATTCACAATTAGCAATCGCGACTCATCGCAACATTCAGTATCTTGACTCACACCAGTTCTCATCTTTCTTCCTCGTAATATTTAAATTTAATCGACGTGTTAATGCGAACATTTCAACATATACTAACACCTAAATATTTGCTAAAACAAATGCTGTGCGTCTAAAAATAATGTAACTTGACGTTGCTATGTGCGCATGCACTTAGTGCTTATACACAACGTGAAAAAATTGTTTTAACTTAATGTTAATGTAAATTAGCGTAAGTTAATTATGATTATTATGAGGATTTGTATCTGGATGTTATTGTTCTATGGTTGTTAATTGTAGACGCGGGCCCATCCAAGCATCATCATCACCAACATCCCCATCATCATCAGCAGTCGCAGCCGCTGCAGGCGCCTGTCGTGACGAATCTGGTACGCATTCGTAATTCTACACTGGGAAAGTCTGCGCCATCATTGTCTGTCAATATGGTGAGATATAAACAATTTTTAGGTTTTTTTTATGTGGAAAAATTGACTGGTGTTGTCTTGTGTTGATTGTAGAGGGATAACGGTGTGAATCGAAGAAGTAATCGTCCTGGCGCCGTCCACCGGCTGAGTTTCATCGCCAACACGTCGCCGACGCTGCCGCGGTCCCATTCGCCTATCTGCGGCAGCCCCATCGATTCGCCACGCAATCACAATAGTTTTATCAATTTTTCCTTCGCTCCCATCAAAAGGTAACAGGAAATTTTAAATCCGCCATGTTGTTTATACGACGCATACGTCATGCGTATATTAAGTTGCATATCTATATATCTATATCTATATATATAAAAGAAAGTCGTGTTGGTTAACTCCATTATAACTAAAGAACGGCTAATCCAATTTAGCTAAAAATTGGTGGAGAGGTAGCTTTGGGCCAGGAGAATGTAATGGGATACTTTTTGAAATGAAAACTTTTCTAAAAGAGCCCTAAACGACACTAAAAAGAGACAAACATATTTGCGTATATGGATTATCTTGCGGGAGAATAAGAGAACGCAAATACAAAGTTTTGTATTATCCCCGTCTCCTCCTTGTATATATATATAAATGAATTGCAGTTCGTTAGTCTCGCTAAAACTCGAGAACGGCTGAACGGATTTATCTTACCTTGGTCTTGAATTATTCGTGGAGGTCTAGGGAAGGTTTAAAAGGTGAGAAAAATTCGAATAATTGCCGGGAAAATCCTCAAAACAGCTCTTTTCTATAAAATAAAATTTGACATTGAGATTCAATCATAGTTATAGTTAAATAGTTAAATTCGAGATGGCGCGCTGAAGTGCATTATTGACAAAACTTTATATGCATTATTTCTTTAAATTAAAATTGCTAATCTTATTGATAGAATTGACTCTTACTACGAGTATGTCTAGAACAAGAGAGTAAAAACGAATTACATTTTTATTAAACACTGCCGGAACGAAGTCGCGGGCAACAGCTAGTCTGCAATATAAAATTGATTACATTATTAAATACGCATTACGTGCAACATAATTAAGATAAACACGAGAATGCCGCAACATTGAGCGCGTTGAGGTCGGCAACGTGCGCTTCGAATTAATTTAATTGCCAATCGTTTGGCGACTAAAAATAACGCGCACTCGCTGTCGTTCTGTCTCTGCCAGCCGCACGCGGTCCACATTGTTTGTCAATGTGTATGCAACACGACAAACACACGTCGAACGCAAACATTTCTTTTTTTATTATCTCTATTAGTATTATTATCGTCATGTGTAAAGAATACTCAACTTGACGACCATATTGATGGCAAACATTAAAACAAACGCACATCGCAACCGCTGAGATAATAACAATAAAACAAAAGAACCAAAATGGCGGCCTGTCAGCATAGGTACACATAGAGGTGGTATTCAGGTGGCGATTGCAATGCGCCGTTTATTGCACTTTTTAATGACTGCTGTTGGCAGGGGAGACAGGAGCGGGCGGATGCCTTTTCGGGAAATGTCACCGCGCGCTGTAAAAATTGGGAATGTTTGGTGGATGTCGCGGGACATTAAGGATGCGAGCCAAATTCGACACTTGGCATTGCTCCCGGGGCTCCCAACGCGCCGAGCAGCGGGAATGTCGTTTGAGTCGTTTTGCCGTTTTGCGCAGATGGCGCAACATTTAATGTGTCATCGTAAATATTTTCCGGCGAAAACAGTGTCGAAACATTGAACATTTACTCAATTCTAGGACTGAAATAACTTTTCACACTTTTTACTAGTGAAATGTTTACCTAATAATGTTAATGGATGTTTGAGAATGTTTTGACACTCATATTTATCATGTTTGTGTTTTTTAGGATCGCTGCCGGTTATCGCGGTGATGGACGTCGTTGGTCCGTTGCCTCATTGCCCTCATCGGGTTATGGCACCACACCGGGTAGTTCAAATATGTCTGTAAGTGAATTTTCATTTTTTAGCCGAAAATCCACGAAATATCAATGCGAAACAATTGCAAATGGCGGTTGAATGTTCATTTGGTTGCATACATTTACATATTGTTTTATCTCTTAGTCAAAGTGTTCAAGTCATGAAAAACTTCATCAATTACCGCACATCCCGACATCGGACGATATGCGCATCCTCACGCACCATTTCTCGAGCAACGAAAGCAATGCCTCGCTTGTGGGCTACGAGGACGGCATCCACCGGTCACCGCTACACCGACCGCGTTCTCGCAGTTTAAGGTAACATAACCTCAATCATCCACTATACATCCACAACCATAACCAAACTTTATAACTTCTTTGTTGACTTATATAGTAGTCCTAGTCGGTCACCGGTCGTTGATAGCGAAATATCGATGATGAATGTAATGTACAAAGAGCGCTTTCCGAAAGCCACTCAACAAATGGAGGAGAGACTTACACATTTCATCGCCGAGAACAAATGCGCGCTCGAACCGTGCGAGAGCTGCGATTATCTGCCCATCGTTCGTTTTGTTCACCATCAAGTACTCGAAGTTGCGCGCGATTGCCTGTCCAAATCACAAAACAAACTCATCACCAGCCGATATTTCTTCGAAATGTCCGAAAACCTCGAACGGCTTCTCACAGAAACAAAAGAAAAGTCGGAGGAAGCCGCCAATGAAGTGACGGGCCTGATAAAGAAGCTCCTGCTGATTATTTCAAGACCTGCCAGGTTGTTAGAGTGTTTAGAGTTTGACCCCGAAGAGTTTTATCACTTTCTAGAGGCGGCCGAAGGGCAACTCAAGGGGTTATCCGGCATCAAAGCTGATTTACCACAGTACATCATTCAAAAACTCGGTTTAAATCGCGATCCAATCGCGGAACTTCAACAGGAGTTACGCGACTGCAGCTGGAGTAACACCCCATCGAATAGATCATCCCTGTGTTTGACTTCGACACCGACAAGTGGTGTTCCACCTTCTGTACCTGGCGCAACATGTCCCGGTGCTTCATCTTCTTCAACAGCGACAGCCACGCCATCTGGTAGCAAGTGGCATACTAACCCAAATGAGCAAGACTATGAAATAGTCAAGCTTATCTCCAACGGAGCGTACGGCGCTGTGTACCTGGTGAAGCATAAGCTGAGCAAACAACGCTTTGCGATGAAAAAGATCAACAAGAATAACCTCATGCTGCGGAATCAAGTGGAGCAAGTGTTTGCCGAACGTGATATTCTTAGCTTTGCGGATAACCCGTTTGTGGTGTCGATGTACTGCAGCTTTGAGACGCGCAAGCATCTTTGCTTGGTGATGGAGTATGTCGAGGGTGGGGATTGCGCTAGCTTGTTGAAGAATATCGGGCCGCTGCCGCCGGACATGGCGAGGTTCTATTTTGCTGAGACGGTGCTGGCGGTCGAGTATCTGCACAGCTATGGGATCGTGCATCGGGACCTGAAGCCCGACAAGTAGGTGGATTGCAGGAGTTAGTCAATTGAGGGTAATGTTGTTATGCTCGTGTTACAGTTTGCTGATCACGGCTTTGGGGCATATTAAACTCACGGATTTCGGGTTGAGTAAAATGGGATTAATGTCATGTAAGTGAATTTTCTTTTATTTATTTACTGAAAATCAACGAAATAACAATACGGAAAAATTGCAAATGGCGGATATATGCTCAATTGGTTGCATACATTCAAATAAATTTGTTTTGCAGTGGCAACCAATTTATACGAAGGCTACATCGACTGTGAAACGCGTCAATTTTCCGATAAGCAAGTCTTTGGCACACCTGAATACATCGCCCCGGAAGTAATCCTTCGACAAGGATATGGTAAACCTGTGGACTGGTGGTCCATGGGTATTATTCTCTACGAATTCTTAGTTGGCTGTGTTCCATTCTTTGGTGAAACACCAGAAGAACTCTTTGCGCATACAGTGAATGGTATAATTCAACCACAACCCATTTTAACTTAAAATTGTATTAATTCTGATATAATTTAGATGATATTGAATGGCCTGACAGCGATGATTGGTCCGTACAAGAAGAAGTGAAAGACTTAATCATGGTCCTTTTGCAACACTCACCGCGCGATCGTTTAGGCACAGGCGGTGCACAAGAAGTCAAAGAACACGTTTACTTCACAGGTCTCGATTGGAATTCACTCCTGCGACAGAAAGCCGAGTTTGTCCCACAATTGGAAAACGAAGACGATACGAGTTACTTCGACACGCGCGTGGATCGCTACAATCACGACCTGGAAGACGACACGGATGACACGGCTGATGATTCGCCGGTGATTGGTTTGTTTTCTTCCTGCTCGCCGCAGTACCGTAAAGTGCACTCATCGCGTATGAGTTTGAACGCGGAACTAGAGGGCGCTGTAGCTAGCGGTGTGGGTAATTTCAACTATGGCGGAGCGGAAGGCATTCGTATTTTAACCTCGGTTGCTACCACGCCTGACGCACCGGAAATGGCGGATTATCGTAGAGTGAGGCAGAGTTTACTTACGCCCGATAAGGATTATTCGGATGTGATGCCGCTGGATAGAAAGTTGATGGATCTCAATCGAACTGTGAGCACGCCGGAGAGCTCACAGACCGACAGCGATGATGTTTCACCGCAAATCACGCGCCGTAGGAAGAACGTGCACACGAGGGATTTGCTGCCCAAGTTTTCGATTTCCATCGAGGATGATACTTTGATGAAACATTCCAATCTTGAAAAGGAGAAGGAGAAAGAAAAAGAGATGCAAAACGCATCAGCGCAGAACTCCAATTCAATTTCGTTGAATTTGAAGTTGAAGGATAATCAGGGTGAGAAAGCGAAAGAGAAGGATAAATTTACGCCGCAGAAACACAAAAGTCGCGCGGTTGTGAAGAGTGCCTCCGCTTCCGGTCTCTCGTTGATGATTCCATCGGATGATTTCCAGACACCGCCCAGTGTTCATTCTCCTGGTGGCGGATTGTCTGGTATGTCGGGAATTAGTGGTGGGGGGTCAAGCACGGCAAGTTCGAGAGATACGTCGCCTTGCCGCGAGTTGTCGCCACTGGTCACCAATCTCAAACCGCCGATTATTATTCGTCGCGGGCCGAAAGGTTTCGGGTTCACCGTGCACACTATTCGGGTGTATTACGGAGACACTGATTTTTACACGATGCATCATCTTGTTATGGTAGGTTTAGAAATATTTTAATTTTTGTAAAAAATAATTGTGGTTTTTTTTTTAAATTAATTTTTAGGCTGTCGATGAAGGAAGCCCTGCTTTTGAAGCTGGACTCCGTCCTGCTGATCTTATAACTCACATAAATGGTGAGGCTGTTCAGGGTCTGTACCACACACAAGTTCTACAGTTGTTATTGGGAGGGGCGGAGCATGTGAGCCTACGCGCCACGCCTCTGGATCAAACGTCGATTCAAAGCGGTGGGCGTAAACGCGAACCAGGCCAGAGTAAACTTGCTAAGCGTAGTATACATAGGCAGCGGAAACAAAAGAGGGATAATGAAAAACGGCGAAAAACTTCGCTTTTCCGTCGGATTTCCAGCAAGCGCGCTAATGTTGAAATGCAACAGGTTAGATTACGATGTTTAGTTGTTTAATATTTTGTTTTAATTCGATCTTTTGACGTATAGATGGCGGCAACTATTCAGTCTCCATTGACGGTGACGCCTAGTAGGAGTTTCTCTTCGTTTCCACGCAGTCAGGACACTACACCTTCGACGTTGAGAAGTGGTTCGCATTCTCAGCGAGCCAGTTTGTCGCCATCGGACTCCTTCAGTCAGCACTCTTCGTCATCATCCTCGCAGTCGCCTTCTAGCTCGCCCAACCAGAGCTCCTGCTCCACGTCAGGCAGCCCTGCTCTTGGCATCGGCGCAAATCGTAATAAACAGCACTATCAGCGTCCATCCACCTTGCATGGCTTGAAGCATAAGCTGCATTCGAACGCGTGCACGCCGAAAAGCTTGCACGCCGGCGTGGGCGGCGGTGGCCCTTCGGCGGCCGTCGTCCCCAATCGGCGCAAGTCGGTCGGCCACATCCCGCTCTCACCGCTCGCGCGCACCCCATCGCCATCGCCGCTGCCGGCGTCGCCGACGCGCTCACCCAGTCCGTTGGCTTTTCCAGTTGGACATCAACCTGGCGCGTCTAACACCACGCAGAGCTACAGTCCCTCGGCGACCGCTAGCGGCAACGCATCCGGCAGCAACTCCGCTCCAACAGCGCCACTTGCCGGCTGCGGCCAACCGAAGAAGTTTGTACGCGCGAAGGCGGCCGAACCAGGCTCGCCACTTCTACGTCGGGCGTTGTCACCCGATCGGCTGCATCCGCGCAGCGCCGAGAGTAAGTGTTCCATTTCGCCGTTGTGCTCGTCAGGATCGACGCAGGTCCAGAAGGCTCAAACACGAGGTGCTAACAGCGCTATCTGGCGGTCCATGAGTCAGCCAGAAGTGCCATCAATGCGTGATACGCCTCCTGCGCCATCTGCGCATGAACCTAATGACACGGCAACTACAAGCGAAGCAATCCTTACGTCAACTCCCGCCGCCATTATTACAACTGCTCCCACAACGGTGTCTACAACTACATCAACGTCGGAGAACCGGCTGTCACTGACGCTTGCCGGCCCCGGTGAACTTCTGCCTCGCATCGCCGAAGAGAAAGACTCACCGACAAATCCTGAAAATCTCGCAAAGTCGGTTGTGCCCACCAGCCCTAAAGACACTAAGGAAAACGAGAAGGAAACGAAAGAGAAAGATAACAGCAAAGATAAGAAACAAAAGAAAGACGCCAAGTCCTAGTAATTTTCTTACATAACCTTATCGATAATTTGTGTCACACACACAACTCTCTTTCACTTGTTTCGTAATGTTAGTACCTGGATTTTCAAAACCTCATTGTTTGTTCTACGTAAACATAACCTGTCTAAACGTAAGCTTACTTAATTTCAAATGATTGTAGGCGCGTAACAAACGGTTATGATGGTTGCCGGACGATTAGGCGGTTCGGAGTTTTATCACGTGTGTCATATATAATCTAAGGTATTTAAATAATTCTCAATGTCATGAACAAATGGTATGTAAGACAGCTGACTGTAATCTCCATTGAGGTTAGTTCAGCTCACATGCACAGCTTGTGCCTAAACCAATTCTTCGATTAATCTGACTTTTGACGTTGAACTGTTCAAATTAGCGCAAAATTAAGATATTGCAAGAGAAACGAAATTGTTCCCATGGGTCCAATTTAATTTTTGTTTGATCATCATGTCACGAATTTGGTTATGTTGAATAACTGTATATTATTTTCGTTTCTAAGTTCAAGTTTTGTATAGTATTTCACATTTTTGTACATACCGCAACACAAGTTGCACTCAGATGCACACAATATGGCCGCCGTGGCGTATTCTGTTGGAAGTTATTTCGTTAATTTTCGTTCTCGATCGATGTTGAATGTGATTTTTAGACTCGAAAGCCGAGCACGTACGAATTCGTAGTTGATTTTAATTTGTATATGTAATTAGTGTAATTGTATAGTTATGTCGTCGGGTAGCTGAGCAGTGAGAGGTTAGACAAGGTAACACATAACAAAAGGCTAGATTCTAGGTTATGCTCATTGTGAGCCCCGCAGCAATTTCATCGTAGTCACATAGTATCGCTATTTATTTACGTTCAGCCCTATCAACAAACAATAACAAACACCCATTAGATATTTAAACATAAAGCATTGCAATTTATATTACTTGAAGTTGTGAAATTCATAAAATGTGCGCATAGATGCAAAGCAGGAGCAACCAAACTATCATAAATTGTTTTCGTCTTGACGAGAACTTCTGTGAGAAACCAGTGTATTTATTTATTTTCTGTGTATGTTGGGTTGCCGTCCGCGCCATTTTGTTTGCGTTTGTACAATGGTGAAACGCGGATTTCTGCGAATTGTGTCGTGATTGTTGAACAATTAGTGCGCCGGTGCTAAAAGTATACGTTGTAAACACGCACGCGCGACTTGTTGACGTGTGTTCCGTTTTGAAGAATTCACTTTTAAAAATTCACGTGAATTTAATATATTTTATTGTGGCTGTTAAACGACGCTAATTTCCGCCGAATTTCGAGCGCTGCTCGATTAACTTCGCCGGAAATGAGCCCGGCGAATGCAAATTTGCCAATCGTAATTGCACCGTCGCGCAATTATAATATAAACCCCCTGCGGGCGCGATCGATTTACACGAACTCGTTGTGATCGCGCTAAACGACTTTTCTTGTAATTACCGGTTCGGGCGCGTGTCATTTTTTAATCCGCCAACAAGGCCACCGCTCGCTCGCATTAATGTCATTAAGCACATATTTACGAGTTAATTAGGTAAATACGCGCGCGGATGGCGCAGGATACGCCGAAAATCGTCCAATTCAACATAATCTTGTGTCGCGCTATTTTTTGTTTGTGCGTCGAAAAGTTTTGAATTCGTTTCGAACCGCGACCGGTTCTACGGAGCGCGCAAAAACAGCGTGAGAAATCGTCAATAATGTTGAGTAGGTCTGGAACTCGTAAAAAAATCCAGCGTCTCGCCCAATTCACACTCACACTACGAACGCACGCAAAAACTACTTAACCTGCGATTACCGTTAGTTAACGTGTAACCAAATATTATGTCGTTCTGGGCGCAGACGATGCTAATGTGCGCATTGTTATGACACAATAGAGATGTTTACACTGCTTGCATTAAACAAGCAGCGCGTGTGTGCATTTGTTTGTTTGTTTACGCGTTTGTTTGGTTGCATACCGCGTGCGTGTGTGTGTGTGAGTGTGCGGAGAGGAAAGAATTAACATTCTTTAATGTTTAATGGCTTGAGAAATGCAAAATATTTGCCTGATTTACATCGGTGACGTCTCTGTGTTTGCTTGGCGGATGTGTAAATCTTGGAAAATTAAAACAATCCTCAAACGCGCTTAACACACACACAAGACCAGACGCCATTTTGAACTTAACGACACAAAAGAATAAAAAATTGTTCCCAAAGTGTTTTCAAACAATTAGCACTTACACTTGGGTTTTTCATTGCATTAACATAAAAAATCATCGCAGCGTGTACAAAAAAATGTAAACATTTTACGTGTCTCAACTTTTATTTACCAATGTGATTACCATTTTGAAAATAATCGTTATGGAGGAGTGGGAAGAGTCCCGAAATGTGCTGTGTGTGTGCGTGTAAACAATTAAAAACTAATTGAATCGTCGATTGACGAATATTTGCACAGAAAGTTTCGCGCAGCGCGCGCGTTGTGATTCATGCGCTTAGTTGCGCGCCGCTGTCGGTCAAGAGCACACGCTCCACGTAAGTTCTCCAATAAAAGTGCCCTCTGCATCTCGCCACCGCGAAAAATCACCGTCGATGAGCAAATCCCTTCGACTTCGGATCAAATCGTGCGGGCGAACATCTTGGATGGACGATCGAAAACCCGACTAGCGGATAGCTGGCAAAGATGGCGCTGTACTCACTCATACCGTAAGTCACACTCTGTTTGGTTATGTTACTTGACCACAACCTGCGCGCGTGTAACTAGGACGGTGGCGATGGTGCCGACAATAGCACGTAATGACGAATTCAAGGCTTTCGGCTCATGGACCACCTATTTCGACGCAATTTGCGGCCGCCGACTTCGCTAAAGGGCGTAATAGCATATAATGGCCGTGTAATGGACGCCTCCGTTGCGCGTCAATTACCGGCCGCGAAACGGATTAGAAGCGCGTCGCAACGCGAGCCGATAACACCGCCGCACACCATCATATCGCTCATTCAAACAAAACACTTGATCAAAACAAAAGAAAAAAAGCAAATATAATACAAAACACTTAATATTTTTGTTTTTCGTCGCGTTCTTTGTGAATTTTGTTTTCGTGCAAATTATAATGTGCATTCATGGATTTACCTGCGCGTGACAATGTTGCCCGCTAGCTGCGCCACCACGACGAGTTTCAAGTCTACTGTGAAGAACAAAAAAGTCTGCAGATGACCACAATGTAAGTACGCCAATGGTACGCGCGCGCGGCATTCACCAGCGCCCTCTACTTGATCGTAACTGAAACTATAACTTTACTTAACACCGTTATTTGTTTCAAATGTTTACCAAGTTTCTAGCAGTGTAATAAATATTAAAAACGTAACACATGTTGTAAACGATGTAATTAATATCACCTGTTTGGTGTTGGGTGGCATAATAACTGCGCTTCAAGTTGATGACGTATTATGACGTAGTCGCCGCCATTTGGCTTACTTTTAACTGGAGCAAGTCGGCGGAAATTCGCGATTATCTTCAATAACTCAATGAGACGCGCGGTAATTCGCCCGCGGCGAAGTGAATTTAGAGGTGTCCTTCTGGCCACATATGAATAAATGCGTTTTATTTGAGCGCTTTGAGGGTTTATGCAAGTTTCGCGAGTGTTTGAAGGATTTTGGCGCGCTTGGCGTACAGATGGCGTTCGCACGACGCCGACGATCAATATGCGTCGGGTGCGAGCGATGCGACCGGCGACCGCACGCGCCAGTCGTGCACACGATGTAGTCGGGCGAGCATCCTCCACGCACCACGCGCCGGCTCCCACTGGCTCGCGTCGCGACGTCCGGAACACACTCGGCGAGAGAGCCATATTTATAACAATCGAACACGTGCGTCCATTATCTTGCCAAAAGTTCTACTTGCATTTAATTTCTATTTGTGCTTGACATGGTGGTTTATTTAAATAATTTTTCGCCTGTTTGTGCCTTGCAGCAAAGAAAGCTATGGATCTAAAGTCATGGAGAGCCACAATCCACTCATCAAATGCGGCGAGCCGGTGCGTGTCGTCGCGCTCGCCGTGCCGGAGGAGATGGACGTGGACGCCTTCGACGACGCGGCGGTCGTCTGCACTGACATGGAACTAACGCTGGTGACGCCGACCTCGGGCGCACCGCCGACCATCATCAATGGATGTCATCAGCAGGGCGAGGAGAATGGCCGGCTGCCGGATGTGGTCGTCGAGGCAAAGCTGCCGATTGACGGCGATGATGCTAGCGATGAGGATGGTGCCAATCTCGGGGAAACTTACTTTTCAATTGCCATTCAGGTCTTTATTCCGTTTCTTATCGCCGGCTTTGGTATGGTTTTCGCTGGGTTGGTGTTCGACAAAATTCAGGTATTTGTTAATTTGGTTGCCTAACTCTGTGCAATATTACACAAGATTACATCAAAGTTGATAAAACGTCACCACATTTTTTCCATGAAAAATTCCGTTAAAAATGTTGTTTGGCGTTGTTGAATGGTTGAATGATCGCGGTTTTTTGTTAGCAAGGGCAAAAAACAGGTTTCGCGTTGTCTGCGACCGCTCTTGTCTGTCGACCCTTCACACTCGACCGGTTAAATTACAGAGAATCCACGCATGTTGTTGCTGTTGATTTACGCGCGGATTTGATTACAACCTTGAGATATTTTATTACATGCCGACACATTTAACGAGCAACAAAATATAGCCTGCACATGAAAAACAGCCGAAAAGTTTGGTTAATGTAGTCTCCAATATATTAATGACAATGAAGTTGCCTACATTTCTACAATTAATTTATTTCTATAGCATTGGCCAGTGTTTGAAGAAATCACAGAACTGGTGATTCTCGTTCCGGCTCTGTTGGGGTTGAAGGGCAACTTGGAGATGACGCTGGCGTCCAGATTGTCTACGCAAGCCAACCTCGGGCATATGGACACAGCAAAGCAGCAGGCGTCGATGATTTTAGGCAATTTAGTTCTCATTCAAGTAAGTTATTAAATAAATGTGTAATCTTTCAAATAGTTGCGTAATACATGCAATGACGTCAATTATGAGCGTCACACAAAAAGTTGCGACAATTGTCTGCATATTTCTAAAGATAGCTTGTTTGATAAATCGATAAGGGCAAGCCGCAGGTGAAATGTCACGTTGCGCAGACATAGGGTGAGGGATAACATATAAATAAATCAGTGGATTCACTTTTATGGGATTGGTATCCATTGCAAATATTGGGAAACTTAAATATGGATGACGTTACCGCAACTGTTATTTCGTTACTAATTTATTTGTTTAATTAATTTAGTGTCAAGCGATCGTAGTGGGCTTCCTCGGCTCGGTGGTAGCTGTAGTGATGGGTGCGATCAAGAGCAATGAAGTGGAGTTAGATCATGCCTACCTTCTATGCGCCAGTAGTCTGGTGACGGTCTCCATCGCTAGCTTAGTTCTAGGCCTAATCACCGCTGCGGTAATCGTCTTATCACGGCATTGCCACATCAACCCCGACAACGTTGCCACGCCGATTGCGGCCAGCCTCGGCGACATTACCTCTCTTACACTGCTCTCCTGGGTGGCCACACACCTCTACGAGTCAATAGGTAAAAATAAATCTGAATGTACGCACATTTTACGTAAAAAATTGTACTGATGCCTAAAGTTACATATTGCAGGCACACATGATTGGTTAGCACCGCTTATCATAGCCGGATATATTCTGGCAATTCCACTCTGGATTTGGATCGCGAAGAAGAATCTACAAACGCGGGATGTATTATACAATGGGTGGACACCAGTGGTCGGCGCCATGTTGATCAGTAGCGTCGGAGGCTTGATTTTGGATTTTATGGTGTCTAGGTTTGAAGGGATAGCTGTCTTTCAACCAGTTATCAATGGTGTTGGTGGTAATTTGGTCGCGGTTCAAGCAAGTCGTATCTCGACAGCGTTACACAAACAAGCTGTCTTGGGCGTGTTAACACCAGACGGAAATGCGGAGGAAGACAGCGCGGAAACGGATCGGATGATTTTCATCTCGCCAGTGACGGGTTTCTGCGGAATGTCACCGCATGCAAGAACTACGCGGGTATTGATGTCGATGGTTTTGCCTGGGCATTTGATATTTATCTACACCATCGACTATATGAAGGCAGAGGATACCGAGCTGAGTAGCCTGTTTGTGATTGTTTACCTCTGTGCGGCGTCCATGCAGGTGGCGACTTTGTTATACGTCGCGCATATTATGATTCACTGGATGTGGAGCCGAAAGATCGATCCAGACAACTCCGCCATTCCGTATCTAACGTCCATGGGTGATTTGCTAGGAATATCACTGCTGGCGGTCGCGTTTCAGTTCTTGTACCTGGTCGGTGATCATGAAATCCCCGAGCCGGGTGATTAGGTGCTGACACCTATGCGCAAACAAACCTAACCTAGTTTAAACGTTTGATTTGTTACATTCTTGCTGTTTGCGCATGCGTGTCAGCTAGGAAACAAAACACATACCTCTGTGAAAAAAAAAACAAACTTCAAACATCATGTTCTCATTGTGATATATGTACTAGCATGATAATTATTAAGTTAACAGTAATTAAAAAAAAAACACATCACATGCAGTGTGGTGAGACGAATCATGCTGCTGAAGAAAGATAACATACCTAAGAAATATGACAATAGTACCTAGTTTTATGCCTTACATTTGACATTATTGCGCCGTGCGCCCTCCACACTTGCGGATCTGCCATTTGTTCGTCTTGCTGTGAAACAGTGTGCATGGCAGATCTCTTGTTGCTACTAACTAACTTAACATGCAAGGAATTAAATTGAACTCAATGAATTGAAACTGTACAACAGACTAAACTAAAATGGAACGTAAAAAATTCAATTATACATTAAGCCAAAACTCATTGTTGAAATTTGATGTTAGAAACATTCGGTTTGAGAACAGGAGAATATTGTAAAATTGAGGTTTAAAGTATGAAATGTTTTTTGGTTGTGCAGGCCGAAGCGTTGTGGAATTAATTGAACTAGAAGTTGAATTATTTTCGAATAAAACTAAAACAACAGTCGTTTGATCAATTAAGAACACCCTTTTCATACCACTTTTAGTTGGTCTTCTTTAATTTCACATATTGACTTAATTTAATTGGCACAAAAAAATTTTAAAGAAAGAAATTTTGTTATAAAAAAGGCAAAAGATTTCGCTCATTGACCTTGATATACCAATGCAAATACAATACAATACTACAATTTTCTACCTGGTGTCCCCCACTAGATGTTTACGTCGGCTGTCAATTCTCTTTCCTGCTTAGTCGGTCGTGCGCGGTGGTGTCGTGAGCACGTGTTTTGTTTGTAATTCTATCTGCATAGTTATTAATCGTGTTTCTTGAGATGTTAATATGATAGTGACATGGACGACAATGAATTTCAGCCCGTGTGGCTTACAGTTATTGAATTGTCGCTCATGGAATCGGATATTGAGTGATTTTGTTAACATTTGTGGCTGCCGGATACCGTCCCCTTGAATTGGTATTAATTCAAGTATCAATTCTTACTAATGTGAAATGTCTGTTGATAACGGAAGAACAGTGAGTGACATCAATGCAAATTAAAACTGACATATTCATTAATTTTAATATGTATTTGTTTTTACTTGTAGATGAATTTTTAACTGGGAGAGTTTTAATCTATTTGCATTGTCAGGACAATCCTGACGATGCTCTTACCGGCGAAACAATTGTTGATTCATCCAAGTAGAAATGGTGCACTACTGGTGCCTAGTGTGGCACTGGTGCATCCACCTTACTTAAAAAATGGGCAAGCGGGAGTGCTTGATAATTTATTTCCACGATTTTCGACAGTAAATATCTTCTAAACTAAAAGAGATAGCAACTAGAAAATTATATATAATATAATTAATTATATATATTATTATATATATTTATATATTATTATATAGTAAGTAATTTTATTAAAAAAAAAATGAATTTGCACCGAAACGCAATGAAATATAACTCTTTTTTTTACAGTATACGCCGTACTATGGAGTCCGATGAGTTCTGCATCGGTGCCCTGAATGGAAGTCACTTCTACCGCTACCCTCATACGGCACCCCAAATGCGAGTCACTTCTACCGCTACCTTCGTACGGTGCCCTAACTTTTAAGATTATCTCACAAATTGACAAAATTGCATTTTTATGTTCAAAGGACTAATTTTTGCTTGTTTTAGGGATTTTGCACCTGATTCTGACATCGTAGGAAGACCATTCTTGCATCATATTGTAAGTAATTAATTACTTTATCATTTTCCTAAATAACTTTTATGATTATTGTACAAATTGATCCCTAAAATTGCATTTTTATGTTCGAAGGACTAATTTTTGCTTGTTTTAGGGATTTTGCACCTGAGTCTGACATCGTAGAAGGACCATTCTTGCATCAGATTGTAAGAAATTAATTTCTGTATCATTTTCCTGAATAACTTTGGTGATTATCTCAAAAATTGACCCCCAAAATTGCATTTTTCTGTTCGAAGGACTAATTTTTGCTTGTTTTAGGGATTTTGCACCTGAGTCTGACATCGTAGAAGGACATTCTTGCATCAGATTGTAAGTAATTAATTTCTGTATCATTTTCCTGAATAACTTTGGTGATTATCTCAAAAATTGACCCCCAAAATTGCATTTTTCTGTTCGAAGGACTAATTTTTGCTTGTTTTAGGGATTTTGCACCTGAGTCTGACATCGTAGAAGGACATTCTTGCATCAGATTGTAAGTAATTAATTCCTTTATCATTTTACATAATAACTTTTATGATTATCACACAAATTGGCCCCCAAAATTGCATTTTTCTGTTCGAAGGACTAATTTTTGCTTGTTTTAGGGATTTTGCACCTGAGTCTGACATCGTAGAAGGACATTCTTGCATCAGATTGTAAGTAATTAATTTCTTTATCATTTTCCTGAATAACTTTGGTGATTATCTCAAAAATTCACCCCCAAAATTGCATTTTTCTGTTCGAAGGACTAATTTTTATTATTTTCTAATTTTTGCTTGTTTTAGGGATTTTGCACCTGAGTCTGACATCGTAGAAGGACCATTCTTGCATCAGATTGTAAGTAATTAATTCCTTTATCATTTTACATAATAACTTTTATGATTATCATACAAATTGGCCCCCAAAATTGCATTCTTCTGTTCGAAGGACTAATTTTTGCTTGTTTTAGGGATTTTGCACCTGAGTCTGACATCGTAGAAGGACCATTCTTGCATCAGATTGTTAGTATTAAATTATCTTAAATAACTTTTGTGATTATTATACAAATTGACTCCCAAAATTTATGCTTGTGCGTTTTCTTTAATAAAGAATATTTTTAAGTTTTTCTAATCAAAATTATTTCTGTTATTTCTACCTGATCACATATTTAACGATTCCTTAAACCATTTATTTCGAAAAGTGCATGCTAGTGCCATCTATCAATTAGAAACTACAACAACCGAAAGTTTTGAGCTTCGGGCCGTCGCCACCAGAGGCAGCACGTTACTAGTTACCGCGTAAACTTTATCAGCCTCCTCAACTTTCTGCGCTCCTAATATTCCATCTTTATTTTGTCGACTCTGGGAGGCAAAATGACACAAAATTTGGACTCGAAACAGTCGAAACTCAGGTTTTGGTATTCGGATCGCAGAAAGGGTGAGGAGGTAAGTAAATATAAGAGGCGGTAAATAGTAATGGCGGGTAAAATGAATGTTTAAAAATCAGTAAATTCGGTTTTCAAATTCTGAAGGATCTCGACAACTAAGAGGGCTAGGAAATTAAGAACTACATAATCTTGCTCCTTGAAAAATTCTCAACAAGGTGGCATCATTATTGAAAAATCATCAAAATAGCACAAAAAATTTTTAAAGAAAAGATTTTATTAAAAAAATGGCAAAAGATTTCTCTTTTTTATGGTCGAAATTAAAAGTTGGAATTTTTAAATTCTGTTTTCGAATTCTGATAGACAATTTAAATCTACGTCAATTATTTTCGTATTTTTTTTTGCTAGCATTAACTGTTTAGGCCCTATTTGCAATTTTATAGAAAAAATTGAAAATGTACCAAAACAAACTAAAATAATAAATATAATAACTGTCTATGTCCACTTTCTGCGTTCCTAGTACTACAGACTGATGAGCAGCAACATTTCAGCAAATTTCTCGACAAATTTTGTCGACAAATCCATTGAAATTGGTAACAAAATTCTTTTGAATATTAGGATCGCAGAAAGTGCAGTAGGTTGAATCTCTTGAATAGCGGCGTAGTTTAGTTGCTCGTGGATAGATGACACTAGTGATACCGTTTCGAAATTAATATTGATACAAATTGACTTTGAATTATTTCCCATATCTAACAGTGGCATTACCATTTATGTTTAGGATATTTATGGATTAATTAAAGGATTAACGATGTTGCGAGCGATGTTCTCGGTTCGGGACGAGTAAAAAATAAAAATTTATAGTTAAAAATATAAAACTACAATTTTATTTGAACATGTAGAATATATATACATCACAAACTCAATTTTTCAATATATACAGCATTTTTAAGAATACAAACATATAAACAGGGTAATATGATACAATTATAAAATGCTCTTTTTATATCTTTTAACAAAATACATAAAAATTATATCAATAATTGCTTCAAAATGTTGTAAATTCATTCCATCGTATTTGGAATCATCATCAACACCGGCAATCCAATCTTCTATTTCTTGGACACTATAAATCAGAATGAATTACAGAATAGTAAAATATAAAATATTATAAATTGCAAAAATATAACATACGTTCTGGGTATTTTAGTCCAGTTGACACATCCATCTTCAGTAAACAAAACATCATCCTCAATACGCACTCCACCAGTACCACGGAACCTCTCCAGTTGGTCCTTATTGATAAAATTCATCGTCCATCTCAGGATTAGCCAATGCTTCATTCAACAACTGGAAAATGTTCATGTAAATGAAATATACATATACATAAATTAAATTAATTATTCTTACAGGATCCATAAAGACTCCCATTCAAGGCAACGTACGAAGATAGCGGTAGAAGTGACTCCCATTCAAGGCACCGTACGAAGGTAGCGGTAGAAGTTACACCCATTTAGGGCACCGTAGAAGGGTAGCGTTATCGTTTACGTTAATGAAGAATTCATCGGACTCCATGGTACGGCGAATACTGTAAAAAAAAAAAATAAGTTAAAACAACTAGCATAAGTATGCATACAAAACACGAAAAGTATTACCATTTTTGATCAATAATGTACATTAAACGCGGCAATAGTAAATAACAACATGCGGCAAATGGCAACTGCATGAGAGGATGACAAGGGCAAACAAGGAAAATCTTCTAATTTTTCTCAATTTGTTCAAAAAACAGATTAAAAATTCTTAAACTAGGAAAAATTTTCTATGAAATAATATAACTAAATTAAAAAATTAAAAGATAAAATTTTAATTCATAAGAAAAAATGGGCAAGGGGTGGGAGACACACAACTTTCAATATAACTCGGGTCACGGAATTTTCACACAATAAATTTCAACACAGGAAGATACAGAATTAAATTCTGCATCTGGGAAAAATATTCCAGACATATTGTGACACCGCGATCGCGTGTTATATCAATAAAACTACAATTCCAAGCGCAACGAGTACTAGTGCGTATACACATTACTTTCAATATAACTCGCGTTACGGAATTTTCTACCAATAAATTTCGACACGGGAAGATACAGAATTTAATTCTGCATCTTGGAAAATTATTCCGAACTTATTGTGACACCGCGATCGCGTGTTATATTAAAAAAAACTACAAATTCAATACAGGGAGAAAAATATAATTGAATTATAAACTTACCAGTGTACAGCCTATCGGATTGCCAGGCACAAGGAATGCTGTAACAAAACGAAAAAAATAGTTAAAACAAATATATTTTATACATTTGAATTATGTAATTCACAATCAACAACACCACACTGCGGTTAATTTAGTAACCAAACACAATGCCGAGTGAAGAATGTTATCAAATCCACTATCACGTGACATGTAATATACATAACAAACGCAATCAGAAATCGGCATTTCCTAACTTAAACAAATTACTATAGTCGCAAAGTACAAATAAATCGTCGATTGATAACCGAGTATAACACAAATTTTGAATATTATAGTCCGAATAAACGATATAAGTCTCTCAAAACACGACTGTATTAACCGGCGACCCGCCCAAAACTGGCTGCAATCCACTTATACCTATGCATGCCGAAACTGCGTAAACAACGACGGGACAGTATATGATAAGAAAGCAAGACGTGTGCAAAGACGGTACGTCGAAGGCACGCGACCTTGTGGGCGAATTTGTAATAGGCACATTAAATCGCAGAGACTATTCTACGGCTTATTCTCTATAAGATAGGCTAGTTAAAGCGGAAATCTGAGAGATGAAATTTTAATTCTTAAGAAAAAATTGCCAAGGGGGGGTGCTTGATACTTTTTTTCGACGATTTTCAAAAATTCATATCTCTTAAACTAAAAGAGATAGCTACTAACGAATTATTGATTATGAAAGATTGGAAGATTCTCTATCAGATAAAAATATAAAACAATTACATTTCCTACAGTAAAAGGTCGAAAAACGCGACTAAAGTGCTAAAAAGTGACATTTTGCAATTTTTGCCCATTTTATTCAATCGCGAATATCTCGTAAACTAAAAGAGATAATTAAGATCTGATCGCAGCGTCTTAATCTACAGACCAATCTCTATCAGATAGGTTATTTAAAGTGGAAATCTGAGAGATGAAATTTTAAGTCTTAAGAAAAAATTGCCAAGGGGGGGTGCTTGATACTTTTTTTCGACGATTTTCAAAAATTCATATCTCTTAAACTAAAAGAGAGAGCTACCAACGAATTGTTGATTATGAAAGATTGGAAGATTGTCTATCAGATAAAAATATAAAACAATTACATTTCCTACAGTAAAAGGTCGAAAAACGCGACTAAAAGTGCTAAAAAGTGACATTTTGCAATTTTTGCCCATTTTATTCAATCGCGAATATCTCGTAAACTAAAAGAGATAAATAAGATCTGATCGCAGCGTCTTAATCTACGGACCAATCTCTATCAGATAGGATAGTTAAAGTGGAAATCTGAGAGATGAAATTTTAAGTCTTAAGAAAAAATTGCCAAGGGGGGGTGCTTGATACTTTTTTTCGACGATTTTCAAAAATTCATATCTCTTAAACTAAAAGAGATAGCTACCAACGAATTGTTGATTATGAAAGATTGGAAGATTCTCTATCAGATAAAAATATAAAATAATTATATTTCCTACAGTAAAGGTCGAAAACGCGACTAAAAGTGCTAAAAGTGACATTTTGCAATTTTGCCCATTTTATTCAATCGCGAATATCTCGTAAACTAAAAGAGATAATTAAGATCTGATCGCAGCGTCTTAATCTACGGACCAATCTCTATCAGATAGGATATTTAAAGTGGAAATCTGAGAGATGAAATTTTAAGTCTTAAGAAAAATTGCCAAGGGGGTGCTTGATACTTTTTTTCGACGATTTTCAAAAATTCATATCTCTTAAACTAAAAGAGATAGCTACCAACGAATTGTTGATTATGAAAGATTGGAAGATTGTCTATCAGATAAAAATATAAAACAATTACATTTCCTACAGTAAAAGGTCGAAAAAAGCGACTAAAAGTGCTAAAAAGTGACATTTTGCAATTTTTGCCCATTTTATTCAATCGCGAATATCTCGTAAACTAAAAGAGATAATTAAGATCTGATCGCAGCGTCTTAATCTACGGACCAATCTCTATCAGATAGGATAGTTAAAAGTGGAAATCTGAGAGATGAAATTTTAAGTCTTAAGAAAAATTGCCAAGGGGGTGCTTGATACTTTTTTCGACGATTTTCAAAAATTCATATCTCTTAAACTAAAAGAGAGAGCTACCAACGAATTGTTGATTATGAAAGATTGGAAGATTCTCTATCAGATAAAAATATAAAATAATTATATTTCCTACAGTAAAGGTCGAAAAACGCGACTAAAAGTGCTAAAAGTGACATTTTGCAATTTTTGCCCATTTTATTCAATCGCGAATATCTCGTAAACTAAAAGAGATAGCTGCCAACGAAAAGTTGATAATTCTCTATCAGATAAAAATATTAAATAATTATATTTCCTACAGTAAAAGGTCGAAAAAGGCGACTAAAAGTGCTAAAAGTGACATTTTGCAATTTTTGCCCATTTTATTCAATCGCGAATATCTCGTAAACTAAAAGAGATAAATAAGATCTGATCGCAGCGTCTTAATCTACGGACCAATCTCTATCAGATACGATAGTTAAAGTGGAAATCTGAGAGATGAAATTTTAAGTCTTAAGAAAAATTGCCAAGGGGGTGCTTGATACTTTTTTCGACGATTTTCTAAAAGTGAAAATTCATATCTCTTAAACTAAAAGAGATAGCTACCAACGAATTGGTTAAAACCGAAATCTAAGAGATGAAATTTCAAGTCTTAAGAAAAATTGCCAAGGGGTGCTTGATACTTTTTTCGACGATTTTCAAAAATTCATATCTCTTAAACTAAAAGAGATAGCTACCAACGAATTGTTGATTATGAAAGATTGGAAGATTCTCTATCAGATAAAAATATAAAAAACAATTACATTTCCTACAGTAAAAGGTCGAAAAACGCGACTAAAAGTGCTAAAAAGTGACATTTTGCAATTTTTGCCCATTTTATTCAATCGCGAATATCTCGTAAACTAAAAGAGATAGCTACCAACGAATTGTTGATTATGAAAGACTGGAAAATTCTCTATCAGATAAAAATATTAAATAATTATATTTCCTACAGTAAAAGGTCGAAAAAGGCGACTAAATGTGCTAAAAGTGACATTTTGCAATTTTGCCCATTTTATTCAATCGCGAATATCTCGTAAACTAAAAGAGATAAATAAGGTCTGATCGCAGCATCTTAATCTACGGACCAATCTCTACCAGATACGATGGTTAAACCTGAAATCTAAGAGATGAAATTTTAAGACTTAAGAAAAAAATGCCAAGGGGGTGCTTGATACTTTTTCTCGACGATTTTCAAAAATTCATATCTCTTAAACTAAAAGAGATAGCTACCAACGAATTGTTGATTATGAAAGATTGGAAGATTGTCTATCAGATAAAATATATAACAATTACATTTCCTACAGTAAAGGTCGAAAACGCGACTAAAAGTGCTCAAAAAGTGACATTTTGCAATTTTTGCCCATTTTATACAATCGCGAATATCTCGTAAACTAAAAGAGATAAATGTTGACCCCCTCTCATCGGCCCTGCCGGTAGGTAGCACGTGATAAATAGAAAACTTGTTTACATGCAGCAAATGTAAATTTGACCGGAAAATATAATTGAATAATAGACTTACCAGTGTATAGCTTATCGGACTGCCAGGCACAACGAGTGCTGTAACTAAACGAAAACATAAATTAAAATAAAATTATTTCAAACAATTGAATTATGGTATAAGAAACAATCAACACAAAATAAACAATCTGTGGTGTTTAGTTAAAAAATACTTACACGAGCCTGATGGATCTTTCTTAATAATGAGAATCAACATGGGCGTCGATATATAATTTAGTAACCGACACCAAACACAACGTCGAGTGAAGTATGTTATCAATTCCACTATCACGTGACTTGTAATATACATAACAAACGCGATCAAAAACCGGCATTTCCGAACATTAAACAAATTACTATAGTCGCAAAATACAAATAAATAGTCGTAATAAATAGTTTCATTCATATCTCTTAAACTAAAAGAGATAGCTACCAACATATAGTTGATTATGATAGATTGAATAAAAATATAAAATAATTATATTTCCTACAGGCGGTGGAGCGCGGCGAAAAAAACACATAAATGCAAAGTAATGACCGACGCAGAACATAAAACGAAATATATACAGTAGAGTCCGGTTATAATGACATCGAAGGGAATTGATAAACACGTCATAATAAGCGGACGTCATACAAAGCGTTTTGTGAAATGAAATCCCTTTTTATGTAAATATGTACATATTCATACATATTAAATCAAAATCAAAATTGCACGTAATCAGCACATTATAACACATACAAGTGTATTTTTACTTCAAGTAATCTGTAATTTTTTCTGCTTTTGTTTTTCATTTAATTAATTTTCTTGTGATTTTCGAAGCCTCTTCGGTTTCAAAACATTTGAATTGAACGATTGCTTAATGCGGTTCTTGTTTTTTAAAAAGCATTGAGATTGTCGAATGACCCACGCCAAATTCGGATTAATGGAAAATACGGATTAAGTCGTGGTCAAGGTACTGCTGTCCGAATGCTTATATTTATTATTTAAGCATTTGGTCTTTCCGATAGTAAATACATAAAAGAAATGTAGCAATAAATATAAAAGTTCGCCACGTGTCGAACGTCGTCGGGTATCAACGAACATTACCGGAGGTGTAAAGAATCATGTTGGTCAATATAACCGGACATAATCTGTTAAAAATGGGTCATAATAAGCGACATGTCACTGTAAGCGAAGTCATTATATCCGACTTTTTTATACAGAATTTTATATGAAAACCAAACTTGGTAGTGTAGGTACGTCATAATAACCGGTTGGTCAATGTAAGCGGAGTCATAATAAACGGATTCTACTGTAATTGAATTATAAACTTACTAATGCAGAACTCATCAAACTCCAAAGCACGGCAAATACTGTTAATATAAAAAAGAAAATATAAGGAATATTATATGCACACAGCGGAGAAAACAAACAATCTGTGCTGTTTAGTTACAAAAGAAAAACACTAAGAACAGCACGATGGGTCATCTAAATGATGAATAAATCAACATGGCCGCGATACACTTACGCGCAAATAATAAATAACTGTACTAAAGTTACTAAAGTCAAGTAAAAATAAATTGTCGATTGATGATCGATTGTAATACGAATTGTAAAGTAGAAGTCCGGATAATGGATAAGAGTCGCACAAAATACGTCTGAATCAACCAGAAACCGGCACGAAACTGGTCGCAAACCGCATAAGCCACGACGAGGCAGTTTATGATAAGAAAGCAAGAGGTGCGCAAGGCCGGCGCGTCGATGGCACGCAACCATGTGCGCGAATTGCATTTGGCACTTTACCTGGGTTCAAAACAAAACTAAGCTGCAGCAACATGCGGCATAGGGTGCTAGCAACGACGACAAATAGCAATGCGATAAGAAAGTGTATATTGTGTTCAAACAAACCCAATTCTTGTGTCGAAGGTTTACGCTTGCTGATATATATAGAATTAAACAATACAAGTTTATTTTACAATGTTTAGTCCATGCTATTGCCATCTATAAATGATACACTAGTTTCAATTAGTAAAAGTAATAAAAAATTAAAATTCGATTTGCGTAATTCTGATTTCTTATGCTAAGAGATTGCCAGATTTTAAATCAAATATTTAAGTGATTTTTAATTTGAACATGCATCGTTTCTCGTTTAGCAGGTAACACATTAGTCCGAAATCATCTGCTGATAATAAAAATATTTTAGGATTAATATAAAATTGTTAGTTATATTCATGAAAGAATTAAATAATATTTGCTTAAATTTACGATGCTAATATAATAAACAGCAACGGTGTGTTTTGATTCACCGAAATATAGATTCGATACCTGCAGGTAAACGAACTTATCTCTTGCGCGAAATCGCGTGATCCACACGGACACGGTGTGCACTCACTACCACCAACAAGCAATATTTAATGCAAAACCGTACATCGTAGCGACATCTAACCTTTGAAAATATTTATCAACATCAAAACACATTTATCAAATATGCAAGAAGGTTGATATTGCAATGAAATTGAAAACAATGAAAATCATACCCGAAGCAAACCAGTATTTAATAAATGATTGATTTAATTTTGCGTACAATAAACAATAAACATATCAGGTAGTGCTAAGTTGTTTCGTTTACGTGCATGCGTGTGTGTTTGTGTGAAAAACAGTTAATCGCTCACTCGTCATTTACCAATAATTAGAATTAATGGCACTAAATCTAAGCTATACAAGAATCGGATAAAAACATATAGCAAAAATTATTCCAAACTTATTGTGACACCGCGATCGCAAGATATATAAAAAACTACAATTCCAAGCGCAACGTGTACTAGTGTGTATACACACAACTTTCATTATAACTCGCGTTACGGAATTTTCATGCAATAAGTTTCAATGCACGGAGATACAGAATTAAATTCTGCATCTGGGAAAACTATTCCGAACTGATTGTGACACTGCGTTCGCGTGTTATATTAAAAACTGCAATTTCAATACAGGGAGAAAAATATAATTGAATTAAACTTACCAATGTACATCGGACTGCCAGGCACAACGAGTGCTGTAACTAAACGAAAACATAAATTAAAACAAAAATATTTCATACATTTGAATTATGGTATAATTAACAATCAACACAAAATAAACAATCTGTGCTGTTTAGTTAAAAAATACTTACACGAGCCTGATGGATTATAATTTAGTAACCGACACCGAACACAACGCCGAGTGAAGAATGTTATCAAATCCACTATCACGTGACTTGTAATATACACAAGAAACGCGATCAAAAACCGGCATTTCCGAACATTAAACAAATTACTATAGTCGCAAAGTAGAAATAAATAGTCGATTGATAACCGAGTATAACACAAATTTTGAATATTATAGTCCGAATAAACGATATAAGTCTCTCAAAACATGACTGTATTAACCAGCGACCGGCATTAAATTGCCTGCAATCCACCGATAGTGCATGCCGAAACTGCGTAAACAACGACGGCACAGTATATGATAAGAAAGCAAGAGGTGCGCGTTGATCGCATGCGACCTTGTACGCGAATTTGAAGAAGGCCCAATACCTGTGATCTAAACTAAACTAGACTTTGCTGCATGCAGCAAGTTGATGCGGCGCTAGGAGACAGCACGCGGGACACATGCGTTAAAAACGTTGTTTACACCGAATCGCAGATAACAGCATTGTATACAAAACTATTCTCGTGCCCACTTTTGTCGATAAATATAAAAATAAGCCGTATAACTCGATTTTATGATTTTTAGTGCATCCTAGTGCCATCTATGAATGCGAAAAATACTAGTCTTACAATTAATTAACATGTAGAGTGTCTCTTAAACTATAACATTAGAAATTTACTTTATTTAATTAACTTTAGAAATTCATCAAATGTGTATTTGTTTACAAGATACAGTAAATATAATTTTAAATTTAATTGCTTAGTAAATCCTTCAATTTCTGGATCTTCTTGGTCAATGAGTCACCTTGAAAGCAATTTATTAATTAAAAATTTTGCAATTAATCATAATATATTTACTTACATTTACGTAAATATTTCAGTAGTTGATCCGTATCATTCAGACGCTTTGAAGACGTTTTCTTAGCAAGTTGATCATGAGCTGTAACAATTTCCTTCATATACTTCTGTAGTTCACTTCCATATTTTACATTCTTAGTTTCTTTTACGTTATCTACTTCATGAGCTACTATTTTCTTCTTTTCTATATTATCTTCTGGTTTACCAACTCTATTTTGATATGGAAGCTTCCTTTTTCCTAAATTTCTGTTTGGATCATTAATTGTCTTGTTTTCATCAATAACAGTCAGTCGTTTTACATTTTCGGGAATGACTTTGTGTATAGTCTTACTGAACAATATCTGTTTCATGGGCGCACCTGCGGGGGTTGGTGTTTGAACCATCGTAGATTGAATTTGCATTTTGGTATTTACAGCGCCTGATGTTGAGGGTTCGTTAAGTGTGGAGGAAAATTGGGAATCCTGAGATTTGCGAATAAATTCATCGTACGTTGTGTTGATACTTGTTTCTTTTATGGATGAAGTATGAACATTTTCGATGTCGGCTTGTACTTCGATCCGTTGTGGAATAAATTCTTCAGAAGAATCAGAGGAAGCTTCAAATTCCATGTTTTTCTACTTGAATCAGAATTTTTACTAGAATTAACGTTGAATTGCCACGTGCTTTTTGTTTGTCATATGTGTGAATGTTTTTTTTTGTTTTCCTGGTCTTAAACAATTGAATACGAAGGTTGCCTACATCAAAATAAAATTTAGCATTCGACAATTTTTTGTTAATAATCAAATTTTATCACGTATAAAATAATACGTTAATATAAAAATAATTTCTTTCATATAGAGTAAATTTAGTTGATTTTGGTTGCTTTCCATTAATGTATTACAAATAATTTGGGACAAGTGCAGTGTGAATGCCCCTTCTTGGAAGTATGGCCGACGCTGCTTGTATCAGCGGTGCTTCTGTGCGATGGCTTCGTCCGCACGTTCTCCCGAATTTCCCATAAAAATGCGCCGATTTATAATACTCACCTGGTGCATCTAAAGTGACGACTTCTTGTGCAACTTGTCCAAAAAGGTCACTTCGATTCGTGCGATTATTTCGGTGCAATTCGTGATAAAGCGCCGCGCTGTGAACGAAGAGGTTGTCTTGCGTTTCACCCTGCATCCCGGTCCATGGATTGATGCATCATCACCAAAACTATGATAATGGAAAGGAGAATTAAGCTGAAAACGCTCAACAATCACATCACCTGCAAGATTTGCAGAGGATATCTGATTGATGCTACCACTGTCACTGAATGTTTACACACCTGTAAGTTGTGTCAAAATTCATTTTCTACTGTTTTTGGAGATAATCTATGCTCATGTATAATTCCAGTTTGCAAGAGTTGTTTGGTAAAGCATTTGGAAGAGAATAACACTTGTCCAACATGCAACATTGTGATACACCAATCACACCCACTGCAATACATCAGCTTTGATCGGACTATGCAAGATATTGTCTATAAACTGGTGCCCGAACTGCAAAAAAGTAGGTTTTAATCTTCGAAACCATTACCAATTACACCAAAACATATTATTTTTATCTTCAGATGAAATTACAAGAGAAAGAGAATTTTACAAAGCCAGAGGACTGCCATGTCCAAAGGATATTCCTCTTAATATCGCCGACATGGAGGAAGAGAAGTCGGCGGCGGATGTTCACGCAGAGGCTGACTACCACCGACAAGATGAGCAAGTTAATGTGTGCCTGGAATGTATTAGCAATAACTTAAAGACGTTGAAGAGGAGATTTATTCGGTGTTCGGCGCAAGCGACGATTCTACACTTGAAGAAGTTCGTCGCTAAAAAAGTATTAAACGGGATGGAAAAATATAGAGATGTGAGTATGCACATCTTCTTCATTTAATTCATTTTAATCCTTACTGTTATTTTTAGATTGATATATTGTGCAATGATGAACTCCTGGGAAAAGACCACACGCTCAAATTTGTCTACGTGACACGATGGCGGTTTCAGAACCCTCCGCTGACTCTACAATATCGTCCACGCATCGATTTGTAAAACATTGAAGAAGTCGTGCAGTTACAACCTAAAAGACACAAACACTTACCGCTCGGTATGTGAGATATTAAACAATATGTGAGAGTGTGAAGTTGCAGTGATTTTAATCTACAAAAAGTGTTGGGAGCCATCGAGAGGCCGCAAACTTCACATTTGGTGCAATTTCGATTTGGGAATTGAGTGTTAATGCTTTCAGGGGATTACAAACAGAAAAAAGTTCAAATTTTATAAATGCATTGGGTTTATCAGTTCAAATAAAATCTATAGATTTTCGATATTTTAGTAGAGAAAAAAGAAGCTAAAAATGAACGACGTTTATAAATGAATGCATCTGATTCATCGCTGAAATGTATATATTTTGTATTAAGACAAACAAGACTTTTATTCAAACTTCCTCTCTTGAAACTGTAGACTTAGATGTTACAAAAAAATATTTAAATTTAAGATTATGTTACTGTTGCTAGTGTTACGCTGGTTAAAATTTAGTCTTCGATCCATTGGAAAGGCTCTGGCGGTTCGGGTTCTTTCTCGTCATCGGCCTTCGGGCCAAACGCAGCGACGGGCTCTACGAGCTCCTCTTCGCCGGGTTTGAGGTTTCTCACCATTACGATGCCACCGATGGACACGTCCTTCATGGGCACGTACTGGCTACCTTCGGCTACACTGATGACTTTAAGTTGTTGGCGCATCACACGCGCAGGATTGCTGAGGTTTTCGAAAGTGGGCTCGGGTTCCTTCTTCTTTTCGTCAGGCTTATCAGACTTTTCAGCTTTATCGGACTTATCATCCGCTTTCTTTTCGGTCTTTTTATCGTCTTTGTCTTCCTTAGCCTTTTCTTTCTCCTTATCGTCCTTCTTGTCTTTTTCCTTTTCTTTATCATCATCCACTTCCATCTTCTCATCCTTATGCTGCTTCTTGTCATGATCTCTACGACGCTGTTTAGCCGCGATTGACAGTACAGCGGTGGTGACTTTCTCGCGCTCTTCGCGTTTCTTTTCTTCCAGTGGAGCTGGATAAGCATAGAGTGAAGGCTTAGCACTTGACTTGATATCTAGCTTAGGCATTTTAAGTTGAGCGTTCAAAGCAATCAGGCAGGTTGGTGTGAACGCCAGTGCCAAACAATGCGCCAGCGGGAACCAATACCAGTACTGGGTGAAGACCAACGCTCCAACCACTGCCAACATGTTAGTGTGACCAGTTCTAGATTGCAGACTCAAAGTGACATTCCTGCCACCAGCATCAATAATTCCCTGAGCCAGAATCGCTCCAAACTTCGCCATTACATCTTCATGCTTATTCGTAATAACCTGCGCATAGGACTGCCTGAAGAACGTCACTTTGGGGCAGGTAGCTTCCGTCTGCTGGATTAGAATCATAGCAGATGCAATCAAAGCGCCTTGACGCACGAAGTTCACTGGATCGAACATGACCATCGGTTCGAGAAGAGCAATTGCTTCCCGTAGGCCGGTACCAGCACAAGCGATACCCAATGCCATTGCAGCGCCATACCTCACATGAGGATTATAACTCTCCGCCAACAGGGAGACCACAGATGGACATTGCTCGGGTGTTCTAAACAACAAAAATCCGAGCGCGGTCACAGCCGCACGCCTCACATCATCGTTCACGTCACTCACAGCGACATGCAACAACTTCCTGATGGCCTGGTTGTGACCAGTTCCACAGTACGCCATCGCAAGCGTATACATACCAGACCTTCTAAGAATTGGATCCTTAGCGCTGGTTAATTGCGTAATCAATGGATCCGCTTCCTCCAAGCGTCCGTACATCGTGAAAGCAATACCGACAGCTAAACCACGGAGGATTTTCTCGTGTTGAGACTCCTGAGCATACCCAACCATATCTTCAATAGACATGGCGTTCTTGGAGCCCAACATTACCATTCCCATGGCAATACCAGCGGCTTCCCCAGTGGCGGCATCATCTTGATACAGATTAAATTTAAGTTGTTCATAAACATCCTGTCGGTGGGTTCCCATAGCAGCTAAACCTAATCCCAAGCAACCACCATGCCGCACCATCTCATTCTGAGCATCTTTTAGTTGCCCCAGGAGGTAGTCAGTGATATTAGCACCGTGGTTAGCATGAATCAACCCCAGTGCATACAAACCACCACCTTCAGAGTATCCGGAACTAGGTCCTACCTCTTTTGGAAGATAGCTTTGCATCAAAGTCAACGCCTCTTGTTCGTGACCCCGATGAATAACTCCCAGTGATGCAGTTGCCGTCAATTTCGCCCAGTTGGTCGCTCGCGCTAACCATTCGAGATTATCACGCAGGAATTGATCGGATGTTGTTCCAGAGTGCATGAAACCATTTGCAATCACAGTTGCAGTGTGGCAAATCGATACACGAATGGCTTCTTTCGTTTGTTTCAGAATCAACAGATCAGCGTGATTGGACCTGATCAAAAACTGAAGGTGTAATTCAATGCTCACCTCACCAGAGAGTATACTGTGTAGTTTTTCCACCCTAAGCTGGTGATCTTTTTCGGCGGGGGTGAGGGACTCTATGGTTTTCTCTTCAGTGGCTGCAGGTGCTGTGGTCGTGGTTTTGTCCTCTTCAGATTCGGTCTCCATGGTAGTGGGAGCTTCCCCTTCGGCAACGGGCGTTTTCGGCTTCAGTTTGTTTTCTAACAAGGACGGAATCGGGACTGTTGCGCGCAAAGCCTCTAATACATTGCCCAAAAACTGCTGAGTGGCCGATTCGTACAAATCAAACGCAATTTGATACGCCATCAACTGACTCTCCTCTTGGCCCTGCGCCAACTTGTCAAGAATACTAGCCACGGCAAGCGGGTCTTCCAAGAAGATCAAACATTGACACATGTTGACATAGTCAGGGGTAGTTAAACCTTTGTAGAGGCTTACCAAAGTCATCAAGACGGTGTTACGGAAGCCACGGTTTTGAATCAAGCTCATTGCAACTTGAAACGCATAGACCAACATACCTGCAATGTCATCACTCTGTGTGATTGCAGCTTCAAAGATATCCATCCGGCGGGTTTCCAGAGCGAGACCAACTGCCTGACGGAATTGACCATCGTCAAGACACCGCTGGAACATACGATTGACAATCGCCTCCAGGCGTGGGTCAATTTGACTACCGCCAATGCGAGCTTGTGTATAGAAATCAATGCATTTTGCAATGATGGTTTCCACATACTCAGACCTAGAGTTCACATCAAACAAGTCTCCAGCACCCAATGCATAGGTTAAGGAGTCTTCAAATGAACCTAGATGATAGTATACCTTACTTGCCACCAATGCAGCTAATTCATGCTGGTTGAAGAGTTTGTCTTCGTGCAAAATCTCGATCTTTTCTATGGCGTCGCTAATCTCAGGCCAGAATTCATCCACAATGTTGTCCAGCTTCTTAAGGGCGAAGACCTTCATCTCAGGGCGCGGTTCTTCCAGCAGGGAGATTATCCCGGCCGCGGAAGTGATATTCATCTTGACTGGCTAGCACTTAACGCTGTTTTTAGTGAAAACTTCTGGGTTTTGAATGCTCGAGATGGGTGACGATGCTAAACAGTTGTTCTGACGTTAACCTAACTTAAATTTGCAATTCACTCTCCGGCACTGGAAAATATAGATAAAATGGATGCGGTAACGCACCTTTTTTCGTCGCGTATCCAGTCATATGAGTTAAAATGACTATATATGATCTTCTATACAGAGTGCGACAAAAATCATTAATTTCAATCAAATACTTGTCTTTATTTAAAAAAATAAAATCGCAATCACTTTTTCGACTTCGGCGCAAATTCTAATCCGCGAATATACTTCTTCGGTATCTTATACTTATCGATCAATAAATTATAAACAAATAGAATCTGATTGCCTTGAATCAAGATCTGATCGCTTTTCTTACCATTCGGTCGACTTATGCTCGTACTTGCAGCGACACCATGTTGGCACTCTTTCGCAAATTCCGACATTTTAATATGATACAACTCAAGATTGTCCACAATGGTAACCTTTTTATTACCGGAGCGAGTTTGCGTCGACATAATAATCATCGGTATTTTTCCCTTGTTCATTGTCTGCTCGTCAGCCGTGGAAATCTGGAAACATGATTTCATTGACGAAGTTACTTTGTCGAGGAGATCCTCCCATGTCACTGCAATCTCGTTCTGGCAGATGGCGCTCAACACGGCGTTATTCTCCACATTAACAAAACGCTTATTAAAAGTGTCTTGTAAATTGTGGTTTTTCACGTAGGTAGTGACGTAGTTCTTGATTTCAGACGTCGTCATCGTTTCACTTTTACTATAAAAAACGCAGGATATCATATAACTCAATTTTAAGAGTTAAATTTGCGGAAAAACTTACTGAACACCGAATTCTTTGAATAGAGGAAGTACCGCTTGAGTAACAGCGTAAGATTCAACAATGTTTCTTGTCTGGGAAGTATCTTCTGCTTGGGTGGATTTTCGTGGACGACTATCAAGATCCACATAGAAGGAAATAAATCTTTCATGTTCCTTATTGATGCCTTCAAGTGTCTCAACTCCTTTTTTCTTTTCCTTAATTGTTATCAATCCTTCCTAAAGATTAATAAAACATAATTTGAATATAAATACAACTACATTTCAGTATATTACCTTTTCCATAGCTTTAAGAAATTGTCCAACTTTTTTATGTGATGATTTTTTAACATCCAAAACTTTTCCTTCTGGACAAACTGGAATCATTTGTAATTTATAGAAAGATGAAGTTAACATAGGGATTTCCAGTGTTTTGCTGTATTTTATTGCAGTTAGGAAACATTTTTCTAGAAGAATATCCATTTGTTCCACTTCTGATAATCCATTTTCTTCAACAATTTCTTCATTGGTGTCGCTTTGTATATCAGTATCTACACTAGCGCCCTCTGTTGTTTCTACAGTCAAGTTTTCAATATCTTCAACATATAAATCAACACTTTTTATGGGTTCATCATTATTTTTAGCTGTAGAACCACCCAAAGGCGGAAATTCTTTATCATCAAGTTGCCTAGAAACTTCTGGTACCACATTTTCTAATCCTATTTTCTGATTAACACTATCCCCAGACTCAAAATCAACTGGACCAAGTTGTGGTAATGGCAAAACATTCATATCCTCCATGGAACACAATTTATCCCCATGACAATGATATACCAAAATGCATTTCCCACCTTGTGCTGTTCTCATTTGTGTTGATGACATTGCAATTGCACCAACAGCAACAGCAGCCTTGTTATTTACATTATTTACAATCCCAGGCTGCTTTTGCAAGAAATCCTGCTTTAGAGCTGGATTAACATAAACTCCAGGCATCATTAAATCAGCTCCCTGTAATACCTTGCCTATCACAAAGTCATTAGTTGTAAATATTATTCCAAGATTGGGATATTTCCAGAGGAGATAAACTGTTGGATAGAACAGATCATCAATTGAGAAGAGTATGGCTCTCTTTTGGACAGTGTAAACCATAACATGTTTGCTTGTGGCTGTGAGGACCTTTGACACAAAAGCTGTCTCCTTTTTAGGCAGGATTTCTTCCACATCTGTCTCAGTTAGCAGTGGAAACTTTTTTATGAGTAAGTCTTTTAAACTTTTTCTAAAAATAGTTACAATATTATATATGACTGTTATGAGAAGCATATACAAAGCTTACTTTTCTGAGCTTTTAATCTGCGTGTTGGATTTTACTTTGAATGGTTTTTTAAACATTTTTGGGAGCAAATTAAACGATAATGGTGATTTGTGCACTTATAATTTTGTGGTTATGTTAGGTGAAACGTACTGAGTGTTGAAACATTTCAACATAATATGTAATTATTTATCTTTAGCACCCTCGCGTTCCTCTTTGCATTTGATGACAATTTTTTGAAAGTTAGTAATGTAAAACGAACTTATTAAGCGTATAGGGCCCAAAGTTAAAGCTTGAACTATAACGTCAAAATAGCGCTGAAACGGAGTCATTCCAACGCACAATGTAGTCATCAGCCAGCTTTCAAATCCAACAGAACTGAAGAACTTTCCATTCTATAACAAAACAAAAATATGTACATTTAGTAAAATCTATTTTTTGATTACACACCAATGCATCATTTAAAAGTGCTTGCGCGACAACTTGTGGATCCACCAAACCCGCCGCTTCCGAAATAAGTTTAGTCTCTTTGGGTTTGGTTAAATTCTCAGTTTCAAAACCAGGTGTATCTGTATCTGGTGGTAGGGACAATGTAACTGAAACATTGTAACAGTCCAGCTCCATTTTCAATACTTCTGCCAACCCCCTCAAAGCAAACTTAGCACTGGCATAAATAGAATACCCATAAATTCCCATCAAACCTCCTTGTGAGCCTGTAATCACAACAATACCATCCTTTCTCTGCTTCATTCTTGGTACTAGAGCTTGCAGGGTATTTACTGTGGCAAAATAATTGATATCAAACAGATTCTTGATGTCGGCTTGGGTCATCTCTTCAAAAATGCCACAGGTTGCAAAGCCTGCACAGTTGACAAACATATAGATGGGTCTTTTATCATCAATTTCCTTGATTTTTGCATGGGTAGCATTTGTATCAGTGCAATCAAGACTGACGGTGACAAATTCCTGCTCATCTGAGGATCTTTCAGAGGATATTTCCAGAATAGCTGCGGATAGGCGTGTACTATTCCGGGCGATGATTGTTACGTGTGCGCCTTGTTGAGAGGCGAGAACTGCAAGCGATTTTCCAATGCCGCTGGAGCCTCCAGTGATGCAAATGTGTTTCCCACGAAGAGTTTTCTTTGGCGTGATTGAGTCTTTGTATAATTTTAAGAGAAATGTTACCAGTAAAACTGGTAAAAGCATTATAAACAGCATTTTCAGGTCGGACTTTTGAACTCACTTGGAATGTAAACAAATGTTTTGAGGAAACTAAAGTGTAAGGTTAAATTCGTCTATGATTTTCAGCTTTGAAACTACACAACATGAAACAAATCTAATAATTGATTTCAGTTTCAAACAGTATCCTTATATGTTGTGTTATCAGTGAATGCGAATTAATCAAAAGTTGTTGTTAAAATTGTTTAAATATTAGTACCAAATTCGGCCACTTAAGAGAATGTATAGGTAAAGCTACTTGTATACAAGAAAGAATATTTTTTACACTTGTATATTCGCACTTAAACGCAATTGAAACATGTCCGCCGCGATTTCCTAACGAAAACAGCACAAATCGCGAGCGCCATTATCCCAACGCTCAAACATCCGATTTCCTTGCGCTCTCATAAAAATACTCGTTTTCAGTTGCTTGGCGCAGCATGCGTCGCAGTACAAAACTAGATTTGATTTCACTCGTCGCTTCGCTTAGCTTACAAAAATAGTAACATCTCCTTACGTGCTACGCGATTCACAATCAACATTCAACAAATACTATTCATAAATAATATCTAAATGCGGCTTGTGTGTGTGTGTTGCAAAGTTAACTATCCTCAATCATAGGCTAATCATTTCGATGTGATATTGGTAAACATTCGAAACAGTTAAGTCAAACATAATCGATAAGAGTAAAAAGAAAATAATCGATTTTTAGCGTTAATTTAGAGACAAGCGAATGAGAGTGGTCGCTAACCTAATCTAAAATCCCTAAACTTTGGGAAAGCTGGGTTCAGCGGTCTTAATCTGTGGTGTGGTTATCGATCCTGACGCATCAAGGCTCTCCGCCGGCAGGGGAAGATCCGTTGAAGGCAGGGGGGCCTCCTCATTGGTGTCCTCGTCGAAGAGTTGTGAAAAGTCCAGGTTGTTACCGTATTTTGTCAATTCAGAACCACAAACTAATGGATCTACACAAAAAAAAACACGAAATCAAATATTTTTCTTAATAAAACAAATAATATTTACCTGATTTTGGTAAATCATCCGTCAAAAACCCGTACGGCAAGTTATCATCCGAAAACAACTGCAAAAACATCAATTTTAACATAATATTCCAGTAAACTTGAATTAAATTCAACTCACGGTAAGGAATGCGTTTGCGTCGACTGTCGGCACATTACCCAGTAGTGGATTGAGAATATCTTTGAGCGACTCCAACTCGGACTGCGTGTGCTCGACATGCAGATCCATGTCTTCACTGAAATTCGAGTCAGCAATGCTAGATTAAAGCAGAAGAGACAGGAAACAAGGTTAGTTTACATTGCGGTGGGGGCAGCACTAGCGCCCACCAATACACAAATCAAACTGCAGGAAAATTATGCAATGTCATCCATATATAAACGTAGCCATTTTAGATATTTTTTAGAAACGAAATAAAAATCTACTTACACTGAATTCAGCCGTGATAAACGCACTCTGTCCCTGGTGGCGACCGCTTGCCCTGTGTTATTAGCCGCCAGCGACGAATCTGTAGCCGCCGCCGAAGAAGCTTCATCGTTTTTCGTCGTCGTGTCGGCTGCGGCTGCTGTGGTTGTCGTAACATTACTAGCGCTAGTTCCGGCCATTGCATCGCTCACCGACTTGGCGTTGTAGTTGCCATTCATCAAGTTGCTCAGTAATGTATCCTGCGTGTTAGCATTCAGGAATATTTTCCCATCCAAATCCAGAGACTCGTCGCCAGCGTTAATTTCATCTGGGACGTCATCTGGTAGCTCGGAATCCGAGAGTAGTTCTTCGACAATATCGCGATTCTGTTAAAAATAAACACAATTGAAAATAACAACGAATCAAATCAATATTTGTATGTTTACATACAAAGTCAGGTGATTGTATAAAAGGCATGCTATCCTTTGTGTTTGATGATAAATTCCCAGCGCTTTCTGTCGCTTCTGCAAGGAGATCATCTTGTAAGAAGTCGTTGGTTTCCAATTCATGAATTATAGGCCCATCGGAGGCGTCTGATTTGACTGATGCTGTTTTACTAGATACTTTCGCTTTCTTCGGGGGTTTCTCGTCGATCATTAATGGATAGTGACGTTTCTGCGCCAATCCACCCATTCTTGAAGATGGTTGCACCAAGGTCACCAAGAATTGTATAAGCTGACAATCACAATTAGTATTTAATTGAAATCAAGCACAGAAATGTTTACCTTATTGACAATTTTCTGCTGTTGTAAATGTTTCTGCCTTAATATAGCAAGTTCTCTCCATAAAACGGCATTTTCCTGTTTCATTGAGTTAAGCTGTGAGTCGACCGTCTGTTGGCGGCCCTTGAGTTGCGTGACTTCGCTTAAAAACTTCGAGATTTCCTCACGATTAATTGCGGATTGCTCTACCGCAGTCCCTGCCGTTGCACCGTCAGATTTGTGATTAGCCGTAACTTTCCGTTTAATATTCTTAAGAAGATCGGGTTTATGACGTTGAAAATATTGATGAAAGAACTGAAGTTCATCTTTATCACTTTCTATTCCTTCGTATGTAGATATCTTATGAAATCCATCTAAAAACAAATCATTATTGCAATAAATTTTTATGATTTGTGTAAAATTACTTACACATATTTAATTGCCGGACAAAACTACTCATATTATTATGCTTGTAGTATACTGGGAGCAATTCATACCAGAACTGTGCTTTGTTTTCAATCACAAATGTACTTCCACTCTAAAACAAATAAAATCAATATTTACAGTTCTTCCAACATGATAGCAAACAATTTAACTATAAAATTGATACATACACTTATTACTACATATGTAACAAAGGTAAAACACTGAAATAATGTTAACATTACCTGTCCCCAAGAGATCAGATGGTCTGTCGTCGGATCATTTACCATTTTCCACAACTTGCTGAGGAATGCCGGCACATTGAGCGCATTTTCGCCGTGAGGCTGCATTCTGTCGGCGTAGTAGACTTGCCGATGATGCTGAAGAAGCCCGAAGGAACACTCACCACGATGTGACCATCTAAAGCGCGAACCTTGGTCGATTTTTATGGGCACGCACGTCAAAGCGATCAAGTCAATGTTACTGGACTGATACGGGCGCCATTAAATTATTGCGCACGAAATGACGACAGAGACGCATTCATGCGGATGTACTTGTGTTAGACAGAAACAGCTGTCACAAACAAATTATATTTAGTCACCTTAGGCAATACGACATACACGTAATAAGCATGATGTCATAGAAATCATAATCATTAGAATTGTTAATATTTTATCACAACACATGATAATACAAACAAGAATGATTCATAGTAAAATTATTTCGGAGTATTATTTTAGCGTTTTCAAAAAATAAATTAATATTGAATGTGTTGTATTTAGTTGTGACCTTGGAGGAACCTCCAAATCTGTATGGTTGGTTGCCTATAGTGAAAACTAAAATACAAATTATTTTTACTTTCAACAACTTAATTCAAATGCACAAACGCATTGAAATTCGCATTCATTTCAATTTTATGCGTACTGTATAGACTGAAAAATACTTGTATTCAATTGTTTAATGTTTAATGCATTTATTTTTGCATTGGTTGTTTATTTATTCTCTGGAAACAATTGAAAGAATAATTTATCCACTTTTCCTGTAATTATTTCAACGTGTGTGACCTTAATCGATGTGTTTTCATCGAAATCAACGCGGTTGCATCATTTCGATCGTGTCACAACGATTGCATGCAGCAGATAGATCAATTTTGGCACGACGTGCGCGTTGTTTGCTTAGAACTAACTTTAGTTTCGATTTAGATAAACGCATCGATAGATTATTGCCGCGTGTGTGCATCGCTCGCGAGAATTAATCGCTGAAACTTTTTGCTGTGCGCGTGCCGCGCGCCACCGGCGGATCTATATTTGAGGCGTCGCGACGCCCGACCGCATGGCAGGCATGGCACACACTCATCGCGACGCCGCGTCTCGAATCTATTTTTTCACCAGTCGCACCTCGCCTACGATCGACAATAAATTAAACAAGTGTAAAACAAGTGAAAACCAGCCTAGAATTAAAATTTTCCGTGCGTCACAAGTGTAAATAATAACACACATGCGTTATGATTTGTTATGACTAATGCTGAACAGCTGATTATTGATTTTTACCTGTGAACATGACCACAACTTCTAAAATCAAGTGAAATGTTTCGTATTCTGAAACAAGCTCCATCTACCGGTGCTTTTTGCATGACTGGATGCATACAGTGCCTTCAAAACATAAAGTGTTTAACTGGTAGCCTACAGTATTCAACGTCAACAATACCTACGCAGTCGCGGGTTGTCATAGCTGGCGCTGGCATCGTCGCTAATTCATTAGCCTATCACCTAGCACAAAATGGCTGGCAAGATGTACTCGTCCTGGAACAGAACAAAATCGGCTCCGGATCCTCACACTTCGGCTCTGGCACATTGGGCCTATTCAAACCCATCTCACAACGCAACCTTATTTTATACTCTATTAAATTATACCAGGACTTGCAGGATCAAGGTTATGATATCGGAATGAAACAATGTGGCAGTTTGAATCTAGCACAGACCAAAGATAGGCTAATTGCATTACGCAGGCGCATCGCGTATAACATACCCACCGGTCTCTATTGCGAGTTGTTAACACCAAAAGACATAAGCGCATTGCATCCGTATATGAACGTAGATGATCTTGAAGGTGCCGTCTACGTGCCCGATGATGCTGTGGCGGATCCAAGCGCCATTTGTCAAGTATTAGCTGAGATCGCGCAAGAAAAAGGCGTGGTTTATAAGGAAGGCGTGTTCGTCGAGCGGGTGTTGACCAAAAACGATCGAGTGTCTTCGGTGATCACTGATAAAGGCGAGGTAAAGTGTGAGTATTTCGTGAATTGCGCGGGGATGTGGGCGAGAGAAGTCGGACTTGCTTGCGATGAAAAAGTTAAAATACCAGCGTACCCCGCAGAGCATTATTACGCCACCACCGAGGGACAACATTCAGAAGAGGAGACTTTACCTTGTGTAAGAGATTTCGATTCGTTTGCGTATTGTAGAGATTTTGGGACGGGGTTTTTGTGTGGGTGGTTCGAACCGGAAGCCAAGGCTGCGTTCAATGAGAGTGCTACCATACCTAGAGACTGGCAGAATCACATTAAACATGAATGGAAATATTTTGGTAAGAAATTTTGGTTTTTTTTTGTTTTTTTTTTTCTTGTGTGAAAATTAACTTATATTATTTTATTTAGATAAAAACTGGAAGAATATGGTGAAAAGGTTTCCGTTGTTGGCAACATCAAGACCAGAATTAGTTAATTCTCCAGATAATTTCACGCCTGATGGGAGGTGGATCCTGGGAGAAGCACCAACCGTAGGGAATTATTTTGTTGCATGTGGGATGAATGGTAATTCATTACAGGGAGCTGGAGGTATAGGGAAAGCCGTTGCTGAGTGGATAATCGAAGGACGACCCACTCAGGACCTGCTACCTTTCAATATACAACGATTCTTGGACATTCATGGCGGTAGGCATTATCTTCAACAGCGGATAAAGGAAATTGTTGGCAGGTAACCAACTAAACATATCTAATTTTTTGTTGTTAAATTTTTGAATATTTTAAGAAATTATTCCATTCTGTATCCGCATCAATGTGAGTATAAATACGCGAGGAAATTACGCTGTAGTCCGTTATACAGTGTGTTGCAAACACGCGGTGCCGTTTTTGGAATCAAAATGGCGTATGAACGAGCATTATACTTCGATAGCACTGCTGCTTTAGATGATCATACAAAACTACCGGAAATGCCTCCGGGGAGTTTCTACAAACCCGCCTTCTTTGATTTCATGCAAGAGGAATATTTAGCATGTCGTGAAGGTGTCGGGATTATTGACATGTCATCGTTTTCAAAAATTGAAATCAAGGTATCCAACTTAAATATAAATATAAGTAATTTTTTAAATCTAAATTTAAATTTTTTGACAGTCTGATAACCTCCAAGAAATCATAACCTATCTCCAACGCCTGTGCACAAATGACATCGACATACCCGTGGGCGCAATTGTTCACACCGGGATGTTAAACGCGCAAGGCGGCTATGAAAACGATTGCATGCTGGTGCGACAAAGCGACGTGAAGTTTTTCATGGTCTCGCCAACAAGTCAACAAACGCGTATCTACGAGTGGATGAAGCGTAATCGTCCCGCTGACGCGCAAATTGTTCTTAATGACATTACTTCGATGTATACTGTGATCAATGTTGTGGGACCGAAAGCAAGCGAGTTATTGGGGGAGTTATCTAACAATGACATGCAACTTGCGCCATTTTCCTACAAGAAGGTGAATGTAGGCTATGCGAGTGACGTTATGCTCATGTCATTTACACACACTGGCGAACCAGGGTATTGTTTGTATATTCCGTCTGAATATGCTCTACATGTTTACTATAGATTAATGAAGGTAAAAACAACATAACCTCATAAATATTCTAACCTAATTTTATATTTAATCTTTAGGTTGGAAAAGACTATGGTATTCGTGATGTAGGCACATTGACTCAACGTTTTATGCGCATCGAGCGTTTCATTCCCTTTTGGGCTGAAGAATTGACTAGTTTTGTCACTCCTTACGAAGCTGGCAACAGTTACATAATCAAACTCGATAAAAAAGAAGAATTTGTTGGGAAACGAGTGTTGCAGAGACAAAAATCGCAGGGTGTACAAAAACAGCTCGTCTTTTTCCAACTAGAAGAGATCGACCCCGATGTTGATATCTGGCCGTGGGGTGGGGAACCAATCTACAGAAACGGCTATTTTGTGGGGACTATCACGTCAGCCGGCTATGGCTTCTCAAGCAATAAACTGATTGGCTTGGGGTATATCCGCCGACCAATAGAATCAGAGATAAAAACAGTCAATGCAGAATATATCATGTCGAAAGACGCGAAATATGAGGTTGATATTGCGGGGCAGCGGTTTCCAATGCGCGCGTATATGCACTCGCCAATCGCGCAGAGCAATGCAAGATCAAGGCGAAAATACAGGCCTACAGTGAGAAAGGAGAGTGATATCACATACTGATGAACGTAGAATGAAATAAACGTGCGGATATTTCTAAATGTGACTTACTAATTTCTACTTCATCATGTATCTATCTTCTATATATATAAAAATGAATTGCTGTTCGTTAGTCTCGCTAAAACTCGAGAACGGCTGAACGGATTTATCTTATCTTGGTCTTGAATTATTCGTGGAGATCTAGGGAAGGTTTAAAAGGTGAGAAAAATTCGAATAATTGCCGGGAAATTCCTCAAAACAGCTCTTTTCTATAGAATAAAATTTGACATTGAGATTCAATCATAGTTATAGTTAAATAGTTGAATTCGAGATGGCGCGCTGAAGTGCATTATTGACAAAACTTTATATGCATAATTTCTTTAAATTAAAATTGCTAATCTTATTGATAGAATTGACTCTTACTACGAGTATGTCTAGAACAAGAGAGTAAAAACGAATTACATTTTTATTAAACACTGCCGGAACGAAGTTCATAATATTTATATCATTGGCGGAGTTTGACCCCTTTCTATATTTAATATATTGGTGATTACAATGTAATATAGCAATAAGTACACATACGTAGGTATTTTTCTTTTGTTAAATTAAGTGAATCACAGCCAGTGTAACTCCCCTTTCAAGGAAACCGAGGCCTACAAAATAAACACGAGACTCTTCACTCTTCAACGCCAGAGTCGAAATTGTATAGCACATATTATAGAAAAAAAAACAACAACATCAGCAACAACAGCGCAACGCAATACAATGCAATGCAATCAAATACTTTTGTATGCCCCGCCCACTTTTGTATTACAAGTGTTCCGAGGGCGTTACTATCACACGGTAAGTGGTAACGATGATACTCATACTGTCATACTGTTATACGTCCTATGTCAACATTTAATTGAAGCTAAGCTAGATTTGATGGCCGCTGATTGCAGGTATTGACTGCGAACAAAACGAGGGTGCGAAATTAAAAACGTGTGAGACAACTGCCGACGTTAGACTTCGCTAACTACACTTTGAAGAGGTTAAAGAGTTTGGGAAAATTTGAAAGTTAAAGATGCAGAAATGTAAAAAACGTAAAACGAAAAGAAGTGAGATTTTGATCTGATTTGAGTTGGTGATGTTTGGTTTTAAAATGTCTCGTAACTTACTCGTCCAGTCGCGCCTGCGCCAGCTGTGGATGATGGTTGCCCAATGCGAGGCACGCCATTTTCGTGTTCTACGATGCACAGGTCCGAATCGGAGTCGGCGTGCTCTTGCGTGAGTTGCTCCGTGGTGGTGAGAAGTCGTGCGAGCGGATTGCAACACACAGGGAGTGTTTCGAGCAACGTGGGCCGCGAGTGTGTCAGAAGTGGCTTCATGTAATGCGTATCAAAGGAGGTCCACCAGCGTGCGAGGCGTGCCTTCTCGTTGCCATTCGGTTGCATTGCCTGTGTGCTTTCACCGAATGCATCCGACCACTCAGTGGTGGCGCTGGGAGTTATACTTCCCTAAACACACAATCCAAACAAGATTTATTTATGACGCATTTTTAAGTTTATAAACACTTACATTGCGTTTGCCACGTGTTAAACTTTCAGTTTCTTCATCAACACCAACTCTGCATATATTAGTAAATTAAATCAAGTTATCTAAAACGATTAAATAAAGATCTTACGGTATTTGAAACCAATGTAGGAGATTGAGCGCAGCGCCACCTTGGATTATCACTGTAATGATGACGATAAGTGAGGTTGTGGTCAGCATGGCTTGTCGTATCTCCGATGCGGTGTTTCGGATCGCTAGAGCGAAAGACATTGCGCCTCTCATTCCTAATTTTTACATTAAAAAAATAATTTTTACAATATTTAATGCACTTTATACTTACCGGCAAAAAAGAGCATATGTTGAAAATTAGTTGGTATCTTTGGTTTCCTACCGAGATTCAACAAGTAAGAGAGCGGATAAATGTTCACAGCTCGTCCAATCATAGCGCAGCTCTAATAAATAAGTCAAGGATATTTGCGCATAAAACAAAATGGCGCCAGTTATATAAATGCGTTTTAAAAGGATACGAATCCTGTCAAAATAAGCAGCACGTCGAAATGATGCCTGGGAAATGTGAACATCGAAACTCCAATGTACGAAAAGATGAAGTTTTCAGCGAGGAAGTTGAGAAGCTCAAACATTTGCTTCGTGCGGGTCCGGCTGTCATCGGAAAGGTTGTTGAAGGTGTAATGTGCTTGACACATTCCACAGAATAACACCGCTACCACCCCGGTGAGGTCGCTCGCTTCGGCAATGAGGAAAGTCGAATATGACATCAGCACAAACAGCGCCGATTCCAACAGGGGAAAATCCCTGATTCGCGTGAATTTAGTCAGGAATGCTGTTAGCATGCCCATCGTGGCACCAATAACCAGCGAAAGCATGAAAATTCCAAAAAAGTCGTAGACTGCTTTCAGGAAAGCGATGGTTTCAAATCCACCCGAACCAGACTGGTACTTTTCAGCGTAATTCTGTATAGATCTAAAGATTTACAATATATAATCAAACACACTAATATTTAAGGTTATTATTCAAGCTATGAATGATTAGATTATGTTATGTGTTGTTAGTTGTGGTTAGGATACTCACCCGCTGAGCACAATCGACACGGCGTCGTTGAGCACACTCTCGCCGAAGACAAGTGCGTAGAGATTGACATCGACATGTAGATCGTTGAAAATGGCGAGCACAGTAAGCGGATCCGTTGACGAGATGAGCGCACCGAAGTACAAGGTGTCCAAGAATGTGAAACTGGTTGCCATGCGCGTCGGCAGCAGTTGCACGCAGCCGTACATCAGCACGCCGACGACGAACGATGACACCGCCGTGCCGACGATGGCGAAGGTTAGTATCGCGCCGAGGTTACGGAAAAAATATTTCTAAAATCACCATGTTATTTCGTTACAATACACAAGATGGCCGGGAGTTGACATGCAGCCATTTTGTTTTACTTCTACTCATGCATAGTCTACTGGTTATACTTACTCTCTTCAAAGAGTAACCGGCGTGGAAAATAATCGGCGGTAGAATAATATTGAAGAATATCTCCGGGTCGAAGGTGGCTTTCATATCGATGGCGTTGTCCCGCGCATTATGAATCTCACCGCGAAAGAGATACTCATAACTTTTATTTTTAACATAGTGTAGAGTCAAAGCGTCGGGTGGTAAGCTGCTGTTGTATTTATCGTCACTTGGAATAACGGACATGCGCAGAACAGGATCGGAACTTCCAGTATAGCGAATAATCGCACCAACAATCAAACCTATAAGAATATTATATAGGCAACCACACTTGCGCGTTTTAATGTGGGTTATGTCTCACCATAAATCACAGCAAGGCCTGTTTCATGTAGAAAACTAACACGTCGATGTTTGAATAGCCAAACGGTGAGCACAGTCAAAATAAGCAGCATTGTGTAAGAGAGGAGATTGAGTGAATCAATCCGGTGCATTGATTGTGCCTTGGCATCCATCTCAATATCACTGTCAGCAGCATGGCACCAAATAGAATATTCCAGAATCAGCCCGGCAATGGGCAGCAATCGCAACTTGAAACCCATTTTCTATACTTTTAATCACTAAAAACACAAATTTATTTAAGTAATTTGTTTGGTTATTGAATTAAATCAGCAAATTCATTTGTTTTGTTGGCAACGAACGTAAGTACAAGGATACTGTGACAAGAATGTGTAATTTTGCTTACCACGACAAATTCTTTCTTGGTATTCAGACGCAATCGCCGATAACGTTATAATGTAGTAAACGTTGGCGGTTACATGTTAGGCCCGTTGCCCGGATGAAGGACGTTCCAAGTTCACAATGTTTGTCGCCCGAACGTCGCAAACGCACTGATTGCACAAATTCGCTAATTATTTGCTTTGTTTCGCAGACAGGTCGTAAACAACCAGGGAACGCGAATAATCGTTGCTATTTTGCCAATAACTATTGACGACTAGAATAAGCGCGCAGCGCGGATTTGTGAGATTAGCATACGCACAGCTGTTGCTGCGTAGATAACCCAACACACATGTGATTTAGGGATGTACACCCTCTTTTCGAACGGAAAATCAGTATCAAGGGTTTTTTTATTACAAATATTTGGATATATTTTGGATTAAATGTTTTTTAGTTTTATATTAGGCGTTTCACGAATGGTATCGGTGATAAATTTGTGAAATTCATGTTTTAAAGTGGGGTTTTTATATATTTAGATTGATTTTATTATCGGTAATATAGGCTTGTCGACAAGTTTTATCACTTGAAAAACATGATAACATTGGTATCTGAATTACACTGTCGTGTAAATCATTTGTGTAAGATATGCAACCAAATATACACTTCATAACTTAACTCACCATTTAATTGTCATTGCAATATAAGTAGTACTAATATCAAAAGGTTATCTTGAGCAAGATTCCCTCCCATTCAGTTGTTTATTTATCATTACTCATTCAAATATCACAAATTAGAATAATAATACAATCAAAAAATGCATGATAAGCAACGTCATTTTCAAATCAAATTAAACAGTTTTCACAAATAAACCAGCAACAGCCTAAACATATAAGTTACTGATTATACATCTTAGAAAACTTAGAAAAAAAAAACTTAACGTATTTGCAGAATATGTACACACACATATATCAAAGCTTTAAACATTAAGTGCACTTGATTTGTAAAAATAATCGTATAAAAACTTGATTCATATACAATTTAGTTGCATTCATCATTTTCGAGTGTTCTTATAAGGTAATACATCATTTTCATAATTAAAATCAAACTAAATAAGCATAAAGTTTTACTTTTAAGACTAAAGATCAAAATTGTGTAAAAGAAAAACTTTTGTTGTTTAGTTTTTAATACAAATTTAGTAATCACAAGAAATACAATTGATTTAGCATAACATTTAATTTAATTTTGTTTCAATGCAAATTCTTGAAGTTTAGATAAATGCAAAATTTGCATTGGAATTATAGTAACATGTAAAAATATTATAAATCAATCAAATGTATTTCCAGTGAAGATATTAACAACTTTGAAATATTTTTAAGTATAAATATCTTTCAAAGTTGTGAATATTTAAAGAAGTTCAGTCAAAATTTGAGTTTATCACTGGCAACTCAATAATTTCAAATCAAAGCATCATAACATGCAGGATCAACTGCATAAAACTTTCCCTCACCCTCATAAACAAACAACGGACAACATACAACAACGCATATCACATGTGAAAATAAATAATAGCTTACAGGTGTATGTTATGTACTAAAATCTATCAGTAGCAACATTCGAAATAGAGCCTAACTGTTCGGATGTAATTTACAGTAAAAAAAAGACGATAATTTATGATGTAATGCTGTCAAGTTTCCGAAATAAGCTAATAATTATACTGCAACTTTGGCGTCGGCTGAAGGCCCAACTCAACAAGCGCCATCGCACCCAACAAGTCAGGAGATGACACTCCAGACGCTTTTCGATTAAAATCAGTCTCATGTACGAAATTCTCTCTACTTTCCTGTTGTGTTTCATGTGTTTCATAATTATGTTTAAACTTACTATTGTGGTTATGTTTGTCGTTTCGTGGCAACACACTGACCACAGTTACCTTTTGCTGGCCTTGCTCGGCCAAGTCCAGCTTGACTAACACCGTTGGTCGTTTTCTATTCTCTGTGAGAACTTGCGGTGGTAGTATACTTGCTGGAGGTGAAACAAGAGTAGGCGATGATACATCATCGCCCTCTGACCAGTTGATCGGTGATGCTAAGTCATTTACATTATAATTTTCTTGATCGTTATCGGTAACCTGTAGTTCTCGTGTGGCTTCGCGTAGCCAACGCTTTTTGGGCACGTGTTTCTGATAGTCGGGTTTGGACTCGTCCGAGGTATCAGTCGCTTCGTTTTCGGTGTCAGTTTGCGGCGATAACTCACCTTTGAATAGCTGCACCTGTACAGGTTCGCAGAGTTTGATCTTTGTCACCTTCGTGACCGGCGTGTTGGGATTGGAAGTGTGGAGGGCAAGCTTACTCCGGGAGGTTAGTGATAGGTCTTCGGGTTCCTCGATTGATGCAGTGTAGTTGTAGATTCCGTTGTTGAATGGTTGATTCTCTTGGTTTTCGTTTTCGTTGAGATATTCATCTTCTTGCCAGGGTTTTCGCTTGCGAGGTTTCTTTGGTGTTGTGCACGTGGAAGATATTCCTTTTTCTCTTCTGAAATTAAAAAAATAACGTGAAAATTATAGAAATAAATCATTTAATCAGATTAATTAATTAAATAATCATTTAGTGTCAACCAAAGTTATTTTTTCAAGAAAACATAAAAATAATTAGCCGGTATTTAAGATCTAGGCCAAAATAACTGTTTGAGTTGTTATAGTTTCATATTGCAAAACTTGTGTCAACATAAAACTCAAATTACCCATGAAATAAGACTAATATTCAATGTTTAGGACTAAAAAAATGCTTACTTTCTGCTAGTCTTCTCTCTCCACTCCTGTATCTCCTGCTTGTATTGATCATCTTCAATATTATCCAAATTAATATTTGCTATTGCATTAAATCTCTTCAGCTGTGGTTCTGGATGATCTGGACAATGGCGATTTGCGTGTGTGAACCGTTTGCCGCAATTCTCCACAGCGCAAATAAAAGGTTTCTCTCCTGTATGCAATCTCTGATGTGTCTTCAGTTGTCCAGACTGAGCAAAACTCTTTGTGCACCTTGGAAAGTCACATCTGTATGGCTTCTCACCTTTAATATAAATTCATAATAAATAAATTGAATATTCCCAAATAAATATGTAATAAAATAATGTGGTACTAACCAGTATGTGTGCGTAAATGCGCCTGAAGACTTTTTTCTCTTGGAAAAACGCGATTACAATACGTGCACTTGATGCTGCTGGGCGATGTTGACCCTTGCATGATTAAATTGTTCAAACTTTCAGCGCGAGGCCTACCACGACGCGTTTCGCTAGGTGACATCGGCGATGAGTGCCCCGAGGGACTCATCGCCAGGTGTTGCACCTGCATGGCGTGGTGTTTGATGGCCGGCGAGGAGTCCGGCGTGAGCAAACCGAAGAGCCGACTCGGCGGCGTGCACCCATAACTGGCGAATTGTGGCGACGAGCAGGCACCGTTCTCCTTATCGTAGTGCGTCCGTTTCGGCGTGCGAAACGTCGGCCGCTCTGTCATTTCTTCACCGTTTAAAGCACTGATTCCACGAGTTTTGCAAGAAAACACAAAAAAACAACGAGCAACACAACAAGCAGGTCCCAAGATGGCCGTCGAGATGCGGTGAACAGGTTGCGACGGTCGCGCTCGGACACACTCGGGCGCGCACCGCGCATGCGCAGTACACGTTGTGCATGGAAAAGAAGACGAAAAACATGCGAAAACATATTGTATTCACACATCTTTCTAGTACAACTGATTAAAATTACAAACAAATAGTTATAATAATATATTACATAAAATATTGACTAGTTTAATAACCAAGAGGGGATATTTGAATCAAATCGGGTCATTGACCATATTCACCAAGGTCACAGAATTTAAACGGGGTATTTAAAGTTGTTTTAATTTTTAAAACGTTACTTAAACCGTTTGCAGTGATACGCCTGTGCAGGCGACTTAAATCAGGTGGAGCAGAAGCGCGAAATTCAAACCTCAAAGACGTCGTTTGACGTTTGACGTCTATAAATCATGTGTAAACCGCTCAATAACACGAATTCAAGTCGTTTGTGTCGTAATAAATTATAGCACGTAAATGTGGGGCACGTTCTCGATCGATATTTGTTCTCCGCACTCGTTTTCTTCCCTGAGAAAATCCATATTCGACACGTGAACATAGCTCTTTACCATACATATCTATCTATTATAAACGCATCTACTGAGTGTTGAGATGAAAAATAAAAACAAATTTCGAGTGGATTGTGATGTGGAGTGAATTCGACGAGTGGGTAGGTTGCGTGCCAACCTGTAGGAGTCGCGTCGGCGGCAAATAAAAACAATGCGCTTGCGTTCACTTGCGAACGTCGTCGGCGGCGGCGGCGGCGGCGTCACGACGCTGCACGCAGGCGGCGACGGAACGTCGTTTAGTCATGCGATGGCTTGACCGATGGTCACGTCATCAAACATTTACAATTAACGGAGGAGTGTTGTGTTTAACAAGTCTTCAAAATTTGGGAAGTGAAAAGTGTGGGTTAGGGGACAAAATGGCGGTGTTTCCGGTTTATAACATTAATTAAAAGTTGATTAATTGAATTATTTAGTGTAAAAATTATGTGTTTCGTTGTTGAACATATTAAAAATTGAATTTTAACAACTTTTAACATGATTTTGATAAAAACGACTTAAAATATACATTTAAGACCAAGAAAAGATGTTGAAATGGATAAATAACGTTTATTTCTATTTTATTTGACATAAATTATTTAAAAAAGCTTTAAACTTCGTGAAAAAAACTTTTAAATTCTTAGAAATTGTTTAAATTCTCATAAAATTAAAAAAATATGTCAAAAAAATGTTCAGCAATTAAAATATTATAGTTTAAAGCAGTTTATAGTCCAAAAAATTACTTTTTTTAAACTAAAAACCCAAAAAACCTAATTTACCAATAATAACTTAACAAAAAAACACTAAATAATCAATTTTTAAAAGTTTAAAGCCAAGTCACTTGACATAACCTCAACCACAACTAAAACCTAACCTACAAAAAACATTCAGTGATTCTCTGACAATGGGTAAAAAGCGAAAGTGTAAACCGCCAGTAATCCCCCAGCAAGACAAACGCATCTGTGGTAGCATCTGCTTCTGTCAAATGGTCGTCGTCTTCAGCAGCGTGTCACTCATCTACCTAACCGTAGCTGTCTACATTCCCTCGTACAAAGCCTTCCACTCCGGCTACGAAACCACACCCGCCATGTGCCAGACCATCAACACCAGCCTCATCAACAACTGCAGCTGGGCCTCGTGCAGCGAATGGTGTTTGACGAAAGCGTCCGGTTTCTGTCCGCAAATCCACGTTACCACAAGACAAAACGGCACTGACCTTGAGCTGAGGAACTGCACACGCTTCACGACAATTGCCTGCCCGCAGGTGACCACTGATAAACTCAAGCGGTATAATTGTAATAATGGTACAGAATGTGCCACGTTGAGTGGAGTGTTCAATTGCTCTCTGGGGCACTGTAGGAACTTCTCGGAGATTTATCAGTGCCACCATCGAGCGGACGGAGCTGTCTTGGATAGTGATAAGGATAACACCAAGCTGACGGGGTTTTTTGAGTGTAAAGGATCACGATGTGTCAAGATAAAGAGACACTTCAGCTGCGATAGATACTGCCCGGCGATTAACACCAATTTTAGTAATGTTTATATTACTCAGGATGATTCAGTGCATACGGTGGTTTGTAGCACTGCGTGGGCGTTTACTGAGAGTAAGGGTATTGAGCCAAGGGTGGAGATTGATGAGAAGATGATTTGGGAGGCGAAATATGGCGAGGTGCTGATGATTTCATGTCATCATTTGAAGCACAATTCTTCTTCAATACGGTGAGTGTATATTGGGTTGCCTATATTTGTGGATTTTACATTATCATAATTAATGTAATTATGAATACTAAATTAACTAGGTCTGAATTCTTTGGGGAGTAGAATATGAAAAATGTTTATGCTTCATGCAAACAAGTGGCATTTAACTAAGTGGCGCATTTTTTCTTCCCTTGTTTGTGTTTTGTTTGCAGGTTGGCATTTCGTGCTGTAGTCCATAACACGCCCTCATTAAAATAGCGTATGCATAATTTAACACGACTTGATTTATAATTAAAAATACATATTGTGTTCACTCGCTGATTTCGTTGGGGAAATTTGTTGTCCGGTTGAGAGTTGTGTTATTGCATGTCGGTTGGCATTTGTTTCAAGCTTATTGTAGCGTGTCATGTGTGAAATTACTCAATTTAAATGTACACATATGTTTATTATTACATTGTGTAGCACTAGTGGTTTTTGCTAATGAGGTTTTGTATTTATTGTTTACTAAATGAACAGCAAACACAAATATAAACAAATTGACATCGTGTATGACCCAATGTAATATCAATAGCTCACTAGAGGGCGCCACCTTACAGGCGCAAGTTTCACTTGTGACTAAAGCCCGTGACTACAGTATTTTATTACATACTAGCTTTAACCCTTGGCTTCGCTCGCAAATATCTAACATAATGAAGTTGCTTTCGTACGCGTCTGTAGTCACAGAAGAAGTAACAATGAAGTAGAATGGCTGAAAGTATAGTCTATGGAAGTATAATGTACAGTCTCCATAGTGTAGTCAATTGGATTTGATGTTGACGTAGCTGTCGGTAATACAGTGTGATAATACAGTGTGATGGTACTATAGTACTTAGGTTTGAGCTTCATTGCTGGAATGCTAGATGGCGTTAAAGTTGTCAAATAGCCAGATGCAGAGGTATTATTGGCTAAACTATTTCTTTATTTTATTTAAAAAATAATTTTTTTATTAAATAAAAAGTAGCCTATAACCATTCAGGGACCACTAAGAATATGTGTACGAATTTTCATGATGATCGGTTAAGTAGTTTTTGTGTGAAAGTGTAACAAACATCAGGACTTTCGCATTTATAATATTAGTAGGGATTATATTGTGTAGCACTAGTGGTTTTTGCTAATGAGGTTTTGTATTTATTGTTTACTAAATGAACAGCAAACACAAATATAAACAAATTGATCAAATGTAACATAAATACCTCACTTGTGAGTGCCATCTAGCCGACGCAAGTTTCACTTGTGACTAAAACCCGTGACTAAAGTATTTTATTGCATTGTATTTTATAACATCATAAAAATAGAATGTGACACAATTGCAAATTGCATGTCGAATAAATATTTGCGTAAACGTGCAGGTAGCAGGTCGCACGTCCGAGGGCTAATTACACTCATTAGAAATTCAATTAGAGCGGAGCCAAGTGGACGGAAAATCGATACGTCCACTGTGATAGCCCTCCGCTAGTCGAAAACTTAGAAACAAAACGTAGAAAAACACCCAAGCAGTCAATATATCGTCAGTTTTTTCCTAATTGTGAGAATTGAATTTAAAACAAAGCGAGTTTTCCTTCAACCTACATTACAAAAATAGCACAGGTGTATTTATTTTTATTATCAACCACACAATCAAATAAATATGAGTTACTCAGGGCCTAAAGTATTTGTATTGATTTCCAACTTCAGAAACAATTTAAAAACAACAATTTTATGTGTTTAAAAATGTTTAAAACGTGTTTAATAACAAAAACAAAGTAATTTTTTATTATTGAACAATCCCCAGTGGAAATATTGTTATTCCACTTCTTTTTATTAAAGAATATTAAGGAAATCATAGGAATAAAACGTGTTTTGTTATGAAATACGTCATAATCAATCATAATACCGATAAATATTTAATTGATTGATAATTGCACTAATGTATTTATCCATAAAGGAAACTATATTCATTGCGAACAATTGAAAAGCGATATGTTAACCGAAAACCGAGCCAAAACGGACGTAAAAGATAAAACCCAACAACCACAACACAAAACAAAACTTAAACCCTCTCACCTCACTATACACCAAAGCCCAAACGTCCTAAGCACCTAATTGTGTTGTGTTTGCGCGCCTTGTGCGCGAACGTAATCGATAAATGCATTTACTCGCTCGTTTTGTGTGGGAGGCGAATTCAATTTATGATATACGAGTATACTCATGTGTCAGGGTTATTTTCGCTACTACCACTAGTAAAGATGATAGATAACTCTGTAATTTACATACCGACCTACTTCTAATTTATTTACAACCTGACTTGTTTTTTAAAATAATTTTTCAGAGGTTTTGATTGTGTCAACGGCACAATTTACAACACCACCGAGATTCCGCGACCATCGATGAATTTCACGCAGTTTTGGCGCGTGCGCAACAAGTGGCGACATCTACTAGACCCCACCCATCGTTATGTACCGCCTCAAGCCACGCTCACTATATTCAACCACTCGCGGCTGTTTATTAACCTCGATGGGTGTGTGAATACGCTGCGTGGGGAGTGTCGCGAGTTTCTGCAGACGAATGGACGCGATGGGCGTAACCAGACCGCCCAGTCAAGGTTTCCATGTTTTTACAATAAGGTAAAGATTAGAAAAAGAAAAATCACTTATGTGTGTTATTTATGTGTCGTAAATTTAATTTTATGGCCGTTTTCTCATTTTGTTCTTTTATTATACGCAATTTGGGGTAAATTGTCGGAAGAGAGGAGTGGGGGAAGTAAATATTGGTCGTTCATCATACACGCGGACGTTGATGATATTATGTTTGCAGTTTCATTAATTTAATTAACTCCAACGCGATGAAAACGTCGAAAAGCAATTTTGTTAATGATATTAAATCGAATTTAGGCGTGGATAATCATTTATTTTATGCATTTATTCATTTTTTGCATATTTTACTCTGATGTGTGTATGCTTGGATCAATGTATGCCACCCACTTTGCGTGTTGACATCTGCAAACAAGGTAACACTTCGCATGACGCATGACGCATGCGCATTAATAAATTTTTTTTAGAATCTGTGTGGTTTGTTTCCTGGCTAAATAAATATCACTAAATAAATGTGTGCGGTTGAATTTACAGAATAGTTCCGAACGTGTGGTAGCCCGTTATAATTTGAATACAACATGGCGGCAGTTTGTGATCGCTGCAACTGTGCCATCAGTACTCTTCGTTGTTTCTTTCCTCACGCTGTGTATCATCATGCAGTCGGTCAGTGTCGGCGATGATACGAAAATGCGCTGCAAGTACTGCCTGGGTAATTCGGACGATCCGGATTCGTTGACTACGCCTACAGACTCCGGAGGCGGTGCTGCTAACGGAGCAGGCGTGCCATCACGTCGCGGCGACTTAACCGCCAGTCATAGTAAGTATGAGGTGCCGGATTACACGCCACTCGTGAGTAAACATTAAAAATTCACGATTTGTAATTAACAATTGTACTGTAATATGTAAACTAGCTGTAGGCGTGGTTAAGAGTCTAAACAATGTTCCTAAAGTGCTCCTTACGTCATTACAACAGAATCATTTCATAACGTCAATCATTATTTATGTAACACGACTAACACGTACGTATCTGTTGTTGTAGCCTACGAAACGGACATAAACTTGATTTTGCACGCGCTGAACGAACAGTAGACGCGAACGCGCATGCGCCACACAAGTCACACGTCGGCGACGCGCGCCGACTGCCTTCTAGAACGTCATATCGTAGAAACAAAACAAACACACAGAAAGAAACGAATACAAATACAAATCAAGAAACAAACTAGAAAAGAAATGAATTGCAACTCCTGCGTGTCACGTCATGTCATCCATGTCATCCGCCATTTTGTTCTGCGTCCCCATCCTGCTCCACCCCGTCTCCTAGCCAAGCTAATTGTTAAGTTAAGTACTAAACAATAAATAATTGTCTGTGACTTATCGAATGCCTTAATATGTATATCTAACATACAGTGTGTCCGTGCCGTACATATAGAAATGAATGTGATATATTATATTCATGTCCACCAACAACAATATATCAATATCAGCGAGTAATAAAACAATTTGTTTTTATTGATTGCTGTCACCGTGTAATAAATTCCAACACCCTGTATACATTGAGTAGGTAAGTTTTGAGGTTAGAGACGATATTGGTTGAAGTTATTCATGCATTTCATGAATATATTCTCGACGGTAAATGGACCATCTGTAAAAATAAATAAAGATGGAAATATTTTTAGGTTAAGGTTAGTAATTTTGAAGGTTTACCGATTGGTACCCATCCGTCAGCTTGCGGATTGCCTTGGGTCCGTGCTGATTTCAAAGCGTCCTTGATTGCCAAGGGTACTGAGAATCCAAGACAAGTTGGTGGTTCCGATGTTGCTGTAATACATTAATGTAATAATAATATTTTAGGTTATAATGAAGATATACCTTTGTTTTTATAAGGTGTTGATGGATTCGGCTGATTTGAGGGTAGTTTAACCCTGAAATTAACAGGAATATCCTTGGGACCTGGTGGTTTGTAGTTCCATGTACTAGTGGTCATGTTACGACCATCATGGTTATATACAGTGTTTTCAATGGTCCAGTATCCCATACCCATGGTGAACGCACCCTCGACTTGACCAATATCAACGAAAGGGTTGGAACTGTCACCGGCGTCTTCAAAAAGATCCACGCGGTTGATGATGTGACTTCCGGTAAGCATATCTACCTCCACTTCGGTGGCACATACTCCGTAGATGACATAATCAGCTTTGTTGGGTCCATTAGGGTCTTGTACAAACCTAGGATGAAGGAAATTAAATTTAAGTGGTATACCGATAATCCCTATCCCTACTAATATTATAAATGCGAAAGTCCTGATGTTTGTTACACTTTCACGCAAAAACTACTTAACCGATCATCCTGAAAATTTGTACACATATTCTTAGTGGTCCCCGAATGGTTATAGGCTACTTTTTATTTAATAAAAAAATTATTTTTGAAATAAAATAAAGAAATTGTTTAGCCAATAATACCTCTGCATCTGGCTATTTGACTACTTTAACGCCATCTAGCATTCCAGCAATGAAGCTCAAACCTAAGTACTATAGTACCATCACACTGTATTATCACACTGTATTACCGACAGCTTCGTCAACATCAAATCCAATTGACTACACTATGGAGACTGTACACTATACTTCCATAGACTATACTTTCAGCCATTTTAAACTTCCCGCCATTCTACTTCATTGTTACTTCTTCTGTGACTACAGACGCGTACGGAAGCAACTTCAATATTTTAGATATTTGCGAGTGAAGCCGCAGGTTAAAGCTAGTAATAGTATAAATAATCATACATTGTGTTTTCTGTTAGGGTTACACCAAGGGCCCAGGCATTCTTCACCAATAGTGGCCATGGAGTTTCATCTGGGAGGTTGGCAATACCCTTTGCCCATTGGATGCGTTCTTTTAGTTTCCCACAACCTGCTTTTAAACTCTGAAAGTAGTTTTTTTGAATATAAATTAGAAGAATATAAAAATAGTCAAGTTTACCATGCAAACTGATTCAGTAGTGAGGGCACCACCAGTGCCAAAGTTATTTGGCGATATCATATTATCCGTTGGTCGAATAACAATTTGCTCAATAGGTACCCCAAACTCATAAGCAACCACCTGCGCTACTTTGGTATTGATACCTTGACCAATCTCCACTCCACCATGTGACACCGCAATGGTCCCATCAATATGATAAATTGAAATCTGCGAGTAATGATTAACCAAAAACTGTAGTGAGATACTGATTGGAATGACAGCCAGTCCCTTCTTGCGCCATCTATTGACTTTGTTGAAATCATCAACTGCTTTCCGGCGTGCCCTGTAGTCCGACCAGACAATAAACTGGTTAATCATTGACAAGAGTGTAGTATGTGCAGGGTTTATATTTGCCATCCTCACATCAAGTGGATCTTTCCCTGTTTTGTAAGCAATATGTTCCAAAACATTCTCCAACATAGCTATACCTTCAACTGCACCTGGGGCCCTTGCCCATGTGGACGCAGGTGTGTCAGTAATAACAAAATTATACTCCAGATCAAACGTATTAGATACATAGGTGTTGGTTAAAGCATCCAGTGTTTGCATGACAGGTACACAATTGTGGTAGGCCCCTACGTCACTGTAGATCTTCTGGTCAAGATATTTGATGATTCCGTTTTCATCTGTGCCCACTTTATAGGTGCAGTATGCCGGGTTACGTTTACCTATGACATTCATATTCTCTTCCATAGACAGCGCCATCTTGACTGGTCGGTTGAGTTTGTAAGCGGCAAGTGCAGCGGCGCATGCTGTCCATTGGGAACGGGTGAGTTTGGACCCAAAGGCACCACCTACACGTTTCACGGTGATGGTTATCTTATTAGCGGGCATCTTTAGGACATCGGAGACAGCGTATTGTACACCATCAATGTATTGAGTAGAGGGTTGGATGTGTAGACCTCCGTCATCGGTTGGGATGACTTGCACCACTTGCATTTCCATGGCAAAGTGAGCTTGACAACCCATGTTGAAGGTACCTTCAAATTTCACTTTTGCTTCACGATCTGGAACATATATGATCCCAGAAATATTAGTAAAGTATTAGGAGTATCAGGAACCATTTGGGTCTTACCTATTTTACTTGGTAAAATGGTATTGACATGATGAATCCTCTCCGTGGCATTTTGTGCCATAACAGCTGGAACAGTTAATAAAGGACTAGTTTGTGCAGGATCACAAGTGATCTCCACCAAAGCAGATGCTTCCATGGCTATATCCCTGGATGAAGCTACAATGATCCCCACAGGTTGTCCATAAAACTTCAAAAAATCACCAGTTGCAACAAAAAGTGGCTCGTCTGTATTGTAAAAAAAGGGATTAATCGGTGCCATAAACGTATTCTTCCCAGGAATATCTTCAGCTTTATAGAATGCTTCAACCCCTGTGATGGCCATAGCCTTAGAAGTACCAATATCCTTCAATTTGGAACCAGGTGCAAAATTTGCGTATACAAACGCAGCGTGTAACTGATGCGGGGCATCAGGTAGATCAAAAGTATACTGAGCAGCACCGGAAGCTTGATCCACAGCTTCCAATTTGGTTACACCTTTACCAACCGGAAGCATCGCTTCATTGACGGTGTATTCCTGCACACCGGTGGATAATGCCGGGCGGATTAATTTCTTAGCTCCAGAACGAACATCTGCTGATAGGGTGGTTTCAGGAGCAAGGGATAAGATAAATTTGTAAGCGAGTGCAATTGCTAGTTGTTTACGGTATTCAGGGCTGGGATCAGGTAGGAAGTGATTGGGTTGAATGTCACTGGATAGGTTCTGAAAGAAAACGCTGAGATTCTGATTGTTGAAGAGTTGCTTGCCCATGATGTACTTTTCAGCAGCTGTGGCATGCACAAAGTTAGGGTTAATACCACCGTAGACAATGGATGCGGCGACTACGGAATTGTTACGCACGCGGAACAGGAAACCGGCGTTGACGTACCCATGGGCATTTTGTGCACGTGGCATGATTTTGTAGGTTTCCAGGAAAAACGTGTTGTCAAGGGGTGGGATCTCTATACGTCGGATTATACTTTTTGTTAGGTTGTAGTTTAAGAAAGTAGCGGGTGAAACACTTTGGACCGCAGATCCATTATCTGTAAACCAATTAATTAATTGACAGTCGAAAAGTGAGTAGTGGGTAATATAGTAATCCCTACTAATATTATAAATGCAAAAGTCCTGATGTTTGTTACACTTTCCCGCAAAAACTACTTAACCGATCATCATGAAAATTTGTACACATATTCTTAGTGGTCCGCGAATGGTTATAGGCTACTTTTTATTTAATAAAAATAATTATTTTTTAAATAAAATAAAGAAATAGTTTAGCCAATAATACCTCTGCATCTGGTTATTTGACTACTTTAACGCCATCTAGCATTCCAGCAATGAAGCTCAAACCTAAGTACTATAGTACCATCACACTGTATTATCACACTGTATTACCGACTGCTACGTCAACATCAAATCCAATTGACTACACTATGTAGACTGTACACTATACTTCCATAGACTATACTTTCAGCCATTTTAAACTTCCCGCCATTCTACTTCATTGTTACTTCTTCTGTGACTACAGACGCGTGCGGAAGCAACTTCATTATTTTAGATATTCGCGGGTTAAAGCTAGTATTAGAATAATATACAAACCTATAACGATTTTCGCATTCATAATTTCCAAAATTAGAAAAACATCCGAGGGGAATTCTTTATGCGCATATTTAATCATCAAGTTGCCTGCGAGTGTGCCAATCTAGAATGCAAATTTTCTTATCATTTTAATGTCAAACAACTGCATAATGCATAATAACACGTACGTTTCGAACTGCGACGTTAGCAACAAGATCCAAATGATCAGCACATTTGGTCAGATGTTTGAATCCTTCATCTCTGTCGGCAATATTCAGGAAAATGTCCATCGTTTCCGCAAGCGTGCAATTTGCACCAATCGTCAGACGTGTGGTACTTAATGAATGCGTGCGCAGCTCAGACACACCACTAATATCAATATAATAATCTCTCTTATTCATATCCTTGTATACACCTTTGGCTGTATTGCCTGCGATTAACCTATAACTTCTGTTTTCATTGTTTGGATTGTTGATAATCGAGAAGATCTCCGCCACTGTGGAGACTTTGAACCAGACTTGTTCTGATGATACACTTCCAACATTTTGTAATTCAGAGGAACTGCCTAGGTCATAATATAATGGTGTTTTTGGGGTTGTAGCGCATGGGGTCGGACATATTTTTTCACATCCATCTTTTTTGCATAGTTTGATTTCTTCAATATCGGGCAGGATACCTAATAAAGCTTCATCGCTGTCAGCAGCAAGAGATTTAAAAGCATCTAGTATAGGACGGTAACCGGTACAACGACAGGTATTACCACCGAATGAGTTTTCTATGTCGGCCATTTTGGTTTTACCAGACTGTTGCAATGCGTACATGTTCATGACCATGCCAGGTGTACAAAAACCACACTGCGTGCCGTTTAATTTCACAATTCTGTCTTGAATTGCATGGTATCCTTTTTTCCGATTGCCTACACCTTCAATGGTGGTAATGTCCCAACCGTTGCATGATAAAATCGACACTAAACACTAAATAATACAAAATTAATACAAACATTTCTAGTAAAATTATTGTTTTACTTACTGAGTTGACTGCGAATACTTCGCGTACTTTTGTGACTGGATTTTCAATCGATACAGAAACAATGCAAATACCACACCCGCCTTCTTTACACATGTTTTTCGTACCAGTCAAACCCAAATTATTACGTATGTAATCATTCAGAGTCATTTCCGGTTTGAGTCCAACTGTATTAACGCGTTTTAACTCCCCATGGATGTAAAACTCCAGAAAAGATTCTCTTAAATAACAAAAACAATAAATATATATAAAAAAATCAATAAATCAATAAATCAATATACTTTTTCACTTCCATGTTTTTAATAGGTTGCGCCGCCATGTCGGGATCACTGTCGCCGGACATCTTGCACAAAATGGCGATTGAGCATACACAACGCTCTTTTTACATTGTTTCGATATTCAAAATATGCATATTCATGCACGTCAGAGAACATGAACGTGCTTGGTTTTTAGTGATAACACATAATCGCACTAGATTGGAAACGCTAGATACATACAAACTAGGCAGAAATCGCGCTAGAAATAGAAATCAGCCTCTAAAAAATAAAATAAAAACACACAAGCACGTCCATTTAGATACACCAGGATTATATAATTTAAATAATAGAGTTACATTCAAATTCATGTATATTGAAATTCGTGCACAAAGTTATATATAACTTTATAAATTATTGCGATGTTCAAAACTCATTCAATGATTATGAATGTATAAGCTGCGGTAGAGGGCGCTGTTATTTATTAAATTAAATTAAATTACTTTTAAAGGATATTGTAAGGCACTTCTAAAGGATCTAGAGAGTTGAAATAAAAACCATTGTAAAAATGATCTCTTTTAGTATAATATAACGCTCAGAAACGTGCAAAAAGTATATTATATAAACTAGGTGCTTTTCAATTGCATTTTTTTCTATTAAATTTAAAACTAAATCAAATCAGACTACTCAGTATATTCTGTCTTCTGTATTACTTATAATCATTCTCCCATGTCGCCATAAAGTCGATTCATCAACGCGAAATAAGAATATGACATTCTTATCAACTGAAACACATTTTAAATAATTGTGGTGTTCAAACAATGCAATCAAAACATACGCCTGCATAAGTGACTAAGTTGCATACGGATAATTTACCAGCCGTAATCACAGTGGGTCGTTTTGCTCGCTCCATTATTAATAACATATTTTTGGCTACCATCTTATTCGATTTATACCAATCAGACATGTAGCATGCATCGCGCAGATCTTGACTTTTTTGCATTACTTGGTCACCATATAGACAATACAATGCAATTTGATTCAGCAAAGCAAGTGCATAAAATGACAGAAATAAAATTTTGATTAAATTATCTTCCAACTAAAACAACAAATAAAAAAGACTTTGATTGAAAGAAAAGTTTAGAATTCTATTCAATTTTTTACCATAAATTGAAACCAGGTATTACAAATTGCTAAAACACTTATTGCAAACTGTGATAGTAAAAGATAACAGAATATATTTTCCACATCTCCTGCTATGCTGCAAAAAAACAAAACATTTTACTCAACCATTATAAATTTACCAATACTTACTCAAGAATTTTGATATGATGTTCCACACATGAATTCAAATATTGTTTTATAGTGACATCCAAATTGGGATCCATGTCTTCACCAACATTAACTTCGCCCGCGTCAATTTCTTCAGTTGTACGCCCAGCCCATTGTCTGCAGTGGATGATTTTCTGTTTTAATATTTCAAATTGTGTGCCACAAATAGACATCAGCGACATGGCCACACAATCCATCGTACTGTTGTTATAACTGGCGTTGATCATCGCAATAATTTCATAAATATGAAACGGGTAATACCAGTTGCCTAAGTCAAAGATTGTAAAATGCAGCGCTAAACCTGCGTTCATAAACGGTTTTATGGACGATGATGTTGTCAAGTTAGCGACTATGAACTGAAACGTTTTAGCCATTATCATCGTGAATCTATTCTGTCTGTGAACGTAAGCGTCGCAGCTTTTAGGAAAGTCATGCAGGACCGGATCTTCGAGCTTTTCAAAGAGGCCCACAAGCCTGTTGTTTTAAACTCAAATACGGTTCGTTTAATCGACCAAGAGATAAATGTTGTCATGATGGTTAGCAGTTCTGTTAACTCTTTGAATTCACTATATAGATAGTTTTTATAGACTTCAGCAACTAAGCAACAGAGTATGGATAAGTCCAGACCCCAACTGATGGCCCTTTTCATCCGATAAGACCAAGAAGGATTGCGTTGAGGCCATGTCCCCAAAATAGTTAATAAACCTTTTAGGTAATCCACCACGTCGAATATGTGAGACGTTTGTGCTGTTTTCATTTTAATTTTTGCACCTTCACGATTCGAATTCAAGTGATACTGAATGAAATCAACTGAGATATCAAGTATTTTATCAGCAGAGATATTCTCACGATGGTCATAATTGCATTTAATTATGAGTTTAATTGTTTTTCTAAAAGAATATTTCAAATGCAATTACATTGAATATAATTAAATGAAAGTTTAACTGACATGTGGTCTGGCATCGTTTTAAATGATTGAATGAGAATGAAGCACAGTTGTTCTCGTCCCCAGAAAGTATTTTGTTTAAAACAAAAACGGTGGAATATTGATTTTATTTGCGCGATAATGATTACATATTTTTCTATTTTTGTGGTTGCTAAAATGTAAAGATTTAGATTTTTGTTATTTTATTTACGTAATAACTTACTTTTTATCGTTTTGAGGGATTATGATGGCATTTTCCAAATTTCAAGTCCGAATTTAAGTATTTAATCTATATATATATATAAAAGAAAGTCGTGTTGGTTACCTTCATTATAACTAACGAACGGCTAATCTAATTTAGCTAAAAATTGGTGGAGAGCTAGCTTTGGGCCAGGAGAAGGTAATGGGATACTTTTTGAAATGAAAACTTTTCAAAATGGGCTCTAAACGACACTAAAAGAGACAAACATATTTGCGTATATGGATTATTTTGTGGGAGAATAAAAGAACGCAAATACAAAGTTTTCTATTATCCCCGTCTCCTCTTTGTGCGAGGCTTCGTAGTTTCCTCCCTAAGCATAGACGTGTGTGTGTGTTTGTACGAGTTGGTTAAAGTTGCCCGGTTGATGTGTTTGTTTGGACAAGATTTAATAAGTGTAGGATACATTTTTAATACTTTTGAAGTGAAAACTTCTTTGGAAGATACTAAACGAGTTTTCTCCGTCTCTTCTTTGTGCGATGCTTCGTAGCTTCCCCACTCAACATGCAGCGATCAAAACGATCAAATCTTATTCGACAAAACCGTAATGCAACTAGGATTCTCAGTGGCGGATTACGGCCTAGGCGCACTAGGCGCGCGCCTAGGGCCCCGGCTGCCTGGGGGGCCCCGGCTGCCTGAGGGGCCCCTGGCACTTATATGTCCCATATAGATATAGTAATTTCACAAATACTTCATCAGTTGGTTTTGACCTCAGCCTTTATGAATAGCGTATCGGTTTTCGCTTGGCGCCCAAAACGGCATTTCACACGTGTCCGCAAAGCAACCGTCACGGATAAATAGCTGACTTAAAACTTTTTATCTCCGATTTTATTTCTTTATGACAAACTGTTTAAAATAAAATTTGGATATTTTCTGCCACGAATTTTTGTGACCTTTTCTTGAATATTGCATTAGAAAGTTATAGCTATAATGCGAGTAGTATATTGCCAATTTTTTTGAGTTGAGGAATATTCCATTGAGGTTGTAAAATAGCGGGTAGCTCTCTTTTTTGGAATATTAATTATTTCGTCTTTCTATCATTTTTTCACATCTGCGGAACACGTTGTACCAACGTTTATCCTCCTACAATTTTTATCTAGATTTTTGGGGTGGTAGGTAGTTGGATTAAAAGAAAAACAGAGAGTGGTCAGTGAGTCTTGAATCACAACCCCGACAACACTAGTTCTACAAAAGTTTTTTCTCGAAGTTTTGTGCATAGACGATTTGGCGTGGGTGATTTTCAAAACTGCAGTCAATAATCAACAAGAGCTTCTATAAAGGCACTGTTAAATATTTTCTGGAACAAACTCCTACAGAGAATCGAAATTACCAGCAAAAACTTACAGGAACCAAAGACAAATATTCTTAATAGTGTTAGTTTATTAAAATCATTAAATGAATTTATAACAGAGGTCAGAAATAATTTCGAAACTGTTGAAGAGGAGGCTAAATCCCTAACAGCTCATCTTTCTTATAAAGAGATGAGACAAAGAAAACGCAAATATCCATATGATGAAACGAACAAAAATGATACAGCATTTTCGTCAAGAAATTTTTTTATTGTATGTGATGTATTAACATCAGAAATTACTCTAAGGAGCGATGTCTATATCAATGTTCTTAACGATTTTAAAATTTTCTTTGATTTAAAATTAAGCCGTGTTGAGACTAATGATTGTGTAGAGCGATTATTGGCTAAGTATGAAAAAGATATTGAGCCAGAATATTTCACTGATGAGTTAACTCATTTTCTAAAATACGTACAAGAAGAAAATATTAGAGATCCACATGAAATGTATGCAGCATTAAGAAATGGTCTAAAATCAACTTTTCCAAATATACACACAATACTGCAAATTTTTTTGACCTTGCCCGTTTCTAATGCAAGTGGAGAAAGGACATTTTCAGTTTTAAAACGAGTCAAAAACTATCTGCGCAATAGTCTTTCACAAGAGCACTTAAATGACTTCGCATTAATGTTCATAGAAAATGATATTTTTAAAAAACTAGAGTACGACAAAATTATTGAAATCTTTGCCCAAGAGAAGGCAAGAAAACTAGATTTGTAATTTATATTTAAATACGATTACCGTTTTTGAGCACACGTACGATGAACTCGAGAACCAAGATAGCATTGAAAACGATAATTCCATCGCGGATAGTATGGCAGAAAATTTAACCTGTGATATTTCGATCGGTCCTATTTATTTATAATTTTTCGTGAATATTGGATTTACAATTTATATTTCATAAACTTATGAAGATGCCCTCTGGGCGAAACATGTCAACTCCAAATATAAATTGTAAATCCAATATTCACGAAAAATTATAAATAAATAAATATTTCAAATCCATTAAATTTTGGAATAGTGCGTGTGGATTAGCCTACTGGGGATACCACGATAAAAAAAACGCGCCAGGTACTCTACCTCATGGTGGTGTGGAAATGAGTTTTTGGCACAAACGAATGTTGAAGTAGACTTTGCGGCGCCCGTACGCTAAAACTATTAATTTTACTGGGCTAATAACCGTTTTGAAAATTTTCGGATTTAGGGGCCCCAAACTTGATTTGCGCCTAGGGCCCCACTGAAGCATAATCCGCCACTGGCAGTATATTCTGTCTTCAAATATTACTTATAATCATTCGTCCATGTTACCATAAAGTCGATTCATCAATGCGAAATAAGAATATGACATTCTTATCAACTGAAACACATTTTAAATAGTTGTGGTGTTCAAACAATGCAATCGAAACATACGCCTGCATAAGTGACTAAGTTGCACACGGATAATTTGCCAGCTGTAATCACAGTTGGTCGTTTTGCTCGCTCCATTATTAATAAGATATTTTTAGATACAACCTTATTTGATTTATACCAATCAGACATGTAGCATGCATCACGCAGATCTTGACTTTTTGCATTACTTGGTCACCATATACACAGTACAATGCGATTTGATTCAGCAAAGCAATTGCATAAACTGACAGAAACAAAATTTTGATTAGATTATCTTCCAACTAAAACAACAAACACAAAAGATGATTATTTAACGCATAATCTTCAATGTTTTACCATAAATTGAAACCAGGTATTGCAAATTGCTAAAACACTTGTTGCAAACTGTGATAGTAAAAGATAACAGAATATATTTTCCACATCTCCTACGATACTGCAAGAAAACACAACATTTTACTTCTACATAATATTAAATTTTAACAACACTCACTCAAGAATTTTAATATGGTGTTTCACACATGAATTTAAATATTCTTTTATAGTGACATCCAAGTTGGGATCCATGTCCTCACCAACATTAACTTCGCCCCTGTCGATTTCTTCAGTTGTACGCCCAGCCCATTGTCTGCAGTGGATGATTTTCTGTTTTAATATTTCAAATTGTGTGCCACAAATAGACATCAGCGACATGGCCACACAATCCATCGTACTGTTGTTATAACTGGCGTTGATCATCGCAATAATTTCATAAATATGAAACGGGTAATACCAGTTGCCTAAGTCAAAGATTGTAAAATGCAGCGCTAAACCTGCGTTCATAAACGGTTTCAAGGACGACGATGTCACCATGTTAGCGGCTAAGAACTGAAATGTTTTTGCCATTATCATCGTGAATCTATTCTGTCTGTGTACGTAAGCGTCGCAGCTTTTAGGAAAGTCATGCAGGACCGGATCTTCGAGCTTTTCAAAGAGACCCACGAGCCGGTTGTTTTTAAACTCGAATATGGTTCGTTTAATCGACCATGAGACAAATGATGTCATGATGCTTAACAGTTCTGTTAACTCTTTGAATTCACTATGTAGATAGTTTTTGTAGATTTCAGCAACTAAGCAACATAGTATGGATATGTCCAGACTCCAACTGATGGTTCTTTTCATTCGGTAAGACCAAGAAGGATTGCGTTGAGGCCATGTCCCCATAATAGTTAATAAACCTTTTAGGTAATCCACCACGTCGAATATGTGAGATGTTTGTGCTGTTTTCATTTTAATTTTTGCACCTTCACGATTCGAATTCAAGTGATACTGAATGAAATCAACTGAGATATCAAGTATTTCATTAGCAGAGATATTCTCACGATGGTCATAATTGCATTTAATTATTAGTTTAACTGATATAATCTATGTTGTTCTAAAAGAATATTTCAAATGCAATTACATTGAATATAATTAAATGAAAGTTTAACTGACATGTGGTCTGGCATCGTTTTAAATGATTGAATGAGAATGAAGCGCAGTTGTTCTCGTCCCCAGGAAGTATTTTGTTTAAAACAAAAAACGCTTGAATATTGATTTTATTTGCGTGGTAATGATTACATATTTTTTTTATTTTTTGTGGTTGCTATAATGTAAAGATTTAGAGTTTTGTTATTTTATTTACGTAATAACTTACTTTTTATCATTTTGAGAGATTATGAGGACAGTTTCCTTATTTCAAGTACAAGTATGTACGAGTAATATCTTTTAAGTGTTTAATACCATAAACTCAAAAGTCGTTAAGCTGTCATTTGAATCGGCGTTGTTATTTGAAAATCTTGCTGTTTGACGTAGTCGCAAAGTTCAAATTCTCCGTTCAAATTCACTTGAAATTTAAGGCCTTAATCAGTATTTAAAAACCGGTAATTTTCCGTGACTGCTGTTTGTGTGTATTAAAATACCTTAATTTTTATCAGGTTGACAAAATGTGAAAAACGTACTTTTTTGTCGAGAAATTTAATCGGTTGATTTACAATTTATACTTATCAGTAAATCCGTTAAATTAAAATACGTATCTGGTAACTTTATCGAAACTTGGATATTTGCTATAATTCTAATTAAAATAACCAATTTGATCGCCAACATCCCAAAAATGTCAAAATTAGGAAGAAGAACAAAGTTTACAAGTGTGTTCTTGCAACCACTGTGCTAGGCAACCCAATATACACCAAAAAATGTTCAACACTTACCATTATTTAGTTTTCTGTTCAAGTTCTCTTTGAAAATACATTTATTTCTATTTATTATGCATAATCCCTGGTCACGAGGAATTACAACATTTCAATTACTGATTACTTCGTTAATTTATAGGAAATTTAATTACTGCACGTGTACATAAACAATATTTGAATGACATTAACTTTTTTCATACATGTTCTCAGCACTTGATTTGCAAAATTCATTGCAACACAAAAATATGTTCAAGCAATTGAATATCGTAAATCCTGCGATTTAGCTATTCAAACGCGACCACCGCGACGCCTAGACGAGCGATGCTTCCCAACAACCAACAACCAACAACATGATTTCGCTCGCTCGCAGTCAGTCTGCGTACGCGCTCAGTGCGCGCTCCTCATTCCAGCTGTTTCTGCCGCTGGGCGCAACAAACGTTGGTGCACGACCGTCGTGTGTGTTTGTTGTGTCGATTCTGTCAATTTCTACGTCTGCGTTCGCTTCCTCTTTGCACTCTGTTTCACCTTTGCGCGTATTGTGCGACCTGACGCAATCTGCGAGCATAATTAAATTGAACGCCGTTATTGGATAATCACCACTGCGCGCCAGGGCCTACAATTCGGAAGTTCTAAGAAGAGGCGAGCGTTGCCATTCTCGTCCTGCTTCCAAAGCCTAGGGGATACGTTCCGACAATGGCGCAACTAGTATCTGCTGTTCCTGCCAGCGTGCCACGAACACCTTGTATGGCCTAATGCAGGAAGTGCGCTTAGGGTTGCAGACGACGTCATCACTTCGCACAGCAGCTGACGTCCACAACGCTGTTGATAACGATAACCATAATCCCGAACAAAAGGTAATAACATTTTTCAATTAAACATTGTTAGCTAACGCTCGCATGTTCATACAATACCCGAGCACAAAACTAGAAGGTTAAATTGGTGATTGGTGCTGAATTGTTTGCATTGCGAGGTGAGATGATTGGAAATTAACGAACGTGTAGACTTGACACATTTATCAGCAATTAATTAAAGACAATGTGAAGAATTAGAAGAAATGAAAACATCTGATGTAGATGCAAGCAAGGTTGTTTCATTTACTGCACTTGCTCATTGATATCGTGAGTTAACAAATGACGTAACCCAAGGAATCATTCTTGTAGTTTGAAGTAACGTGTCATTGCCGCTTCATCATCGGAATATAGAAAACAACAAACCTAGGAAACCTTGGCTCGTCTTTTTATTACATTATGGGAATATTAACTACGTTTTGTTATCCGTTAAGTTGTTTGATTCATGCGCGTTATGCAAAATTTCATTATCGAAACTTAATTACTTTTATGTGTGTGAATCATTCATTAATTTTTCTGTTTTTTTAGCTTACTTCATGCGAAATGTATGATACCAGCAAGAGGACATCATATCATAGACAATTTTACTTCTATTTTACTACATAATTTGGTATGTATTTTATATTTTTTATATGATTAGATAATTTTGGCACAGTATTAAATGTACACACGTATGATATATTTATTTAGTAAATTGTGATAAAGCCGGTTGTTGGGCGGACCGCGTTAGATTTCATTCGTGGCGTGTTTTTAATTATTGTGCTGTTGAAAACTTTAATTCAACGTTCTTGACCTTGTCTCGGTCAAATTATTTTCTTCAATAAACTTTTGCATCAGAAAATTTTGACATCTTAAATAGCGTGTGAGAATAGGCAACCAGATATACACTTTAGTTGCGTTTACTAAAAATAAACATTACTATGCTACAACTCATAAATTTAGATCATGAATTACCCAAATGACAAAAGCCAAACCAGGAAAAGATAGATTAACACGCATTCGCTCGTTAACAACCACAGAATTCGATATGTGTGCAACCGTAATATGTATTGCGCATCGCCTGCCGACTGCAATATTTATGTTTGTAGTTATTTCTTTCCATGTGGCTGGTTACGCCGTTACGAGCATTTTGCCCGGCTGCCATGCACGTGACTCACGCAAATGTTTCCACACACACACACAGCGTTAATGCCGAACAAATTTGTGAGTGCAGCTTAAGTAAAAGTGTGCGGCCGCGTAAAGAAGCATTCGGTTTGCTGCACGAAAGTGAAAGCGCAACACCGGAACTTGCCGTTGCCTGTATTACTTCAATTGCATGAAACTAAAGCGTTCAGGTATGCAGCGCTATTAAACCAAAATTAGGCTCCGACTCCCGACTGCCAAATTGTTCATCGCGCCCGTCATTAACTTTTAACTATTTATTATGTATTCTTTTGGCGTGTTTGGTTGCATAGTAATTATTAATTCGTCGTTAGGTACAGTTTTACTTTCTTTCCAGTTTAATCATGGATTTATTCAATTTCTCTTTGAAGTGTGGCGAGAGTAAATGCACGAACACTAACAGAGATTAAATGCACGAACACTAACAGAGATTAAATGCGTGACAATTCAGCGCAGAGTTTGAACAAAAAACAGAGTTTTGTTATTGGGATGCAGTGGAATAATATCGGCATTTGAGTGAATTTCGCGGTTCACCTTTGTTTGTCATTCAGAAACCAGTTGCTTAGTAAATTTCCCAGAATTCGAATTAGGTTCGACCGTAGGCATGCTGCTACATTATAATTTCTCAATTATTTTTGTTTGGCTCAAAATGGAGTCTGAAACAGGCAAATTTTATGAAATTCTAATAGAATATTTGCTTATGAAATATATTAATGCAAGTATAAATATATCCAATGTGAAAACTCAGACGATAATCGTTAAATGTGCAAACTGAACTAAATCATTGTTAGTCGAAACAAGCACGCGCTGGAATATTTGTGAATGCATGTACAGATTGACATGCCTGTTATCCTTCTTCATATTTGAACATGATCGGCGTTTTCCAGGTGGAAGCTGTCATTTCATGTCTGTTAAGATTGAACAGCCATTATTGAACACGAATTGTTCGTGCTTATCACGATATCTGCAATGAATTAAATATCAATATTGTTTTTTTAAACAGAATTAATGAATAAATGAAAACCTTGCCCTTGTGCAACATATAATAGTCCAGTAGTTGAAAATATAATACTAAGTGATGATTTGTTGGTTATTGCAGGTATGGGTATATTATGGTTTCCTCAAGTGCGACTATTGCACTTGGCACTATTAGCAATAGCTGGCCTAACTCTCGTCTACGTCTACGTGCTGTCTTCGACGCCGGTGATCATATCACCAACGCCAGCTCACTTCATCCACAACTATACGAATGGACTGCTCCGTAGTGGTCCAGAGGACCTCCAGCCGCCGCCTGCGGTCGGCCACTCCAATGAAACAAAACCAGCCATAATAGCTTCTAGTAGCAATAGTTTAAGTAGTAGCAGTAACGTAAATAGAAATGCGACGACGGTGTCTGATGTGCCATCGTCGGTGCCGGTTGCGGCTGCCTCACAAAGTCAACCCGCTGTGCCCGACCTCACCCGCGGCGTCGCCGCCGAGATCATATACGAAGCTGGTCACAATGATCCCAGTTTTGACATATGCCCGAATTTCGGGAAAGATCTTACGCTGCTCATCGCGATCACGTCGGCTCCTAGTCATATAAGTGCGCGCATGGCCATCCGCCAGACTTGGGGTCATTATAGCTCGAGACGTGACATTGCCATCACATTTATGCTGGGCACCACTTCCAATGCCACTCTGCTGAAACAGATCAAGCAGGAAGAGTATTTATACGGCGATATCATCACAGGTAAATTCATCGATACGTATGACAATCTTACATTAAAAACGATATCGATGCTGGAGTGGGTGGATAACTATTGCCCGAAAGTCTCGTTTGTGTTGAAGACCGATGATGATATGTTCATCAACGTGTCGCGGCTTTTGCTTTTCATCAGCAAGCATAAACCTGAGCAACGTGTCATCTACGGCCGGTTGGCGAAGAAATGGAAGCCTATTCGGAATAAAAAGTCGAAGTATTACATCTCGCCGCAACAGTATCGGCCGCCAATTTTCCCTGACTTTACCACTGGCCCGGCGTACCTGATGCCCGGCCGTCTTGCGAAGGAACTATATTCAGCAGCTTTAAATCATACCTACTTCAAGTTAGAGGATGTTTTCGTCACCGGCATTGTGGCGAGCAGCCTCAAAATTAAGCGAGTGCACGTACCCGAGTTTCTCAACAAGCGTATTTCGTTCACCGCGTGTTCAGTACAACGCGGCATAAGCATTCATATGGTTAAAGGTGCGGAACAGTATGACTTGTGGAAGAAGCTGCAGGATGGTCTCGCCAAGTGCAAATAAACGAGGATGCAATGCACGGCCTAGGCAATGAGATTCAGTAACAACTGCTTCATGATCTTACAAGGGGATAATTCGGTCTTCCATTAATATTGTGTTGCAGTTACGAGTTTGATTTGTTTGTAATCCAAGGCTTATCAACATAATCGCCCTAGTCATCAACAATATTAGTTTTTTTTTACAGAAGTAATTTTAAAACAAATTTTAGATTTTTTCACTACATTTAGTTATTTCCTTTCAATCAAATTTGAGGTTATTATCATTCTATTCATTTCAATTTTTATATTTTATAATTGATAAATGCACTGTTATGATCAGCATCGATGTGTGTACCAATCCAAACGTACACATGAATATTAATTATGATTTGATGAAAGATACTGTCAATAACGAAATATTCCAAGAATATTAATGGCCTAGAATTCCTAAAATGTTTGAAACAACATCAGAAATAAGCCTAACACACTTTTCACGCTTGTATGGTGCAAAATGTGTGATACCTTGAAAACGAAAGTCTCTGGGAAGAAGGTGCAAGCAATCGGGCTCTAACAGATTTACATTCTAAACGTGAGTATTTTATACGTTGTATTTTAAAAGTAGGATCAAACCAATTGATGAATAGTCTTTCTATTATGAAAATAAAGCGAAGACTCTAAAGCCCCCGCCAGGTGTTTTTATGGATTTCTTATTACTGTTCGAAACAACAAATCATTACACTAGTTTGTACTTATTTACTGTTATTACCTTGTTATTCCAGGTATTGAGCTTTAAAAGTCAGTAAGATTGTTAAGTTGGGAACGCAGTGAAAAACACATTTAACTATTATGTATCCGGATTGTTTAGGAAGCAATGTTAGTGCGTCGAATGTTCCTTTTCCGCGTAGCATATTTTAATGTGTATCAGTTTCTATGTTGTTTGTTCCACAATCTCAAGACGTAATAGTATAAGAATGTAAATACTCTTAATCAAATTTAGTTGTACATACAATACATAAATTATATTGAAACAAAGCATTTGAACTTAATTTTGCAGAACAAAAAAATATATAGCAGTAACACAAAAATAAACTTTCAGTAAAAATATACGCAACTTGTTATACAACAAAATATTAACAGTTTGATGGATTTTTTTTTCGTTTTTGAGCTTCAACAATGATTTGAGGGCTAAAAATATATCTATATTATTTGCTTCTCTTTTTAGTAGATATTACAACAGTGCTGCCTCTAGATAAATTGATAATGGATCAATTACCAGCCTCATGTGAATCGTTGTCAAGTATGGGTGGAATAAATGTACGGATTTCTTCCATAACCAAATCTCGCCACTTTTCAACCGGATGATCCTGGTTTTCAATGGTTTGGTCGTACGGTGCTGAGACAGGCTCATCGCGTGGATCGGCGTACTGCTCCAAGTAAGGATGAGCCAACGCCTGCTCGGCAGTAATACGCTTATCGCTGTCCAGTTCCAACATTTTCTCCAGCAAGTCGATGGCAAGCGGACTGGCGCGTGGGAATACTGAATGGAGATCTTTTTTGTGTGTTGGTGGTAATGATCGTATGTATCCGCGTGCACTATCCGATGTAATCTTCGACAGGAATTCTTCACTCGGTGTGCCGAGAATCTCCATGATAAGATTTAACTGATGAATATCTGCAAGAGGCACATCAAGCAAAACATTCAGATAAATTTTAAAATACAATCAACTTACGATCCCTTCCTGGAAACAGTTGTTTAGAGTTTATAAACTCAGCCATAATGCATCCCACAGACCAAATATCAACAGTTTGGTTGTAGTGCATCCAATTCAACATAATTTCCGGAGCTCTGTACCATCTAGTGGCAACATAGCCGGTCATTTCACTCTCAGTCGGACGAGCAAGCCCAAAATCTAGAATTTTCAACTCACAGTCTTCATTCACTGCAATATTTGATGGTTTTAAATCCTAAAACATCGTTTTTATGATTCTTGTAAACAAACTACATCCAGTTACATACTCTGTGAATCACTCCAGCTGAATGTATATATTTAAGGCCTCTTAGGATTTGGTAAACTAAAAACTGTACATGCTCATCAGATAATCGTTGTGTACGTATAATTGTATTCAGATCTGCTCCCATTAGGTGTGTTACCAAATATATCTGGAAAATTTCATTAAATTTAGATGGGTAGTAAATAAAATGAACATAACTAACTTGATCACTGTCATACTGTGAACAGAACACATCAAGGAGGCCAATAACATTCTCATGCTTCATGTGCTTGAGCAACTTAATTTCGCGATAAGTACGTTTTGCATGCACTGCTGATTGAAACGGACGTGCCAGCTTCTTTATGGCAACTTTCATATTTGTTTTTGTGTCCAATGATGCACTACAAAAGGTAATCCATTGCTGAGCTTATTTATATCACAAAACTCAAATGAGTGCTTACCAAACTTGTCCATAAGCACCTGATCCCACTGACACCAGGTTCTGATACCTATCAGGCACCTCCCAGACTGTTTTATTCACCTCTGTTCGATTGACGGACATTTTCGATTAGTTTATCCCTGATGCAAACGAGATCCACTTATTTTTCCCTTTAAGGAACTACTAATATGTATACCAGAACTATGTATGTACTACTTAGCTAGATGCTCATTGAATGTCGTTCCCCAAACAAACGCAGGTGACCAAACACGCCTGAACGCGCGATGTTAACCAGACATTGGGCGACACAAGGACGAAGAACAACAAAAAGAATCAACTCAGGTTCATTTGATGTGGTTGTGTCGCCGATTACATACTGACATGCCCGGTTGGCTGACGCTGGCTCAGTTTTACCAGTTTTGCATATGTACCTTGTTGACCGTCAAAATGAGCCCAGCGAAATTTTCATTACGGTTGCACTAGCGCTTCTATTGCTTGCTAGTTGAAAAACACTAATAGTTATTTAACGAGTCTAGTACAAGTATAGATGTCTGTACAAGTATTGAGTGTTTGCGCTAACTCTCATATGTATGTACGAATATACGTGTTGAATTACGTGTTGAATTTTTGGTAAGTTGTTGAAATAAAACATAGATTATGTATTCTCTAATAAATATAAATATATGTATAGATAAATGGCTGTTACTTTTATTGGTGAATAATAATGTAACAGTCTGAATTTTATCGTCTACTGCTTTCTCTTTGAAGCACTATTTTTAAAACCACAATACGTTTCCAATGTAATAAGCGTTGCATATCTACGCTTTTTCAAAATCTAAGTTGGCAACACTGGCCAATCCAAACCGCTACATGTCGACAATGCCGACTCTAGTCTAATTCAGTTTTGGCTGCGCTTACGTTTTCACGTTGCATTGGTTTATCGTAATTTCGTTCGAGATTTCACCTGTTATCGTGTGTTCATCCATTCGCGAGGGAGAAAACTCCGATGGAACTGATCTATCAATCTGAAGGTAAAGAATTCTTTAATTTATTCATGTCCTAAACAATAAAATTTGCACTTGTTGCGTTCGCGGAACACCGCCATACTTGTAGAATTGTTGTATGTATTGTTTGGAGATATTCAATCTGGTTTTTGTTCAGGTCACCTTGTAACTTAAGGTGTTACATTGATAACTCGAGTCTATAGTTAATATATGTGGTTTAAAAGAGTTTAAATATGTCTTAAATCGTTTCTAAATCTGAATTTTCTTCACACGCGAAGTGCCTGAAAACCGACCCCAAAAGTTAGCTATTTTTTACATTTTCATAAACTTGCTGTGGAAAGTGTTCAATATTTCGGAAGCCGTGTGCCCCACGACGCAAAACCTGTATTCTCGAAATAAATTCTAATTCAGTTCACGTATAAATTGTAAATAAATATTATTATGGATTACATATTCAACGAAGAAGATGAATAAAGATATATAAAAGTTGAATTTAATCTTTTGCGCTTTTCAATCCGATTACGCTTCAAAAAAATGGCAGGTCCGCAAGAAATATTACCCGCAATTACAGTTTTCTTACCAGACACGAATGAATTTTGCTCCCGCCACTAGATGGCGCTAATAGTTTCAGGTCCTTATGCAACTTTCTTCATCGTTATTACTTTGTCGGCCGATAGATGACGCTGCATGTTCTTTAAAAGTTAATTTTATGCTGCAATCTATTTTCACTCGTTTATTTGTATTTCCATGCGACCTTGTTTGTGCGCGCAAATAGTGCGCGTTGTATTGCGGCGTGCGCGTATTAACGCGTGCCGCCGTTGCTTGCGCACTTGCGCTTGCTGTATACTCAGCGCAGTTTTTTGCCGGTTGCGGGTTGTTTTGGACGTGTTTCTCGCGGTTGTTATCGTTTTATTTCGAGGTTGTAATTCGGTAAATCGCGTTCATTTCGTTTGTGTATCGATTGCGTTTAGTTGTTACCCACTTGTTTAGTGTTTTATTACTAAATAATCGAGCGCGGAATATACATAATCGTCGATTTTCTTTGCGTTTGTTGTGCGTATTGCAAGATGGCCGCGCGCTATCAACTTGTTTGCATTACACGCTCGCGAGATATAAGTAGCATGAAACTGCATCGTTTCTTGTGATATTTCGTTCAATTGCGGTCTATCTGTGCTGGTCATTGTGTTTGGAATTTTGCCCTGGGAACATGGACAATCTTCTGCGTTGAAGCCGAGAAGTAACGATAAAGGCAGACTTTCTGTATTTTCCTTTTCTGAAATTGTTGTCTCTGTCTAATTCACCCATTCGGGCATGTATTGTTCTAGAAGTTTTTGTTTACACCTTGTAAGAACGATATCTTGTCTTGTTATTGTTGTTGTGAACATGTTTATCTAAGTGTATCTAGTATTACTGTATTAAAATGTGATTTAATTTTAGTTTTTGGTGAATTATGCGACAAATATTTGCCCGAGGTTCATCTTTTGGCTACCAGCAGTGATGTCCTTCTTGTCCGTGTTCGGCCTTCAGCATCACATCTCTTAATTTCAATATCAAATTTAATTATTGAAATTGGAGCGTAACAACTGATGATGCATACTGCGGTGGAATATACACTCAAAAATCGGCTGCCACGACATCAACCAAAGGAACACCTACACACATTATTTTTCAAACCAGTACAATTAATGCGCACTGGGAAGGACAGAAAAAAACTCTCGATCACGAACGCATTCTTTAAGATCCCTTATCATTAGAATTGTATATTTTTAGGGACCTTTGACATTTAATTTGATGAATGCTAGTAGAATAACATGTAGTGTAAACTCTTTATAACAATGCTTTCTAAGATTAGTTGATTCAGGGAAGGATCATAATCGTCCAGTTTATTTGCCTTAAAACAAACATTGTACAGATTTCTACGTCATTATAAGAAAGGTTATCTAGAGTTTACATTATATTGCACATTTAAGCGCTTCACGACTGACTGTATCGTCTTTTTGCTTGTTGTTGTACTGGCGGGACATGTTTGCGCTTTATTTGTTGGTAGTAATGCGGATAAGGGTACTTGGTATCCTTGGTACGCACTGTTGTCTAGCTTTAACTCGCGAAAAGGCGCGTATAATGTTTGTATTTTTTTGGGTTTACCCGTGACCTTACCGACTCAATAACTTCAGCGTGGCGTCTAGAGATGCGGAATTAAATTCTCCGTCGGGTGGCATTTGTTTGTTGCAGGAACTCGACCTGCAACCCACGAAAATTAGCATAAAAAGGGGATTTTTGTCACCCTTTTTCATGAAATGTTTGTATTTTTTCGGGTTTGCAAGCAATCTAGGCGGCTCACTAACTTCCGCGTGGCGTCTATAGATTCAGAATTAAATTCTCCGTCGGGTTGTTTACGCGCGTTCCAAGGGGCTCACTAACTTCAACACGGCGTCTGGAGATGCAAAATTAAATTCTCCGTCGGGTAGTATTTGTTACCGGTAGAAGTGACTCGATTCAGAGTACCTTACGAGACTAGCGGTAAAAGTGACTCGTGTTCAGGGCACCGTACGAACCTGGCGAAAATTTGCATGAAAAAAAATCACCCTTTTTCATAAAATTTTTGTATTTTTTCATATTTGTGCGCGAGCTAGGCGGCTCACTAACTTCAGCGTGGCGTCTATAGATTCAGAATTAAATTCTCCGTCGGCTTGTATTTGTTTGTTGCAGGAATTCGATCTGCAACTCGCGAAAATTTGCATAAAAGGGTGATTTTTGTCACCCTTTCTCGTGAAATGTTTGTATTTTTCGTGTTTGCGCGCGATCTAGACGGCTCACTATCGGCAGCGCGACGTCTAGAGATGCGGAATTAAATTCTCCGTCGGGTAGTATTTGTTTGTTGCAGGAATTCAACCGGCAACCTGCAAAAATATGCATAGAAAGGTAATTTTCTCACTCTTTCTCTTTAAATGTTAGTATTTTTTCGGGTTTGCACACGACCTTGGCGGCTCATTAAATTCAGCGCGGCGTCAAAAGATGCGGAATTAAATTCTCCGTCGGGCTCTACTTATTTGTTGCAGAGATTCGACTTGCAACCCGTGAAAATTTGCATAAAAGGGGTAATTTTTTCTCCCTTTTTCTTTAAATTTTAGAATATTTTCGGGTTGGCACGTGACCTTGGCGGCTCATTAACTTCGGCGCGACATCAAAAGATGCGGAATTAAATTCTCAGTCAGGTTGCCTTTGTTTGTTGCGAAAACTCGACCTGCAACCCGCGAAAATTTGCATTAAAGGGTGATTTTTGCACCCTTTTTCTTTAAATGTTAGTATTTTTTCGGGTTTGCACTGGACCTTAGCAGCTCATTATCTTCAGCGCGGCGTCAAAAGACGTGGAATAAAATTCCCCGACAGGTTTTATTTATTTGTTGCAGGAATTCGGCATGTAACCCGCAAAAATTTGCATAAAATTGTGAGTTTTTCACCCTTTTTTTTCAATTTTATTATATTTTCGCCTTTGCACGCGACCTTGGCGGCTTATTAACTTCAGCGCGGCGTCGAATGATGTGGAATTAAATTCTCCGTTAGGTTGCCTTTGTTTGTTGCGGGAATTCGACATGCAACCCGCGAGAATTTGCATAAAAGGGTGATTTTTGCACCCTTTTTCTTTAAATGTTAGTATTTTTTCGGATCTGCATGCGATCTTAGCAGCTCATTAACTTCAGCGCGGCGTCAAAAGATGCGGAATTAAACTCTCCGTCAGGTTGCCTTTGTTTGTTGCAGAAATTAGCACGTCTGCCGCCCCCAAAATTTCTGCAGGAAATGCATCAAAAACGGCTTTAACGTGTGACATTTTTTCATTTTTTTTTGACATGCGCTGGAAAATTGTTTGTTTCTCCCGACCGGTTACACTTGTTTAACACAGGAGTTGTTCTTTATGTTAATTATTTTGTTTTTATTCGCTTCAGGTAACCGTGGCTATGGTTCTGGTTTCACATTTCACGGATTCGACAGCAACTGTAGGCGCTCCCGTAAAAATACTGCCTAGTGTGCTAGTTGTGACAATATTAAACTGTTATCCAGGTATAGTTCAGACATACGAATATTTGTATGTAAACAGTTTTTTGTTGAGTCTATCGTAATAGCGACACCGCGTGATCGCGTGGTCGTTTCAGAGCGCACATTCAGTTCCATTCCGGTTGCCGAGCGAAACACGCGTGTTCCTCGCGGCTAGTTTTGTTTCTCCCTATTATAAATTGATCGTAAATCGATTAATATTCAATAAGCAATCGACGACATTTATTACAATTGCGCGTGATCGGAATTTCGCCAGATAATAAGCACGAGTGAACTACTGTCGGTCGTCGGGAATATTTTTCGCGTGTGGATTTTATACTCGTACTGCACTCGTGTTGGCCGGCATGTGCACTGCGTGCGTGTCCGTCGGCTGTCGGTTATCGCCCAGAATAACTTGGATTTATATTTAAATCCAATAAGTAGTCAACGGATGTGTCCGGATAGGAAGTTGAGAAAAGTGCAAATGTGCGCATATTTTAAGGCAAGTCTTCCGCGGCATTTAATAGTTGTCGATATTTTTCAATATAAATTTTTTTTGTATTTGTAAATGTTGTCAATAAAATAAAATTAATATCAATTAATATCTCATTCATATTTATTTTTGGTATCCTCCTTGCCGTTTTCAGTATATGAGCGTTTCACACATTCAATATAGATATTATACGCGTGGAGCGAGTGCAACATGCCTGCGACTTGTGTTGTTGTTTTGAAAAAGTTGAATAAAGTAGAAACATAAATAAAAGAATCAAATATAAATGATAAAAACACTCGGTGGTCGAGTGGGTACGTGCACCTGCTGGCATGCTAGTAGGCACGGATCGAATCTCAGGTATGGAAGGCATTTTTCTCAAATATAAAAATAACAGGTGTGATTTGGGTTGCATATCTAAACTCAAATGGAATATAAGAGAAATTGCAATACAAGTGAAGGCAATATGAGAAGTAAGAGAGAAAGTAAGTGGAGAAATAGGAGAAGGAGAAGAAGGAATAGCAGAGAAGAGTAGAAGACGGAAAGGAAGAGAACAGAGAAGAGAAGAGAGAAGGATGGAAGAAAAGAGAATAGGGGTGACAGAATTTTTAAATTTTTCGGCATGTGTCGTTATAAGACAGTCTACGGTCGATCTCCCAGAGCGCCTCCGGCGCTCTGGCCGATCGCCCACTGCTTCTATGCGTCCATTGCTCCCGGCCCAACCTACAGCTACGATGTCTCTGCGCTTCATCCCCGGAATTATCAGGCATATCAACAATTTTTATGGTGGGGGATCACCCCCAGAGAGAGGGAACTCCTTTGAAGGACATCCTTTTAAGGACTTGTAAAAATATTTCTAATTTTTAAGTTGCCTCAAGAGAGGGGACACTTAAAATGTTCTTACAAGTTGTGACCTGTAGCTGAAATGAAGGATGGAGTACACAAATCATACAGGATACCTTAACAATTTTTATAGTGGGGATCATCCCCTGAGAGAGGGAACTCTCTTAGAGACCTGTACCTGAAATGATAGAAGGGGTACATTCCAAGCATAAGACATAATATCTCTTAACATTTCTTTATTAATAAACACAATGTAAAATAATACAAGTTTAGATTTTATAAGTCAACAGAATCTTCGTGATTAAAATGGAAACAAATATACAGGGTGTTACAAAAGAAAATTAAGTGCAGACAGGAAAACATCTAAACACTCAAATAACGCTAGTTTCTCACCGTTACTCTGGGAAACAAATTTACAGGGCGTTACAAAAAGAAAATTCAAAGTGCAAGAAGTTAAATTCTAATAACAGTCAAGGCAAAATTTTCAGGGATGTGAAGGAAAACGATTATACAAGGTGTCACAAATAGCAAACTCAAACATTAAAAAGAAAAAGATGTAAACACTACAAATGAGCCGTTTATTTTGAAAGTGACCTAACTCCGTTTTTCAATTTTTTGCCGGTTTCCATGGTTACATGTACAACTTCATGTTATTTATCAGTGACGCACTTCAGATTGCTTATATTCAGAGAAAATACGGTACATTTTTTACACATAGGTTTTCCGAATTAATTGAATAACTGATCCGTGTGGTTTGAAAGTGGCCTAACTCCATTTATAGTTACATCAAGGTATTTACTATTGATAATGTCGGAAAGCGGCGATGAAGGTAATTTCAATTAATTAGTATTTACAAGTCCACCTCATTTTTGGGACAATTGCTTTAGTTAATTAACCTGTACGTTTAATTAATATAAAACTTAAAATTTAATATTAAATTATAGAAATTATTGCACCCATGAGGAAGAACCGAAGAAGACCACTTAGTTCAGATAGTGAAAAAGAAATAGTAATTAATAAAAAAAAGCGAATAAGAAAAAGAGTTATAAAACAATATTCCTCGTCAGAGGATGAAGATTCAAATAACAATGGAGAAAAGATTGATGCACCATATATCCAAAAAGTGCGAAAGATAAAACGGAATTCAGGAAAAAGATATTGCAGTTAAACCGGAAGTATTGTTCATGAAAAAAATTTCGAAAACAAAGATTGTGGTTGTCGGAATGCGTGCACAAAAAATTATAATGAAGAAGAAAGAAAGAATATTTTTGAGAAGTTTTGGGGTTTGGCAGATTTTAACAAACAAAATGTATTACTTCACGAAGCTGTCTGTGAAACGAAGACGTTTTTTTTTCTTCAATTTGAAACATCTTAAATTATGTTGAATGGACTTGGGCATCTTCAAATTTTATAATGAATCGGGCTGTTAATTTTGAAAGTGGCCCAACTCCATTCTTGATAAGGAAACGCACGTTATATACTTAATGATTGCCACTATTTTAACAGGAACTTTAAATTTAACATCCTAAGATACGCTTAAGCAGTATGACTCCTTTGTATCTTATACGTATATTTTTAAATTCATTGAAACGCAAAACTTTCAATATCTCGATTTGAAGATAAATGGAGTTAGGCCACTTTCAAAATAAGCGGCTCAAATATTGCTCGTTTTCACCCGATGCTCCGGGAAACTAATAAACAGGGTGTTACAAAAAAAACTTAAAGTGCAAAAAAAGCCCTGAAACCACAGCTACAGCAAAGTTTTCACGGACACGAGGAAAAACAAATATACAGGGTGTTTCAGAAAGAAAATCTCAAGTTTAAAACAAAGAACACCCAAAACTGACAAATAAAGGCGATTTACTATGTACTGTTAGGAAAACTAATACACAGGGTGTTACAAAAGGGAAATTTTAAAAATTACAAATACGGTCACTATTCACATCATGACGAGAGAAATTTATACCGAAACAACTATATTTTAACATAAATTCAAAGATTTTTAGAAGATTTTTAGATTTTTAAAAGATTGATAGAACATCAGGCGGAAAACATCCAAATCAGCAGACGGCGGCAAGCGACGGCGCGTGGTAATACAGTAGGTAAATACGATAAAAAATAACTATTCAGCATACAAGATTTTAGATCAACAAGAAACTTTTTAATTTAATGATGATAAGCAGTGTAATTCGATTAAAAACGTTCAGCGAAAAGAGGAACGAGCCGATGGTCGACGGCAATGTGACCGTGGTCGATCACATGAATATTGTCATTTTAGTAATCCTCAGATACTTTTTAACACAGTGTGTGTAATAATTAAATTATGCATGTTATTTTCGGAAACGGAACTAAGAATTCTGATGAAAATGCTACCAGGTGTTTCTAATCTGCACAATTATTATCCCTCAAATGGAATAATTAATCTAAGTTAAACCGCCTCAACTTTCCGCAAAAAAAAGTGATTAAACACCTACCAGTGCATTGATGAAGAAATTTTAGATCCAGGAATATATCTTATCAACTGAAAACTCGCGTAAAGATTAACGGATACTTATTTCTCACTTAAGAACACTCTAACCGCTACAACTCATCAAACAAAACAGGCACACATGCTCGTTACGAATATTTTTCTAATGTCGAAAAGAATACACGATGATTAATTGAATAATTGAAGTCTGAAAACGCGTGGCGATTAGAGACACGCGTTCGCGGATCACGCGGTGAAACGACTGCCATGTGCGCTGCGCGAAACCAGGTACAAGGCAGGTACGAAGCGATAAGCGATAGCGTACGTAGCGTCAGTCGAACAAAAAAGTTGTTTATAAACAAGCGTAGTGGTAAACGCGTAGTTGCGAAGCAAAAGTAAAAATTCACAATATTGAAATAACACACATACACTAAATCTATTTTTACTTTCAATATTTCTCGGCATAAGAAAAGAATATATTGGTTTTCGGATGCAATAAGGATGAAGAAAAACAGGAATTTGTAATTTACTAATACAAGTAAATAATTTATAGTTTAGTTATTGTCTTCGTATAAGTTTACTATATACCTTAGTTAATTAAATAATTGATGTTTACAACACCGCGACTAATTTAAATATTCTCTATAAAATAAAGTATTAAAATCGGAAAAATAAGAAGTCAAAAAAATTCACAACAATAAAATACATGAGGCGGTACGGCTCCTTTTCCCCAGTTTTTTTTTTCAATTCCGAATAGCACAAATTATATTTTATATTTTATGGATACGAGTCACTTCTACCGCTACCTTCGTAGGGTGCCCTGAATACGAGTCACTTCTACCGCTACCTTCGTTCGATGCCCTGAACACGAGTCACTTCGACCGCTAGCCTCGTACGGTGCCCAACGGCACTTGTCGGTGCAACGACAAGAACGGATTTCGAATTCTTATTATACGCAATAAAAATTTAAAATTATTTAATTTCATGGAGTCGAAAAATGCGACTAAAAGTGCTCAAAAGTGATATTTTGCATACCCAAAAAATACAAACATTTCACTATAAAAGTTGAGTAAATCACCTTCTAATGCAAATTTTCGCAAGTTGCAGGTCGAATTACTGCAGCAAACAAATACCACCCGTCGGAGAATTTAATTCCGCATCTTTAGGCGCTATGCTGAAGTTTGTGTGACGCCCCCGACCGACACTAATAATTTCTAAAAAATTAACGCGTGGGCGCAAAAAGCAGATAAAATATCATTTTTTTACCAATAACTCACATTGCAGACAAATTTCCTAAATTCTGCATCTCTAGACATCGCGTTCAAATTTGTGTGAGGCCCCGTTCGCCCACAATAATGAAAAAACGCACCTAATTAACTCAAGGACGCAAAAACCGGATGAAATATCTTTTTTTTTTTCAATAACTCACGTAGCAGACAAATCACCTTCAACAAATTAATATAGTTTTATAGAGAATTAAATTCTGCATCTCTGGACATCGCGCATATATTTGTGTGAGGACTCGTTCGCTCACAATTATGAAAAAAAAAAATTTCAATTGCGAATATCTCGTAAACTTAAAGAGAACGAATCGCAGAGTCATAACCTACGGACAATTCTCTATAGAATAAGCTAGTTAAATTGGAAATCTAGAAAATGAAATTTTAATTCGTAAGAAAAAATGGGATTTTAGCAAAGTGCTAAAAATTGGACATTTTCAACTTTTCTTATTTTCATATCTGAAAGCGACAGAGGGGAACGGATTGAAAATTATTATCTACTGAAAATTCTCTATATGACAAAGTATTAAAATAGTGCATGCTGTACCTCAGCGAAGCAAACACGGTCGCAACAGTTCATGACAAGACCACCTGCTGCCCGAACGCGCAAAGACGGCGCAAGGATGGCCGCGACGACTGCCCGCGCGCAAATTGCAATAGACCCGATACATTCGAACTAAACTAAACTAGAAAAGCAGAGCGAGACGCGAAAGGATGGCAACGACACTCCGCAATCTTGGTCGTTGCTATTCGCACGGCGATAAGAAAGTGTAAATCGTATTCAAAACAAACACAATTCTCGTGTCGAATGCCAACGTTGGCTGATAAATAAAAAACTAAACAAAACAAGTCAAATTAATGATTTTTACTTCATGCTATTGCTACTAGTCTCATAATTTTAATTAAGTATTAAAATAATGATAAATTAAAATTCGATTTATGTAATTTTAAATTCTTATGATGAAAGATTATATTTTATTCAATCGCGAATATCTCGTAAACTAAAAGAGATAAATAAGATCTGATGGCAGCGTCTTAATCTACGGACCAATCTCTATCAGATAGGATAGTTAAAACCGAAATCTGAGAGATGAAATTTTAAGTCTTAAGAAGAAATTGCCAAGGGGGGGTGCTTGATACTTTTTTTCGACGATTTTTGAAAATTCATATCTCTTAAACGAAAAGAGATAGCTACCAACGAATTGTTGATTATGAAAGATTGAAAGATTCTCTATCAGATAAAGATAGAAAATAATTATATTTCCTACAGTAAAAGATCGAAAAACGCGACTAAAAGTGCTATAAAGTGACATTTTGCAATTTTTGCCCATTTTATTCAATCGCGAATATCTCGTAAACTAAAAGAGATAAATAAGATCTGATCGCAGCGTCTTAATCTACGGACGAATCTCTATCAGATAGGATAGTTAAAAGGGAAATCTGAGAGATGAAATTTTAATTCTTAAGAAAAAAAATTGCCAAGGGGGGGTGCTTGATACTTTTTTACGACGATTTTCAAAAATTAATATCTCTTAAACTAAAAGAGATCGCTACCAACGAATTGTTGATTATGAAAGATTGGAAGATTGTCTATCAGATAAAAATATAAAACAATTACATTTCCTACAGTAAAAGGTCGAAAAACGCGACTAAAAGTGCTAAAAAGTGACATTTTGCAATTTTTGCCCATTTTATTCAATCGCGAATATCTCGTAAACTAAAAGAGATAAATAAGATCTGATCGCAGCGTCTTAATCTACGGACCGATCTCTATCAAATAGGATAGTCAAAACCGAAATCTGAGAGATGAAATTTTAAGACTTAAGAAAAAATTGCCAAGGGGGGGTGCTTGATACTTTTTTTCGACGATTTTCAAAAATTCATATCTCTTAAACTAAAAGAGATCGCTACCAACGAATTGTTGATTATGAAAGATTGGAAGATTGTCTATCAGATAAAAATATAAAACAATTACATTTCCTACAGTAAAAGGTCGAAAAACGCGACTAAAAGTGCTAAAAAGTGACATTTTGCAATTTTTGCCCATTTTATTCAATCGCGAATATCTCGTAAACTAAAAGAGATAATTAAGATCCGATCGCAGCGTCTTAATCTACGGACTATTCTCTATCAGATAGGATAGTTAAAACAGAAATCTGAGAGATGAAATTTTAATTCTTAAGAAAAAAATTGCCAAGGGGGGGTGCTTGATACTTTTTACGACGATTTTCAAAATTCATATCTCTTAAACTAAAAGAGATAGCTACCAACGAATTGTTGATTATGATAGATTGGAAAATTGTCTATCAGATAAAAATATAAAATAATTATATTTCCTACAGTAAAAGGTCGAAAAACGCGACTAAAAGTGCTAAAAAGTGACATTTATCAATTTTTGCCTATTTTATTCAATCGCGAATATCTCGTAAACTAAAAGAGATAATTAAGATCCGATCGCAGCGTCTTAATCTACGGACTATTCTCTATCAGATAGGATAGTTAAAACAGAAATCTGAGAGATGAAATTTTAATTCTTAAGAAAAAAATTGCCAAGGGGGGGTGCTTGATACTTTTTTACGACGATTTTCAAAAATTCATATCTCTTAAACTAAAAGAGATAGCTACCAACGAATTGTTGATTATGATAGATTGGAAAATTGTCTATCAGATAAAAATATAAAATGATTATATTTCCTACAGTAAAAGGTCGAAAAACGCGACTAAAAGTGCTAAAAAGTGACATTTTTCAATTTTTGCCTATTTTATTCAATCGCGAATATCTCGTAAACTAAAAGAGATAATTAAGATCCGATCGCAGCGTCTTAATCTACGGACTATTCTCTATCAGATAGGATAGTTAAAATGGAAATCTGAGAGATGAAATTTTAATTCTTAAGAAAAAAATTGCCAAGGGGGGGTGCTTGATACTTTTTACGACGATTTTCAAAAATTCATATCTCTTAAACTAAAAGAGATAGCTACCAACGAATTGTTGATTATGATAGATTGGAAAATTGTCTATCAGATAAAAATATAAAATGATTATATTTCCTCCAGTAAAAGGTCGAAAAACGCGACTAAAAGTGATAAAAAGTGACATTTATCAATTTTTGCCTATTTTAATCAATCGCGAATATCTCGTAAACTAAAAGAGATAATTAAGATCCGATCGCAGCGTCTTAATCTACGGACTATTCTCTATCAGATAGGATAGTTAAAAAGAAATCTGAGAGATGAAATTTTAATTCTTAAGAAAAAAATTGCCAAGGGGGTGCTTGATACTTTTTACGACGATTTTCAAAAATTCATATCTCTTAAACTAAAAGAGATAGCTACCAACGAATTATTGATTATGAATGATTGGAAGATTCTCTATCAGACAAAAATATAAAATAATTATATTTCCTACAGTAAAAGGTCGAAAAACGCGACTAAAAGTGCTAAAAGTGACATTTTGCAATTTTTGCCCATTTTATTCATTCGCGAATATCTCGTAAACTAAAAGAGATAATTAAGATCTGATCGCAGCGTCTTAATCTACAGACCAATCAATTCAATTTTATGATATTTAGTTCTTGCTAGTTAAATCATGAAATTTTGATTTATGATTTGAGTTTTATTGAAGCATTTATTGAAGCAAAAATTTCCGCAAAAGATATCAATTTTCAAATTGCAAGAAATCAGAGAAACAGATACTATGAATGATAAAAATTTTACTTACCAGTGTATCGAGCACCGCAAATCAAATGTGAGTAGATACTGAAATAAAGAAGAAAGAAAACATTAGTTACACAATGTCGGACAATGAGTTCCGGCGGAACCCTAAGTTTACCATGAATATCGTCTTCTTCTCCATAATTATTTAAACTAGTATTCGTACCAGGTAACACATTGAGTCAACGAGTTGTGCAGAAGTCCAAAATGGTTCGCACAAGTCCAAAATAGTCTGCCGGCCGGCGTCCGACGGCAACCGATCATAAATCCACGCGAAAATGTAATAAACACACAAAATATTGAATTTGGAAGATTACATACGCGATAAATATTTACAGAATGACCAAACACGACAATTAACACATATAATATATAACGCGATATATCGAATTTTCAACAAGAAACACGAATACTCAACGACGTATTCTTATCTACCGCACGAAGTGCTCGCATCACAGCTGTGCAAGTCGACTTTCACTCGCAGGAATATTTTTAATTAAAAATATGCATCGTTGCGCTACCTGAGAATACTTTCTTGTACCTCCAGAAAATACAAAGCGTTTCAAAAAGTGTGTTGTACGTATGAGATAGTGAGCGATTGCATATGAGTCAGTGAGTGGTCACGCACTTAAATGGCCGTGCCCATGTGTCACACGTACATGAAAGTGCGCATGCACTTCCCTGTCTAAACGACTAGCAAGTTTTACGCATAACTCAAAACTTCAAATATAGACGACGCTAAGATGAACTTCTTCAAAATAAATTATTCAAATTTTGTAATTTTAACGCAAATTATAATCAATATAGCAATAAATAAATATTGTAAACTGCATAAATAGACAATTAAAACAATTATTTGCAATTAAATCACATATTTCCGTTAAAATTGCATGAAATAATTTCAAACACTATAAAAATAAAATAAAAAAACCTAGCGATAGCAAGTCACTCGCTATATTATAATAATAGTATTACCGAATTGAAACAAACTTACTGAAACACACAAAATAATCCTGAATGAAAATAATTTTCAGAAAAATAAACTTTAAAATCATAAGGCGCCATCTGTCGGCACATGAAATAATGACAAAAAAGAAAGCGGCACCAGATTTTAAAATTACAAGCGCCACCTAGTGGCGGATGCCCGAAACTACTTATAATATGTGGGAAACTGTAACTGCGTGCAACATGTCACTTTTCTGTGTCGTTACCGGATTGATATGCGCAAAAAAATATAATTCAACGAATATTTTCATTGTATGGGCAACAAAAAATGAGTTTTACAAGAAAAAAAAATCAAATTACCTAATTTTCTATGTATGTTGTGACCATTCCAGATGAGCCCTTGGAACTTGTTAAAACCTACAACAAACAAAAAAAAAATACAAATCAGACAAAACAAACAAAACCATTCTAATTTCTTGTACTACTATTCAAACAAGTTTGTCAGATAAGCAGATAAATCATAGACAGTTAGATGATGTTTAAATGAAGCCATAAAGCAAAAAATTTGACTTACCGGCTTCAAATGATACCATCTTCAAAACCGGCGAAGATCAAGGTCAAAGTCTGTGCACATTGCTTATTTCGCGAAATCTTAATAATAACAACTACTTTGAGATAGTGAATATACAAAACGAATAAATCACGGTACAAAACTTTAGTTTAACGAAAAACTAAGTACAAACAACGATGTTTATATTTTGTAAGAACGCGAAATTATGAATAAAACGACAAGCGACGCGCTGTCAACGACGGATGAATTTACAATGACGTGCTAAGATGGCGTCAATGTCAAGCACAGTGTTGCCAACTCTCTTCGAAATCATGACAAGTTTATCCAACTCGAAAAAGTTAACTAATATTTAAATAAATCCCATTATTACAATCGTAACTAGTTCTTTGTACAAAATGAATATATTTCGTATTTTTCAAATAGTAACGAATACGTTTGGACGCTTCTATTCGACTGAGGAATACGTCTAGTTGTGCAATTATCAACCAAAATGTTTGTAGTATTTAGTAAGAATTCATTAAAAGCATTGCAAAATACAAATCGTCAGAGCCTTCTACTGCTGCATTGTTTCATTAATGATCGAAGGTGGTGTCCACACATGTTTATCTGTCAAATTATTGGCCGTATTTGGAGTTGGGAAAGAATAATGATTAAAACCAGTGGAAGCGCTCCCATTAAAATCTACTGGTACGCCTAAAAATGTGCTGGTGAGAAGAAGGAAAACAAAACCGGAAAATGCAAAATAAATAAAAATTCACGGTATGGTATGAATCGGTTCAGGTTGGGGGGCACATTTCTCACATTCGGGCGAATTTCAATTTCAAAATATGCAATTTTTGTGCTCTTGGAGTTGCTTTCATTTGATGCTTGTCGTTTCTGCTCTTCTAGTCCTGATAACAATTCACATTCTGCACCAGAGTTAACTTGTCCAATACCGATTCCCCGACATAAATGCAGCGGTAATTGATCTGAGTCGCCAATAGCGGGGGCAGTATTTTGTTTTTGCTGCAGTAGGTGAAACAAGAAACAATTAAATCGTCCGAAACTGTGACACACCCAACACCAAGGATGATGGACAGGGGTATTCACCGACATGCTACTGGCAATGTTTAAAAATTCGCAGATGTGATGGTTTCGATAATAAACCGAATTCGACATATTATTATATTGTTGAACATTGTAGTTGCTATAGCAGACAATGCGGTGACCTAATAACCATCTGTACAGATTTTCGTCAAGAAGCTCCTATTTCAATTATGGTAGCACAAATTACACAATAATAGAGGTTAGATAATTACTTACCCTACTGACTCTTAAGTGAACACAATAAGTCGATGGAAGCAGAGGGTTGAACATATTTTGATAGAGAACAAATAATGTGGATTGATTTGCGTTCATCGCCATTGCACTTTGAAAATGATTCAATTGTTGCAAAATTTAACAAGCTTTACAATTTATGGTTCCAATTACCGTTGTTGCTGGACACTTTGACAGTTTCTTCTGCTGCCATTTTGATAGTAAACGAACCAAAAACAGTTTCAATGGCTTGGCAACACTGGTTTTTGATTTGACATTTTTAGTTGTTTATTTTGGCCGGCAGGACAATCTATTTAAACAAGATTAAGTAATTTAAATAAGACCAAAATTTAATGTAAATATACCCGTTTAATTGTAAGTACTTTTAAATAGATATGAAAACATAATGAACTTTTAAATTCATTACACTACATACAATTTTTGTGCATCATCGTAACTTTTCGGCTTGCGTCGTCTTTTCAATCTGATGGAGCCGATGGAAACGTTGGAGTTGGGGGTTTGAGAAAAGCAAAGCAAAGCAAGCAAATCTCCGAAAATGTCAAGCTGCACCAACACAATTAAAGCTCTGCTTGGCCCTGCCATTTAGTAAAGAAGCCGCTGAATGTAACAATATATTGCGTCCACTGGTTCCATCAAAATAAGAAATCGATTAAAACACGAAATTCTGGAGTTGCTATGTGAATAAAACGCGCAGTGATCTCATGTTTGTTGTGAGCTTCGAATAAAAAGAGCTCATACGAGCAGAGGTGTCGACAGCATCAAGATGAAAGCGTTGAAGTGACCCTCGTGCTTTTCGGGTACGTGCTAAATTCGCGAAGATTCACGCTGACTGTGGATGATCATCGTCGCTTTGTTCACATCGCTAGCGGCGGGCGAACGCCGGCAATATGGCTGGCAACAATAACCAGAACGGTTGGCTGAACAGTTTGGGGATCGGTTACGGTACACCGTTGAGCGTCGTTCCTGAACAACAACCGGGTACTTCGGAAGGGAATCAATTCGAGCAACTAGATCGAGCAGCTGTTGGCAGTAGCACTTTGAAGGTAAAAGCAATATACTGTTGTGAATTCACTGGAACAAAGATTCACTTTACAATTAGTCACATATTCATGTAATTATACATTATGGCCTCTAATACACATTTTGATTTTCTAGCGAAATCCAAAGATGGAGTTATCCAAAGGTGATCTGCTTAAATTAGTGACATATTTTGAAGGAGAAATACAGGCCAGGGATGTTGTTATTGCAGCTTTAAAGGTATATAGTGGATATTTATTATATGTTTATATTTTCTCTTAAAATTGATTAATTTTAGTCTGAAAGACTAAAGCAACTTGCAAACATGGGAAGATACCGACCCGCTGTAATGGCAGATCCATTTAACGCTTTATTACGTGATTGTACAATGGATAGCACCAATGCAAAGACTGCAGTATCAGAACGTGATATTAATCAAGCAGCTGAACAACAATTACAAGCTCTAGAGCAGGTTTGTAAAATAATATAGATCATTTTTCTAATTGAAAGTATATTAATTTCGTATTTTACCATCAGTTGGCAATTCAACAAAAAAGAGCTCACCTACACATGGTAAATATATTAAAAGAAGCTGAATGTAAACATAAAAAAGTGATCCAGGAACTGGAAGAAGAAAAATGTAAGCATGAACACGACACAGCGCAAGGAGACGATATTACGTACGGACTAGAAATGGAGCGTACTCGCTTACGACAGGAACTCGACAGCGAGAAAACATCACGTAAGAAGCTGGAGAAGGAAGTCAAGCGGCAGCAGGAATTGGCTGATGAAGAACGCGGACGTCAGAAGCAAATTGTTTTACTTCTTCTTGCTGAACGCAAGAAAATTATCGTCAAGTATATTGAGGAGCGAAAGCGCAGTGAGGATTTAGCACAGGTTCGTTTTCTTCTTAGCTTTTATTTGTACATCTGAAGATTTTTCTCCTGCTTCTACATAATATATTTTTGCAGATATTATCCGAAGAAAAGTCACGAATTGACAGTATGGCCGAAGGCTTAGAAGAAGAAAGCAAAAAATCGTTGCAAATGGAAGCTGAGCTCGAGAAACAATTACACGTGTTTGAAACCGACAAGAAAACCTTAAAAACCGCGCTTGCTAATAAGGACGCTCGCTGCCAGGAACTAGAATTAGAATTACAGAAATTACGCGTTGAGTTTGACGCTCTGCGGACACGGCCCCGTGATCCCAGCGATGCCGCCGCACCGATGACGAGCAGCGTAGCTAAAGTAGTCCAACCGACGGCAACTGTTTCCAGCGTGCCTGTGTCTGGGCCGAGTATGACTTCATCAGAGTAGTACATGTTCCCAAATGTAATTTCGTTTTGTTTTGTGTATGTTTTAGCAACGGGAATTGCTCAATCTGTTGTACCGGGGCAGGCACTGCGGCAAACAGCTACTGTACCATCTGTCCCTTCAGCTGTTAAGGTAGATGGCTGATAAATACATAAACATCTTTAATTAAATGATGTGATTACCTGATTTTAGGCTTCCAATTTATCTCAGACATCAACCATGCGACAAGCGCCAGTCAAACCAGGTTTCCATGCCGGGTATACCCAGAATCCTAACGTTCCACCTCAAATGCCGCCGAAGAAGGGCACCATTGCTGGCAGGGGAGTTCCACCACCGATCCCACCCAACAAGCCGATCATACCTAGCAAACAGAATGTGGTACGAAGGCCCGACACCGCCGATGCCGACAATAAGAAAACTAGTTTAAATAAAGATGTTGTAGGTGCGGTAAGTACGCCCGACGTTGGACGAAGCACACCCGGCATTGAAATGCTTGGTCAGGAGTTAGCCGATTTTCAACAAATGTTCGTCACTATGGCCACTAGCAATAATACCTAAATAATATTAAAGACATAACACTATACTTCAAACGTCTTGTGTCGCATATTCGTTGATTAGTCTACGAAATTACTTGATTGATACATGAAATTCACAAGGCAGCAAATTTGTACGCAGGTATTATAATATAAAATTAGATGAGATATCAAGAGAGTAAAAAGAAATGAAATGGGAATGCGAAGAAAGAAAATTGCTATCAATCTATATTCTAATCATTATGTTGCATGTTATTATGAAGATAGTAGGAAACAAGTGAATCTGCCGTATTTTTGTACTACTCAGGGTAGATGGTTGCCAAAAAAATAACATACTTTCAACCTATTGCAACAAGAAACTCTTTCTCTTAGTTACTGCATACTTTTGACCCAGGAATAGTTGTAGGAACGCATACAGTACAGATGGAAAACTAATTCTAATTATGTGTTAATTAGCAATTTTAATTGAATTACTTTCTGTGATGTAGTTACATGTGCAGGTATACCATATGTGCATAGAGCGACTTTAAAGTTGTAGACCCCTACCATTTCCCTTGTTATGTGATACTGTTACTAAATTACGGAAACTAACGAAACGATAATAATAATTGACGAAGGGGATGCGAGAGAAATCACATGATTATAATACTTAAGGAACTATGAGAGGAAATGATAAGCTAAGAAATTGGACAAGAATGCTTTAGACTTCCTGAGATAAATGTATAACCAAGATAAATAATTCACTAAAATATACTTTGCGCAGCTGTTTGTTTAAGATAATCTTCATTACTTATGCAGGGGACTACAAATATCCTAGTCACGATTTCAGATAGACTCTGTAACTTCTCATTAATTATAAGTCGCAAACATAAGATTTGCTAAATTCATGATTTTCGTGTGTTGGATGCATTTTGGCGTACTTAATGTATACTTAAATTATATTTTTATATTTTCGATTTATTTATTATGTTTAGAAATTGACGAAATCGATGTAATACTCTCTACATGACGATTGTGATTGATATTAATCTATCATTTTATATCAATTTATAAAGTACCATGCAATTTTTAGCATTGTAAACGCTTTCATTGTAACAGGAAGGAACAAAAGCGCGTCTATTTTGATTTGATGTTAACCAGTTAATTTAATCTGGTTTAAATATTATCAGTTTCGAAACAAGTAAATTGTTTCAACGACGTGGAACAAATGAGATCGCTTTTATTAAATTATTTTTGTACAACTTGTATTATACGAAGCTTTTCGTTTATTGGTGCACATGTCCAGTGGAATTTCTTGATGTAAATTAAAGGTGGACATTAGTGATTCGTGAGTTCGTTTAGTTTATATCCGGGACATTGAATGTATCATAGGTGTTTGTAGAAATGTGTACACATGCAAGAACGTGTCCTGTTTGATTTGTTCCGTTACCCACACACTATTTATTCATACTCAATGTCCTGTGATTGTATCTTACTTAACACTAAGCTTATTATCCATTTAATTCAATTATAATAAAATAAGCTAGTCTCTAGTTTAGTCTAGCGGGCGTTCTGTGAGCAAGTAGGCCAGTGCAACGCAAGAACTGCGAAAACTATCGAAAAGGACTCGAAAACAATATCTATCAGTCGTAATATGTTGTGCATTCACACGTTGCAAATCTCTCTGTTGATGGCCCTATGTATTACGATCTCAAATGTAATGAGTAATAATCATAAAGTGTAAGTAACTAATGTTAAACGAACAGCTACAACTATACATGTAAATTGTAATTAATTATAATTGCGCCCGAGTACCATCTCTGAAACCAGCGACGTACATTTTGAGTGTTGGGTCACCACCTGAACATATTATTTGTACAAAGTGCAGAGTAATATTAAACAGATATAACATAGCAGCATTGTGTGTCGATTGTAGGACGAGTAATGTCACCATGGCGAACAGCGCAAATGAGTATATGTTTGAGGAAACAAGTCTGTCCTTGCGGGATATCCTGCCGATTAGGACGAAGCTGTACGATAAAAATCGTGCCCCAAAGCTCAAAGGCCATCCAACAATTGTATACTTTCATGTAACGGTTTTATCCTTGGACTCGATTAACGAGGAGTCCATGGTAAGTATCCCGATTTTATTTGAAAATTTGAATCATGGAGGATATGTTTTGTAGACGTACGTGACTGATATATTTCTCGCACAAAGTTGGCGCGATCCGCGTCTTCGGCTGCCTGAGAATATGAGCGAAGAATATCGCATTTTAGATGTCGAATGGCTTCATAACATTTGGCGTCCGGATTGTTTTTTTAAAAACGCGAAAAGTGTGACGTTTCACGAGATGACCATCCCGAATCATTACCTGTGGTTGTATCACGACAAGACGTTGCTTTACATGTCTAAGTATGTGCTAGGAATCCGCCGTAATTAGCTGCCCGGGGCGTTGCTACTTGCCGTTTACTTATGGCTTCTTTTCAGGCTGACCTTAGTACTTTCATGTGCAATGAAGTTTGAATCATATCCGCACGACACACAAATATGTTCGATAATGATTGAGAGTCGTGAGTTAAAACTATTACGGCTACTTTCTTGGATATTTTAATTTGATGATTAATTGTAGTGTCTCACACGGATCATGACTTGGTTTTTATATGGAATATGACGGATCCTTTAGTGGTAAATCCTGAAATCGAACTTCCACAGCTCGATATCTCGAATAATTATACCACAGATTGTACAATTGAATATTCGACTGGTAATTTTACATGCCTGGCAATAGTTTTTAATTTAACAAGACGACTTGGCTATCATCTCTTTCACACCTATATTCCGTCAGCTTTGATCGTCGTTATGTCCTGGATTTCATTTTGGATTAAGCCGGAAGCGATCCCAGCGCGAGTCACATTAGGTGTGACATCACTGTTAACATTAGGTACAACTGAAAGTATTTATTTCTTGATTATATGCGGTAATGTAATTGTAATCTCTTTTGTACAGCGACACAGAATACTCAATCGCAGCAATCGCTACCGCCAGTGTCGTATGTTAAGGCCATCGACATTTGGATGTCGTCTTGCTCCGTGTTCGTATTTTTGTCTCTGATGGAATTTGCTGTGGTTAATAATTACATGGGACCCGTCGCAACGAAGGCAATGAAAGGCTATTCCGATGAGGATTTGCATTCGGACATGCAAAATGATTATAAGGTACAATTAACGCGAAAGAAAAAACGGTAGCCATTTTATTTTGTTTTATGCAGTAATTTTGAGTAGATTGGAGTCTTTTTAGGATAACTGGTGATGATTTGTGTAGTTGCTAGAGCTTAGGGAGCAAGTAGAGCAAGCAGACCACCGCCGCCATCGAGCGGTGTGGAATCCCTGGGTAAAATAATGTTTCGCATAGTAAAATCAATACGATAGTGCGGCGGGCGCGTGTAGTCGCGTTGGCGACCCTCTCATTTGCGATTATTATGCCCCGAGATTGTAGGGTGCTTCTAGCCGCTTTCCGACTTTTTGTCTCGCAATAAATTGTTGTTATTTATGGTGGTTGAGTGTCGTTCGGTTCCTTTTGCAGGATATAGATCGGCCGAGATTCGGTAGCCAGCCGCAGTACGATACGTTTTGCAGCGGCCGCAGCACCGCATTGTGCATCGACCAGTTTTCGCGTTTCTTCTTTCCCTTTTCGTTCTTCATCCTGAACGTAGTCTACTGGTCGACGTTCCTCACTTGAAGCATCGCACAGCGCCGCTTCGAACCTTTAGCATTTAACATTTATGTAATGTGTCGATGTTGTGTAATATGTAATGCGTATAATGATGATATGCCTGTATCAAACTGCAACAATTTAAATATCCACAATCCGCTCCCACATCCGACGCCAGTCGCGCAAAATGCGAATGTGGCTCCGGTGAAGCATCGCGACGCCTCGCTTGGAGCTGGCGCGGACTGGCGTCGCGCGGATGCCCCTGTGAATGTGAGCATAATATAAATGCAGCAGTTGCAGAGATCGTTAGTTCTTATGGGAATGGAAATCGTCTGCAATCGTAGCGTCGCTTGAACCGACGTCGTCGTTGTCCGCGCGCGTCGCCGCGCTGCTCGATAAAATCGACGCCGCATTTAGTCGGCGTCCAACATTCATGCGTGGAAACACACTCGAGAGCGAGCGGTTCGAGAGAGAGCTGAAAATGTATCGTGAACGCAAAGATTCGCCCGGCCACCCGAGATCGCGTTGCGCTTAACAACCTTCCCGAAATACAAGCGGCGGCCATTCGATTTGTTAATTCGACAGTTGTTGTTTAAAAAAACCCAGTGCGTTTGTGATACGCCGATTTTCCAGGCAGCTAGCGAGCGTGAGAGCGTGTGTTGCCTGCACTTTGGGCATGTGACGTGATACATTGAGCTGTTATTTTCTGTTCGAAACTGTTCGTCTCTTTTGCACGTGTGACGTCATCAACAATGTATGTATGGTTTTGTTGTTTGCATTGGCATTTTTCACTTGCTTCCAAAAAAATCGCCATGGATAATTCGCTATTGCGCGTTATCGTATCGTGCTCCCATTCTCGCGCTTTTCCTATACACAGCGTCTTGCGAAAAAGACGAGCGAAATTTAACGTTGTCAAAGATAGCTTTCTGTGGAGGTTACGTAATGAATATTTGTAAACCAATGCTGCGGATAATAAATGTGATGTTTTTGGACTAGGAAAATTTCAATGAATTATTCTAGTGAAAAATTGCGTCAATTTGCGAAAAGAGCACGCGGTGCGCGGTACCCGCAACACACGTTCATGTCAGAAAGCGTGTGATTATTTGTTGTGTGCAAAGCTGCCAACCAACTGTTTCCTCCTTCTGTCGAAGGTGTATTCGAGTCCGCATTGTGCGCTAGGAGTTCGATGACGACCGGCTTCATGGTAATGGGACAGCAGGAGCAACGCGTTGCCTTCCGGTGACCTTAAGGAATGTTTATCCCAGATACAGTGCGCAGCTGCATGGTGGAGCCGGATGTATCTTCCTATCTGCAAACGCCGTCGTCGGGACAGGTGCCTTAACGCTGCTACCCCACAGCCCTTTGTCCTCTCGCGTCGCCATATGTAATTAACATGATTAACAAATGAGTGTTCTCTGTAACTGTGGTCGCATTCAAGAGTTGATGCCGCTTTTTGAAAAAGCGCGCGCGCGCCTTACGGCCCCTCTCCTCGGATGTCCTCCACTCATCCTTCAATCAGTGTTAATTATAATTAAGACCTTCGCGTCGGGCGCGATATATTTGCGCGACCGCCTTGCAAACATCCTCGTCGGTCTCCTTGAAGGCGGATTACACAAGCGGGCACAACAGCACAGTTTCCGAAAAAATACTATTTGATAAAATATAGAAAACTAGATGCATCTCAGCTTAATGCGCGCAAATTTCCTTGACGGATTGTTACCCATCGCTGCGATGTGACGCGCTTCTTTTGTAACAGTATATAGGAGAATGTCCGTTGATGTTCCGAAGCGAAACCGCCGAAATGTACCTCACATATTTGTATAAATAACTTCGAGACGTGCCCTTGTATACGTGTACACAGCGTGCGCAACGCTTGCATGTACGCACGGCGCGAGGCAGCAGCAGCAGCAGCGGCAGCAGGACCGTTGCACAGCTTTAGAATCGAACCGCAGGCGCGCCGCGCACACACCACGTGCTGGTGCTGCTCCTGTCGCATGTATATTTTCGTAGCAACATAATATCTCACTTTAAAACAATTATGACGATTACGTATGCGGCGCACTCCGACGTGTGTTCGGGCAGGCGATTTGTTTGCTTTATTCGCCATTCGATAAAAACGGAAACAAACAGATTCCTCTCGCCCCCTCGAGAATTATCCAACGCGCCGCGTGCCAATAGGTGTACAAGCGGGCGGTGAATCGCATACATTTTTCAGCAATCCGTTCAAAATTGGCATCAACTCGAGAATTGATCAATTGATGTTGATTGTTGTTGGAAATTCTTACCTGTTATGTTGTGTTGTTGATGTTTGCCTATTGCTATTAAACTGAATCACTCCTTGCTAGGCACTAAAAATAGCTTAAACTATTTATACTACCAGAATTTAGACGAACTTGTATAACCCGATCGCAGGAAAGTCATTTATTTCAAGCCTCTAAAACTTTATGTCCCTATTATATGGTGAATATATTTAAAGATATATGCTTTTATTTTGCGTTTTTGTTATTGTTTCAACGTTTTTTCTCGTGCACATAGTCGACAACAATAAAGTTTAACAATTTCCATGATATCTGATAAAATAAAATAGATGCATATATGTTTATATATTCAATTTAAGTGAAAATGATTGTTATGCATCGTGGCGGACGCGTGAACCTATTATTATTACAATTCACCTACTTCTGTTCATTTTAATCAGATTTTTATTATGTGCATGTCCATAACTGCATCATCTGCATGGCAGATTTGCAACAGGGGCTATGATATTACAAAATACATTTAAAATAAAAAAAAGTTCTTGTTTGCAAATCTTTTATGCAGATAATAATTTATTCATATATTTTCAATGTGCATTAATATTTTCATACGCGTACAAATTGATTTATGTCGTGAACAATATGCGAGTATGCTTGTCTCGTGTCTTGTTCCTGTATATTTATGTGAACCGTGCGTACAAACTCTGAAAAACTCGAAGACACGTCACGATCTGGGAATGTTAGATGCGTGCATCTTTTTTCGTATTTGTATGCGCATGCATTCACGTACCTTGGACGTGTATTCGATGTGCAAATGTAAATGTCACATTTTCGGTCTTTGCATTTTACTCGTGACTTCTTTTTCAATGTGATTTTGTCTCTCTTCATGTATTTACACATATATTCGTTAGGGATGTCTTTTTGTTTCTATCGTGTGTTCTGATCGTTTCTATATATTTTAATGTATTAACAATTAGTCTAATGATTGACCGGTTGTTTATTGTGTATTATCAATGTGTAGGACGAGTTTCATCCATTCATAGAAGCTCTGCTGCCGTTTGTTAAGTCCTTTTCGTATACATGGTTCAACTTGCAAGCTGCTAAACGCAAATATTACAAGAAACATGAAAAACGGATGTCGCTCGAGGAGGAGAGGCAGTGCAAAGAAGCGTTGCAAGTATGTGGTTGCCCATGTGGGTGCATTGTGTTATTAATTAATTTTGGCATGGTGTGTAGAACGAGAAGGCCGAGGTGAAACAAAAATGGGCATCTCGACTCCTGGGCAAGTTGCGAAAGGACATCACGCAGGAATGCCGCGAGGATTTTGTGTTGAGCATCACCGGTAAACGGCCGGCGGTGTGCGTGCTTTCGAATCCTGACCAGAAGGGCAAGATGCGGCGAATAGACTGCCTGCGGCAGGCCGACAAGGTGTGGCGCTTGGATCTCGTAATGGTGATCTTGTTCAAAGCGATACCGCTGGAGAGCACAGACGGTGAACGATTGGAGAAGAATCCTGAATGTTCGCAGCCCGGGCTCTGCGTCAATCCGTACCATATCAACGTCTCCGTGCGCGAACTCGATCTCTACTTGGCAAACTTCATCAACAGTCATGGTAAGATATTTTATTCCCTTACCATTTAACATTGTATGTCACAAGCATTATTTTGCAGAAATTCTCAGTGGAGTTTGCTACAACAATAACAACAAAAAAGAGGACGATAGGAAAAATAAAGGTACAAAGTATATACAATCGTGTGGTTTGTTTGTTAGTTATTTGTACTGTTGCAATTACAGGATATACACATAACCCGTATAACGGCGTCATTTGTAATGACATTATTTTAGCCACGGGCGTGTTTTCCTCCAAAGAGTTGTGGAAATTGTCGAAATGTAAGTAAGCTATTGGAGATGCTGCGAGATCATTAACATCTATATCCTTACTCCTTCTTGTTTTTCGTTTCTGTTTTGGTTCGATTACGTTCGTTTAAAACTTCCTGCTCATATCACTTAGGAACGATGTGCTATGCAAGCACGTAATCGACATCTAGGTCAAGCATTCATAAAATACTCACCACAATATTTCTTCTTGATTTTTCCTGCGGCCGAACGCAGCCGTATTGATTTCTATCAGTACTCAGATTGATGCACATACTGTCGAGCATCTCTAATAGCTGTCGATATTATTTTAATCGAAGCCTCATCATTGTTTCAGCTTCCATAATGCAGGAGGTTTCCGAGCCGCAGCCGAATATTAATAGTGTTAAATTAGAACACCCAGCGTACTACTGCAATAGTTATCAGGATCAGGGTTCCGTCGTAGCAGATCGATCGGCTCCAGTCGACGCAATGGTCGTCTCGGCTGCATATTGTGAGTACACACTGTATACAGGCGCAGCGTCGCACATGCAGGCAAACATTTTGTTTTTCGTGGTGGGATGCACGAATGGGTGGTATGGAAGGATGCGAAAAATATGCCGTCGACTAGCGACGAATGTGCACATGTTGTCTGGCCGCGCTCCTCAGGGAAAATCAATAAAATTCGCATATACAATGCATGCTCATTACACAGATATGCATTTATAATACATTATTGCTGGAGCTTGCCAACATACGCTTCCAACGACTTATTCTAGCCAAACGACTTTTGAATGGGGTTTGCAATTATTTTCGACAAAAAGATGCAAAAGGATGTACCAATGGGTTGACATGATAACTTTATTTTTAGCAATGCCTCAAAACACCACATTAGTGTCTTCCAGTTCACAGTCAACTAGTCCAAACACATTGTTCTACCAACATAGTCCAGAACCACAACAACACCAACATGCGCATCAAGTGAAGTACCCCGAAAATGGCCATGATACCCTCTCTGACTTTGTGACGTTTGTGTGCCAAGAAACGGACAACACTTCCCAAACATCTCAGGTACCAGCATTTAATATTTTATATCCAAAACAATCATCATTATTGGTCCTTTTATCCCTAGTTTCAGATGCAATCAAATATGTCACGAAGCCCCAAACAGTACTTTTCCACGACAATGCTTCCGCCCCCGCCGCTGCCTCCAATGGCGCGACCCGTGGCCATTATTCGTTCCACCAACGATGTAAACATGTCCGGCACCAACTCGCCGCCCGTGAGCATAACGCCACCGGGCAGCGAAGCGTCGCCGGTCGACGAAGTACCTGAAATCAACACGTCACCCCCGCTGAGTCCCCATGGTCACGAGCGCCGAAAATCGCCGTCGTTGCGCAACAGCATTCCGACGTCGGGCTCCTACTCACCCACCCGAGACTACGCCTTCAACCACTTTCACGCAGGGCAGCCGGGACATGTTGGTAACGCACATCATTAACCACCTAGCAATCTCTTTCAATTCTGGGTTCTGGTTCCATTGTAGCTCTTCAACTACCCTATGGCGATGTCTGGTGTTATCAGTCCTACCAACCTGAGCATGTATACACCCGGTTCGACGCCCAACAGAGGAACCCGCTGTAGCACGATACCGCGTTGGAATCCGCCCCAGCTGTTTACGTTGGACCAAGAGGACTTTATGATCTCGCATCCGGTGGCGGGCAGCAATGCGGAGACAAATACGATTATACTTATGGATGACGGCACGTCCGCGACAGCCTCTGCCGCCGACCATAACGCACAATGTTGCAATAATCACACGCTGACACAACTCTGCGACGCAGATAGATTCTTTCAGACGGCTGAAGGCCTCGAACACGCGACACAGAGAGAATCTAATGCAAAAACTCCATAGCGAAACTAAACTCACGTAACGTACAATATTAAGCAAACTACAAACAAAACATGCGTGTAGGCGTAAATTAGGGAAGTCAAAAACGAAATTACAGAACAAACTGCCTTAATATGCAGCTTTCTCTTGCCAAGTTTATGTGTGATCATTATTTACAAAGAAAAACTACAAATTTTATTATTTCGTGCGCGTATTGGTGCTCAAATAGGGTAGTCACATAGTTTAGATATAAAAATAAGTAAATACTTGCAAATAACAAAATAAGGAGAATGGTATACAAAAAAAAAACGCTGAAGAATTACCTACATTATACAAACGACAAGCATACGTACGATAAGATATTATATATGAGATATATATTCAATTATGATAAAATTCCACTCGCGTCGAACGACATCTGAGGCCCAAAACGACTATATTAACGATTACTACATTTTGGATACATATATATAAAAAATGCGCAAGCAGTGCCCGCAAATGTCGTTCGATGGTCAAACAATTACGATACTCTGATATGATGCGCGTTTGGATTCCAAAAGTGGTGGATAATTCACCGATGCCAAGGATCGCATCAGCCGTTCAATGCTCAGCCATTAATTAAGTTGTGTGGTTTTCTCAGGTGGCGATAACGGTGGCGACAGGCGACACTCGCGGCCGCGATCGTGCTGAGTAACTACCGAAGCGATGCCTTTGACAATGCACTGGCATTGCACGACTGATGCGCGTCGATTATATTATAGGCTGTGCATTGCTCTAGCCGCGGACACTGTTTTGTCCCTAGTCGGTGACTCGTTTTCTATTCCGTTCCTATGTTGGGTAGTATATCCAGCGCAGCTGTCTTCCACGACTGTACGTCTTCGGCGCGAAGATTATACACAGAGCGACGTGTCTATCAGCGCTTCTTCGAGCAGTAAGCTGGATCTGTGCCTTAGTATTACAATAATATTGATATTCTAGCATAGAATGAAACAAAATTAAAGCGACACAAAATCGAAACCAAAGAAACATTCGTCCACACTTTAAATCGCTATCTACAATAAAATAACTATAACTTTTTGGCAATGATCTAAAGTGTAAGCGAATATACTGAATATGGTGGCATGGAGAAAATTGATAATAATAGAAAACAAAGCAATGAATTAAAAAATGAGCTCACAGAGATTAGTTCATCCAGCCAATCATAAAATAAAAATACGAATTAAAACTAAACAAACGAAATATGAACGAACAGTGTGGGCCTTTTAATTTAAACGACGACTAAGAGGATTAAAAGTTAACTATTTATATACGAAAGGATCAATGTAAGCGACATTGCGATGACCTTGTGTTTGTGGTTACTTTCAAGGTGGAAGTTGGCGACACACAAATCTAGTCTTCCAACTTGCAACTAACCATTTGTTGTTGAAGGAAGCTGCGCTCGCTTGCGGTCAACAAGTGAGCCGGCTTCTGTTATATCAAAATGCAACGACGAGTGATAGCTGAAAGCGACACTTAAACGACTATCACTTGCAGTGTGCAATTTGTATGTTATTTAATAATGTATGATCAAACAGTCAATTCTAGAATGCACGTTGTCTTATCACCATGTCGATTCCAATGACATTACGAGAAAAAACTGTGATTGAGTTTCTTCATTGATGTTTTGCGGCAATAATAGACGGGAGAATGCATCATCTACAAGCAACAAATTATTTTCTAGTCATGCGACATGCAGAGTGACCCCGACTGATGTCCCCATGTTTGATAGCTCTTTATTTAATGCCTGCGATGGAAAATTCAAGATGCAAATATTCGTAATTAGTAATCATTAAGTGACAATAAGTTTATCACACATTTCTAGTGGGACACTCTGCTTTAAACGATTATGTTGACGATTTCCATTCGCGGAAGTTGCTGATAACCATGCAAGAATATAATAAATAGCGTAACTTACAATACATTGAAGTGAAAACGAAAACGAACAAAGCAAATATGAGGCGAATATAATAATTAAGGATTAATAAATTTGAAATACTTATGGTATTATGTACATAACACCTTTGTTACTTATAATGTACTTATAGAATCGGGTGATATTATATAACCAGTGCCATAATATTGTTAACTCAATTGTTAGACGTTGGGAAGGGACGTCGTTAGTGTTGGTTATTATTATTATCATTATTATTACTAGTAGAAATGTATTAATTTTTAAGTTATTAAAATCAGAGGGTTTATTAATCAATAACTCCCATTGTTTGATTTACCTTTAATAATTTATGATTTGCCGAGATGAGTAGTCTATTTAGTACGGATAGTAGGCAATCCAAAATACACAATCCCTAAAATTACTGTTCAAAATGTAAGGGCTGCCTGAGCTTTTCAAACTGAAGAAAATACAGGTTCACAGCTTGGGGGAGCAGTTGGTTGCGAAAGCTTCAATTAGATGCCGCTAGTAGCTCAAAATAAATTCAAAATCATCAGAAATTTATCGAGATTTTTCAGTATTCGAATATAAAGTGAAAATGTCTTATACTAAAAATGATAATATAATAAAAACAATATATTTCGACAGTTAATCAGTCATTATATTACATTAGTTATTCACATATGAGTTATTTAATATTATCTTAATAATATCCAAACAAAATGATACAACAAATATGTTCTAACAATTAATATGTTTCAAAAATCGGGCACAATTGAACCGAATCCAAGTTAATAATTCCGAAATGACATGCACAAATGTTGTGCCGCCATTAAATTAAATTTCTTTTCCCTGCCTCGACCCAACCTGCGCAACGCCGCGCGTCAAACAAAAAAAAAACGCTGAAACACGAAGCGAGAACAGCGAAAAGAATGCGCCGATTTTCCGAATTTCGAATTATCTACTTTACATTCATTTTAAATTTAGAGAGCGACGTCGAGCCGTCGAGTAAAAGTTCCAACTTGGAGCGTTTTTAATATTTAATTCCAGTTGATTTACGATTTTAGGCAAGTTTGGTATGGCGCCAATGTCGAAGTCGACATTGCGAAGAAAGAATGAACGAAAGAATGGGCGTTGGGGCGAATTGCATGTAACCAAACGGGTGCTGTTTGGTCGGGGGCGAAACGAAGGGCATGAGCCGGTAAACGAAAAGTAAATCACGACTTCATATCTACAACAATGCCATTTGATTTCTACGCTGGGAACACTTGCGTTTAATCTCAAGTGTTTCGATGATGATTGATGATATTTCGCGCGTTTCAATTAGGATTATATTAATTTACAGTCTTCTTTTATGCAGATTGACAAACTTATGCAATATTTGTTGTCCCTCCTGGTTAAGGTAACACAAACAGGCGGGCCACTGGTAGGGCCGTGTTAAATCTTCATTAAATAGTATTCAACGGGTATCTGGTACGATAACACTTGTACCACAACACATGCTGTGGTCTCAAACTGGAGAGTCGTTACGAGGTCTCTCTTTCGAAGCACGGCCCCAGGGCGGCGGTTGCAGAACATTCGCAAGCCATGTTGGCGGTGCGTCGCAGTGAGCAAAAGAAGCGCGCCGCCCAGTGTGGATGAAATGAAAAAGTCATTTTCTTCGGAGAGAATTCATGGCGAGTATGTTGCCATTGTTTCCGCATTAGGCCAAGTTTAGCGCTTGCTATCGCATAACTCCATACCGCTTTACATTCAGCATTCGATTTTGATGCTGATTCGCACATATCGTTGATATCTCACGATCTCGTCCTACTCGTATCTTCTCAACTAATTATTTTATTGGTGGAATTATTTAATCAAATATTAATACGTTTTTTAACATAAAATCTTTATACCTACATTTTCGTATAAAATGATATCTACGGATAAATGTACAGTGAGCAGAGTGTTAAAATTCAGCGCGTGCTTCTTTTAAATGACCCCTAATTAAAATCAGTCCTAATGGATGTCGAATTCAAGGGAATAATATGAAAAAACATTAGGGTTACATGCTTTTTAATGTGGAATAATTAGTTTTGCCCACAGCGCGCGTCTGATGCAAACACGCGCAGCAGCACGAGCAGCGAAAACGATTCTGAGCACCAACGGCGGCAACGGCGGCAACGGCGGTGGCGACGACAGCGTATAGAAGTAAGGGAACGAGGAGAAAGCATAATAAACCATGGCAGCCATACTGCTGCAAGCGATGGTTCTTGCTACAAAAGTTTCGCCTTGCAACCACGTTACTCTCTAGTTTCCAGCCTCCGTGCTCTTAATTAATACAAAACCTTAATGCGAAAATTAACACGAGAGAAAAATTTGATATTGTAATTAATATTTGACACCTTCCTGAATTTAATACGTAAGTAGTTTCATTTATTTTGAATAAAATAGGAAATCCTACATCAGGAAAAGTTATGAGCTGCTATTTTATTTTGCTATCTGCAAAGATATTGAATCATAGGTTATTATATGAAAATGTGGTCATATATTTGGGTTTCTTTTTGAGTTATAATGCGGTCGTCAGCTGGACACGCACAAACTTGGGGAGTTTTTTGGCCAGCGTCGCACTTGCCAACGATATTTGATGCATCCGAAGTGATCCAATAGTTACATTAGGGTCAATATCTTATATCATTGGCTGTATCATAAATACAATAAAGTTAAAATATTAGTTGTGCTTCGGTAGGGCCCTGCCAGGAATAATGAACCATGTATCATCGGTGCAGCAGTTGGACGCAGCGGTTTCAAAACTTCAGAGAGTTCTGAGACTGCGATAATGATCCTAATATGAATAAGGTACCTATTATTAATATTGTTCGCCGAGTTTGCGCGCTCGTATTACAGTTTAATTCGGCGCACGGTCCGGCCGCTAAATTTTCAAATAATAAGATGTTAATGCTCGCATTCACTTCCGAAATCTAAATGGTGGCGTAATACGAAATGGATTAAGTTTGTAATTGATGTTAAAATAAATGGTATACGGGGAGTGGGCGGCTGCGAGCTGAGTAGTCGGTGGTCGCCTTCCACCACCCTCGGCATGAAAAGCGCATGCCACGATCGCTCTGGATATCCAACAATCTAATTGGAAATGACTACACCACTTTAATCGCACATATGATAATCTGTGAAACCTCTACGCTCTGTTGCGCAGATCATTCCTCACTACAGGATCGTACTAATAGGTACAAAGAAATGTAAACATATCAAATTAAAGTTTGTATTTGAATAGGAATTTAGTTAAGCACACATCCAACGAGAGCAACTAGTGTTTGTGCCAAACTGTCGATAATTATTATAACCGAGGCCTCGTGCGATGCGTGTATGTCTCGCTTTGCACAGCAGTTCCGATAACGGCAAACAATTGCAGCGATGTTGGTTAACAAGGCCCCGCCGATATGCCAGCATTGCGTTTATCGCAATATCAATTCGTTCCTGCTGTTTTATTATGTAGTTCATTGGTTCGTATTGAACTTAATATGAGCATTTGGTGTTTGCTAATTGAGTTAATAAACATATGTTTAATTCATTTGGTATATTTCTATACTATTGACTTAAATTACGCAAATATTAATCAATTCAGTTATCAAAAGACAACTGAACATCCCTACTAATATTATAAATGCGTATGTCCTGATGTTTGTTACACTTTCACGCAAAAACTACTTAACCGATCATCATGAAAATTTGTACACATATTCTTAGTGGTCCCCGAATGGTTATAGGCTACTTTTTATTTAATAAAAATAATTATTTTTTAAATAAAATAAAGAAATAGTTTAGCCAATAATACCTCTGCATCTGGCTATTTGACTACTTTAACGCCATCTAGCATTTCAGCAATGAAGCTCAAACCTAAGTACTATAGTACCATCACACTGTATTATCACACTGTATTACCGACAGCTACGTCAACATCAAATCCAATTGACTACACTATAGAGACTGTACACTATACTTCCATAGACTATACTTTCAGCCATTTTAAACTTCCCGCCATTCTACTTCATTGTTACTTCTTCTGTGACTACAGACGCGTACGGAAGCAACTTCATTATTTTAGATATTCGCGAGTGAAGCCAAGGGTTAAACCTAGTACAACATACAACAGCAGTTCACGTTTTTTCCTACTAATAACACAAAATTGTCTCTCCTGGACTTATCAATAGACAAATCAACGAGAAATTTTAAATTAGTCTTATTTAGCTATCCACCTATGATCCATTCTCAGTCAAAATATAAAAATAGGCTATTAAGGTCTATTTACAGCTACATAAATAAAGTATCATCTAATTACGGCCCTGAAGCAGTGAGATATCGTCGCCGCGATCCCATCAGCCACCCTTCGGTCGCTCACGAGTTCGCTAAAAGCCTTTTGGATATTACATGTTAAAATGGGGGTAAGTAATTCGATTTGTGCGCTGCGTTCAAGCAACTGAACGAATAAATGCTTGCTCAATGCTCGCAGCCGAATGTGCGCATTTACATGCGCACACACCAAATGACAATGGAAAAACCTCCGCCACGCATCCGCTCGCCCCTTCGTGCGGTTCGATGCATGAAAACACTCCATGCACGAGTGGCAGAATTAAGTGAACATGCGAATATGAAGAGAACGCCACGACACAACGAGCGTGAGAGGGTGTCTCTATTTGTATCAGTCGCATAATGAAATGTTTAATTAACTTACAAGCAGCTAGCGAGGCGATATCAACCATTAGGCATTTATGTTCTTTCTCGCTTGCATTATTCAATTTATCGCAAGCAGTCCCTAAACGATTTTACAATTCGCGTGTATGAAAGAGTCATTAATAGTGCGCGCCGATATTAAAATAAATGACGCAATTGGAGGATGAATAATACTCTGCTTGAGTCGTTACGGAAAGAAATATTGATCTGGCTGCAAGGCGGCTATCAATTTTGCTTCGTAATACGAAGTAAACGACTTTTCTTTTGTCCGCCAACAAGGTTTTTAGTATGAGAAAGAAGGCATGCAAAACATGGCATCGCGCTGTTTGCCGAGTGTCGCCTAGGGTGCAAAAATCAAATTACATAAATGAAACACATTGTGAAGTTGAAATTTATAGCGGCGAACCGTGCGGACCAAATCAATTGCTCGCTGCGTTTCCGCCACGGCCGCCAATCGCGTACCATTGGCGTGCATCTGGCCGTTTCTAATATCGAAATGAACCTTCAAATTTATCACCATTTATACTTGTTGGGGCGTAAGACTTTTGCCGAAAGTGCGCTAACAGTAAAAAATTAACGCACGAGCCGGGTTC